TTTTTCTTTCCTTCTTCTATATAACCTCATGTGCTCCTCTTTTTCAAGATATTAATTTTCAGGTTTTTTCTTCTTCTTGTCAATATAGTATTAGAGTCCTAAGATTTCTCTGTTGTTGCTGCTCTGCCTCTTCTCCTATCTTTGTGTCACTTATCTTCTCCCGGTGCAATATCCTATAGTGCTGCCTTGCGCGCTTACCCGATGCCCGATCTATGTAGCCTTACACGCCTACCACGCCTCTAGCCACACACACTTGCATGCCCATTTGGCGCTTCCCCGCTGCCATCCTGCACGCTCGCCCGACACGCCATTATGCATAATGCCCCGTGCTACCCGCTAGTGACCCATGCATTGACTGCAGGTGCTGCCCGTGCTACCTCATAATGCCCCGTGCACTGCCTCTCGGCACAGCCCCCACGCTGCCTCCTGACATCCTGCGCATTGCCTCCTGGTGCCCTATGTGGCTCTAGAGACGTCCCCTCCCAGCATCATCTCATCTCCTACTAATCCTAATCTATAGATCCGGTGGACGAATCCTCAATGTCTCAAGCACCTCATCTACCAATTTTTCAGCCGATTGTAACTCTTCCTCTAATCGAGTGGGCTACTTCATTTTATGGCTTGATTTCTCCTTTGAAGCTCTTTATGCATGACAACAAAATTATAACATGATTTTCTAGTATTTTCTCCCTTATTTTGCTGCAATTTTTTAATTTATAACTCATTTCAAGTTTTTGATTGATTATATCATGTGAGGTGACACACATGATAAGATCAATCATCATTTTCGTTTATATTTTATTTCGTTATAAATTATTTATGTTATCATTTAATTTCCAAACGAGAATTTGCTACTAGACTTTCCTCTTCTTTTCCTTTGTTTATGTGGTTTGTCTAAGTTATTCTTCATGGGCCCTTGAATTATCACAGATTAGAGGAGATCTAGAGGCAATCAAGACATCTATAAAAACAAGGGAGTGAGATTGTGACAACTTGGAAATTAGATAAATTATATATTTTGTATCTTTAGTTTTGAGCTGTTTAAGTTTTGAGAATGAATTAGAGGTACATTTTTTACTTTCATCCCTATGGAGACAACCCAAATCTATTAAATTTATTAGTCAAAAAAGATCTTTAAATTTTAGTTTTAAATTATTAAATTTTGTTTATCTTATAACACACTAATTAAGATCCACCTGATGTTGACCACTTTCTCTTTTTACACTTGCTTCTACTATCCTAATTATTTCCCATTCAAGTCATGTCATACCTTGTTGCTGTTACAATATAATTTATTATTGATGCAGCATCACTAAACTAAAATATCTTGAGTTTAACTATCACCTTGGGATTGATTTGTGTTGTTGTATGAGTAAATTTGGTTGAGGTCTTCTGAAACTAGATAGTCGAAGTTGTTGATTTTAAAGGAGAGGTTGCAGTGCTGGTCTTTGGTTTTCTAAATTATTCTTAGAAAAATTAGGACTCTTCCACCTAGGGTCATATGCATTCATATATGAGTCATATGTGGGCTTAGAGTATTTATAGGCTGCTTGGAACTACTCATGTATAGAGAAAAGTGAATGCTCTCTATGTGAAAATTCTGATTCATAATGAGATAAATTACCATAATTAAAACATGCTACATAAGGAAGAGTTAGTTGTGACGATGGTAAAGATGTTAAAGGAGTAGCTAGCTGAGGTGGTGTAGTGAGAAATGATGAGGATGATGTTGGATAATAAGGCATATAAATTCATGTAAAAGAATAAGGTGATGGGTTTTGTGTGTTCTTAATTAAAAATTGTTTAAATTTTTCTTTGACTAAATTCACATGTTCTAGTTGCTACTAAATTTTATTTACCTCTAATCTAAGCTCTTGATCATGAAATCTCATACTTCATAGATTCCTCTCTTCTTAGCTTCCCCTTATTGTCTATCATATATAGCAAAAGATTTATGATTAGTGGAATCTCGCTAATCATCTAATACAACTAATAGACTTCATCTTCATCCTTATCCATGAAGGGTCTTCCACATGCTGCATCAACTATATGTTAATTCTACTATGTCAATCTATAATAAAACATTTCCCCTATTGACATGTCATTTTAGTACTCCATGATGTGGACATTTCATAAGAAGTCCTTTTAGCCTATCACATGCTTCATGTAATGGTTTTCCAGAACATTGAAAGAAGCTAGTAATAAACAATTTAGTCTAACATGAGTCTTCATTTGGGTCTAAGAAATAAACAAGAAGCATTAAAACAAGAATTTCGAAGAAGCTTCAAGCATGAGTCTTCTCTACATGATAAAACTTTCTAAGAAATTCTTGTTTTAATGCTGCTCATGTGTTCAATTGTCTCCCTGATGTGGACAACCAATGTCATGTTTTTTCCTTTAAAGAGTAAGAAAATAGCTTCATCCTTATTGACTCCTTATATATGTTTAGCATTTATATCATATCACAAATATATAAGAATTACTCTAAGTGTTGATGTGCCTCTTCATTTGGGTCCTGTAAAAGGTTAGAAGTATTTGAAGAGTACTAAGCTTAATTTCAAATTAAATTTTGGGATCTATAGGTGCTATATTTGAGGATTAGGTCTATATTAGTTTGGTGTAAAGTTGTCCTTCATAGGTCATGGTGGATTGATCATATTTTGTAAATCCATAGGTACTACATTATGTTCATTTTGGTTAGCCATATTCATAATAGTTCTTAGTCTAGGATGTGATTGTCTTCCAAAATTGGGTAAAGGATCTAATAAATGTGATTTTTGAGATCATCTACCCTGCATACAAAGTCATAGGAAAAATATTTCTATAAAAAAATTCTAAAACTAATGTCATAGAAATAAGAATAAAAAAATTAACAATAAGAAAATCTAAGAAAATTAACTAAAATAATGACTATGAAAAAGAAAAATATTTAACAATCATGACACTAACATGCAATGTAGTAAACATGTGAGTAAAAGAAAAGATAAGCAAACATTTATATTTTTTTATAAAAAAAATAATAACCTAATTAAGTGAGAGAAAAACTCAAATTGACATCAATTTCATTTAATCTTCCATGTCAATGACAACAAAGTTTGATTGTTTCTTAGTCGTTGTATTAAGAGATGACAAATTTAAAATTCATAAAACTAAATTCAGTTTAAGATAAATCGAGTAATTATGGTGAGTTCAAGTCAAATCTTAAGGAAGATAATAAATGATGATAATTTTTCTGTTCTCTAAATAACTATAAATATAAATAATAAATAAATATAAAAATAATGAAAGAAATAATAAAGATGGGGAGTAGCCATGACCAGCTCCACCCTTCCCTTGTCACTGTCAAATTATTAATATGTAGGAAAATAATAAGGAAAATGAATTAAATAAATTTATTGATAACAAAGAAAATAGGGGATGTGATAGAGAGGAGAGAGAGAGAGAAAAGGCTCCCCTTTTTCTCTTAAAATAATAAAATGGTTTAGATAATCCCTCTTTGAAACCAGTTTTTGTTACATAATATTTTTCATACTTGACATTAAAGCTAATAAAAACACAAAAACATCAAGAAATTAGACAGAAAAAAGATTGAATTAGGATTTTCCCCCTTTGAGATCAAGGATGGCAAACAAATGAATTTGAGAAAAACCCTCAATAAAATCCTTTAAATTGATTTTTTTCTTTGATTCATTCATCTATCACCTAAATGAATCGAAGAAGCAAATTCAGAACAATGTAAAGATAAAATTTTATCAAAAATAATGCAAACAATTGATGAAACATCAAAAGAATACCACCATCTATCACTAGGCAGAAAGAGAAAGATAAAAGCCTCTTTTTTACTCTAAATCAAATGTTTGTATACTCCTATTAGATATAGAATCTCTTAAAAGTATTGAGGTATCAACTTGGTAAAAAAAAAATGATTTTCAGTGAAAATTGGCTTCCATTTTTTTGTCCGATTTTTCTCCCATTTTCCATCTGTTTTTAGTCATTTCCAAACATTTTCACTCATTTTCACTCATTTTCACCCATTTTTAGAATCATTTTAAATTAATGAAATAAACTGATGAAATAGGCCTTAATATGCTTCCTTTAAAAACTCATAATTCCCTTATAAATCAGAACATATTCCAAAAAATTATATAAAAAATACCAAAAAATTATATAAGAAATGAATATTAACTACTAAATTCTGATTTTGGCCGTAATAATGGCAGATTTCAGGATTAAAATGTCCAGTAAAGCATATTAACATATGATCAAGGAATATTTAAAATATAAACATGTTATAAAAATATGTAAAAATCATACATTAACCATGTATTTCACACAATTAATCTAAAGTGTGTTTTACTTGATTTCTCATTAAATCTATATCATTTAATATGAACTAATGTATCAAATATATTAACCGTGCATTACTTAGCACATAAAATGATGTGTTACCATACAATGGGTGTTCAAAACGTGATGAAATGATTATCTTCGTTCAAGTCAATAGATAGAGAAAATATAACATTTTATAATAACACTAATCCCTAGAATATCATGGAGAAGAGACATAACAGCGATCCTTACTTGAATGGTTAGGGAAATCGTTAGGACAATCTAGAGAGAAATAAAGATGGGACCGTAACTCAAGGCTTCAAGGCACTCCAACGTCTGCATTTGTTTCCCAAAGGACTATGCTTATTGTATATAAAATATGCGACCAACCAGGAGACGGTGGTATGAATATCACGTTGGTATTGAGTCGCTGGTGGCCCCGTTTGGGGGTCTGCATTTATTTACGACGGTGGATCTTTTCTCCCCAAGTCTCTCAACCACTGGTCCACACGCTCCCCCAACCTATCCGTGAACGAGAGATCTCCAAACCCACAAGATTCCAGCTGCCAATCCATCTCTCTCTCTCTCTCTCCTCTCTCTCTTACACACTCTCTCCCGTTCGCTCTCGCTCTCGCTCTCGCTCTATCTCTCTTCCGCTCCCTCCTCTCTCGATGCCTGTTGGACGGACGTCGCCAGTTTTGGCGATCCTCCTGGTGCTATTGATAGGTTTCGCTGATGGGTCGTTGGAGTTCCCTCGATATCGTCGGCACATTCGCTTACTGGTAGACAGGGTCAATGAGTTCTCAGGCCCCTTCGTCGGCCTGGTGATGGCATATCGGACGGAGGCCGCCTCTCTCGAATCCTCCGGTGAGTTCGTCCCTGCGAGAGACGTGCCGTGGATCGATCTTTACGGTAAGCGCCTCGCCATCTCTCTTTTTCTTTCTCTCTCTCTCTCTAGGTTTCTCGCTCTCGCTGTCTCTCTGTCTTCACGATCCATTGACCCGCACCACCGACGGGAATCGAGGCATTTTACTTTCATACCTCTAAAATATTTAAAATTGTAAATTGACTTTTAAATAAACGCTTTTACAGGAAGGAGATTCCACGTGGGGACCATTTGTCGAGTGCCGGTCATCTGGGTAATGTCTGGCGAACGGAGGGTAAGAACGGTCTCTCTCTCTCATATCTGCGAAGCACCTGACGAAGAAAGCTTGGGACTTTCCGTTTGACCAGTTGAATGCGGGAATCACAGTCCAGATCCTGCTTGACCACTTCGACATCTGGGGGATAGTCCACTACGGCATCGCCGGCGGCGCCGACGACTCTCTCTCCTTCGGCGACGTCAGCATCCCCAGATTCGTCGCATTCACCGGTTCCTGGACATGGAAGGTGAATAAGACCTTCACCTCCTCCTCCGCCGCCGCCACCGCCCGTCAGCTCAACCTTCGCGATCATTACATCCTCCCCAGTTTCCTCCTTCAGAGATTCAAATCCGCCGACGAAGAGGAGAGCAAGGAGGAGCTCGCCCTGATGAAGATCGGCGCCTTCAACATCCCGGAGAAGGGGAAGAACCTGCTGTCAAGCCTGGAGTTTAAGCCCGAGGAGTTCTTCGCCGTCGGGGAGGAGATGAAGAAGGTCTTCTGGTTGGAGACCTTCCCCCCCTGGTTCCAACTGGCCCAGAAGCTTCAGGTCTCCTTATCCACCTGCAGATCATACTCCAAATGCCTCTGCGAACAAAATCCCCAACTGTGGGAAATCCTCATCGCAGGACCTGGAACTGGACCAGTGCGTCAACGCAACCTACTGCCTGCCGTCCCCCCCGCGAGTGGTCGCCGGCCTCAGAGCATCCACCGCCGACATATTCGTCGACAACGCAGCCTACCGGCGGTTCCTCTCCGAGAAGTTCAACGTCTCCACCGTCGATGAGGAGAGCGCCGCCGTCATCATGGTTAGTTGATGGCCCAATTTCAATCTTAGCAAGATTTACACGTAAATGTCTTCCCTTCGTTCGACTGTCTTCCTCCGCCGTCTCCGCAGGCGGCCATGTCGCCGGGAACGCCGGCGATCGCCATCCGGGGGGTCTCCGACATGGCGGGCGGAGGAACCGCGTGGCCATCGACGGCTCTGAACTCCTTCGCTTCGGCTAACGCGTTCAAGGCCGCCGTCAAGTTCATAGAGCTGATCGGAAGCTGCGGAAGGATCGTTGGCGGCGCCGCCGGCAGCGTGGAGCATGAAGATGCCCGGGCGTGATGTAATGTTGGGCCAGCCCATTGTTACTTGAGGCGCTCTTTGGAACCCTGGGCCTGTGGGGCCCATTGGCACTCCCATTGAATAAGTGGGCTCAACGAGGCCGACAGAGGCAGATTAATGGGCTTTTGTTTTCGGGTCCCCCGTCGTGGGTGGCCCACTAATGGCCTAACTTTATGAATTTTCGCGGGTAAGTTTGCTCCGCGACTGGTCTGTTACCGACAGCAGCTAATATTTTTGTTACTTTCTGCGGTCACCGGTTAAGGAACCTAACCGATATGAGGGACACCGGAAGAGAAGAGTCAACCGGAAGAGTTTCTGGAGTGGTTTTCCGTTTCCTTGTACTTAAAGTAGGCCGGGAAGACGGTCGACCATCTAACGGTCAGGATTCGAAGACGATCGATCTGACGGAGTGTATTGTTTTAAAATATAGAAATTCTGTACAGAAAAGCGCTCTAGAGAGAGGGTGGGGTTGGGTGCTCGACGTCTGCGGCCTCGAGGAGGAGAGGGGAGAGAGGGAGGGAGGAAGGTGGGAGAACGTCCTCGCCTTCGCCCGCTGGTCCTCCGATCTCGGCAGTGATCGAAGCGAGGTATTTGTTTCCTTTTTATTTTATTGCGTTGATCTTCCACTCTGATGGATCTCCGGTGGTCTTCGTCATGCATCCGTGTTCGTAGAAACGGAACTTTCTCCTCTTCTGGTTTCTCTTCTCCGGGGGGGTGGTGGGTCGAATCTTCGGCCGACAGTTTTGTAATCGTTCTCTAGGGCCGCCAATGAAATCGTAGGATTCGGTTTTCCCTTTTGTTTGGGGGTCGATTTTGGTCGATTCGAGCGATCCGATCGCGCTGGCTACTGATTCTCCGTCGCTTCCGCTGAATACAAGAGTCGGTAGCCGCTCTTTGGATTATTCATGGGGATGTCGTCGGGTGAGATAACCTACGCTCTCCGCTTCGTTAGGTCTTGCCTCTCTATGCTGATGGACCTTGCAATTGTCTTCATTTTTTTCTTTTTTCTTTTTTTTTCCCTTGAGGACGTATCAAGTCCGCTATTGTAAGATAGAAACAAGATCAGCTGATGGAAACAAGAAATAAGATCTCTGCGATCTCTCGCAGAACGGCTAACGTCATCTAAAAAGCTTCCGAATCTGACGTATCCAGTGTAGGTCTTTTGGGGATCCCTGCATTCCTGTTCCCTTCATCAGATATTAAATGTTTCGACTTCTTAATTTGTCTGTAGAGTTGACTGATCTATTCGTTGGGTGGTAACCTAGTAAAAGTAATTCGATATGCGTATTCTTCTCAAGGCCTAAACTTTGTTTCTTCCATCACTCTGGTTCCATCTTTGTGTGCATGGTCTGATTCATTATACATAAATGCTTAATCGTTCAAATTCAACGAAATACGGTTTACTTTGGGGTTTTGGACTGACGAAAATCTTTGGGGTTTTCTCAGATTCTTACAAAAATATCTGACAGAGGCAGAGTTCATCAGTTTCGAGTACTATTTATTCATCACTACGAAGAGGGCGGGTAGGGATTCATCATCGGCTGTTTGATCCAAAAATGAGCGACAATTTGATGGAGAAGGTGAGCGCCTTTGGTGAGCGCCTGAAGATTGGTGGGGCTGAGGTCAGCCGAAAGGTGTCGGCTGGCATGAGCTCCATGAGCTTCAAGATGAAGGAGCTCTTCCAGAGCCAGAACCAGGCTGAGAAAATTGTCGAGGATGCCACCTCAGAGACCCTGGAGGGCCCCGACTGGGCCTCCAATCTCGAGATATGCGACATGATCAACAGTGAGAAGGTCAACAGCGTGGAACTCATCCGGGGAATCAAGAAGCGGATCGTTCTCAAGGATCCCAGGGTTCAGTACTTGGCGCTCGTCCTGCTTGAGACATGCGTGAAGAACTGCGAGAAGGCGTTCTCTGAGGTTGCTGCCGAGCGGATCCTCGACGAGATGGTCAAGCTGATTGACGATCCCCAGACTGTCGTCGGCAACCGGGACAAGGCTCTCATGCTGATAGAATCATGGGGAGAGTCGGGGAATGAGCTCCGGTACCTGCCCGTTTATGAGGAGACCTACAAGGTAATTCTTATTTATTTCTTTCTCTGGGTTGACCAGGTCAGGCTCTCAGAAGGTGCTGTTGATAGAAGTACAACCCATCGAGCCTCCACGATTATAAATTTTTGATGGGTACATTTTGGTGCCCTCCAAGAAGTAGTTTTCCAGGTGCAGATTTCCTTTGTGATCTGCAGAGATTGAGATTCAGGAAGTATCCCTATGCATTTCCTGCCATTGGTTGACTTTGACTTTGACCTCTGAGGATCCTATCCGTTGATATGAATATCTCTCAGTTCTTCCATCAAGCTGCCACAACGCAGTCTGTGGATAGATACTTAGCACCCTCTAAGAGAATTGTCAAAAAAGGAGCTTTCTTATACGATTTCCTTGTTTTGACTTTCAGAGCTTGAAATCTCGGGGCATACGATTCCCGGGCCGCGACAATGAGAGCTTGGCCCCGATATTCACTCCGCCAACCTCTGTCCCGGAAGGGGCGGCAGCGAACGCTCACGTGCCCCAGGAGCTCCTCCGTGACGTCCCAGTGCAAGGTCTCTCTTCCGAGCAATCAAAGGAGGCGCTCGACGTTGCCCGGAACAGCATTGAGCTTCTCTCCACGGTCTTATCCTCTTCCCCTCAGCAGGATGTTCTCAAGGTATATTCTGGTTTCATTATGATCTCATCGTTTATATATTATATGGTTTTCATCTGCTACGTCCGGTGGGGGGCTTTTCTCCCGTCCAATCCCTCTTGTTCTTGCCAAGTTGGATCGGGAAGCCCCTTGGAAATGGATGAAAACCATGCCCCGATTCATGCGGAATCTCAGTTTCTGTCTTTCTGATTTGAAGATTACACTGATTTTAGCAGAGATTTTTATGTCGATTGAGATCCTGACTATGGAGAGTAACCCGCTGATGTGCTGCCGGCAGGACGACGACCTCACGACGGCGCTGGTGCAGCAGTGCCGCCAGTCCCAGTACACGGTGCAGAGGATAATTGAGACGGCCGGCGACGACGAAGCGCTGCTCTTTGAGGCCCTGAACGTGAACGACGAGATCCAGAAGGTCCTCTCCAAGCACGAGGAGCTGATGGCGCCGGCGCCGGCGCCGCCAGAGCCGGAGCCCGCCATGATCCCGGTGGCGGTGGAGCCCGAAGAGGGCCCCCGGGCCGGGAGGGAGGAGCCCCTGGTGAGGAGGCCCCCGGGGTCCCGGCCCCGGGGGCAGGAGGACGAGGACGTCCTGCAGGACCTTGACGAGATGATCTTCGGGAAGAAGGGCGGTGGCCCGTCGGCGGCGGATGGCCAGGAACCTGGGAAGAAGGACGATCTGATCAAGTTCTAGCGGGCCAGTGCCGCCACCGCCGCCGGTCGCCGGTGGGATGTGGCGAAGCTGGGACTTTGGTTGATCATTTTTCTTTCATAAAGATGTTGACTTCAAGTGGGTCTGTGACTTGATGTGCATGTATCTATTTATACTCGCGCGCATTTGTGACTGTGTATGGCCGTTATTTCCAAAGTCAACTGAGAGAGAGAGAGAGATAGAGAACGAGGGTAGCGTCAGGCAAAAAACCCGCCGCCATATCTTGATGTATACATAAAATATATATACATACAAATATCTACCGGAAGATCATGTGGCCAGCCCCCTGAAGAAGTTGAGGAACGGCGGCCGCGGGCCGCCATGGCCTTCGCGCTGCGACCCTCCAGTAGCGCCGCCGGCCGGAGTTCTCCTCCGTCGCCTCCGCCGCTCCCGTCTCGCCCATTCAACAACCCCTCCTTCATGCTGCTGGAGACGTGCTCCACGGCGGCGGAGGTGCTCCGGGCCCTGCCGCTCGCCATCAAGCACGGCCTGCACCGCGAATACGCCTACCAGACCAAGCTTCTGAGCCTCCTCTGCGGCTACGGCAGCCTCGTGGAGGCGGCGCTGGTCTTCGCCGCCATCGAGGAGAAGAACGACTAGCTCTTCCACGCCGTCCTCAAGGGCCACGCCCAGGGGAGCCCTCTGGAGAGGACCATGGCCTTCTTCGCCGAGATGAGGCTCGCCGAGGTCCGCCCCGTCGTCTACAACCTCACCTACCTCTTCAAGGCCGCAGCCGACCGCTCCAACCTCCGGCGAGGGAGGGAGATCCACGCCCAGCTGATCGCCAACGGCTTCTCCGGCAACGTCCACGCCGCCACCGCCGTCGTCAACCTGTACGCTAAGTGCCGCCGCATGGTCGACGCTCGGAAGGTGTTCGACAGAATGCTGGAGAGGGACCTGGTCGCGTGGAACGCCGTCGTCGCCGGGTATTCTCAGAACGGGGTGGCGGCGGAAGCTGTGGAAATGGTGGCCCAGTTGCAGGCGGCCGGAGAGCGGCCGGACTCCATCACTATCGTCGCCGCCCTGCCCGCCTGTGCAGACCTCGGCTCGCTGAAAGCAGGCAAGTCCATCCACGCCCACAGCATCAGAGCGGGGTTCTCCTCTCTGGTCAACGTCGCCACAGCTCTGGTGGGCATGTACTCAAGATGCGGGGCTCTGGCGACGGCGAGGTTGGTCTTCGAGAGGATGAGAGCGAAGAACGTGGTCTCCTGGAACTCCATGATCGACGGGTACGCGCAGGGGGGCGATGCCGAGGAGGCCATGAGGCTGTTTGAGCAGATGCTGGCGGAGGGGATCAAACCCACGGAGGTGACCATCATGGCGGCGGTCCACGCCTGCTCCGATCTCCAGGACCTGGAGATGGGGAAGAAGTTGCACAAGCTCGTGGCGGAGCTGGGGCTGAGCAGCAACGTCTCGGTGATGAATTCTCTGATCGCTATGTACTCCAGGTGCAGGAGGGTGGAGACGGCGGTGGAGATATTCGAGGGCCTGCGGCAGCGGGGTACGGCGACTCTGGTGTCCTGGAACGCCATGATCTCCGGCTACGCGCAGAACAGGCGCGGCGGCGCCGCCCTCGAGCTCTTCCGGATGATGGTGGCGCAGAGGAACGACGCCGTCCAACCAGATTCCTTCACCCTAGTGAGCGTCATCCAGGCCGTCGCAGAGCTCTCTGTGCTCCGCCATGCGAGGTGGATCCACGGCTGCGCCGCCAGGCGCCACCTCCTCGGGAACGTCTACGTGGCGACCGCACTCGTGGACACGTACGCCAAATGCGGAGGGGTCCCCCTGGCGAGGAAGGTCTTCGACCTGGCGGCCGAGAAGCACGTCACCACGTGGAACGCCATGATCGACGGATACGGAACCCACGGCCTTGGGCGAGACGCCCTGCAGGCGTTCGACGAAATGCGGAGCAGCAGCCCCACGCGGCCCAACGAGGTCACCTTCCTGTGCGTCCTCTCCGCCTGCAGCCACTCGGGGCTGGTGCCCGAGGGGCGGCGGGTATTCGCCGCTATGGAGGACTACGGCCTTGTGCCGGGCAAGGACCACTACAGCGCCATGGTGGACCTTCTCGGCAGGGCGGGGCGCCTCCGGGAGGCCTGGGAGTTCATCGAGGCCATGCCGGCGGTGGCAGGGATAAGCGTCTTCGGCGCGCTGCTCGGCGCATGCAAGATCCACCGCGACGTCGGCATGGCGGAGAAGGCCGCCGAGAGGCTCTTCCTACTGGAGCCCGCCGACGGTGGCTACCACGTCCTCCTATCGAATATCTACGCGGCGGCGGGGATGTGGCCGGAGGTGGCACGAGTGCGGCGGGACATGGAGAGGAAGGCCCTGCGTAAGGTCCCCGGCTGGACCTCCATCGAGTTCAAGAACGAGGTGCACACCTTCTTCTCCGGCGACACCAACCACCCGCTGAAGGAGAGGATATACGCCAAGCTGGAGGAGCTCATGGAGGAGATCAAGGCCGCCGGCTACGTCCCCGACGCGAGCTCCGTCCACGACGTAGAGGCCGACGTGCAGGAGCAGCTCCTGATCACCCACAGCGAGAAGCTGGCCATCGCCTTCGGGCTCGTCTCCTCCGCCGCCGGCGCCACCATCCAGATCCGGAAGAACCTCCGCGTCTGCGCCGACTGCCACACCGCCACCAAGTTCATCTCCCTGGTCACCGGCCGTGAGATCATCGTAAGGGACGTGCAGAGGTTCCACCACTTCAAGGATGGGCGGTGCTCCTGCGGAGACTACTGGTAGCGCCGTTGACCCCCGATCTTCTCCGGCCGACCTCGGCCTCGACCGGAGATTGATAATAAATGAAGCATTTTTTCAAGATTGACCCATTTTTTAAGATTTCAATTATTTTATCTGTCCAAATAATGTTTCCAAATAAACGTTTCTATTCCAATCATCCCGGAGAGAAGCCCAGATAGCAGGCCCCAGCCAAGACTACTGTGAAGCGTGGGGCCACCGGGAAAGGTAACAGCTCTGGGCTTCCAGCCCCATTAACAAGCAGCAAGTTTCCAAGTATGCGGGAAATATTCTGATCGTAGTAGTCGAGAGTTAAGAAGTCAACGCATGAAAAAAAAGAGAGAATAAGCCACCGCTGCCATAGCCTCATCGGACGCTAGAGCCAGGAGAGAGAAACAAAGTACCCAGATTATTTCAACATGAGGTAGACGCTGCTTACAGCTCACGCCGCCTTCTCCAGGGCCATCTTCGCCCTGTCCTGCTGCCGAAGCATCTCACCCTCTTGCTTGATATTCTGCACAAACTTTTCCTGCCAATTGCAGGGGCAAAAAGCGAAATTAAACATCACTATAGCCTCTTTGTTTCCCCGTCGTATTCATTCTATGTGATTTGATCACAAAGAAAAGAAGAAGAAGAAGAAGAAGAAGAAGAAAACAGAAACATTGGGATTGCCAAATCAATACGAGATTAACTCGAAATATATGCAGCACCAGAGTCATCATAGGATTTTCTATTTCTACCTGAGGAAGGGTGGATCAGGAGAGATCACAAGCACAACAGACTCATGATCTATATACGGCCAGCCCAGATTCTACATGATGAACTCTACATATGAGCGGCTCACATCTGATTAGCCTAATAATTATAATTCTTTGTGGGTGATATATGTCGAAATTGACGCAGAGGATAGAAGAAAATATTGAAAATAAGGTCTGAATAAATTATAGAATAAAAAAGGGGGAAGAGTAATCTAGGTGATCTTGAGACTACATGAATAGTTTCTCCACCAGTTCTTTGCGCACAAGATGTGACCCCATTAGAAACCCAAGTATAACCTTGGGAAAGAAATACTACGTGAATCTATCGAAAAATATCCATGAAATTATCATCATGAAATATTCTCTGCATCAATTTTTATGAATGGCTATTTCTTCTGTCGTGGGTTTCGTGCATAAGATTTTAATAACTTGGAGGGACAAGGTTTCTCATTCTCATCTGATTACACTGATGATTTGACCTGGCTGTCGTGTCTATCAATCAATGAGAAAAATTCAAGGTAACGGGAGAAAAATCAAAGTCAAAAGTACCAGATAGAATTGATCCTATGTTCTTCCACGCATCCAATCATCCAGGGAAATTCCTATGAAGATATTGCAGTTATCCCTGATACTTCTAAAGAAAGGCCATATCACTTCTTTTATTTAGCCATCACACAGTTTGCAGCCTTCTTGAATGAGCTCAATCCAGTGAGACTAGAGATGGTCAACGAGTATGAACCTCGGCAACAACAACAACAAGAGTCAGATTGCACGTTTCAAAAAAGATTATGTCTATGCCCACAAGTGCAGTATCTCTCTATTCTTGTTCATCTTCTTTCCTTCAAAAATCCCAGAGTCACTTCTATTATTCTGCCATTGTCGCAGGTTTCTCAGATTCTGATTCCCACAAATATACCTGATCAAGGCCATAAAAAAATTCACATGACACATGCCGAGTTTAAATGACCCGCATAACTGGTTCAAATATAAGGATGGAATAGTAACCATCTTATTTACCAATATATGATTAATTTTGTGAGGGAAGCCAATCCCTACGGGATGATCTGGTGCAAAAAGGAATACCGAGGATGATGATGCAGAAGGTTCTGACGACGATAAAACGACGTCAGAGTGGAGGAGCATAACCTAATCACAGCGGGAATTCACCGTGAACTTTCTTATCCTCCTCCTTTGCCACCATTCCGCAGAAAACTAGGGCTTCTGAAAGAATAAAAAAGTAAACCAGGGGAAATCAATCTCCCAGCCAGCCAGATGACAATTAAAATATCCAACAACGATTCCCGAAATAGATCACTCCCACTGGATCCGTACCTATGGTTTTTTCAAACGGAACAGTCCGTGAATTTGTACCGTATTTCGTTTCGCAAAATACAATTAAACACGAACAAGGAGCAGACGCAACTCAGCAATCGTCAAGAAACTCTCCCTCGGTAAGCCCTCCTCTTCAGGAACTCCCACTCAGAGGGAAAATGGAAAGCACCGGGAACAAGAACGAAGCAGGAACACCGACGAGACAGAAGAGAGAAAGAAAAGGGGAGAGAGAAGCTAACATTGGCACCGAAAACGAAGTTTTGGGTGAGGACGATGGCCCCCAGCCCGCTCAAAATCACCGCTGGCATTGTCAGCAGAGACCACTTCCGGTAGATCATCCTCCCAGCCAGACGATTCGCCGCCGCCGCCGCCGCTTCCACCAGCGCCTCTCTCTCTCTCTCTCTTCTCTCTCTCTCTCTCTCTCTCTCTCTCTCTCTCTCTCTCTCTCTGCCTGCGCCTCGGCTCGCCGCCCTTGCAGAAAGCTGGATCTGGTCTGAAGGCCCAGAAACAGGGATGCCAGCCCATGGGCTTCCCCAAAGCCCAATCGAAAACCAGACAATCTGCACCACTAAGGTGAATATAAGTCTTCTATGACCCCCCGAAAACAAGCCGTCTCGTCCGCTTGATGATTCGTTCGCTATTTGGACGGTCGTAAAAATTCGAAAACTACTTTTTATCAGATCCAACGGTGAAGGTCCAATCATTTCCCTAGGTGAAAAATCCCTGGTTGGAGTCGCTTTATCGGGAGGGGTGGCTTTGACTTCTGGTACGTCAGATGACGTGGCGAAGGAGGCATGCGATTAATTCTGAGAACGGTAGCTGATCTACCTCCGACTTGTGAAAAAAAAATCAAACGCGTTCATGCCGGCTCGGCTCGATGGACCATCGTTGTGTGAATAATGGGAGATTTACACGTATTTGTCAATTCGGGTCAACGAAGCGGGCCGGATGGAACCGCTAGCCCGGCCCTGTTCGGCCTTCCATATTGATCACGTGGGCATCGAGGGACCGTGTCATCGTTTCTCTCGATTCACGCGCGGCACGACCGAGTCCCTCTGTTGGCCATGTCATCGCGGCTCTACCTCAACGACGAGCCAACCCGCCGAGTCGCGATGACCCAGTCCTTCCCCCGCGTGTGCCAGGTTTGCCCGAGCTGACCCGTCGTGTAGAACTTGCGGAAGACGGGGGGGAAGCATGAAGATGATCGGGACCATCTATCTAAACATCGACGGCCAGAGATTCTACGGCAAGCGCTTTCTTCGGTGCGGCGCAAGGGGGGTATACCTAACACGAGTAAAGGCGCGCCGGCAACGGCGAAACCGCGTTCCACGTCGACAGAATCCGATTGCTGACGTGTCATTCCTCCCTTCGTCTTCCTCCCAAATCCACCGGCATCGCCGCCGGAGTGCCCGCCGGAGGTAAAGAAGAAAGAACGCGGTAGCCGCATAGGAGGGGACACCGCTGCCAGCGGGAGCATCGTCCCCTTCCGGCGGGGACGCCACCCCTGGCGTGCCTCTGCGACCCTCCTTCCTTGAAGAATAAGATAAAATTGCTTAGGGTTTCCATTTGACCTCGTCTGCTGCTCTCGTCAGTTCTGAAGACTCAGGGGGAATCTCCAGCGGTGGAGATTGGGTGGGGGGGAACGGCTACCAGGTCAACTCGTTCACCTATTCAATGGTTTAAAAGTCAGCTTTCCCATTTCCCCAGCTGTCTACGTCGTCCCGGCCGTGTGGGCCAGCCACCGCTGCCGCCGTAGCTGGTATAATGGTCGGAAGGGAACCCGCCCTCGTCCCTCAGTCAAAGCAAAAGCTGTTTCCTCGTCCCGGCCGTGGAAGGGAGAAGGGACCCAATTCCTTCAACCCTTTCCGATCCATCGCCCGTTCCGTTGTTCCATGCTTCGTGCGTTCTGTCTGCAAAAGCCCTTCAAGGTCAGCCCATCCTCCGTCATCTCTCTCCCTCCTCTCCCCCCCCCACCCCTCTTCCGTTCTCTGGTAGGGCTGATAACCATGGCGGCCGGATAGTGTTCTTCGAGTTTTCCATAATTAGTCTGCCGCAGGGTTTTCCCGATTTGGGGATTCCTGCAGCTATCTTCGAGATACTTTCCACTCTCGTCATCCTCCTATCGCACCGGAGCTGAGAGAGGAATTAACCTACCTTCTTGGTGCAGATCAGCGATGGCGCACAGCAACCGAACGCCGAGGCTGGCGACCTCGCTTTCCTCCCACTCCGACGACGGTAATTCCCCGGCGGCGGCGACCCGGCCTTTCGTTGCCTTCGGCCGCCGCACCTCCTCCGGCCGCTACGTCAGCTACTACCAGGAGCAGATGGACTCCGAACCAGAGAGCGGGGAATACGCCAGGTACCGGGTGGACATCCCGCCGACGCCGGACAACCAGCCGATGGCCGGCGAGGTCCCCGTTGACCCCACCATCTCCGTCCGCGTGGAGGAGCAGTACGTGTCGAACTCCATCTTCTCCGGCGGCTTCAACAGTCACACCCGCGCCCACCTGATGGAGAAGGTGATCGACTCCGAGACGAGCCATCCGCAGATGGCCGGAGCCAGGGGGTCCGTCTGTGCCACCGTCGGCTGCGACGGCAAGGTCATGAGGGACGAGCGCGGCGTCGACATCGTCCCCTGCGAGTGCGGCCACAAGATATGCGCCGAATGCTACGACGACGCCGCTCGACAGGACGACGGCGGGATATGCCCTGGCTGCAAGGAGCCCTACCGGAGCACCGACGCCGGCGAGATGGAGAGCGGTGGCGGTGGCGGGCAGACGCTGCCGCTCCCTCCACCGCCGGGGAGGGCGTCGAAGATGGCCCCCCGGCTGTCCATGGTGAGGTCGACAAACCTTACCAGGAGCCAGACGGGGGACTTCGACCACAATCGCTGGCTGTTCGAGACCAAGGGAACCTACGGCTATGGTAACGCCTTCTGGCCGACGGAGAACGGCGGCGGTGGCGATGGCGGCGATGGCGGCGACGGCGCCCATCACTCTGAACTTATGAAAAAACCATGGCGACCTCTGACCCGCAAGCTGAAGATCTCCGCAGCCATCCTCAGCCCTTACCGGTAAACCCAATGCACGCCGATATTCCTCCTCATTTCTTCCCTCTATTCCCTGCCGCCAATCATCTCTCTAGTTGACTCTCTCTCTCTCTCTCTCTCTCTCTCTCTCTCTTCTCTCTCTGGCGGCGTGCAGGCTTCTGATATTCGCACGGATGGTCGTCCTGGGGCTGTTCCTGGCATGGCGGATCAAGCACGTCAACGAGGACGCAGTCTGGCTGTGGGGGATGTCGGTGGTCTGCGAGATCTGGTTCGCCTTTTCGTGGCTGCTCGACCAGCTCCCCAAGCTCTGCCCGGTGAATCGCGCTGCCGACCTCACTGTGCTCAAGGATAAGTTCGAGAAATCCTCCTCCGGAAGATCCGACCTCCCCGGGTTAGACATCTTCGTCTCCACGGCCGACCCAGAGAAGGAGCCCCCCCTGGTCACCGCCAACACCATCCTCTCCATACTCGCCGCCGACTATCCCGTGGAGAAGCTCTCCTGCTACGTCTCCGATGACGGCGGCGCTCTCCTGACCTTCGAGGCGATGGCGGAGGCGGCGAGCTTCGCCAACATCTGGGTCCCCTTCTGCCGTAAGCACACCATCGAGCCCAGGAACCCGGAGAGCTACTTCAACCTGAAGAGGGACCCCTACAAGAACAAGGTCCGGCCGGACTTCGTCAGGGACCGGCGGAGGGTGAAGAGGGAATACGACGAGTTCAAGGTGAGGATAAACGGCCTCCCCGACGCGATCCGCCGTCGATCGGACGCCTTCAACGCCCGTGAGGAGATGAAGGCCATGAAGCGGCAGAGGGAGCTCGCCGACGGCGAGCCCGTCGAAAGCGTGAAGCTTCCAAAGGCCATCTGGATGGCCGACGGCACGCACTGGCCCGGCACCTGGACGAGCCCCTCCACCGATCATTCCAGAGGAGACCACGCCGGCATCATCCAAGTCATGCTGAAGCCGCCCAGCGACGACCCCCTCCCCGGCGGCGCCGGCGCCGGCGCCGGCGAGGAGGAGGGGAGCCCGTTCGACCTGACGGAGGTGGACATCCGGCTGCCGATGCTGGTCTACATCTCCCGCGAGAAGCGCACCGGGTACGACCACAACAAGAAGGCCGGCGCCATGAACGCCCTGGTCCGAGCTTCCGCCGTCATGTCCAACGGGCCATTCATCCTCAACCTCGACTGCGACCACTACGTCTACAACTCCAAGGCCCTCCGTGAGGGGATGTGCTACATGATGGACCGTGGCGGGGAGCGCCTCTGCTACGTCCAGTTCCCGCAGAGGTTCGAAGGGATCGACCCCTCCGACCGCTACGCCAACCACAACACCGTCTTCTTCGACGTCAACATGCGCGCCCTCGACGGCCTCCAAGGCCCTGTCTACGTCGGCACCGGCTGCCTCTTCCGCCGTGTTGCCCTCTACGGCTTCGACCCGCCCCGCGCCGCCAAGCACTCCGCCGGCTTCTGCGACTGCTGCTTCCCCCGCCCGCGCAGGCCCGCCGTCGCCGCCGAGGAGACCCAGGCCCTCCGCCGCGTGGAAGAAGACGACTGGGACCTCTCCTCTTTCCCCAAGAGGTTCGGCAACTCTAGCGTGCTCATCGACTCCATCCCCATCGCCGCCTACCAGGGCCGCCCGCTCGCCGACCACCCCTCGGTGAAGCACGGCCGCGAGCCGGGGGCGCTGCTGGTGCCCCGCGGCCGGCTCGACTCCGCCGTGGTGGCAGAGGCCATCAGCGTCATCTCCTGCTGGTACGAGGAGAAGACAGAGTGGGGGCAGCGCGTGGGCTGGATTTACGGCTCCGTCACAGAGGACGTGGTCACCGGCTACCGCATGCACAACCGCGGGTGGAAGTCCGTGTACTGCGTGACCAAGCCTGACGCCTTCCGGGGGACGGCGCCGATCAACCTCACCGACAGGCTGCACCAGGTGCTCCGGTGGGCGACGGGATCGGTGGAGATCTTTTTCTCGAGGAACAACGCGCTCTTCGCCTCCGGGAGGATGAAGCTGCTCCAGAGGATGGCGTACCTCAACGTGGGGATCTACCCCTTCACCTCCATCTTCCTCATCGTCTACTGCTTCCTCCCGGCGCTGTCCCTCTTCTCCGGGCAGTTCATCGTGCAGAGTCTCAACGTCACCTTCCTGGTGTACCTGCTGGCCATCACCCTGTCGCTCTGCCTGCTGGCGGTGCTGGAGATCCGCTGGTCGGGGATCGACCTCGAGGAGTGGTGGCGCAACGAGCAGTTCTGGCTTATCGGTGGCACCAGCGCCCACCTCGCCGCCGTCCTGCAGGGGCTGCTCAAGGTCATCGCCGGCGTGGAGATATCCTTCACCCTCACCTCCAAGTCCGGCGGCGACGACGCCGACGACGAGTTCGCCGACCTCTACGCCGTCAAGTGGACCTCCCTCATGATCCCCCCACTGACCATCATCATGGTCAACCTCATCGCCATCGCCGTGGGCCTCAGCCGGACCATCTACAGCGTGCTGCCGCAGTGGAGCCGCCTCATCGGCGGCGTCTTCTTCAGCCTCTGGGTCCTCCTCCACCTCTACCCCTTCGCCAAGGGCCTGATGGGCCGCCGGGGGAGGACCCCCACCATCGTCTTCGTCTGGTCAGGGCTCATCGCCATTACCATCTCCCTCCTCTGGGTCGCTATCAGCCCTCCGTCAAGCAACTCGCAGATCGGCGGCTCCTTCACCTTCCCCTGATCTGATCCGCCCAATCAAACAGAGCCTCTGTTCTCTATTTTTTCTGTTTTTTTCTCAGCCCGAGACATTACGAATTCATCCTCCTCTCGCCGCTTGGGCTGAACAGAGATCATCAATCTGATCAGCCACTGTAAATTTCACGGGCCACATCAGTTGATTCTTTTTCTTCCACAAGTCAACGCTCCGTGGACTTCCTTCGAAAACAGCTTCATCTCATGGCACGAACAAGAGCACTGAATCAAGGGCACCTTATCGACAACAGCCGTTGACTGGGCAAGAGAGTAGGCAAGAACGCCACATCGTTAGACAGGGTCAAGCACCACCCAGCCACTGAGATCGAGTCTGAAATGGTGAAACTACGGATAAAACCCAAGTCAACGGATTAAAGACCATCTGATCGTAACATACAAGAAAGGAACCCCCTTTGACTGGGGCTGGGGCGGGAGATATTAGGAACACTCGCACCATCACAATCAACCAGACCATACATTGATGTGGGTCAACCCTCATCCATCATCTCAATTAAGTCTGAAATTCCGAAAAGAACCTAGATAAAACCGCGGATACAAGAATCGACGGGGCAGGAGTCATTAAGAACACTTGGACCAACATATTCCACCAGACCATGATATGTGATTAGGGTCAACCATTACCCGGTCATCTTGACTGAATCCGAAGCGGTGAAAACACCTAAGAAAGAACACCGAGTAACGAAATCGAAAACTATCTTGAATCGACTTACATGGAGGGAAAAAGAAAAGAAAGGGAATACGGACCCGTCTGGAGGAGGGCTCTGGCCTAGACGATCCTCTCCAGTTCTCTGGCATAGCTCAGGGTCTGGTTGATAAGCTGCAGGGAAGGTATCTCCTTGCTGGGGGCCGACTCCCTCGCCTTCTGGAAGAACACACAGCCGCTTCTGATCTCCCACTCGGGGCGCTCCTGTATCATGCAAGAGATTTGGGCCTAGTGAGAATCGGAACTGGTGGAAGATACCCCTGGTAGACTGGTTTCTAGTGGGTTAGATTAAAATTTATGAAATTAATATATATATATAATACTAATGGAATATTTCAGTAAAATCCTCAAATCTTAGTAACGAGCCACGTGATTAACACTCTGGTCAATGGCACCAGACGGGATACGAGCCTAACCCGTGTGATTAACGGACACATTTCTCTCAATACAATACAGTTGATAGGAAGATTTACCTCCGAGATGTAGGTCGCAAGATCTTGATCCAAGGAGAACATCAGAATCTTCTTTGCATCAGCAATGGACAGATGATCATAAGCCTTCTCGCTACAACCAGCTATTTCATCCCTGAAAGAGAGAGAGAGAGAGAGAGAGAGAGAGAGAGAGAGGCCACATTCTCTGAAATATTAAAAGAAAAACCATAGGCATACAAATGGGCGATCATAATCTATGCATAAAATTAAAAATAATAATAATAATTAATAATACCTGACGGTCTTTGCAAGAAGATCCATAAAATAGACGTAGCTCTCATGTGGAACAGCCTGCCTGGCGCTCAAGACCCTATTGTAGGCACCCTCCATGAACGACTGTTCCAGCTCCACGGCGTACTTAATGCAAGGGTTCTCCAATGCACTTGTCGGAAGCAGCTCAAGCTCTGTGTGGAATTCTGCGATTCTATTCTGGACCAGGAGCCTCAGAAGATTAAGCCCCAAGATCGGGTACTCCTGAGGAGATGGGGGGATGATCCCGCTGAATAAACCAAGCCACGAACGCAGTTAGTGCTGAAGATTAACGCTTAATTATGCTAGAAAATGCATGAAGTAACTTTGATAAGAAGGCACTGAACAGAAGAAACCTGATAGGCACCCCAATGCACATTAAGAACAGAAAGCAACAATTCAAGGAGGACCCCTCTCTAAACTTGTCTAGGAAAAATCGTTAATGACCACATATAAAGTTCTTCCTTGTTAAATTCTTGGCACTGTCAGATGATTTGCCATTTATTGTGGTATATAGATCATTTCCAATTTCCATTCTTATCAAGCTCGGTTAGACATCCTATTCTTGACAAGGCAAACTAGACGCAATTCCACTGAAAAGTTACGATTCCAGCTGCTGGGTTCCCTTTCTCTCGTTCTTCAGTGCGCTAGACCGCAAGTTTTCTGATGCTTGAATACCACATCCTAGATGATCCAGATCCCAGCTCTAAACCGCATGTTTTTCCTCTTAATGGTGCCCGTTTCACTCTACATGGCCCAGTCCTCCCACACAACCACCCAAAGAAAGAAAGAAAGAAAGGCGTTCAGCTTGATAAAGTAGCCCCAACTCTCCTCCTCCCGATCAGAAACATATTCTTCACAAAGAATCAAGATCCAGAGCTCTTGAATACCACATAAATGGTTTGATATAAAGCCCTTACATTTGTCAAGATTAATCCACGTATTAAATAAGAGCACAAAGAAAAAGGACCTTGGCTTGATGAAGAACAAGTCAACCCATGATACAAATAGGAGATTAGAGAAATCATCAAGGAAAGAGTGTGCATGGGACCCATACAACCGATTCATGTTAATAAAGCTTGCATGATATCCACATTATGGACAGTTCTTTGTATGGAAATCAAATTGCATGACGCATCATAGCCAAGGTAGAACCCAACAAAAGTAGCCAAAGAAGCTAAGCTTTCAGATGGGAAAAGCATAATTACCTAGTATCTGTATAGTAAGGCTTCAACTGGAAGAAATCCCTCTCAAAGGCATCTTGATCTTCAGTCTTCACACTTAGAACGACAGCATGCTCGTATATATCTCCTGAAAATTTGTCACAAACAAGAGTTCATTAAAAACTGGAAAGCTAGAAAAGCATGAAACATGCAACACGAAATTTCATCAAGAATAACCAATGACTGTAAATTGCTCATAAAAACAGAGGATGAAAGTTCTTTCCCTCCAGAAGAAGGATCGGAAAAAGAGTAGACATTCAGGGCTTCAGAAAATGTAATATCGACAGCTACAAAAGTGGATAACCAGAAATCTTTATAAAACAGCAAGTATAGAAGCTACATTAAACATAAGTAAAGATGACTCCAGAAAAATGGAGATATAATTACAAAAGACAGTCATGTAAATCATCTGAAAAGAATTTCAAAGAAAGGCAAAGGGTTTGCAAGAATTATATAGTTCAGACGAAGCCCCTTCACTCGGTGATAAAGACTCTGACTGGGGAATTGCAACAAAAAGGTGAAAAAAAAATTAAGGTCTTGTGTGTTTCCTGAGGCTGAAAACGGAAAGAGGATTGTGGGTCAATGTACATTAGCATCCCATGGAGACTGATATTCTCCCACCCACTTGTGGCATTAGGATGATTGGAGTCGAACCAAACTGGGATTAACTTCAAGTGAACCAGATTAGGACCAGATCCATTCAAACCAAGGCTGCCAGAGGCTTATTGATCTGTAGTGAGAAGATTACCCCCTCCTTTAGTTTTCAATCAACGAGTATCTGCGCCAAAGGTAAAAGGTAGGAGCCTGGAAGAACATTACTCCCTAATTTGTAGAGAATGCCTTACTTGCAATTGTCAGCTCCTGAATAGCATTAGGTGACTCCTGAAACGATGGTGGAAGGCTTGGAAACTTTGTCAACAGTACCTTCAAACATAACAAAAGGTTAGATAAAGTCGCCCAACCATTTTCACAACCTTTCAGAAAAAAATGCGAAGAAAAGGATATGGAAAATAATATAATAGTAAATAAACAGACATGAAAACACCATGTGACACAATAAGAGCAGAAACCATACTGAAGTATTAGCCAATAGGCTGATAAGACTTCGTTTTGAAAAAAATATGGAGCCAAGGCTACCTTCTCCTCCCCTTTTCTAGGAGGAGGAGGGGTACCAGCAGCTCCTTAACAACTATATGCTTTGTTTATGTCATTAAAAACTAAAATTTACCAGTATCTAAATATTGTCAGCGTTGACTGCCAATAGAGAGAACTGTAAATTTACAAACCAGTAGACTTTAAGTCTCTAATGGCTCATCATACCTTGGGCCTTCTTCACTAGACAAACATTAACCTGAAAACTTGAAAATTTTTAGATAGGAAAGTTCTAAGGAGTGTGGAAAAATAGAAGTTGACACTATATCAATTAGTGCTAAATGAATTTCATTCGAAGCAGCCATTACTATGTTGGATAATCACTTTCAGAATTTTTCAAAGTCTTACACCTCAAGTTAGAGAGAGTTTTGGATGTTAGGGGGCCACATTATTCAATGTTAGATTCTTAGTTGACCATTTTTACTCTCTTCTTGCATAGTCAACAGATAAGTGTTAGAAATTTTGCTTCAAAATGATATATATGATGATGTTGACATAATTTTGTCCCAATTTATCAAAACGAACTGATAAGCTCGTAAAATAGGAAAAATGATTGGGCCATGGGAGTCAGGTGACAAAGGTCCATATTTGGGAAATATCATTCATCAGACCTTGGTATCATTCACCATATTTGCTTCAATGATATGATACATGATATTTACCAAATATAGACCTTTGTCATCCCACCCCCACAGCCCAATCATTTTTCATATTTTACGAGTTTATCAGTTCCTTTCAATGAATTGAGACAAAACTATGTCAACATCATCACATATATCATTTTGAAGTAAATTTTCTAACACTTATCTGTTGACTATGTGACTAAACCGAACAAGAAGAGAATAAAAACGATCAACTAGGAATCTAACATTGAATAATGTGGCCCCCTAACACCCAAAACTCTCTCCAAATTGAGGTGCAAGACTTTGAAAAATTCTGAAAGTGGTTATTCAACATAGTAATGACTGCTTCGAATAAAATTCATCTAGCACCAATTGGTATAGTGTCAACTTCTATTTTGCCACACTCCTTACAACTTTTCTATCTAAAAAATTCCAAGTTTTCAAGTTAACGTTTGTCTAGTGAAGAAGGCATCGTATGGAACATCCATATGATGTACTAGGGAAAATTGAGCATTCTAGTTAAAAAGTTCAAGAAAATCCACCGTTCAAAACTTTACACATGACTATCTTCTGCGCCTTAATATTTCAACATCAGCAATGTGTTGTGGTTCTTTAATTTGTCCTCAATTACCACAAGGCATGCAGTCCCCTCTTTCTTTGGAGGAAAAAAACTAGTTGAATGTCAGCTGTTGAAGCATTCCAACTACATTAGCACGCTGAACAAGGGTTTGAGTCCAAGTCACAGAGTATTTGACCAATCTGTTTTAAAAGACAACTATCCTTGCTTCAACAGTGGTAAGGCAACGTTTATAGCAGATCAATTTACTGGGAACGAAAAATAATATCGGCATTATGGCTTATCTCCATCAAGTCGTCCAAAAAGGTGTGTCACAGCTCTTTCATTCTCGTTTGATGATTCTTTTCAATGATGGCACTGAGCTATTTGAGAAATGTTTTTTCCTCGACTCTTCTTCCTCTTGATAGAAATTCGAGCTTAATGTCTCCCGATTAAAAACAGAATCATGCCGTAGGGTGTGATCTTTTAGATGAAACAGGAACAAAACATCATTGTGAAATGTGTCCTTGTACCCGGTACACTACCTGATAACCACTCTCCAGATCAGGCAATATGAGAACATGAAAAAAATTCGACCAACTTAACCCATTCTTCCACTGCAGAAATGCACCTCATTTAGCCAAAGAATGGCAACCTTACCCACAAGGGAGAGTATTTCCGCCTATAAATCGAAGACTTAGCAGTAGTTACGTGGACCTAACCGAATTTCCTGGATAATCCAAACAGATTTCACCGCCAAAAGAAGCAAACACTAAGCGCGAGAACAAATTCACGCGGAGACCCTTTCTCATCAAAAAAATGACCAAAACACATCGTCACATAAAATCATCGCTGACGCAAACATCCTTCTAAGACCCAGCGTCACGACTAGTTTGTATTCTCCAGATTTACCCATCAAATTGGGTTTACGTGCATCACGCTGGTCTTCCCTCGCCCCGGAATAAAAGAAAAAAAAATAGTAATAAATATTAAGAAATACCTTCAGCTGGGAGAGCAACTTGTCGCAGGATGAGAAATCGCTCCTCACGAAGGCGGCCTTGAACCGTCCAAACAGCTGTGTCACCTCCGTCAGCCGTGGATCCATCGCCGAAACCCTGACCTCCAACGCCTCCACAACCCCCACCACCCCCACTCTCTTTTTCTCCCCCTCTCTCAGCCGCGGGCCTCGCGCCGCCTCCTTCTCCGCCCCTCCGCCGCAGGGCGATCGCGACGTTCTCCTTCTTGCTTCTCAAGTAAATGGATCTAACTCCGGGCCACGTCTCGATAGAGAGGGAGGGTTGGCCTTGATGCACATATCGGGTCGGGTTGAACCAAGAGGAAGACAGATTTGGACGAATATTCAAAATTATAATTATATAAAATAAAATATATGGTTATGTGGATGGGCCCATTTTGGGACGATATTTGATCGCCTACATGGACGGGCCCACCACCCGATATTGCAATATTGTACGAATAAAAAAGTAAAAATTCCCAACTATCCGAAGCTTTTTTCTTCTTTAGCTGTCGGCAAGGGAGGGTTGGGGTAATAAAAAACATAAGAAATTAACCCTCTTTTTAGAATATATAGTCAGTAAATATTTCATTTCCAAATAATGTTTAAGCTTTGTCCATGGATGAAAAAATGGGGTTTTTTATGTAATTAAAAGAAAATAAATAAATCTGTATAAATCTTTGAAACTTTTTCCCTTCTAGTTTTCACCAATGGACTGGTGAGAGAAAAAATAAATTGCTAGATATTATTGAGTTATGGACTAAATTAATGATGATTTGATGATTTATGAAGAACTTGTGATTAGAAGTCAATTTATTCAAATTAGTATAATAAATATTTTTTTCCTTGAAATTCAGTTAATGAGATTAATATTTTCATGGGAAGCCTTGGCTTGCAGAAATTAAATTACAAGTGTAACAAGTTGGATTAAATGAAAATTCAAGGTTTCAAATAAAATAAGGAAAAAATAGTTTTTCAATGCTACTTGAGTTTTTACAAGATAAAATAATTTTATAATTATTAGTTTCCAAGCTTGACATGTGAAGGTTGAGGTAGCCCACTTAAGCACATCCCACTAGTGTGCACAAGTGGTCAATTTGATAAGGTAAATTCAGTTGGGCACATACTGAAAACAAGTTATAAATGGTAAAAATGACCTATTATGACCTAAAATCAAACATGTCTAGTTTCTAAGTGATCACTGAGCATTGCAACCCAATATAAAAAGGTTACTTCATCTAAATTATGACAATATATTAAATTGAATATTTTTCAGCTAATAGTGGATGCTTCTTAAGGCACCTTTACTCTCTATTACCTCTTCTAAAAGTCTTGAAGACTCACAAGCCAGGTTAAGAACGAATGAAAAGGGGCATGAACATGAAAAGAAATCTATGTACTCCCCCCATTAGTTTGATTATTTTCAAATCATTCAATAACTCATGTGAATCAAATGATAATTGAAGGACATAATAACCATGTTTTAAATGATAGGTGGTGATCTATGAACTTGTTGAGGCATTTGTCATGTGCTAGCAATGTAGTCACTAGATTGTTCAGTCACTTGTAGTGTGTCTACAATGATGAGAGATATAATATTGTTTATTTATCTAATGTATCACAAACTCACTGAGTTTGGTGATGTAAGGGTTTCTTGATCACAAGAAAATACGATGTATTATAGTACTAGAATAATAAAATTAAGGTGAATTCCTTGAAAATGAACATGGGCTAAAAAGGTTTGACCAAACAATTCTAAAATCATGTGCTCACAAATTTGGCTTAAGTTATTTCATATTTATATATTAATTAAAAAATATAGTTCAAATATATACTATAATTATATATATATATACATATAATGAAAATAATAATCAATCACTCTCCCATCCTGATTTGTATTAACTAAAAAAATCACAATTTATATCAGATCTTAACTTAGTTGAGATTGTACAAAATCTAAAGAAGTAGATCACATGACTAGAAAATTAATGAATCTAGCCCTCAAGGGGCAATTCCTTATTAGACCTCCACTTTTAACATCATCAAATTACGCTTAATAGAAAGAATAAAATGAGAATATTTATATGACCTATTGATGTAGATGTATGGAATGTAATAAAAAAAGGGCTTATATAAGGAGGGAGATGGTATAAATTTTAGGCTTTTAATGATAAAAATTACGGATATATTATAATGTGATGCCTATGTGAATGAATTTTAAATAATTCAACAATATGAAACTACTAAATAAATTTGAGACAAACTAGAAGTGATCTATAAAGTTACAATGGAAGTCAAAGATACCAAAATTGATATTATATGTAGTTAATTAAAACTTTTAAAATGATAGAAAATGAATTTATTGAAGATTTATTCAATAGATTTACTAAGATAATAAATATACTAATAATGTAATGGAGAGTATTTACAAACTTTGAGTTTAATGATACAATTTTTACATTCCTCACAACAGAATAGAAACCAAAAAAAACTTGTTAAAGAAATTGGGGACTTAAGACATTTGACATTAGATAAATTGATGGGTTATTTATTTACTCATAAACTAAGAATATGTAAAAAAAAAGAATAAGTGGAACAAGTAAAGAAGAGTATTAATTGTAAAGTAAAAAATAATTTTGAGTGAATTAAGTTTTGATGAAGAAAACCCTATAGTTCTTCCCTCTAAATAAGTTCAAAAGATATTGAATACAAAGAGAGAAAATTTTAAAAACTCATCTAAATCTCCATTAGTTCTAACAAAGCTAAGAAATTTTGTTATGAATGCAATAGACTAGGTCATTTTAAAGGTAATCTTACAAAATTGAAAAAAGAGGAAAATAAAATATCAAAGGACATTACAATAATATAGAGTGGGGAGAAAGTTAACTCGAATGAAGAAGACGCAAACTTGTGTATTACAACCAAAATAGATTCATCTATTGAATCTTATTATATAACAATGAGATTTCGTTTGCTTTTGATAAGTTAATTAATGTATTTAAGTCCTTCAAAATATAATACAAAAAAAACTTAAAATAATATAAAAATAAAACCAAAATTTTCAAGATAGAAAATAAAGAATTAACGATGTGAGGATCACCAAAACAAATATTTGAAGCTATGTGGAAGTGAGAAAAATATGAACATGTCATTGAGGAGTCATCAACTATGATTAGAAGAGAAGGATTATAATATACTCTTAGGAATAAAAAGTAACATGAGACAAAATATTTTTAAATAATATATATAGGTTCTCACCTAGAGGTGAACGCACATTCACAAGAAAAAAACATCAAATAAAATATTTAGATATGCTCCTATGAGTAAACATATCATGTTAATAGAAGATAATTAAATTAAAACTTTTAAATATATTTGAATTCCTAAATGTAAAAGTAATACTTATAAACTCAAAAAATATTAAGCTTCTAAACTTAAGACTTGATCCTTTCAAGAAACTCTCCAGCCACATTTGAATTCCTAAATTTAAATGTGCATGAACTCAATTTCTAGTCTCTAAAGATGAAATATTATCACATTTCATAAAATTTAACTTGAGGATTCTAAATAAATTTATATTTATTATTTAAAGTTATATTAAATGACCATAAAGTTGAATTTGACAACTCCAATTTGTTAAAATGTGTGATGAAAAATGAATCACACATTTTTTCTTATCTTAGAACCCCACAACAAAATGGAGTTGCAGAAGGAAAAAATAAATCCTATTAGACATATCAAAAACACTTTAGGTAAGAGTAAATTATATAAACACTTTAGAATTGAAGCCATAAATACAAAGAGTTATATTATGAATAGGGTATTGATTAGATGTAAGTTCACAAAGAAAACCTATGAATTATAGAAAAGAATAAAGTCAAATATATCACGCTTCAAACCTTTTGGGTGCAAAATATTTATGTTAAACAATGTCAATGAGAATTTAGATAATTTTGATTCTAGAAGTGATGATAATATTTTTGTATGGTACTTAGAAAAATTTAAAGGATATAAAATCAACAACAAAAGGACTTTGACTGTATAAGAATTCATTTATATGGAATTCATAGAAAAATCAAAAACTTTTGTTTCTTAAGAGAAAGAAGACATTATTGAAAAATCAAAAAATGATCAAGATAAAGAAATTTATACAAAAGTAGATCATGGAGATGAAAACTTTTCAAAACCTCTTAAGGTAATGTCAAGTCATCCAAACAAAAACATCATAGGAAATCTAGTGGATAAAATGAGAATGCATTCATTTTTTAGAATTTAAAACTAATTTATTTTATTTACTTCAGAAATATAGCCCAAAATTTTTGATCAAATGTTGATAGATGAAAATTAGATTAATATAATGCATGAAGAATTAGAACAGTTCAAAACAAATAAAGCATGAGGGTTGATGCTTAAACTCAATGATACAATTGTGATTGATACAAAATAGGTTTATAGAAATAAATTAAATGAAGAAAGCATAATAGTTAGAAATAAAACAAGACTAGTTGATTATTAAGAAACATATGCTCCAATAATTAGGCTAGACCTCATGATGAACCAAATGACAAATGAAGGTAGTAACCTCATTATAAATTAATTTCTTGTTATCAATGTGACTAGTGTTAATCTATGGAATCGTTGAGACACATATGGTGTGCCAACAAGACAATCACCTAGAATGCTATAATACTTGTAGTGTGCTTATAACAGAGGAGATGTATGAATACATGTTTCTAAGATTCTATGAGGTATCACAATCTCTTGTTCAGAAATAGTTGAATCAAAATAGACTCTTTAGAAGTGGACATAGGTGAAAATAAATTTGGGCAAACCACTCTGAAAATCATGTGTTCACAAATTGTGTATGAGTTATTTCATATTTATATATTAATTTAAAATTATTTAAATATATATAATATTTTTAAAAAATAGTATACTTAATTATATAAAAAAAATAAGAATCAATTCAACCCCCTCATGACTCATCCAACTAGCAAAGGATCAATGATACATTCCATGAATAATGAAAATCATTAGAAATCAACCCCCATCTTCTATCTAGTTTTCTTCGTACATGTCCACCTTTATGTTTTAGAATATATATTTAATGAATATTTAATTCCCAACTGATGATTGATTTTTTTAGAATGGATGAAAAAAATATTTTGTATTCGATTAGAATTATTCCGAAATTTCCATTAATTGATTTTGTTTCAAATCCCATCATTTCAAGCCTTGGCAAATGAGAGGGAAAGAGTGTTGGCATTTGATTTACTGTTGCCACATTTCTGAATTATTTTAACAGAAAAGTATAAATTTTATCAGCAAAAATCTCATCATAATATGTGCATTTCCATACTCGGTTGCACATGAGAAGTATGTTAGAGCGAATGTGGGTCCCACTTACAGCCCATTTTTTAGACGCTTGTCGAAAACTGGGCGGGGCTTGAAAAGCATCGGATCCACCCGGTCGGATGCCCCCTCCAAACCGAGAGGATGAATGGGCCGAGGGAATCCATAAGTTATGCTGAGGTGACCCACATTTCTGTTTTTGGATCTTATAGTCATCAAGCCCACGAACAAAAATAGCCGCGACCCAGCACCCACCAGGCCCATAAAAGCTCGGCCAAAAGGCCCTCCCTCTCCCCAAAGTGGAAATCTTCCACTGCCGGAACCTGAGGAGCTGCCGTTGAAAATTCAAGTCGGGGACGGGAATATCACCTGATGGGGACCCCGGAGCTACAATCCAAGAATCCCTCCAGCCGGCATGTTTGCGTCGATTTCCCGCATTCCTCACGGCAATGGATGGTGATATTCCCACCCCTACCGTCTCCATCCTCCTCTCTCTCTCTCTCTCTCTCTCTCTCTCTCTCTCTCTCCCTCTCTCCTCCCCCTCTTCATTGTGCCAAGAACACCCTTTGAACAAGCTGGCGACAGCTCGGCCTCGACCCACCTGAATCACCCATTCCACGGGAGTGTGAACGGGCTCTCTCTCTCTCTCTCTCTCTCTCTCTCTCCCTCGCGCTCTCTCTCTCTCTCTCTCTCTCTCTGGGTGATACTGGTTTCTAGAACAATGAGAGGGCGATAGAGAGGGAGGGGAGTGTTGGACGCTTTCATTATGATTAGAATCCACAGTGAAGAGAGGTGTGATCTTCGGGTGATCTTACAACGTGGGCACAGAAAGAATGGCGAAAAAGAATGAAACAATCTACATATTTTCATTAATTTTATGTGAGTTATCGACGATCGATGGAGTCGCGGAGGTGAGAACCCACCATACCTCCTCACTCCCACGCGCCGGCGACGGCAGGAATCCGGCTCCGACGCTTGGTGCGACGGTGGCGGCGACGGCCGGCGCCGCCGAACTTGAGGTGACCACTCTCCTTGAACCTCTCCTGCTCGGAGGAGACGATGTCGCAGTCGGGGAAGGTGGCGGGGTACCTCAGGGAGTCGTAGCAGAAGGAGTAGGTCATGAACTTCTCCCGGAAGTTCTTCATGGCGGCGCGGCGCTCCGGCGTGACGGCGGCGAAGTCGCCGGCCAGCAGCTGGGCCTCCTCCTCGGCGCATCTCCCGGCGGCGGGGACCTGCTCGATGGGGTCGACCCGGCAGCCCTGCAACGCCAGCTCGGAGAACTCCGACACAAAGGGGGCGTACTTGTAGTTCACCTTGTACCGTCCGCCGGCGGTTGCCCAGTTGGAGCCGTCCCAGATGGTGGCGTAGAGGGACATGGGCTTCGAGGGGTAGTCCCCTCCCATGGCGGCGCTCCGGCGGACCTCCCGGATAGGCATATCGTCGATGTAAAAGCTGCCACCAAAATTCGCGGAATAAAGACCGGCCGTCTGCAACAGAAAACGTACGGGAAAAATAGGGTTCAGGTCGTCTTCTCCGGCGGGCTCACATGATGGTCTCCTCGGTCCAGAGGATGGAGTATCGGTGGGCCTCGGCGGTGGGGTCGAAGGGCAGGAGGTAGCGCTCCTCCCGGCCGCGGCTGGTGGAGCCGTTGCCGTAGACGTTGGTCTGCACCTTCCACTCTCGGCCTCGGACATTGCCGAGGAACTCGAAGTCCAGCTCGTCGTGGTTCTTCTCGAAGATATCCCCGTTAGATGTCTGCGACGGCACACCACCATCGTCCCCGGTTAACTCTCGTTGCAGATATTAATGGCAATCTAGGAAAGAAATAAATCACTCCACTCCACCGCAACCATCAAAGAGAAATTAACTCATCAGGTGATCAAGCACTCATTTAATCGGCCGGCAGTTAGGTATTTAATTTCCAAGGAAACAGCCGCAGTGGGAGAATTGGAGTCGGACCTGAGATCGGAAGAACAAAGTAAACAAGAGGGATGAGTGGGATGGTGTTCTGCGGATCGTTTAGGGTTTCCAGAGATATATCTAAACAAATGAGATGAGGATGAAGATGGGGGTTCCTGGCTGGGGAGACCAGTTTCGACGTTCGTTGGCTACGAGGAAACCCCGGGATGCGTGCTACTCCAGATAAACAGAAAGCTGCTAACGCTAAGGAGAATCAACCAATGGAGATACGACGGGGGATGGTCCAGACTGTTGCAGGGGAAGGCACCTTCGGCATCGGAATTTATCTCCACGGAAGAGAGTGGAGGAGATGATCTATCTATCAGAAGTATGGTTAACGACGACGATGATGATGACGATGATACTGATACTCACGTAGAAGGCCACGACGACGCCCGCGGTGTAGTCGGAGGGGAGCTTGATCTTGGCGCTGAAGAATCCATGGTTGTAGAGATCAGAGGAGATGAAGCCGGATCCTGCAGCCGAGTCACGAGAAGCGTCAGTACCCAATTCGAGGACGTAGAATGGAGGCCGAGAGAGCAATCCAGGGGAAGAGGAAGAGGAAGGAGAAGGAAGGAGGAGGACAGTCCCTCACCAGTATACTGATCGAGGAGTAGCCGGACGCTGCGGCTGTCGCCGGAGGGGAGGACGTTTCTCTCCCCGAAGAGCGGCGTGTAGCCATCCTCGAACCGCCGCGTTGTCACGTTCCGGAACGCCGCCACCGCCTGCGCCGCCCAGCACAGCGCCACCACCGCCGCCCCCAGGAGCCTCGCCCCCATCATCCTCCTCCCTCCCTTCCCCGCCACAATCCTCGCCACAAACCCACCCCCCCTCCCTCTCGCATATATATGCTCTCTCTCTCTCTCTCTCTCTCTCTCTCTCTCTATTTTGGGTGGTGAGAAGAGGAGGAATAGGGGACAAATACGGAACGAAGGATGAGGAGAACAGGCGGGGAGACGACCGGCCGTTGCCGGTTGAGAAGCCGGTCCGTCGCCGTTAGACAACTCCTCTCTGGAGCATATTAACCGGCTCGTATGGAAAACGTATCATCTTTGACTAGTCTAAGATTATTGCTGACAGCGGATATTACCGTGAGAACGCTAACAGCGGAAACCGTTAGCCCGTAGCGCGACTTAAAACGAATTACGATCACGGTGATTATCGGTCCTCTGATATCGATAATCGAACGGTCAAAATGTCATCTTCTCGGCGCTTCGAGAATCCTTCAAAACCGCCCATCGGAGGAGAGACAGAGAGAGAGAGAGAGAGAGAGAGAGAGAGAGAGAGAGAGAGAGAGGGGAAAATTTACAGAAGAAGAGGAAGACGATTTACAGGTGGAGATGCATCGTCGTCTCGGCGGAGTTCGAACCGAGGGGATCAGGTGGAGAGGAAATGGTACCTGGATTCGACGAAGCTTTCGGCGTCCCAGAGGAAGGAGCCGAAGGCGACGGCCTCGAGGACGAGCGTGGTCAGGCCGGAGAAGGTGATGGAGACGACCTCGTCGTTGGGGAGCTCGATTGAGCCGTCGTCTGCTAGGCGGATGTCGGGCCTCCCGAACAGCGCCTGCGTCTGCTTCTCGATCAACGAGATCGCCGCCTTGGAGCGCATTGTCGCGTACCTCTGCAGCGTCTCCGCATCGAGGTACATGACGTAGGACCTGAGACGGGAGGAATCGGCACCGCCGCTGCCGCCGAACTCGTCGCCGTCGTCGTCCTCGTCGGCGGGGATCTGGATCAGCGACTCCACGTCCCACAGGGGGCTGGCCTTGAGATTGTCGAAGATGGTGCGCCGGTCGCCGGGCTGCGGGGGGAGGGTCTTCATGGTCCGCTCGAGCTGGAACCTCTCGTCCACCCTCTTGAGGAAGTAGCCGTACATAATGGAGGCGGCGTAGAGCTTCCCCAGCTTGATCTTGCTGATCTGCGCGACGGAGTTGAGCGGCCCCACTGATCGCTCTCCGAGGACGAGGGCGATGTGGCTCTCGATCATCTCCAGGGCGTCCTGGGAGTGGACGGCCTCCAGCTTCCGCGCCTGGTTCGGCCAGGAGTCCACCAGCACGGAGGGATCCGGCGACGGCGAGATGGCCGGGATCATCACGATCCCCTTCTCGACGAACTTCTGCACGACCAAGCAGTAGATTATCTCCTCCACGGCTCTGTGCCTCTCCTTGTTCTTCACCTCGGCAATTCTCCTGCGGAGGAGCCAAAATCTGCCACGGTCAGAGGGAATTTTTCTTTGACCGGAGAGTGGGGGTCAACGGAAAGTTATTTGACAAGATTGGTTCAGAGCATTCTTCCATGGATGATAGTAAGATCGCGCAGCAGGACAGTTGAAGCATTTATTCGAAAATAATCCATTAATAGAATATTAACTGAAGCTCGATAATCTGCCTACTCGGATGCTTCACCGAGTGACAAAAATATCATATGAAGGTGAAGCAGTAAAATTCAAACAAAGTTATCTGCATACATTTCTCCCGAGGCGTTCATAAAAATTTATATTTTGATTGGTGGGGACAAAACCTCTTCAAAGTCAACCATCTTTGATTTTTTTCATGGGTTTGTTCGGATCTTAACCAAAAGTCAACGATGAGAACCCGTGAGGAAAAAAATGTCAAATCCGTAAAGAACATCTTGAGGTGCAGGGAAGGTTTTCTCTTGAAAGTGCACTAATGGCGGTGTCGCCATTGATGATCAAGATGTCTCGATCCCAAACCAACCATCTGTGATCTTTGTCATGGGTTTGTTTGGATCTTAAACAAAAGTCAACGGTGAGAACTGAAAAAATTGGCAAACCTGTAAAGAACATCTTGAGGTGCAGGGGAGGTTTTCTCTTTCAGAAGGTTTTCGTCCGACTGAAGCTGCCGCAGTTGCTGATCGATGGCTGCTGGGAACAGATGAGGATGCGTCTGCAATATCTGGGACAGGTGTTGACCCGTCGGAGATTCTAGCTTCAGGGGGGCAATCGGATCTTGATTCTCGCCGTAGCTCTCTAAAGCTTTCAACCTAAATCTTCTCACCCGAGGATTCTCCACCTGAACCCCCGGTTTCGGCCAGAATAAACTCGAGCAACCCTGGAAGAACAACGATTCAGCCAGAAAATAGGAAACTGAAAAGCACAAAAGATGGAAAAAAAGCTTAGAACAGGCGTCAAATTCTCGAGTAATTGGCGAAGAACTGAAACACGTTAGACTCTTATTTTCCGCAATTTAAGAAGAATTAAGACATTATGATGCATCTGGTTCTTCGCAATCAACAGTTCTACGTTTTCTGTGTGCATATACTTGATTTCCGATGCAGTATTCACCGTCTTATCGATCATCTTCATCGGAGCTTCAACGATCGGGAGGTGGTGATCAAGAGCCCGATAATCTCACTGTGGACGAAACTTTGAAAAGAGCCACGGAAATTTCCGGATGCTAATTGTAGTTCAAATGCGTCCATGTCAATATTTTCTATTCGATCGAGAAATCGAAACCGATATTCCTCCAGTGGAAGGATCGTCTGAGTATCGCTCCTCCCAGGCTGTTCCCATCCAATCAAACAAAAGCCCCGAAGATCGTGAATATCTCTCGATCTCGTGCGCCAATTTTGTCGATCAGCAAGAAATCAGAGAGCCGAACACAAAAGAGCGCGCGGATAGGCGACCGAATGACAGAGCAGAAGGAGGGGCGGTTAATAGCTTGAGGGATCACCTTGAGGGAGAAGAGATGCCTGGAGTCGGAAGAAACGGCGACGGTTAATAGCTTAAAATCCGCCGCCGGGGGCCGGAATCCTCCCCCGATGGCCGGGGGGTGCGGGAGGACCACCACGCCGTCCCCCACCCCACCCCAAGCCCACATTCCTCCTCCCTCTTCTCGACGCGAAACCCTAAACTCCCTTCCCGCGACCTTTACAGACGACCAGGCGCTCGAGTAATCGATAGAGATAGGGAGAGAGGGAGGGAGAGAGAGAGAGAGAGAGAGAGAGAGGAAATTCGGATAATTTTTATGGTGGAAAAGGAGATGACCAGAAGTGAGGTGTAGGGAAGCTCACCTCCTCCCCGCGAGGTTCTGCCGCAGATTTCAGGGCAGCTTGCTTCGGTCGGCCCATATTAGCCCAGGTGACATTTCGCACTCGCCATCCATCACGCAACTCTCTAATTCGGCTTTGGCCGACCCAGCAGTTTCTTTCGCACCATAGACCCATTACTCTCTCTCTCTCTCTCTCTCTCTCTCTCTCTCTCTCTCTCTCTCTCTCTCTCTCTCTCTCGCTCATGGGCCAATGAAATTCCGCGGAAAGAAGCCAACAGCAGATTTGTGTACACAGAGAGACCCAGGAAAGGCAACGAATGGATCTGCGAGATTCTGCGGACCAGACAGCAAACAGCTTGTGTGTGAAAAAGGATCAAAGATACGTCTTGGAGAGGCAGCCCTCGACCATATCCACGAGATTAGGGTTCTCAAGGGCGGCGGCAACCCGCTCCTTGTCGTTCAACTGTTTGTTCACTGCAGAGTCAAAATGAGCCAAGTTTAGTTCCAGATTTGGCCAAAAAAAAAGGATCTTTGACACATTTCCAGCAGCTTTGGACCAGCTAGTGAGCAGAATTCTAAGTACCGGCGTCTTCGGTGGCATGCGTCCCAGGTGCGACCCGGATGTCAACCTGCAAGTAAAGTCAGCGTTCGGTCAAATGCCTTAAAGGGACAGAACGATTAATCATTACCCACAACCATCCAGAAAAAACATCAATCGTCTCAAATCGAGATGAACTGAATAATAGTTAGAATTATCCTAAATCACAGATTACTTACCTAACTGATTAGGATCATACGGCATATATTGGGAAACGTTCAGGTAATTCCAATGAGATATGTACACCCTGGATCATAATACGGCTGACATGTATACTTTTTCACTATTTTTGGCATAAAACAGCGGATTTCCGTACTAGGAAACCCAGACACCTTCAATCCCACAGAAGGGGCATCAAAAACAGGAACTATAAGCTTAATCATATTAGGAATTATAAGCTTGTAGGAGATCTGGGTAAAAAATTCTGCTCCATGAATGAAAATCCTTTAAGAACCTTAAGAGTATGAGATCGATCATTCTCGCACCTTCTCATGGTATCTTTTTCATATGATTCCATGATTTTTCAGCCTGCATTATCCTGTTTTTCCTTCTAACAGGACTTGAGCAACTTAAAAATCTCCCTCAACTTATAAGTTTTTCAGTTTATATTTTTTAAACACCATTCCTTCGATGATTTCCCCCTTTGACACTGATCCTCTCCATCTCATGCATGTAATCAAAGTCAAATCGATCGATAAAAGATAGTTCCAGCACCAAAACTTATACCAAATTCAAAAATAAACCACCCACAGGAACACGGTCTTCTTGAAATCACATGGCTCGTGCTGGATAAATTGTGGCATAAACCTAATGGAAATAATAATAATAACAAATTAAAAAATATTCACTGTTCCGAATGCCTTTCATCTCTGGAGACGATACTGGCATACCCAATCTAACGTCTCTCCTATGAGATAGTAACAAATAATCTGGACTAAGAATCCAGGGTTTCCAAAATAAATTTATGAAATTTTCAAGAATATACCACACAAAGATAGCGGTAAGAAGCAGAGGATATGAGCTGTTGTGATCTTCTAAGGAAGGTAGGAATCTGGGGAAATGAACTGCGTACCTTGAACCTAGACGGTAAACTTCGCATTAGTTTGACTCGTATGCTAAGGCCAATTAATGTTGCCATACTGCAATGCTCAACAGTAGGAGTAAAAGTGACCCTGAACCAGAAAATATCAATCACTGTTACGTAGTAGAGGCTTCTAAGCGGGGAAAAGATAGAGCGACGAATTTTTTTTTCCTTAAAATGTCCCAGGAGACATCACCATACCTGACATGACTTTGCTTGTCGTCCACATCAATTGCATCTTCTGATACTACTTTCAATTCTTCCAGAGTGTAAGGATGCTCAGGATCTTTTATATCCCTGATATGATTTAAGCCTGTCAAGGAAACACAGCACCTTCTATACGAAAAAGCCTGTGAGCATATAAAATTACCCCAAATGAACCCTAACACCATTTCATATGTGCGGTCGGAAAATATTATTATTTTTTAACGTGAAGAAATCGGATCTTCCGAATCCAAATCAATTGATAATGAGATCGGAAAGCTTCTAAATCAATGCAGTAATATGTCCACACGACGCACCACGAGCAGAACACGACTCTTCCGAGAAGATCCCCACACATATGTCAATGAATTACTTCATATCCAATAGAGTGCAAGGATTTTTTTCCATCGATTAACACCGTGCAACTCAAAGATCTTATGCTGGAGGAGAAACCAGGTGAAATTAACACGGCGAACCACGACCACCGTGGAAAGGATATCAAAAATCTCCTGCTGGTCGATGGGGTCGGCACCGTACTCGTCCTCCTCGGCCGGCTGTCGGACCCGCGCGGGGCGATCCTTTATCTCGTAGACGACCGGATTGGCGTTGATCAGCTGCGACACCATCATCCCCCTTCTTCCACTCCGACGAACTAGGGTTTCGCCGAAGAATAGTAGACGGTTGACGGTCACGATGGAGAAGGTACCGACCACACGGGTATTACGTCATTATAACGGCATTTTGTAGCTCTATTTACCCGCCTAAACGGCCCAGCTACTCCTGCCACTTGTCCCGAGTTTGGGCCACTAATCGCCCAAGAGCAGTCACCATCACTTTTTCTCATAAATATTACGAAAACTAAAATCAACCTGCTATTAATATTTACGGAAATTAATGCTTTTATTTTATTAAATAATTAGATATATTACATTATCATCCGATTATGAAAATAATTCATAAAAATTAACTCTGCTTATTAAATTCCTTTTACGGTTAATTTGCACCTTTGTCCATAAATATTTTACTTCCTCGTGGATGGGTAGAAATAAAAATATTAAAAATGCAGATGATCTGGCTCAAATTTTTACATGGGTCTTGATGGGGCGTGACTCATAACTCTTACATTCTTATTAAAAAATGAGTATTATTACTTTTAAAATATAGTTAAATATATTTCCTATTATTAATTTCTAATGGTAATTAGTAGGGAATTACTTTAAAATATTATAGAGAGATGGAGTGACCCATGGCTGAAAGGGGAATATATTTTCTATATATATATATATATAACCCAAAGCTAGCATCACCCGGAATTTATTTCCCGCATAATTTAATTGGGGTGATAAATGGTGGTGATGTATATTATTCAATATTAAATAATAATAATAATTAAATTGGCCCAAGCATGTTGGTGACGTAGTAAATATATAAGTTACATATTCATTGCATTATTTATTGGTATAGAAAAAGTTTTCATAGTCCACGACTTACGTGTGTATATGAAAATATCTCAACCAAGTCGTCGTCCACAAAGAGGTGAGCACAAACATCTCGCCACGTGGCTGTATAAGAGTTTTACACGTGGCTCAATACACCTAGCAACATGAGAGAAAGGACCGGAAAAAAATGGAAATTTTCGAACAGACCCCTAGAGAAAAATTTAAGAAAACTGTAGATGCGTCATCGCATTAAGACGGAGGGCATTTAAATAAATTATTTGGTTATATAGTATCAAAACGACCACACGGGAACTTTTTGGGATAAATATGCGAAAGAGTTGGGGATAATTGGTCCATTGCACCACGGTCTAGGGTGAAGTGGCAAGCCTGGCCCTCAGCTCCTTGCGAAGTATCTTCCCCGCCGGCGACTTGGGTATCGCCTGAACGAAGTAGACCTTGTGTAGTCTCTTGTAAAATACGACCTGGAAAAAAAAAAGAGATTAAATTGAGTTTAATTAGTATTTTTTGTTTCCCATATTAATAATCACAGAATAAACGAATAATTCTGGAAGAAATGGGATATTTGAATTATCTTTTATTTTTAAAAATTAAACTATAAATTACCTCCCAGAAAAATGAGATTATTATTACCATGTTTGAATATATTTTTGTCGTATCTGGAGATCGGATGAGTCTGCGAGATCGAACCTGTTTGGAAATGAATCCCTTCACGGCTTCCTCGGTAAGGTCGGAGCCGGCGGTGCGGACGACGAAGGCGACGGGGACCTCGCCGACGGTATCATCTTTCGCTCTGTGCGGGCAAAACGAGGTCAGCCTATCTCTCCAAGAAGTCCCTCGTCTAAGAGGATCAACAGACGGCGGCGAACTTACGGAACGACGGCGGCGTCGACAATGTCGGGGTGGCAGATCAGCATCGCCTCGAGCTCCGCCGGCGGTACCTGCCGGCCGGCAACGAGATTAGTTGCTGCTCTCGCTGGAGATCTGTGACAGTCCTACACTAGACGAGAATTTTCTTCCTGGGCTGAATACAGAAGCGAGAGAGAGAGAGAGACAGACAGAGACAGTAGGGCAGGGCTATTTTTCTTCCTGGGCTGAATTCAGAGAGAGAGAGAGAGAGAGAGAGAGAGAGAGAGAGGGAGTGACCGAGAGAGAGAGAGAGAGAGAGAAGGGCAGTGTTATTCTCTTCCTATGCTGAATTCAGAGAAAGCGACCGAGAGAGTAGCGCAGGGCTATTTTTCTTCCTGGGCTGAATTCATAGAGAGAGAGAGAGAGATGAACAACCTGGAAGCCCTTGTACTTGATGAGCTCCTTGACTCTGTCGACGATGAAGATCTCGTCGTCGTCGTCGACGAAGCCAATGTCGCCGGTGTGCAACCAGCCGTCGGCGTCTATGGTGGTTGACGTCGCCACGGGGTCATTGAGGTACCCTGATGATGGGGAGACGGAGAATTCGCGTCTCAGTCCGCGGCGAAGATCGGGAACGGCCGGCGAAGAAGGAACGAGTACTATTCTACCAGGTTCACGCAGAGTCACCGGTACAATTCCAGTGCGAGTTACCTTTCATGATCTGAGCTCCTCTGATGCAGATCTCGCCGGGCTGGTTCCGACCGAGAGAGAAGCCCGTCACCGGATCGGTGATCTTCAGCTCCGCGTTTCTCACCACGCTGCCGCAGGAGCCGGACTTCGCCGGCAGAGGGTTCTTGGCGAAGGCGGGGCACATGGTGAGAACTGGGCCTGCTTCGGTCATCCCGTACCCCTGTCCGAAGGTCGCCTGTGGGATACGGCGGTGCAGCGCCTCCTCCAGCTCCTTCCCCAGCGGCGCCGCACCTGAGAGAACGATTCTGATGGAGCTCAGGTCGAACTTCTCCACCAGGGGTGTCTTCGCCAGGGACAGGACGATGGGCGGCACGACGGCGGCCACCGTGACGCGGTGCTTCTCGATAAGGGTCAGCAGCGCGGTGATCTCGAACTTGGGCAGGATCAGCACGGCGGCGCCGGCGCGGAGGGAGCAGAAGAGGACGGAGTTGAGGGAGAAGATGTGGAAGAGGGGAAGCACGCAGAGGACGACGTCGTCGGCAGAGAGGTACAGGTTGGGATTGTCGCCGTCGACCTGCTGCGCCACGCTGGTGACGAGGTTCCGGTGGGTGAGGACGACCCCTTTGGGCAGCCCCGTGGTTCCCGACGAGAAGGGAAGCGCCACCGGGTTGTCGGCGTTGATGGCGACCTCGGGGAGGTCCTCCTCACCGGCGGCGAGGAGAGAGGAGAAGGAGATGCAACCCTGGGGGGGCTCGTCGACGGTGACCACCTTCAGGTCCTCTCCGATCGCCGGGAACATCTCGTGGCGGAACTTGTCGACGAACTGGGCGTGGGTGATGACGAGCTTCGTGCGTGAGGCCTCGAACTGCTTGAAGATCTCCGCCGGCGTGCAGAAGGGATTGGCGGTGGTGGACATGGCGCCGAGCATGGAGACGGCAAGGAAGGAGAAGGCGAACTCGGGGCAGTTCTGCAGGAGGATCATGACGGTTTCCCCCTGCCGGATGCCGAGGGAGGCCAGTCCGGCGGCGGTCCGGCGAGAGTTGATCTGGGTTTCTGAGAAGGAGAAGATCTCACCGGAGGAGCCAGAGATGAGACATGGGCGATCGGGATACTCGGAGGCCCTCTCGAAGCAGTAACTGTGGAGGGAAAGGTGGTTAGAGATAGGGATATCGGGGAGCCTAGACCGGAAGATCATCGTCTCCGGCGCCGGCGCCGGGGCCGGCGACACCTGGGAGGCGTCGTGGGAAGAGATCTGGGTCTGGGCTTCGTGGGTCGCAACGGACAGCATGTTCTCCGTCCTGCTCCTTTCGAGTGTAACTCTTCCTCCTCCCCTCTGCAACTTAAAACTCCACACGGAGAGACGAAGGAAGATATCTTCCCAAGAGGGGAGAAAGAGAGCTCTATGTGTCGGAAAAAAGAAAAAGGAAGAGATATTATAAAAACCTCGGCGAGGAGGAGGTAGGTGAGGAATCCGCGTGACACGGGGGAGAGGCAGAATTGGATGGAGAGGAGGGTGGTAGCTGCGAGGAGCGGTCCTGAGTTGCACACAGTCACCTTACCTTCCTAGTCTCTCTCTCTCTTTCTATCAGTCTGAAGCACGTAAGCTCACACTCCACGCGTAGGTCTCGGGGTTCCCAAAGTTATGGGTGTTAATAACAATAAATAAATAGTTGAACTGAACCTGACGGTGCGCAGAGACTACGTACGAGTTGATGTGCACATTTTGCCTACCCATCTCGCGGCAGCATGCGCGTCCGAGTTCAAAGCCTTCAAAGCGTTTCATAACATCTTAAAAATGCTGCTGCCCGTTAAATGGCTATTAATAAATATTAATATATGTATTTACATATTCTTAAATATAAGAATGAGTCACGTCACAATGTTCGAACCCTTTTGTGGCTAAATCACAACCATTGGGCTATGGCCTGGCCCTCACACATCAGCCCATTAACTGAAAGACGCCCTTGCCCTTCACCAAAAAGGGGAATTACTAGGCGAACCGTGATAGATGCGCACTACACTCATGCCATAACGCCGTTACAAACCCCTATTTTTCAGTTTTGAAGTCCTTTCCTCCGCTGTCACGGCGTCTGTTGGTCTACCGAGCGCGTCGTACGAAAAAACACGTGGGAATCGTTACTCCCACCTACCACGCCCCCGTTCCCCTTCCACGTGTTCTGTCACCCGTCCTTCAACGGACCACATCACGCGGGCTTCGACTGCGAGTCAATCAATCAAGTGAAGTGGGTCCCAGAACAGGGCGGAAAACGAATCGACATCTCGATGTGATACAGCCCTTTACTTTTTTGTTGGGAAAGAACGGCGAAGTCCATCCGAACCGTCCAATGAATAAATAAGAGGCTGAGAGTGACCTTCGTCTTCTGCCTGAGTATCCGGGGCTGCTCCATTATCCCCAGCCTTCTGCCCTGACTGAAGGGGCAGTGATTGCTGGCTCATCTGTATTCTTAACCGTCTCCTGATGTGTTGGAAAATTTCCAGTGTGCGTTTCTGATCCTGGCTTTTGGCGAATACTCCAGAGACCGAAGCTCGCTCAGTGGCCAGCAGTTGAAGCTCGGCAGCTGGAACCCATCTAATTTTCCTGAAGACGAAGCCACGTGTACAATTTGCAACGATATATATATATATATATATATACTAGCTCCAAATATTTTATTTTTTGCCTTCAACTTTTTAATCCTATTAAAATAAAATTTGTAGGATGATTTAACAATAAAACAAATTGCGTTTATTTAATTAATATCCATCAACTAATTATCTACAAAAAAAATATCGTTCATAGACTTTATAGGGAAACTTCAACAATGAAATGCAGTAATTAACAAGAAACTAAGGTAAGAAAATGCTATTCAAGCAATAATTTTGCACATTGGAGGGTATCCAGGGTATGCAACAAGAAAAAAAGAGAATATTGTATAATATCGCATAATAATAACATTACATAAATGGAAGTATTATATAAATTAAAATATAAAAAAAACCATCGTGAAACACAAGAATTGGTCCGGAAATTTTTCTATTTCACAAGCATATCGGGTAATCAGAAGTCAGCCCGAAATGGAAAGGATAATGATACAATCAAGAAGAGTACAGTTTTCGCAACGCCAGATTGCGAGCCTGGTCCGGGGGGTGGGTGATGGATCGTCCAGTTGAGCAGGGGAAGCTTCCCCAGCTGGAGATGTCGATGAAAACCTCACATACAGGATATAAATACCACAATCTCGTGAGCACACCGACGACTAGCTGGTGTGATGCTTTTTCCCTAAAGATTAGAAGCAAGAAGAGTAGGATATCAGAGAGATGAACCTTCTCGTGATGATGTCATGGGTCCAAGAAAACATGTATGGCAGCTGAGGCTTTCTGTAAGGATTCTTTCTGCGTTGACAGTTGACATCACGGTGCCTAAAAGAAAGATCGAAAAGTCAATTTTTTATTTTATTTTATGATAATTAGAATTAGCGTACTGATTCGATTATTCCAAATAAATTGAGGGAAAAAATATAAATGGTAGATCATGTCATGGTATTTTGAATAATCGGATAATGTTAGATGGGAGAGTCAGGAAGAGGAATCCCTACAATTCTGCAAAAAGTCAATGGCCGGGCAAAGAGAGTCTTCAACTCGCAGGGGATTCTGCAGTTGCGGATCATTTTCAGAACCTAGATGCTGTGGCAAAGGGCAGAAGTGCAGATGCTCTTGTCATCCCTTCCAGCCGATTTGAAGCAGGTCCGAGGGAAGGGAGGCGGGATCGAGCTCCCAGCACTCACCAGGCAGGTCCTGCATCTCTGTATCTGAGAGCTTCCTGGCAGGAATCTGATGAGAGAAGAGCTGGGTCTCACTCCTCTCGAGCCATTTGACGGCATGGATGCCGACCTCCCGCCTCTTGAAGATGGTCTTGAACCCTTCAAGCTTTTCAAGATATGCCATGGTCAATCCGTACATCTCACTGAAACTCGACAGGAGCACGACAAGGTCGTAGTCCCGCCCCTCACCTCCTCCGGTGGGACCTCCCTCTCTGTACAACGCCCACACAGATCCCTTCCTCGGATAGATTCTGTACAGCTCCCTGGCGGCTCTCTCACAATCCACCTGATGAGAGAATAAGTTTACAGAGTCAATTTCAACCTCCTTCCCAACCTTGAACAGCCCGGAAGAGATGTGGAGCCCCGTCTTCTTCTCCCAGAGCAGCGGAGCTTTATCCCCGTTGTTCTGGATATCCAACCAGCTCATCAGCACCCTGAAGGGATTCGTAGAGTAAACCTCCTCGATCAATCCATAATGGCGCGGCATTCCATCGTCATCGTCGTAGATCGCCCATATCTGCCCTTTCCTGAAGGATTTCTCAGTCCTATGCTTGTCGAAGTCGTAGAAATCGGAGTCCTCCACCGCCATTGCACGCAAATCTCGAGCTCGTGTCTTGAAAGGCGTCAAGGACCCCATCTTTCCCTTCTTCCCTTTTGCCTTCGATAAACTATGGGTTGTTCTGGATTTCCTCCTGATCTCCATCTGTATCTCAGCAAGGGTCTTCTCCTTTGCTCTCTTGGGCTTGGATTCCTCCAGTGAACCAGCGAAGGCAACCGTCCTCTTCCTGCCCCCACTTATCTCTTGCTTTACCTGAACCCTTGGAATGGAGGTAGGTCTAGAAGATCTTGAGGGCCTAAGGGATCTGGCAGCCCTAGAAACCGACGGTACACTCAAAAGCGCAGGTGACATCGATTCACCGGCAAGCCTGGCGGACCTGGTCCTCGTAACCCTCGTATTTGAGCTGGGGATGGCACCACCCCCTCCATGGTTGTGACCTTTTTCGTTGCCATCAATGGAGACCTCAACGGCCATGAAACTCTTCCTGCAACGGGGACAGAGAAGCCGCTGCCCAACATACCGGCGATCGAACTGGTGAAACAGCCGGCAGGTCGTGCAGGCCGTCCAGAAGGTCTCAATCCGCGAGGACGCAGCGGCGGCACCTTCCTCCTCCCTAGACCTCGCCGAAGCCTCGAGCTCCATGCGCAGTCTTATGTCGTATTCCCTGCGACAGCCGCGGTCGGAGAGGACCTGGAATGCCTCGCCGATGCGCTTGAAGGCCTCTTCAGAACCCGGGAATGTGGAGAGGGAGGCCGTGTTCTTGTCCGGGTGGAGGATGAGGGCGAGGGCCTTGTACTGACGCCGGACGACGTTGACATGGGAGAAGGGCTCGATGAGGAGGGCACGGTAGTGATCACCAGGCGGCGCGCGGAGTACGCGAAGGGCGGTGACCATCTGCGGCAGGCCGTCGAGGTCGGGGGCGAGGCGGATGGCCTTCTTGGCGTACTTGAGAGCTGATCTGAGGGGACCCCCTGACCGGTACCTATCCTCTGCAAGTGACTTCAGCCGCAGAGCTTCGGCTTCTTCCTCGGAAACCCTAGGAGAAGATGGAGGAGATGCTATTGGCGATCGGATTTCTGCTTCCAGCGGAATGGATGACGCTGCACTTGGTGGATCCTCCGCCGGAGTCTCCAAGGTTGCCAACGATGGCGATTGATGCCCTACTTTCGTGATCTCCGGTCCTGCGGGTAGCCGCGCCGATTCTCCTCCTTGAACTTCGGCTGCTGTCTCAACCATCGATTCTTCTCCCATTGCCGCATCCTGTTCTTCCCGAATCTCAGCCTTCGGCGACACCTGCGGCGGAGATAACGCCTCTTCCGACTCTGCATTCAGGGATTCCTCCATAGCCTCCGATGGTGCCTCCTCTGCCGTCTCTGATGCAGCCGCTTCTGGCTTCTCCGAATCTACCAAGAAATCGCGCCGCTGCTGCGCCGCCGGAGGCGTGTCGGGCGGCGAGGGAGCTTCCTCCATGGCAGGGGGCCGTGCTGCTGAGGGAGGGAAGCGGAGTAGCGAGAAGGGACGGAAGTCGGCTACTGAAAGGAAGAAATAAATAAATAAAGGCTCAGGGCGTTGGTGGCACTTTCGGAAATGAGCATCCCCAAAAATCAGAGGCGCACGTCTGTTGTTCTCCCCATTTGACGGCCCAGATAGGTGGAACTTTCTACCCGGGTCACAGAGTCGGATCGGCGTGCTGGATCGGTCGTGCCAGACTCGGTCCCGCTCCAGCGATCTATAGGAGTTTCTCGAAAAAACCCAAAAAAGTACGTTCGCAGATACGCACGTTCTTTTTTATTTATTTAATGATATTATGAACCATATTATATATACTGATAATAAATATTTTAATAATTTTTTATTACTCCAGATATTATTATATGATCCGATAATACTTTAAATGCGGGTATATCTGGGGACAATTTATCAGTGTAGGCAGGTAGTTTGAAGCTGGACCAGTATATTATTTTAAATTAATAAAAAATATTATTACGGGGGATTAAAAGGGATTTCATTAATTTAATATTATTTAATTTAAATAAATTTGGTCTAGGCACAAATAATAGATGCTTAAAGTTACATAAAATATATTATTTTAAACATTTGCCTTTGTCAAGCTTTATGTAGAATAAATATTATAAAATATTATTATCACGGAGTTAATTTATATCTCTTGTAAACATTAAATCCTGTTCATGGCTTTAAATATTAATGGCCTTATTTGTTATGGACTTTTTTATAAATCCATCAAATATAGCTCTCAAATATTGGAAGAAAAAAATTATATCCAAAATATTTTATGAACGTTCTAACCTTTTTAGAAAAGGACAAAGGCTTTGATGAGGCATATGGGTGTATTATCACACGCATAAAAAATTATAGCATGTGAGGGTTTTTGAGTTATTAATAGGAAATATTTAGATTTTTTTGAAAATATAGAGGTTCCACGTGGAGTCCACCTGGCAGGCTTTGCCCCTAGCCATATCTGGTAAATTAGTTTCATGGCAAATGCGAATATTATTTTCCCTTTCAGAATAAGCGAAGAAAAGTTAAAAGAGTTTTATGTAATATTTTAAAGTATTGGACATAAAAGTATTACAAAAATAGACAGATTAAAGGCAGTTAGAGGACGCTACAATTTTGAAGTCCCCAATCCCCCCCTTACACTCATCTCTCTCTCTCTGTCTCTCGCCCTCTTCTTCCCCGCTTCGTGAGGAGAGTGCAGGGGACGATCGCCGGTCCCGGGGAGGCAGATCCGCTGCTTTCGACTTCCTTCGGAGTTCCGGGGGGGCTTCATTGTTCTTCCTTAGCTCTTGATCTTTCCATTTCCTTTGGCGGCCTCCGTGAAGTCCCAGGAGAATTTTAAATACTTGCTTCGAATTAAGGACGCGGCGAGTCTAATTCCATTGTTCCTTCCTCGTCTCCGTCTCGTCGGGAGGGGGGGATCACATTGCTTCTTCACTTCATCGAGTTCCAGGCACTTTCAAATTGAGATCTCCGCAAGTGGCGGCGATTTGGATGTCGTGAAAGTTGGAAGGGGGGCTGTAGGCGCTTGATGGGGATTGGCGAGTTGGCCTCGGCGTCAAAGGCGTCGCCAAAGGAGTCTTCAGCACCAGTGAACTTTATTCACACCGATCTGATGATTTGGAATGGCGCTATTCAGTAATCGACTGCTCACGATGTTTATTTCTGTTGTCTGATTGTTGTTCAGGAGAAGACTCCGGCGAGAAGCTCTAGCTCCGCCGCTTCTTTTGTTTCTACAGGTGTTGCTTATCCTGAATGGAGTGGCTTTCAGGTAAATTGACTGGGAAATATAATCTGGCGTCGAGCGATCCAGGAGTAGCAGCAGAGCACATGCTGTTCTCAAGACCGAAGTTCCTTCAAATTTTGACTTATAGAACTATCATTTGATAGGGATATTCCCCGGTCCCTCCTCAGGGTTTCTTCCCTCCTGTGGCGTCAAGTCCCCAAGGACATCCTTACGTGTGGGGAGCACAGGTACCACTTTTGTAACTTCATTTCGCCCCAAATCAGACGAAACAATTTTCAAAAAAAAAAGAAAAAAAAAGAAAAAGAAAAAAAGAAGAACCATTAACAACTATCGTTTTAATTTTTTTCATATTTACCTGAAGACATATCAATATCCAGTCTACCTGTGAGTTCCTTGATTAAATTCAGTTAGGTTCTCAGAAATACTTTTTGTACATATTTGCGCAATTATTTTTGAATATCAGAGTACAGATAAATCCACGCCATGGAAATCCTTGTTTTCCTCTCGATGAGCTCAGTTTGATCATGAATTCATTAAATTTTTGGTTGTCTGCTGAATGCATGTATCATCATCCAAGTTCGGAGTTTCGTGGGAAGGAGATTGATGTAGTCACTGAAGAGCATTAGTGATAAATCCATCCTCCTTGGTGCAAGCAGCCGTCTTCTCCTCTGTCTAGGGTTTTACTGCACGAAATTATTCATATTAAGCCTAAAGTACTCTCTACACACTCTACTGTTGATCTGGCTGATCTGGACTGATGACCTTTTTTCGGCATTGATCATGTATAAAACACAATCTGATGTGAGTCATTGAATATCTTCGTATTAAATGGCACTTTTGGTTGTAGAATCCTTTTAGCTTGCCAAGGTAATGATACGAAGAATTCTGAGGTCACATGGGTAAGGGATAAGTGTTATTACTTTTATTCCGTGACTGAGGTGAAGTAGACAAAGACCAATAGAAACGGGGACGGCAGCATTTCTTGTCACTCATCAGTTGATTTCATCTGGCTTTTCAATAGAATCTGAACATGCATTCTTGTGGGTGCCTATTAGGATGATACTCGGATCAACTTTCTATTACATCTTAATTTGGCACGCAGAGATCAGTAAGAAAGCCATAAAAAATATTTCTATAATCCCTTTCAGGACCTACATATTTTTAGTTCCTCTATTGTGGTTGGCACATATGAGAATTGGAAGTTGCTTTCCTCAGTAACTGTTTGAACATCTTTTTCAGTTATGCTCTGCTAGAAAACAATGTTGCAGTGCTAACATGGATAAGAATATTAATTTTCTTTGCAGCCTGTTATGTCTCCATATGGAACACCATCGCCGCCCTTCTTTATGTATCCACATGGAGGGGTGTATGCTCATCCATCTATGCCACCGGTAATTCTCTGGCAAACATGCTTCTGCTTCTGTTTCGTAATTCATATTTTTAACCTTATTGTTAGTAGTCCACCTTGTTGGATACGTTTAATTGGTGGTGCCATTGAATTATTTTGACACCAGGGTTCCCATCCATATAGTCCATATGCTATCCCTTCCGAAAATGGCAATCCAGACGCTCCTGTAAGTTTCTTTGTCTTGTCCATGATTTTTATATTTTTTTTATTGTGTATTGATTTTTATGAATGGATATAAATTACATTTTAGGGAGCTGCATCAGTTGTAGAGGGCAAACCAGCTGAAGGTAAGGAAAGAAGTAACTTGAGTCAATCAAAAGAAAGTGTAGGCAATTTGAATGTCATCACCGGAAATAACAGCAATGAAATGAGTAAAACATCCGGAACATCAGCCAATGGAGCCTTTTCTCAAAAGTATGAGGATATGTTGGATGATTACCACTGTGAATTCTTTCATCCTCGCACTATGTGTGCCTTATGTTCTGAGATATGTCATATATTTTGTAGAGGAACTTGCAGTGATGAAATTGGTAATGAAGGCTCAAGTGAAGGAAGTGATGCTAACTCTCAAAACGTGAGTAACACGTCTCTTATGCTTTTACTTTGTCTATCTTGATTTCTGTCTTTAATACCCTTTTAGAAGTGATGACAAACGAATAATGTGAATTGGTACATGGTGGCTGTGATGCAGCCGCTGAACATGATCCTGGATCATCATTCCATGTGGTCAATAAAGTTACACGTGGTGGTGTAGATGTAGATGCTTGCTTTTGAATTGATTATTGATCTTTGGATCCTTTATGCTTTTGAGAGCTAGGATCAACTTTTTCTGAAACTACATTTAAACTGCCCAAGTATGACCACCAGAAAGCCTGAAAGAAGTCGGAAAGCTCATGTACCATTACCTTCATGAAAGACTTATTGAATCCTTTGATTAGCCACACGAATGAAATGAGTGTCCTGTTCAACTCTCTCTGTAATTCACTTTTTGGAGTCTTTACCATAGTTAATATTATTTATGAAAACCTGATCCTCCCTTACTGAAAAATTAAGGGTCACGGTCAGCAACGACTTAAATGCTCTTTTGAATGCTGGTATGATTGCAATACCGTGGTGCTCATGCCGCTTTTATTTTGAGATTGTGGCCCTTTGTGATATTGTCCGACAAAGTTCTCTTTTTGCATGCTTTCTAGGTTCTATACTTCAGGTTTGATTTTTTTCATCTTTATTTCTAAAAAAACTTATGGTCAAATTAAAAGTCTCCTCTTTTGATTTGAGTTCTCTTATTGATTCATTAGGAGATGAAAGCTAAGGTTTTTGGGCTTTCCAGCCTTTTAATGAATCTCGTTTATCAATAAGTCGATCCATACTCCAATTTAATGCCTATGCACTGCAAATTTTTTATCATTTAGTTTGTTTGTTACATTCCATTACTCTTACCTTTGTTAACTTTGATTCAACCATGATTTTGAAATGACCATGATGGTAAAGACATTATGAGGGGCAATGTCAATCACATAGAACCTCATTCTCTCTGTCTCTCTCCCCTCATGTGGACTGCAACTCCTTTCCTCACGCTCTCCCCCCTGTCTCCTCCTTTACCATTCACATTTTTTGTCTTTTCATAAATTTAAATTGTGTAGGGCAGATGCTTGCCAAATATTCGATGCATATCTATTAGTACTTTAACTGGGAGACGAGACAATAAAGATCAAGAACTTTGTAGATTTATAGATCAAATCGGAGTATAGAGAGAGAGAGAGAGGGAGGGGGTGGGTAGAGAGAGAGAGAGAGAGAGATGGAGAGAGGAATGCTTTATTGGGATTGAAAAGCACAAAGCCTAATTTCTTATTGGTATTCCACAGATTTTCGCAAAAGTAGGCAACAGTTAGAAATTCTCCAACAATAGACTACCTGTTGGTTTGTATCTCTGCAAATATGCGATAGATATGAAAGAGTGAACTGTACGCCTTTCCCCCAGTTAATGGCTATAAGATCAAATCTATTTTTCTGCGTATACTCCGATATTGTGTGTGGCATTTAATGTTATTTTGTTCCTAATATTCTTCATTAAGAAAATTCCTTTTGACACTAGGATTGTTATGGTCGACAAATCTGGATCTCTTCCATCACTGGAAATTTTGTGGTTGGAACCCAATAATAGTTTTTTTTTTTTGCTTATTTCGGTACTGAGAATTTTCTAATTAATTTTTTTAATTTTCGTACCAGGAGTCAGAACCAAATACAGGTGATGGGTATTATTCTTTTGAAGATAGCTTTCAAAGTATTTTATATACGAGGTTGTTGGAAACATCTGAAGAAGTATCTATTACGGGTTACAGCTGGGGCTTCTCAAAATGGGAATGTCGCATACCATTCTCAGAATGGAGATGCTCATGCAGATTCCAGGGGAACAACTCAGCCTATGTCAAGAATGCCCATTCAACAGGCTCCTACTTCTGGAAGCGTAGCCCCCCCCACAAACTTAAATATAGGGATGGGCTATTGGGGTGTGCCTACACAATCCCAAATTGCCCCTGCACGTGGGACTGCTCCTAATGCTTCAGTTGGAGGAATGCTTCCATCTGGGCAGAACATTCCATCAGAACTTTGGTTGCAGGTTTTCCTCTTTGAACTTTTAGATCTCTATATATTATTGCTATTGTAATCGTTTCAGTGATACATGGGGACGACCTGTCCCTTTGTTTTGCTTTCTTTTTATAGTTGATGATTGATTGTCCCCCCCGTCCCCCCCCTTCCTTCTTTTCAATGAATGAGATAAAACTGTTCTCGAACAAGAGCAGGAGACTCTAGATACGGTCTGGATTACCAATTGCTACATTTTAACTCGGTATATTCCTTCTTTGAATCTAGTTCTCTTGTTGCCATAAGCAATATGATTTTTAATATTCTTCTAGCTACAAAATTTTCTAGAATTTATAGTGCTGCCACATTTATTAAGCATGAAAATTTTGGATACATTCATTTAAAAAGAGGATGGCGTATTTATTAACGAAGGAGAAATGATGTGCTGGCATGTAGGATATTTACATATATCAGATATTATAAAATTCCAAAAAAAATATAATTTTATACTGGTTTCCAAGAATTATGATGTCGTAATATACTATGCAGCCTTCTTTTATCTGTTGAAGTCCACCCACAGAAAAAATTGTGTCGGTTCAATTGCAGTCAGTTAATTGTTATGAACATAATGGACTGAATTAAATATCGTTTATTATGAAGAGACCTAATATTTATCTTGGATACTGCAAATGATCATGTTGATTTGTGATCGTTAATGGCCATCCCAATATTTTCTCCAACTTTTTCTTTCCCAGTACATTTTGCTAAGATAATGTCTGATAACCCTTAGAGCTATATATCCTTTAGTTGACAGTTGGAACTGTTCTAAGAGTTTGATAAACATACCTCTTTAAGAGATAACCTATGCACCTTCTTAATCTCTTAAAGAATGTTGCCTGCGAGAAAAAAATGCTCATTCTCGTATCTTAATTTCTCTCCTTGACTGATGACGTTGACTCTCTCTTCTGCTATTCTTTCCCTGATCTCTGGTTTCCTAGACTCATATTTTTTTTCTGGTGTAATATCCTGCTAACCCTTCAACTTATCATTGACTTCCTTCTCCTTCTGCACTCTTTGTTGACCTTTCCTCCCTTTCTTTTCTTCTGTTCATGTAGTGCAAGGGGTCCATTATCCATAAGTGTGCTTGGCACCAGGAACATGGATCTCACATTCGTGATTTAAGACATTAGCCTTACAAATTTGATCCAAAATCTTAAGGTTTTCTACTGTGCTTCACACCTTATTCTTTTAGATGGTCCTTTTTTTAGCCTTCTACAGTGATAGCAACATCATCGACAATGACAATCAAGAAGACCAAGAAGGAAAAAAAACAAAAACAAAACAAGTATGAAACTATAAATAGATCCGGAACAGGTAGCCCAAATATGCCAATTGAAGCCTTCTTAAACCTGCACGGCTAGCCATTTGAGAAACCCAATTGGAGTAACTCAGTCCCTTTTGGGAGTAGGCGCCAATTCTGATTACATTGGTGGAAAAAGCACCGACACATCTCAACTAAATGCCTCGGTTGTGGCAATAATCACAGTTAGATTGTAGATGGCCCTTTTAATGAAACTTTAATTCTACTATCCTTCTCCAGTGTTTATTTGCTCACAATAAACTAGCGTTGAAAAATTAAAATATAGCACCAAAGTTTTTTTCTCTTTTTTTTCTCATAATATATGAAGAGACATTGTGAAGGCAGCAGAAACGAATCCAATGAACATACTGCAATCATAATTTGCATGCCTTAATCAGTATCAGACAACACGTATATCAATTTCCTGATTTGTTGTTACTGTCATGTTTAGGAAAAAGAAATTCACGGCATTTAATTTCCCAGCGGCTAATTCATTGCTATTAGTCGATATCAGAAGTGGTGAATGGTCATTTATAATCATTTTTTTATATTTAAAGAAAAGTAAAAAAATTCTACTTGCTGATGACAAAAAGTTTATCTAAAATTTAGCTTTTTATTCTTCCAAGAGCAGCTACAGCTAAATACTTAACTTGAATTTTGTTGTCGGTGATATTAACCATGCTGAATATTGTCCAACTCAGGATGACAAAGAAGTTAAAAGACACAGAAGAAAACAATCCAACAGGGAATCAGCTCGTCGATCTAGGTTGCGCAAGCAGGTATATTGCTTTCAACATCTCACCCTTAGCTTTCTTTTCATCGTGGAGTGGAATGAGACTGTGAAGTATGGTCTCCTTCAACACAGTGGTACGTATTAGGCATCCTGAGACTCAAGTTCCTCTTCTGGTGGGTGACATGCTGTGTTTGCCTTGGCTTTCAACCCATTGTTGTTTGCGACATAACTTAGTGTTTTTCCGACTAGTTGGGTCCCCAGGAGATGGCTGTATTCAGGGGAGTTTTCCCAAACCCTCAAAATAACAGTGGTCTCTCTCTCTCTCTCTCTCTCTCTCTCTCTCTCTCTCTCCCTCTATCTCTATGTCTCTGTCTATCTATCTGTCTGTCTGTCTGTCTCTGTCTCTCTCTCTCTCTCTTTCTATCTATCTATCTATCTCTCTCATGGTTGATTTCTGTGACCTGCAGGCAGAATATGAAGAATTAGCTCAGTGTGCTGACTCTTTCATACAAGAAAACAATGTTCTTAGAGAGGAGGCAAAGCGTCTGCACAAGGAGTACGATCAACTCCTTTCTCAGAACTATTCTCTCAAGGTACACCTGTTCTTTCTGCATTGAATATTTGGCGTAAAAATGTGCAACATACATGCATAAATCGATATGTGGTTTCAGGAGAAAGCTCGGGAGACGCCCAAGGGAACCAAAGACTCCAGACTTGATAAGAATGAGAAGCACCCTTTGGATTCCAACCCGTGAGGGCTTCAGGCAGATCCCACCCAGGCTAGTTGTTAGGTGTTTCTCTTGGGAGCCCACACTCGACAAAATGCTCAGTCTATAGGCTGTAGACTGATCTTTTTAACAGTCAAAGCTGAAGCGACAAGGCATGTTTCATTAGGATCGGTCTTACCCATATCATGCACCTTATCACAGTGTATGATTAGCTAATTATTAATCGTTGAAAATGCTGTAATTAGCTTATATAATTGAAGGCATTCAGTGTGGTATTCATATGCTATTGACGTATTTTTTTTTCTTCTGAATTTCTTGTTAAACATAATAAAAAAATATATGTAAAGTGGTTTGCTATCAATACTGTGTGCTTTGTTGGAACTGTTCTTTGGCTTTGTGCAGAGTGACGGTTTGACTTTTGTTAGAATAAGTGATATTGGGCGTGATAAGCCCAATTACTTATTGATATCAGATCTAGCCACTTATACTCGACATAGATCCAATAGTCATAACTCATGTATTTAAAGGGTCACAAATCCTAACTCAAAATGAATGAAGTATTTTTTTTTTTCTCTCACTCTCTCATGCTCTAACAGCTCCCTTGCTTGTGGTGGCTGTGCCCTAGCTCAAGGTGGGAGAATCTCCGACGTGGTATCAGAGGATCAGGTGCATACATTTCAGACCTCTTCTTAAGACATCTGAGCTTACTGCATTAAATGTCCGCATACATTGAAACCAGGAACACTCCATTTTTCTATTAGCTAGGGTCTGAAGGTTAGCTTGTTTTTGGTTGAGATTGTGAACCCTAACTCATGGTAGAAACCTCTAATTTATTTCCGGTGCCAATGAGTGTACCAAAGGAGTACCCTAGGTGGTTTGAACTCCCAAAAATTTATGACAAATATAGGTTCAATGGATTGAACCTATTACAATAGGAGAAATATGTGGAAATGAATTTACTTGGCTGGAGGAAATTAATCCACCTCAAGAGTGATAACCCTCATAGCCCGACAGATCCATGACACACTACATGGTGAGAGGCAGACACCATCATTAAAGTGTGGTTGCTAGAAAATATGACATCATTTATCAATGATCACTTCCTTCGGATTCCAACAGTGAAAGACATGGGAGAAAACTCACTATATGCACACAAAGCAGAATGATGAGAGAGAAATCTCATGCTTAATCACCAAAGTTATGAACCTTACTCAAAGGAATAGAACAATGATGGAGTATGCAGTCGAACTAGAAACCATTTGGATGGAGGTCGATCATTATAGACTGACCACCAATCTAAATTTTGTTGAACAAACATACATCTTGAAGCATTGCTTGTATTCATTCTTATCTAGCTTAAATTCACCTTTTGTAAAATTGGCTAGTCAATTGTTGAATAGGGAAAGAGTTCTTGATTTTAAGGAAGCCATTAGAATGATTAAGAGGGAAGAGAATTTGTTGACACTATTGATAACTCAACAGTAGTCATAGCGCTATTGACACTGCTGATAACTCAACATTGGGAGCAACGAACATAGCGAAAGCATCAGCCGATAGTAGTCATAGGTGGGAAGGGAAGAGAGAGACAAACTCTTCACATTCCAGCAAAAGAAAATAAGGCCAAAACCCAGAGCAAGTGATAGACCCAAAGGCAAAACTATGGTGCTCATTTTATCGAAAAAGGAGACATACTTGTGACAATTACTGGAAATTGTATAGTAAGCCTCTAAGAGTAGGACAAGGGTACATCAATGTATCCCCTTCCCCTACATATTGGCAAGAAATGAGCTCTATAAGCTCCACTAAGAGAGAGGTGAACTTGACACCTATCCTTCAACCAACAAATTCCAAGGATGAGGAAATTAATAGACTCAAGGAGGAGATTGAGAAGTTGTGGCAACTCATCACCTCAAGTATCATAACATCATCAGCAACCTCCTCAAGTAATTTTTCGATCTCTTACACTTCCCTCTCATTGAGTTCCATTCTCTCAGACATACAAATATATATCTAAGGGATAAAGGTACATGGATCCTTGACTTAGGGGCCACAAATCATGTCTCAACTCAAAAATTATTTCCAAACCTATGAACCATGTTTTAAGGGTAAATAAAGATTGATTGTAGATGAGAAACTTATATTGATAGTTGGTATAGGTCCATAGAACTTCTAAGAATAGGAAAAAATACATCATGTTCTTCATGTACCTCTATTATCGGCAAACTAATCTCCCTTAGTAAGCTTAGACAATCCATCACTCATGACCTTCTAATTACTCCTAATGGTTGTGTCTTATATGATAAGGACATGGGATAGAAGAGTGGACTTGATAAAGAGAAGGGAGGTCTATATTACATAGGAGGCCTCAATGGAACATAAAAGACATTCACAAACGACACAAACGATGGCAACAACACCAAAGGTAGCATCAAGGGGGAGCCACAAGTTGATTGAACCACTTATGTTGATCCATCGTCGCCTAGGACATCCTTCTATCTTGACTATTAAACATTTATTTCTACAATTGTGTCAGAAACTTGATGACAATAATTTATTATGTGAGGTATGCCAACTAGCCAAACATAAATGATCTATTTATTCTCCATCTAACTCAAGATCTCTTAAACCTTTTGACTTGATTATAACGATGTGTGGAGGCTAGCACCAATGTCAACCATGAATAGTCGTAGTTGGTTCATCACCTTTATTGATGATTGCACTCGTATGACGTGGGTATGGTTGATGAGTCACAAATTTGAAGTGACTAAAAAATTGAAAACATTCTTCTAAATGATGAAACAACAATTTAGTATCACCATTAAAAGTTTTAGAACTAATAATGTAAAGGACTACATCAATAAGGATTTAGTCCAATTCTTTCTTACAAATAGAGTGATTCATGAGACATCTTGTGTAAACACTCAACAAAATGAGATTGCAGAGATAAAAAATCAGCACCTATTAGAAGTAACTAGAGCACTTCTTATCCAAAGAAATGTCTCAAAATACTTGTTTGGGGGAACAATACTTACGGCCACTCACCTAATTAATAAATAGCCATCAAGGATTTTGGACAAAAAAAGTCCTATTAAGGTCCTAGAGTCCTATATTCTGCGGTTAAAATTCATAACCAACCTCACACCCAAAGTATTTGGATGTGTGGCATACATACACTTATATCGTACTAAGAAATTAAACCCGAAGGCACTTAAGTATGTACTTTTGGGTTACTCAATAACTCAAAAAGGAGATAAATATTATGATCCTAAAACTAAAAAAAATTATGTCACTCGAGATGTCACCTTAAATGAAGGTGAAAATTATTATAAAACTAATGAGGCCTTAGAACCTTCACTTTAGAAAGGATGGGTGATAAGAACACATCTCAAGGAAGTTATCTGCTTTTTTGTGATGAGGGGGAGTCAAATTCACAAAAATTAAGTATGGAAAAAAGATTTAAATAGACCTATATAAGAAGGAAAAATGAATAAATCATACACTACTTCAATAGATGATTTAACTCATGAGACTATGCTAGATTATCCATCAGAATCACAAGAAAATGTAGTAAACTTGCTGATTCATCACAACATCAATAAGAATATTACTTATCCATTGTAAAATTATTTCTCCTTGCATTGATTATCTACAGCCCACTCTTCATTTTTTACGAAGGTAGGCTCCATACCCATTTCATCAATACTTAATGAAGCTATAAATAATGTAGAATAGAAAAGGGCTATGGAAATAAAATGAATGCATTGATAAAAAATAACACATGGGAACTAGTTAAGCTCTTATACAATAAACAGAGTGTTGAGTGTAAATGAGTATTTACCATTAAGTATAATCTAAATGGAATGATAGAGAGGTATAAGACTAGGTTTGTAGCAAAAGGATATACCCAGAAATTATGGATTGATTATAATGAAATCTTCACTCTAGTAATAAAATTAAACACCATAAGGATTTTAATCTCTATGATAATAATGAAAGGATGACAGCTTCACCAATTAGATGTAAAGAACAGTTTCTTACATAGGTCCCTAAATGAGGAGATATATATGGATATACCTCCAAGTTTTAGGAAAAGAAAAATCAGCACTTTATGTGTAGATTAAATAAGTCTTTATATTGGCTTAAACAATTCTTGAGAGCATGGTTTGGCATGCTCTCAACCACTATGCATGAGATGGACTATCGCCAAAGTAATGATGGTCATATTCTTTTCTTTAAACATTCTAGAAATAAAATTTCTATTTTATTAGTTTATGTTGGTGACATGATACTTACTAGAGATGATATGTTAGAAATAGAAATGTTAAATGATAAATTATTTGCATGCTTCAAAATTAAAAGACTAGAAAATTTAAAGTACTTTTCTTGGTATGAAAATTACATATTCTAGATGTTGTATATTCTTATCTCATTTAAATATACTTTAGATTTACTTAAAGAAATCAGAACTAGTGACAATACACTAGCAACCACTCCCATTAAACTTGATGGGAAATTAGGTCGAAGTGAAGACAACCCACCAGTAGATAGAGGAAGATATCAGAGGCTGATTGGTAAATTAATTTATTTATCTCACACTCGACCAAATATTACCTACGTAGTAAAATTATTGAGTCAATTTATACATGATCCTAGAGAAGTACATAATGCAGTGGCAAGACGAGTACTTCTTTATTTAAAGGGTATACTAGATTACGGCTTGTTATTTCAACCACATGGGCATACTAACGTGAAAATATTCATTGATGCTGACTATGTAGGTTCTATTGTAGAGAGACGATTTACTTCAAGGTACTGTTCATTCTTAAGAGGAAACTTAATCATATAACACAACAAGAAGTAGCTAGTGGTTTCAAGATTTAGTGTAGAGTTTGAACTTCGAGCAATGGCACAAAGAGTGTATAAAGTATTATGGATTAAAGGGATTTTAGAAGACATTAAGATCCAATATGATTCACCCACCAAGCTCTTATGTGGTAACAAGTCAGCTATAGATATTACTCACAATCAGTACATCATGATCAGACCAAGCACGTAGAAGTGTATCGTCATTTCATCAAGGAGAAGATAGAGAATGGGATCCTCACTTTCCAACATGTCAGGTCTAAGAGCAATGTGCATACATCTTCACCAAAAGATTACATGGACCTACTATGAGAAGATTATTAGGTAAGTTGGGGATGGAAGATATTCATTCCCCAACTTGAGGGGGAGTGTTAGAATAAGTGATATTGGGTGTAATAATCTCAATTACTTATTGGTATTGGATCTAGCCACTTATACTTGACATAGATCCAATAGTCATAACTCATGTATTTGAAGGTTCACGAACCCTAACTCAAAATGAATAAAGTATTTTTCTTTTTCTCTCACTCCCTCATACTCTAATAGCTCCCCTGCTCGTGGTGGCTGTGCCCTAGCTCAAGGTGGGAGAATCTCTGACAACTTTTATTCTTCTTCTCAAAAGCTAGTGTGAGTACCCTTGACTTTGCATACTTTTGTTGCTCTATCAAGTTCTTATCTTGTTCTTATATTTGAATACTTTGTAGGAAGAGAAAACATCTGGATGGTTGACACAACAACTAGTAGCTTTTTGTTGGGTCATCTATCTAATTTGGTTGAATCATTGACTTTTTTCTACTTATGAAGGTTAATTGAGTTGATTTAGTTGGAGCATGCAACTTTTTTTCTATTTCTATTGATTAATGTTGTTAATTAGGTATATCAAAGATCCATCAATTGTTGTATCTTCCATCTTCATTGTTGTGGTTGTACGTTGGACATCAAGAAAGCATTGTTATTTTTTGACTGTTCACCATCATATAATGGTTGACTTTCTACATGTTCTTGTCTGCTATTTTTGTGTGTTGAGAGGAGGGTTGGGGGGTGGGAATTCTTCCAACTTCCCTTGAAAACCCATTGAATTAGCCCACGAGTCTAGTCAACTGGTTATGGTGAATCTTCTAACTTGCTGAATATGTTCATTCAAAGCATGATTTCTATTAAATTATCCACTTTGGTCACATATTATTGATCCAAGTGGCTGTGGAAAGTAGTTTCTTATGTTCTTCATGAGTTGTTTATCATGATCATAGATTAAAGGAAGAAATGTATTTCTCTCTCCCTCCCTCTCCCTCTCTCTCTCTCTCTCTCTCTCTCTCTCTCTCTCTCTCTCTCTACCTCCCTCCCTCTCATTCACCTTTGTCTTTTATTTTCTTATCCACCATACCTTGTAACCAAATAATAGACTGAACTGGTTCAAATTGAACTGATTCGATTTATCCTCTCTCATTTCATAATAGTTGGTTAGTATAAATAACAACCAGCATGTAAGTGTTTAGGTGTGATGAAATTTAGGGCTTTGGCCTTTTTTTTTTGTGTCTCTCTCTTGTTCACTATTAGCACATACAAGAAGGAGGGGAGGTGTTCAAAGATGATCAAAGTTCAACATGATTTCTAACATGGTAGTAGAGCACATGTGTGATCATTCTATACTCTTTTGATCTTTTGAGCTTTTCTTGAACAATATATTTTTTTTATTTTTGAGAGAGAACATATCTCTTTATAACTTTTCAGAACAAGTCACTAATTGTTTGTTAATTCTACACCATCTTAGTGAGAATCTAGTGCTATGTAACACGAGCTATGAATTTGTGTCTTAACCTATAGATTAACTCTTTGCTGAAACAAATATATCTAATTCTTAAATTCTCAAGAATGTCTAAAGCAACTTCTATGACAGAATTGTTCATACATTCTCCTTTATGTGACCCACTTAGGCCCATTATCTCTCTCTCTTCTCTCACTTATATAAACACATGTATCTCTTCATTTAAAGTTAATTTAATCTTAAGGTTTAACCTTTCTCGTTAATATGATATTAAAGACTTAAGGTTTTTTTCAGTCACCACAACTATTGTGCTATTGTTGTCACACCTGTTGTTGCCAACATGTCACAGTCACTGCATCTTCTATGTGCTCTCCTCTCTCTCTATGTGCCATCCTGTTTCACATGTAGTCATCTATTGTGCACCGTCATCAATTGTGTTGCTGAAATCTATTGCTGCACCACACGCAATCAATGCACCAATGCCTGCCCTACCACCACAACCCTTTGTCATTGTGGCCTCTGCCGTCACAAGCCCCTTGCTATTGTAGCCCCCTACCATCACAACTCCTTCATTAACAAGAACAAGAACAATCTTGATTTGTGAGGGTGGTACCTAATCTGATCTATAGATATTTGTCAATTATACCACAAATAAATCATCTAGATGGTAAGAATTGCTTTGGATGGTTTCAGCAAGTTCAAGTTGTTCTTAAAGGATGGAGAATGGTAAATCATTTAGTTGATCCAAGCATGAAGGTTGGAGATCCAAGATAAAGCATGAGATCAAAAAGACTCAAGATTCATATTTTGGATGTGGACAACCATGATTCTTGAGATCCGTAGAACATGTTAGTATCTTCCTACAGCTAGAGCAATTTGAGAAAAATTATATTACACTTATTCAAGAGCAAGAGATGCTGCATAACTTTATGAATTAAAGTTAAAAATGATGACTATGAGGCAAGGAAAAAAATTAGTGACATAATATACTCATGAAGTAAGAACATCATGACAAGAATTTGATCAATATAAAATTAATGACATGAGAGATTCATTTGATGCAACTTTGTATAGAGAGGAAATAGAAAGGGATAGAACCTAATGATATCTTGTGAGATTGAACTCTGAATATGATCAAGTCATAATTCAAATCCTAGAAAGATAAAAATTAGCTCTTCTCAATGAAATAATCTCTCTAGTTAGAGGAGAATAAAGTCCTCAAACCTAATGCTCGATTTCCATAATGCAGAAAATTCAATATTTATGACTAAAAATAGAAAAAATTATGATAATAACAATACCAAAATAAGGGGTGAACCTTTAGGACAAGAGATGCCTTCTAACAATAATTTTAGAGACAAGTTATGGTGTACATATTACAAGAAAGTGATGCACACAATTAACAAGTATTATGAATTACATGGAAGGCCTCAAAGTCATAAATGGGCACAAAAGAAAGGACAACAAAAGAGTGAAAATCAAACACATATATATGTTGTCTAATAAGGGGAAGTAAATACTTCAACTGTCATAGAAGAAGTTTCATATGCCCAAGTATTATAAGTTTCATGTTCACCTAATTATTCAGGTCTTCAACTTTTATTGGATTGAGTGTCTCAACAAATAATAAGTTTTCACCCTATATCGTCAATTTAGGGCCACATAACATATGACTTATGCCTCTCATCTATTTAACTCATATGCTCCTTGTCCACGTAATAGAAAAATTACCACAGCTGTTAGCTCCTTAGTCATAGTTGTTGGGATAAGAAACATTTGCCTATCACCTTATATTATCTTGAAAAATGTACTTCATGTTCCTATGTTGTCCACTAACCTAATTTTTGTTAGCAAACTCACACTAGACCTAGGTAATGTTGTATTTGATCTTAATACCTATCTATTTTTTTATAAGATGTTTGGAAAGATGATTATACGTGTTAGAAAACAGAGTGGACTCTATTATTTGGAGCTTCCAAGTCATTCAAATATTATAGTAGATCAAAACAACATTCTCAAGAACCCTAACCTATTAAATAATAAAAAAAATAGCTTCAACATCAAAGATTGAGACATTCCTTCTTTGTTTCACAACTTGAATACCTTTGAATTCAAGTGTGAAGTATGTGAATTTACCAAACATCAAAAAATACATTTTCCTAAAAATAATATGAAGTGTTCAATATCTTTTTTCCATGTTCATAGTAATATATGGGGGCTTGCACCAACACCTAGCACAAGTGGAGCTATGTGACTTATCACCTTTATTAATGATTGTACAAAGATGATGTGAATTTATTTACTTAAAAATAAATATGGCATAAGTATATCACTCATATAATTTTGTTCTTTAATAAAAACTTAATTTGAGACAACAATTCAGAGATCTAATAATGCTAAAGATCACTTCAATCATACATTAACTTCTTAGTTCTAAAAGGAAGGTATAATGCATGAATCATCATGTGTCTATAAACCCAAACAAAATGGGGTGGTTGAACAGAAAAATAGTAATTTGTTATGGATGACTAGAGCTCTCGTCATTCAAAATAACATACCAAAATATTTTCAGGGTGAGTGAGTTCTTATGGCTGCCCACCATATAAATCGTCTATTGAGTAAATCTTTTAATTTTAAAAGTCTAGTTTACATGTTATCTTTCTTTCATCCTCATATTCTATCGAAAATGAACTTTATACTTATAATATTTGGTTGTACAATATTTGTTCATATTCATGAACAATATAGAGACAAATTAAATTATATAGCTCTAAAATATATTTTTGTAGGATATTTCCAAACACATAAATGATATTATTGTTATTATCCTCCAATAAAGAAAATTTTCATCTCAACAGATGTTACCTTCAATGAGTAGGAAAAATACTACAACATATCAAATTATCATGCTAAGATTCAAATGTTTGAGGATCTAAAATTAATTTTTTTACTTCCTACTAAAGTTCGGAATTTACCCGTCTTAGTTATCTATCCCTACCCCCAAGGCGCTTACGGATAGCTCTGATTAGTCATCTCTTTGAATTCCCATGCCTAAAGACAAGGAGTACTTGAAGTTCGTCGGCATGGATTACTTATGAATTCATGATCACAGCTCACTATGGCTCTCATCAAACCACCTATCCTTGAATCTACTCCTAATGTATACCTCAAAAGAGGAAGATTTGGCCAAACATATTCCATAAAAAAGGAAAATACTTCAGAATCTGTGCATATTCAAAAATTCTTCTAGGACTAGTCAAATGAAACATCCCAAACTAGCACCTTACCTATTGATAAAGACCAAAGGGGTAAGAGAATGTACTAAAAACTATTATATCATATGACACTTTTTTTGACATATAAAAAATTATCACCTTCACAAAAGGCCTTTGTATCTAACTTAAATTCTAAAGACTATTTTTGAGGCTTTAACTCATGAGAAGTGGAGATAATCTATGAATGATGAGATGAAAACTTTGAAAAAAAATAACACTTGGGAACTTATACGTCTGTCAATAGAGAAGAAAGTTGTTGGTTGCAAATGGTTCTATACAATTAAGTATCATTCATATGGACCCATAGAAAGACACAAAGCCATGCTAGTTGCAAAAATATACAACAAACTTATGGAGTTGATTATCTTGAAACTTTTGCACCAATAGCAAAAATGAATATAATCATAATACTTCTATCATTAGTAATTAACTCTAATTGAGATCTTCAATAATTTGACGTTAATATTTTTATATGGTGAATTAGAAGATAAATTATATATGAAAGTATCACATTGATATAAGAGAAATTTATATGTTAATATTGTATGCAGGTTGAAGAAAGTATTGTATGGATTGAAACAAACTCCTCGAGCTTAGTTTGATAAATTCATGAAAGTTATGCTCAAGATGGGATACAAGCAAAGTCAAGGTGATCACACTTTATTTGTCAAACATTCCTTTTCATGAGGAGTCACAATTCTAATAGTATATGTGGACGATATTATTGTGACTAGAAATAATAACGTAGAAAAAATACTTCTTAGTCAATATTTATCTCAAGAATTTGATATGATTTTTTTTGAAAAATTAAAATACTTCATAAGTATTGAAGTTGCACATTCTAAGAATTCTATTTTTCTATCTCAACAAAAATATGTGATAAATTTGCTACAAGAAACTAGTAAAATAGCCTACAATCAGTTAATTCTCTAATTGATCATAATCTCAAGTTAAGTGTAGTGGAGGAAGACTTACTATGGATAAACAGATGTATCAACAACTAGTAGGTAAATTAATTTATTTATATACACAGCTAGACATAACATATGCGGTCAGTGTCATTAGTCAATTCATGCACAATCTGAAACAAATACATTTGCAGGCGGCATATCGTGTTCTATACTTTCTAAAATGAACATTAAGAAAACACATTTTGTTCAAAAATATGATTATCTAACACTTAAAGTGTACACATATATAGATTATGTTGAATCTATTATAGATCAACAATCAACATTAAGATATTGTATATTTCTTGGAGGTAATCTTATTACTTGAAGAAGTAAGAAATAGAATGTCATAGCTAGACCAATAGAAGCTTAATTTCATGCTATGGCACAAGGTATTTATGAGATTCTATTGGTCAATAATATATTCAAGGATTTAAAGATCAATATAGATGATCTAATAAAACTTTATTATGATAATAAATCAACAATCAATATTACTTACAACCATGTTCAATGTGACATAGAGATTGATCGTCACTTTATAAAAGAGAAGATAGATAGTAGACAAACATTACTCTATATGTGCCTACAAGTGATAAAATATAGATATTTTCACAAAAGAATTACACGGGAACTTCTTCTATCATCTTGTGTCCAAGTTGTGAATGGACAACATACATTCACTAGCTTGAGGGAGAGTGTTAGGAAAAAAAAATCATTCACTATTTCATCTATTATTTTTCTATCCATCATATCCTATAACAAAACAATAGACTAGATCAGTTCAAACTAAATTGATTCGATTTACCCTCTCCCATTTCATAATAACTAGTCAGTATAAATACCAACCAACATGTAAGCATTTAGGTGTGATGAAATTTAGGGCTTCAACCTTCTTCTTTTTCGTGTCTCTCTCTTGTGTTCACTGTTGGTGCAAACAAGGAGGGGAGGCATTTGGAGATGATCAAAGTCTAATAGGATTTCTAATACTCTCTCTCTCTCTCTCTCACCCTCCCTCCCTCTCTCTCTCTCTCTCTCCCTCCCTCCCTTTCTCTCTCTCTCTAGTTTGTGAAGAAGATCTGGCCTAGGAGGCATAAACGTACAATCAGGACCCTTTTTGGGCTTTTCAATGGGCATTGGCCTTGGAATGGAGTCCGGGCCCCGGCTGAGTCTCTTTGAGGTCCAGGCGGGCCTGTTGGGCCCTTTTATAGAAAGTATTTTTAAATTTTTTCTAGTTGGCTTTTAATAGGAGTATAATACTTCTGTCCCCCACGTGTTCGACGGCCGGGATCTGATCCAGAGGCTAGTGGCTGTGGGGCCCATATTGGGACCCTTCCGAATCAACCGTCCCGATTGGACGTGACCGATATGGATCGTTATCCGTGTGATTCTAAAGTAGACCTAAGTGTCCGAAAAATCAACTTTGATAAGTCAACCTGGCGTGGTTTTCGCGATAGCGCACGTTCTCCGGCGGTGGCGACGGTAGTCAACTAGGTTGTTAGTCAGAGGGAGCCAACATATCTCCAAAAAAATCTAATACCCGTGGAACTCACTGACCTTCCCTCTGCTCCGCCCTCGTCAGCTATCTTATATCATTGAGGAGCGAGAGAGACGGGTTGAGCAAGTCCTCTCTCTCTCTCTCTAGCTCTATCTCTAATTGTCTAAGAGATCGGGGTCGGTGGGGGGAGACTGGGTCCTCTGAGCTCCATGGAGATGGAGGAGGGGAGGACGCGCGGCGGCAAGGCGACGGAGCAGGAGAGGGGCGGCTCTCCCCCGGCGGAGCCTCAGAAGATCGACGCCGGAGCCCTCTTCGTCCTCAAGTCCAAAGGTTTCACCAACCCCCCTTCTCTCTCTCTCTCTCTCTCCCTTTCTCTCTCTGCACTTCTTCGTCCTCTACCATCTTTCCAGAGAAGCTGTGCAGTGACCCAAATGAAACATCTCGCTCCTCGTTCGATCGAACTGGTTATTTTCATGTTCCATCGAGAGAGGGAGAGAGAGAGAGAGCGTAGTCCGCCCGTCGTTCTCTCTCTCTCTCTATAGTTCTCAATATTGCTCTAAATTGAATGTTGCAGGGTCGTGGTTGCACTGCGGGTACCACCTGACGACGTCGATCGTAGCGCCGCCGCTGCTGAGCCTGCCGTTCGCCTTCGCGTCGCTGGGGTGGGCCGCCGGAGTCCTCTGCCTCTCCGTCGGCGCCGCCGTCAGCTTCTACTCCTACACCCTCCTCTCCCTTGTCCTCGATCACCACACCCGCCTCGGCCGCCGCCATCTCCGCTTTAGGGACATGGCCCACGACATCCTCGGTACATCATCTCCCTCTCCCTCCTCTCTCCCTCTCTCTCTCTCTCTCTCTCTCTCTCTCTCTCCCTCTTCCTCTCCCTCTCTCTCTCTCCCTATCTCTCTCTCTCTCTCTCTCTCTCTCTCTCTCTCTCTCTCTCTCTCTCTCTCTCTCTATCTCTCTCTCTCTCTATCTCTCTCTCCTCTCTCTCTCTCTCTCTCTCTCTCTCCTCTCTCTCTCTCTCTCTCTCTCTCTCTCTCTCTCTCTCTCTCTCTCTCTCTCTCTCTCTCTCTCTCTCTCTCTCCCTCTCTCCCTCTCTCTCTCTCTCTCTCTCTATCTTTCCCTATAAATTTTCAATGGGTCGAGACGGAGCCAACGGTGTCAAGTTCATGGGCCTCATTTGTGCGCAGGGCCCAGATGGGGGCGCTACTACGTGGGCCCAGTCCAATTCCTCGTCTGCTACGGCGCCGTCGTCGCCTCCACCCTCCTCGGCGGCCAGAGTCTCAAGGTGGTGGCGGCGCCACCGCCTGCGCTTTCCGCTATCTCGTCTTTCCTTTCCTCCCCCGCCGTTCCCCCTCCTGATCTCGCGCCACTTTGAAATCGGCAGGCGATATACGTCATCACCCTCTCCACCGACGGCGAGGGGCCGGTGGCGCCGCCGCTGAAGCTCTACGCGTTCGTGGCGATATTCGGCGTCCTCATGCTGGTGCTCGCGCAGATACCCTCCTTCCACTCCCTCCGCCACATCAACCTCGCCTCCATCCTCCTCTGCCTCTCCTACAGCGTCTGCGCTACCGCCGGCTCCATCTACGCAGGTACGGATCTGATGGAGCAAGAGCAGAACCATGGCGGACGGATCTGACCGACGGTGCCGTCTCCGGCGAGTGCAGGTAGCTCCGCTCGCTCGCCGCCCAAGGACTACTCCCTCCCCGCCGGCGGGGAGGACCGGCTCTTCGGGGTGCTCAACGCCCTCGCCATCATCGCCACCACCTACGGCAACGGGATCATCCCCGAGATCCAGGTCGTGAAACCCTAATATCCCTTCCACACCAGCTTCTCCGACCCTAATTACCTCCCCCCCCCCCTGTTCCAGGCCACGGCGGCGCCGCCGGTGGTGGGGAAGATGTTCAAGGGGCTCTGCCTCTGCTACGCGGTGGTCATCATCACCTTCTTCAGCGTCGCCACCTCCGGCTACTGGGCCTTCGGCAACCTCGCGCAGGGCAGCGTCCTCAGCAACCTCCTCGCCGGCGGTTCCCCCCTCGTCCCCCGCTGGTTCCTCCTCATGACCAACGCCTTCACTCTCCTCCAGGTCTCCGCCGTCGCCGTCGTGAGTAACAACGCCCTCCGCTCTCTCACTCTCTTCTTCCACCTCACCGGAGGCTGAGGCAGCGCCACCACCGCCGTCGCCGGTGCAGATCTACTTGCAGCCGACGAACGATACTCTGGAAGGGCTCTTCTCCGACCCGAAGAGAGACCAGTACTCGACGAGGAACATGGTGCCAAGGCTGGTCTTCCGGTCTCTCGCCGTCGCCACCGCCACCACAATCGCCGCCATGCTTCCCTTCTTCGGGGACATAAATGGGTTCATCGGGGCGTTCGGGTTCCTCCCGCTGGACTTCGTCATCCCCGCCATCTTCTACAACGCCACCTTCCGGCCGTCCAAGCGGAGCCTCCGCTTCTGGGGGAACGCCGCCATCGCCACCGTCTTCTCCGTCATGGCGGTCGTCGCCTCCGTCGCCGCCGTCAGGCAGATCGTCATTGATGCCAAAGACTACCGCCTCTTCGCCAACGTGTGAGTTCCCCTTAAAGTCAATGCTTTCTTCCTCCGGGCCAACCAGGCCCCGCGTCGGCTTCTTACTCTTTTTACTTGGGGACAATTTTTATGGAAACCAATAATCTTGGTGAATGCTGCCCATCTCTCTGAGGGGGAGAGAGAGAAGAGAGAGAGAGGGTCAACGTAACAGGATGCCATGAGAAACGAGAGCAAGTGAAAGGGAGAGAGGGAGAGAAGGTCAACGCAGGAAGAAGCCATGTGAGACGTAGCAAGATGGCGTGACAGGGACGAGTGCGAGAGTGTCAACGTAAAAAGGATGACATGAGAGAGATAGAGCGAGAGGGTCAATGTGATAGAGAGCATGAGCGAGACGAGAGAACGAGAGGGTCAACGTAACAGGATATCATGAGAGACATGAGTGATAACCAAGTGGAAGGATGAGAGCGAGATAGAGTCAACGTAGCAGAATGGAAACGTAGCAGAATACAACGAGACAGAGAGAGAGAACGTAGAGAGACGATAGAGAATGGTAACGCAGTCGAGTGCAGAGACTACGGTGAGAGGGAGACAATAGTGACGTAGTAAGTGCAGGACGGTGAGAGTGAGAGAATGGTGACGTAGTAGAGTGCGACGGTGTGTGCGTGTGAGAGAGAGATAAATATACTAGCAGACGACGAAAGGAAGGATTTCCAGATACCACCGAGCTACTACCGACATCCTCGGCATCTCGGGCCAGGTACTCCCAAAGTCTCTAGGGCTCCCTCCAACAGTCCCAAGCACCGAGGGCCGTCCTCAACCCCCTAAAACCTCGTCGAAGCCTCTGCCGAGACGATGGCGCCGATGCAGCGGACGTGGTCGTCCCGGCAGCCGACGAAGACACGTCCGGCGATCATCACCGGCGACGAGAAGACTTCTCCGGGGAGATCCACTCCCCCCACCTCTTCCGCCGGCGAGCTCTCGCGACCTTCATCCCCCACGCTCCGGCGACTCGTCTGGTCTTCGTCCACCTGGAGCAGACGTATTCTTCCCGAGCTTCCGCAGACGCAGACCAACCTGGGGAAGGAGCCGCGGTTGAAGAAGGGGGCGACCTCCAGAAAACGAATCAATCAATGCTGGTCGAGATCTGCCCAGAAACAGAAAGGTAAGGCAGTTCACCTATGGGCGGCCATTGAAGGCTCTGAGACCAGCCGCATCTGCTCATCGACGTATGCGGAGGAGGTGATCGGGTCCCCCACCTGATGCTCCCACAGCAGTCCTCCACTCTCCTGCAAGCATCATCACACCCCGATCATAAACCCTAGATCTTCCAAAACCCTTAATCCTTGGGGTTGATCGGCGGCAGCGGCGGCGGCTTACGGATTCAAAGGAGTAGACGCTCCCATCTCTTGAGCACACAAGCACCTGGATAGGAATCCCAGAAAACCGATATCACCAGTTCAAGGATTTGATCGACTTGCATGATATATACAGAGCTCAAGAGCTCGAGCGAGAGAGAAGCCAGGGAAATGGATCCCCTTGAGGAAGACGACGAGGCCGGCAGACCTGAGAAGGAAGAGCAGAAGACATGCATGCTCCGGCAAAGATCGGACCACCAGTTGCTGCCTGCGAGTTCATCACCAAGATGATTAAATCGGAGCTGATTACTAGTCTGCGATAGAAATTACAGGATTTCAATGCCCTCATCAGCCTACTTCTGTGCACCGATTCCAAAGCGAGCAGTGATCTTCACAGCATCCAGTCCAATAACTGATTGACTGATTGCCAAACAAGGATCATACTTCTTTCAATAGATTTCTTTTACATAATCTGGCAGCCGCCATATACAAATTTGACTCCAGAAAATCATTTTCAATCAATATTTTATGGGACGGAGAATTATTTTTTTCATGAAGATTATTGTACAGGAAACTTAGTACATTACTATATCCACATCTGGTAATATGCTGTCATAAACCCTGATATCACATAGCTAATTAAAAAAAAAAAAGGATTCAATGGCTTCAAAGGAACAGAGGAAAATACCTTCCAGACCATGGACCCTTCTGAGTTCAATGCGATCACATGCCCATCCACAGAGCAACAAATGACTGCAAGATCAACCTTAACCACATCACATTATCATAATAATAATAATAATAATAATAATAATAATAATAATAATAATAATAATAATGTGGCATTGGAAGAAGAAAAAAAGAGATCATTGTGGATGGGTAATCCTCAGCTGATTCAAATAAATGGCGGGGAATAAGCTCACCATTCCCAGTTAATGCATCTAAAGAGAGGGACCCAAAAATGGGTGCCCCGGACTCATACAGCCAAGCCACCCTAAATGGAGGGGCCTGCAGAATTAAAAAATAAATATTCTCAACAAAAAAGAGAATTAAAATATAAAAAAAGGGTATAATAGGCCATTTCAATCCATATTATTACTGCAATTGGAGGGGGTAATAGATCCTCCCAGTAAATATAATATATATTACTCCACTATCAAATCCTCTTCCCTCATCACAGTTTTGCAACCAGAGAACTAGCAGAAATAATCGGCCCACAAATTAAAAAAAAAAAAAATCATGAATTATTGGAGGCGCATGCTAGACGATATTGATCATAGAGAGGGGATTAGAGTATTTTGATCAGTAATGTGCTTCCATAAAAGCCTCAACGTTTCTAAACCACTAAACTATCCTCATAGAGCAATCATACCTCTGCCGATACTGCTGTCACCCGGCCACTGGTGGATGCTATATATATCATGTTCCGCACCTAGCAGAAAAAAAAAAAAAAAAACTTACAATCAGGCGATTTATCTCATTGCGAACCCGAGCTGAGGAATGAAAAAAGTTTCCTCTGTTGGTAATATCATGCTTTCCTGTGAGAGAGAGCTGAGCAATAAAGCTAAAGACTCCAAAGACTCTGGGACAGAAGCTGAGGCCTCTATTGAAGAATTCATTGGATCATAATCCGCTAACCGTGCATAATAAAAATCTGGGGTTTTAGATCAAAACATGGGTTTTAAAACCCGACTCCAAAATCACGATCACACTAGATCTTTCTCTCTTGCTCATAAGAATGTGTTCATGCGGTCCCAAGTGTAAAGCTTGTGTGTGCTTGGATATGAGATTGAGGGGCATAAGTAATCAAGATTACTGGCAGCTAGAGGATGCTAATCATGAGTATTAATGAGCTTCACGAACCCAGGAATGTTACAAATTAATTTATAATTAATTTCACTTTAACCAGGCTATCTGCCTCAAGTAGAACATGGGGCTGCAGGATCCACTGGAAAGTTCTTGCAAAAAAGCAAGAATGTAAGCTCAAAGAGTGTTGTGAATCAGTCCAGACCGCACAGCTAAAAGAACTTGAGATGAATCGGTCAAAGATGTTTCTACTTGATATCCTGGGTAGAACACAGGAACTGGCGGCCCGGTGTGGAACAAGTGGATTATTACGAGTCAAAGGGAACTGGATATGTTCTTGCGCGATCTGATGCTTTAAGGGAAGAAAAAGAAGAACACCATGCTGCATCAATCTAGAGATTGTGGAAATCCAAAGTGTTTATTTTCTCTCCTTGTCTAGGCTCATGTTACGACCAATAATCATCATTGGAACGTTGATTAGGATTGCAGTCACTTCTGTAAACCTTTATCATTCAACCCATTAGGTAAATAATGCAGACTAAATTACAAAACAAAGGGGAGACACAAAAAGAGGGCGAGAATTTAAACTCAGTTTTAAAAGAAGAAGAAGAAGAAGAAGAAGAAGAAGAAGAAGCATATGAGTAGAATGGCAAACCATATCTACGGCAGGTGATCCATAAGGGCTTCCACCACAAGAGACCCTGTAGACACAGCACTGCTGCACGTAATCCAGAGCATAAATCCAGTGGTCATGTGATCCACACCTAAAATATAAAAAATTCGGTCAAATATGGAATCAAAGCATTTCTTCGTGCTTATGTCAGCAGAAACCAGATTTAACTATGAATCACTAGCGCAGGACTGATACAATAAAACTAGAACGAGATTAAAACGCTTCTTTGTGCTGAACATGTTTGAAAGTTTCATAAAGTATGAGTAAAATACATAGACTCAACGGTCATGGATGTCAAATGAACTCAAACCATGGCCTTCCGGCATGGACATGATGCATGAAACTAAATTAAACATGGCCTTCATTTATCCAGGTTAATAAATATTAATATTGACAGAATAGATATTAAATAATATTTATGGTGATAAAGAAAAGGGTACTCCACTCTTCCCCAATTAATTATGAGTTAGCTATTATAAGAAACTTAACATAGTATGAGAGCCAATGAGCACTCCAGGACTACGTGCTACTCATTTCTGTTGTCCACATGATAAAACTCAAAAGTCAGCAGATACATGAGAAATCATGTTACAGTAATCATGGATCAATTAATACATAATAAAGATGCACATAAGAAAGATCCACTCTTTTTCAAATGGTTTTGAGTTGCACGAAGTAACATCCTCAGCAAATATAAATTCGAACTTATGGAGAACTTCAACGGCATATCATTCAATACAAAGTCATTTGGACATTATAGTGGTCATAAAAATTCCAGATTACAAGGCAATAAATGATTATAAGCGAAGAGGGAGGCCAGCAAAGAACAAGTGACCTGTGATTTAAAAAAAAGGAAGAAAAGCAATTTGAAGCACGGATTAATGCCAACAGAAGAAAGGAGTAATGTGAAGCATGGAAGATTCCCGAAGAGGATATCTTCAACACAAGTGGGATAAATTGATTGACAGAGCCGTAATATTTTTTCGTTAATCTCAATTGACAGGAGTTACTATTTATATTCATTATTCGATGAATTTATCGAAACAAGATTCGATAATCAATATAAAACGTATAAATACTTCAAAGGAAGTGTTCAGAGATTCGGGGGAGGGGGGGGGGGGAATGTATATAAAAATGTACCAGACTAAATTTTTCCACGCCACTGGCTGCATTTTAACCTGCAAAAGTGAAGAGAAAATACTAGTCAAATAACAGCATTTAGCAAATGAATGTAGCTTGAAAAGGTGTCAAGAAAAATGAGGTACTAAAAAGGGAAAAGATGCGAGCACGTTTTACAGGGAAAATGAAACATAGCAGCAGACAATCTCATTAACAGGGATAGTACCTCTCCAGAAGTTTGAAATGTCCAAGAAATGACACCAGACACAAAATCAAGAAAATAGATCTTCCCTTCATAGCATCCAACGACAACCTTAAGAAACGATAGTTAAGAATGAAATATATTCAGGGTTCAACAGGAAGGGAATATTCCAAGATATGTAGCATCTGACATGCATAATTTAACATAAATCATACGTGAGAAAAATCAATGGTAGCAACTGCAGAACATTCAACTCGCCCTTCCAATTGAGTCTTCCACCGAATAATACCACTAAAAATTCCATAAAACAAGATATTAGATAAAGCCCGGGGTCTTGTAACAAGCAAGGAAGTCAAAGGGGCGAAAAGAGCAATCAACTCATAAGACTTTAGCCAATAGGATCTCAACTGGATTTGAGAGTTTCAAAGCAGAAATTAGATTTATCCACGGAAGTCATAGTAAATGCACACGCCAAGAGAAAACTTTACCGCCAAAGGATCAGGCTAGCTTGATCCGGGTTAAGATTCCTCTGACCTGTAAAACGTGGGCCCAACTCTTGGGGAAACGGTAATGCATTCAAGACATTATTCCATCTGTCATACGCCCCCCTGGATCCATTGCTACAAATAATATTATTTGTTTTGCTAAAGAGGGGATTCTTATGAGCAGATATAGAAATATCAAGTTACTGAAGCTCATACTCCAACCCCAATCCATTTCATCATGTCCAGGGACAGGATATTCTTTTCTCCCTTTTTTTATAGGTTTAGTGAGTAAGCTGGTGTTCCACAGCAGCAGTTGAGGGGTCCCAACATCTGATGGGGTCTTTTATTATAGGAGTAGTATCAAAAAAATAAATTAAAATCAAAATTTCTGAAAATGCCGTTAAAAAAAACCCATTGGGCCTTGTTACAATCGTCATCAGATCTTATCACATTGATACAGCCAATCCGGAGGAAGTTTGATACAGACAAACAAGGGCAGTCTAATGGACTGATATCAGCCAACATCTATGTAAAATATTGTATATCCATTGAATCATCAATGCTCCAGAGAGATTTCTGTAATTCAGTACCATGACATATGACAAAGCCAAAGATGAAAATAAATCAAATCAAGAATGACACATACCTAAGGGCATCCAGGCAAAAAAATATGTGAGAATGAGATCCAATGAATATGAGAATCTCAAAATTCTTCAACACAACTAATGGAGATGCATCGACACATGATCCCAGTGGAACTTTCCATATCTCTCGCATGTCCCAAGTTCTGCTTCTTGGAATTTCTGTCATCGTACAATATTTCTGCACCTCATTAGCTTGAGGACCTTCTCCATGTATGAACCGGTTGCAACGACTGAAGGAGCATAACTTGGGTAAATGAAGCCTGGAAAACCACAGGCTCTCATCGCCAGTAGTTGCATTCCTTCGATTTGATTGCATGACGGAATCCATTCTTAGAGATCCAAGTTCATCACCAGGCTTGGCTAGAATTCTTGAGTGATCTACACCAACTTCCCCAGAGACAGTATTCAATTTCAATCTTTTTCCCTGGAAAACACCATCGTGGAAACCAACTTGACGTGCAGCTTTTCTACCTAGAAGAGCATCTACTAGACTGGCTGGGCTAGGAAAGCTGTAGACTAATCTCATATCAATCCCTAATCTGTGAGAAAGAAGGGCAGCCAAAATTGAGTTACCACCCAATGCAAAAAAGTCATCATTATCCTCCACCTTTTCAATTAGCAGCGCATCACAAAAGGCCTGGCAGTTTAAATAAAAAATTCACATAATCAGAGGAAGCTATCAATGCCAATTTAAATATACAATGAAATCAGTGAAACAGATGATAGATTTGGATTGATATAGTTTGACATTCACACTTTCCAGGTATTCCGATTATGAGAACTGAGAGCTAGTGTAAGGAACAACCACAGGTACAGTGACTGACCAACTTGGCAGGTCCCCTACGGAAGTTCACATGCTTGATTGTTCTACTTCATATCTTTCACGTACCCTTTGCAATATTTCCCAATTGTTTCAAAAGTAAAGAAATAGCCAACTGAAACGTGATTCTGCGCATCTAATCCAAATGTCGATAGGCAACTAAGACTTAGCAATGCCTAACACAAGTTGCAAGTTCAGTTTATGAAAATCAGACACCCGGACATTGTAGTTACTATTCAGAAAGTTCAAAATCTAAAACACTTTTTAACTCTATAATTTTAATGACTAGTAAGTAAATATTTGTTTCCAAATTGAACTTTTATTAATAGTAAAACACCCCATCGGTAACCAAACAAAAGCAAAATAGTGCATTATTATGGTCACTTTTCCCTTTGCGGGAGCGGAGAAGAAGCAGCTGACAGGAATGCAGGGGAAATTCCTCACCACAACTGTGTCAATCGAGCTCCAAGCAACCGGGGCATTTAGCTGATAACCTAGACAGCCAGATGCACTGGGCATTTGAACTACCTTGTAGACAGAGCATTGCCTAGGTAACACCATGAATACTATATTTAAACTAATTTTAAAAACTCAGATGCAAACACTTGCATACATATGGAGATAGCATGGTGCGTAAGTGATGGAAATATCTAAAAACTATTTAAATTTTAGAAAATGTGGCCACGCACATCCACAAAGGAAATTACTAAAATTATTCCATATATGATACAAATCCAAAATTCTAGAAAGTGTTTTCCCAACATTTTTCTTGTGAGGAACATCACGTAGATGTCATCATATTTAGTATGGTGTTGATATTCATGTAGCCACGAAATTCAAGGTGCACCCTAGTGCATATATAGAAAAGGAAAAATAAAATCTTAGGGATACTAACTGATAATAAGAACAGACGCATACCTGTTTCATAATTTGCAAATGATCATAGAAACACTGGTTCTCATTGAATTCCTTCACTTGGCGCTTTGAGATGGATTCTGAGCTTTCCAGGGCAGTGTAGTCCACTTTCCCAGAGGAAGACATTGGCAGTGACTCCACAAATAAATAGCTACTGGGAATCATGACTAGAGGTAATCTTCTAGCCAACCAACTTCTGATGGATGGCGCCAAGGACTTATCTCTGTTATCCAAATTGTCTGAAGAAAATAGCTTTTCTTGAGTTTCGGCATTCTTCCGTAGAACAGTATGAGCTTTCAGATATTTCAAATCAAATGCTTCCCCTTGACTTTCTAAGACTACCGCAGCATCCTCAACTTCAGGATGTCCCCGAAGAGCATCTTCAATTTCCTCCAAAGCAATACGTTGTCCATTGACTTTTACACTCCTGTCCTTTCTCCCAATAAAGAGAAGGTCACCACTTTGCAGACGTCTTGCAAAATCGCCGGTTTTGAAGCATGGGGGGTGATTTTTCTTCACAAGAGGTTCCTGAGAAATATCATCAAAATATCCTGCAAATACGCAGGAACCCGAAACATATATTTCACCTTCATTAGCCGTACTTTGCCCGAGAAGAGTAACATCACAATTAGGAATAGGTTTCCCAATAGGAACACTGCTTAACACCTCTGTCTCTAAAATCTTGGGTAAATATGTGCAATCAAAAAATGTGCAATCACCAGACACCTGAAAATATTGGAAAATGCTATAGAGAATAATGGTGCATCATATAGTTTTTAAACATGCTATAGCCAGAGGGTAAATTGCATTTAAAAAACCTTTAAACATTAAATCATGAAGCTTATTGGTAAAATAAAATTTCAAAGATTTGTTAAAATGATACAAAGTCATCTACTTCCAAGGAAAAAAAATTCCTGATATCCCTATTTTAAAGCCAACTCTTCAGGAAAATAGATACCTTACCTCTGTACTTCCATACAAATTCAATATAATCGTCTCTGGCAAGAGTCCACACAGAAGATTCCACAGTGAGATAGATAAAGTTTCTCCACTAAGGACTAGTAATTTTAGTGTCTTTTGCACATGAATCCACTTTGACCTTTCAGAAGCAGGAAGAACAGCTCTCGCCAAAGATGGAACAATGACCAATCGTGATATGCAGTACACCTGCCAAACATCCATTTGAAAAATTAAAAAGCGCCAATGACAAACAAAACATAGCAATGACTGTCTAGTCTTCCGTATGATGTATGATCATTTTCTTTCATGTTCAAACCATTCCAAGGAAACATAAATTCATGTTCATAAAAACCATATTTCTCCACACAAATTACAGACATGATTACTAAATCGATTGAAATCTCATCAGAAAGCAAGCGCCTAAATAAACTAATGGAGAACATGGATTGCCATCCCATCTTTAAAACCCAATATTTTCTTAACTATACTTAATGCTTTCAAGATCCATGGAAGGACCAGCCTTACGAATAATGATGCACTTAACTAACTAAAGCTGATCAAGAAACATGATATTATGTTTCACACATAGATAATTCGATCACAAATATAGAAAGCAGAAACCATAAAGAGGACCAGCAATGCTGTTTCCAGTGTGACTACAACTCAGAATTGCCTGAACAGGTACAAACAGGCACCAGTTGGTCTGACCAATACTAAACTATAAACTGGTCAGAGCCAGGATTTGAGCCCGGGACACATGGGATTTTTTGCTTATCATTTACTCAAACAAATAAAACTAATTTTTTACGGAATGTTCGTTCTGAAAGGATATCCTACTACACATTCGTTGAATATCAAAACTCGTTGATAGGAGCCTCCGAAAACGGTGCAGAACAAAAGCTATTCTGTATTCTTTGTAGAATCTGAAAATTAACTCTCTCCACAAAAAACATGAATACGCTAATAGAAAAATAATTGCAATTAACAAAAAATCATTGAGGTTCAAAATAAAATCAAAGAACGGTTACCTTAAGTATGTCAACCAAGTAAAATGGATATACTTTCAAATCATCAAAAGGAGGTATGATTAATGGAGCACAAGACAAAACAGCAGTTAGGATCTCCTGTAGATGGTCAACAAAACTAATTGGCGTCTTGAAAAGCAATATCTCCCCACTACATAACGGAAAAAATTGTTGCATCCACGAAAAGCGATTAATAAGACCTGAAAGCATGAATGAATAAGTACAATTAAAGGTAAGGTATGCACAGAGACTACATCATACACAGTATCTGGATAAACTCCCAACAGATAAAAATGACCATGAAACAATCAGATTTAATGCTCAGCACAAAAGTATGCACTCTAGAGAGAAGGAAAAGAAGCACCACAATGTATATTTCATGCGAGAAATATTCAGTTTCAATAAGCTATCTACGGGTTTTAAAAGCCCTCACATTTTTACGCATAAACTTAGCCAGTGAACATCAAGTGGAGAAATATTCCAATAATAAGGGAAGCGAATTCCAAAGGTTGTTAGGGAGAAACCAGTGTCGATTAGTTATGCAATACCCAATAATTGATCCAACCCCAGCATTGTACCTTTATTGGATATATGATACAACACTCAGATTGGGGGATTGTCTACGAGAAAGATATCTTTCCATCGAACATAAGCCAATCTAGGTTTCAGTGTACATCTCTTGCCTGAATTTTCTACCATCGGTAAATCCATTATATCAATTGTATTGCTTCCGTCCATCATTGACATGCAAAACATAGATCGTGCTTTGTTGACAGTAGATTAAAAGAACTAAGCGTCAAATGGAAGTTTCTTAAAGTCATCAGACACATAGAAATGAAATGGGCAAATGTTCTTTGAAATTGATCTATTAGTTCTTAAATTCATCATACAAATTCCAGTCCACGGTCTGGAAGTTAAATTAATAGATATCTTCAATAGAACCTTGTTTTTTTGAGCAATGAATAAAAATGGCCTAGTTCATGTAATCATACCCAGAACAAACTAGAATTTGGATAAGTTCATAATTTTATGTTTCACCAGATTAACAAAGAATTGGTATGGATCTAATTCTATGATCTGTAGGAGACAAACACATCCCAAATTTCTGCATGGATGCATCCCAACATCTGGGCAATTGAAAAGTATAATACACTAATATATGTATCGATATTTAGCAGCATAATATATAAAATAACGCCCAGAAGTGGAAACTACGGTAAAGGTTTATCGAAGTGTTGGGCCAATGCTGCAGTGAAAATTCGAAACGTATTTGATGTTGTCAGACAACTTTTTTTGGCCGATTGAAAAACTAAGAGAGAGAACCTGAGGATTAAACATAAATGTCATACAGAGTGACGTACATATATGAATGGAAAATCATGCCTGTGATCTCCTCGAACGTGAGAATTTGACTGATTGGAAAAGCAAACTGGATTCTAGCCATGGCTTACAGGTGAGGCGGCTTTATGTCAATGGAGGTGAATGTTCTCTCTTTACAGAATAGATTATAAGGGACATTTTCTCTCAGTCTCCCTTCACTCTCGCCCATAGAACCTCTCAAACCTTGTATATTGCCACATCCAAAATGAATGCTCAAGTCAACGCACGTCAACATAACCAAGAATGAGATTTCAATTAGTCTCTCCCAGCCATTAAGTTTCCAGTGAAGCTCCAATGAATTAATACATCAGAAAGTTAAAATAACGGAAGAAGAGAAAAGACGGCCACTTGCACAAAGACCAACAAACAAATCTCACTAGATCAAATAGAAAAGGACAATGGCATTTGTTATTCAATATGCAACTGTAGGAAATCCTTACCTTCCTCTGTTCCACATACTCCCTTGGGCTTCCCAGTGGAACCAGATGTGTACATCAAGTAACAATACAATCTTGGACTCTTGGCCTTGCAGGGCCAATCCAGCTCAGAAGGGCCATTTTTTGGCAGGGTACTTCCCATAGAAAAATATAAAACAGAAAATTCATTCCTATCTTGAACCCAAACAGTCTTATTGTTCTGGACACTTATGCCTCCTTGGGAAGATATTGAACATGTGATAATGAGGTCAGTCCTTGAACAAGCGGCCACATATAGCAGCCTTTCTTGCGGCCATAATGGATCAAGCGGCAGGAAAGCCTCTCCACATCTGAGGATTGAGAGTATGGCAATTACATACTCAACAGAAGGTGCTATGTGCACCCCCACTATTTGTGGTTTCCGATGGAAACCCCCTGAAGAGTCCGAAATTTGAGTTCCTATGCTCTGTGTTGAATGAACATGACCTGCAAGTAATTGGAATTAATGACAACAACAAAAAAAAAGCAGTCAACTCAAGGACTGCCTGAAACAGGATCATCAAAGATACAATCCAATGACAACACAGAAGAGATAAGTGAGGTCATATAAAATAAGCAATTCACTGAAATTAAAGTAGGAGTTACAGTAAATACAGAGTACTGACTGTTCATCGATTCCAAGTTTGCAAACAGGAGGAAAGAAAAATGGGTTAATTGAATACTGTCCGAAAGGGAAAGGGAGCGTTGCCACAATCAATATAGACAGGAGAAAAAAAATTATTTTGATATGTTTGGTGTCCTAACCTTTTGGCCTCAACAAATCTGGATCATCTCCACCATCAAGCACTTGGCGAATGCGGCAGCTTAGGGACTCCACTGCTGACAAGACTTCTCCATAAGTGAAGGAGACATCTCCTTGATAGACTGGGGAAGAGTTGCACTCCTGGGATCTCTCGGACAGCCACTCCTTGTCAAGAACAGTGGAGTTTTCTCCTCTGAGGGTTATGTCCTTTATCTCCCTGCAGATCTGTATCCCACCTGATGCATGCACGATAGCAATCTTGCAAGGATCCTTAGATGCTGAACGGAAGAACTCATGAGAGATGCAGCGGCATGGTTCATCATGCCCATCCTCCACTCTGGGTCTCATCTGCGAGACTACAGCTTCTAATGCTAGAGAGCTTTTTAAGATCTCTTTCAAAAAGGGCGACTTGGCATGGGGAAAAATCGAGGCATGTTTCCACCTGAGAGCCGGGTAAAATAGAACAGGATCATTGTACAATTAGGCCCAGGCCACAGAAGAAGGAAAAGATTTGTTCCTCCTAGGAACTTGATTGATGTTCATCTGTGTCCATGGGCACTGAGAGGGATCTCTTATTATGTTCGATATCAGAAAAAATGGATACCAAAGGACCAAATTATACCCCAAAAATGATACAGACTGAGGATGGTTCCCTTTCCCATTCTACTAGACAAACAAGAAGTTTCAACTTTCAATCAATACACTGTCACGATAAACACTCCCCAATCCACCAATAATTTTACTGAACTTGGATGATCAAAAGCATCCTGAGGGAGACAGCAATCATATCTTCCCTGAATATATCAAAGGATAAAATAAATATCAGAAATGAGCATCATAGACAGAAAACAAAGATGAGGGAAAAAAGAGAAATTTTCTTGGCTACTCAAGGATGGGGTATGAGACAGAGAAGATGGCTGATGGAAGCAACTTGATTCTTGTATTCAAGGCTTTTTATAATTTCCCAGGTGATTCTACCTGCCTTTTATTAAACAAAGATGACATCTAGTTATCCTCACAAATGCCACCATGCCCTCTTGAATTGGCAAAGTGGGAGATAGGGAAATGAACTAGAAATCATTATCTAAAAAGGAAGATGGGAAATCAAACATAAACTAGCATAAGTTGAAAGAATCCACAAGGAATGGGGAATGACAAATCTCCGTGTCAAAATGGGAAAAAAAAAACAAGGCCAAATCATTCTTCTATGAACATGAAAATAACCCCAAGATCCAACAGTGGACTTCCATATTTCCAAGTCACTTACATTTAGCACATGCGGAATGCAGAGAACACACCACCACACTACCTTGGCAAAATTTGCCTGTCGTGTTATCCTTGGGCTTCAGTTCTTCGGCATTTTCTTGAATGGTTGGTAAGACAGACACTGATCGACACTGTTCTATTGTAATCTTCATCACCTGCATTCCAGAGAACGAGAATAGTTCTTCAGATAGCCCTAAACCCTCAGTGCCCATGAAAGCACTGAACTCTATATAGCATTTCAAGTGAGCACAAACACCATAATATGGACGCAGGAATGACTACTGAAAAATAGGGCACATGTGGCCCCATTATATCGCAATACCAAGTAGCAATTTTCTATGAACTTGCAATGTTGAGCATACATGCTACGATCTTAACAAATAACTAATCATTGTATTGAAGGCTCTGCAGCATCGTCCCGGACCCTGAATCGGCCATACTTTTCACCAAACTCCTAATCGCACCGAATTTCCTAGCTCTGAAGAGTCCACGTAGCATCATACTATACGTAGGCATACCAGGCTCCCAGCCTAGTTGCTTCATCTCACTAAGCAAACTACACCCCTCTTCGGACCTGCCACCCCTGAACATCCCATAGACAATAGCTGTGTAGGACACCATGTCAAGGGCAAAATTCTCAGAAACTGCTTTCCTAAATAGTCTAATGGCTGTATGAGCCTTTCCTCCTTTAATCAGACCATTAAAGACCACGGTGTGGACATGGGCATCAACAGAGTTACCATTCAAAAGAATACCAGTATAAACCTTAACTGCATCGTCAACCCTTCCTGACCTGCAGAGGCCGTTTAATAATCCTGCAAAACTGAAGTTATCTGGAATGAACCCACGGTCAACCATGTCATCGTAGAACTCGACAGCTTTGTATGGGAAACCAGTCTTGCAAAGGATGTGCATCAGAAAATTACATGCTACCAAATCAACAGGAATGCCAAAGGTAGCAATCAACTTCGGAATCAACTCAATTTTTCCATATGCACAGAGTATTCTCATCATCGAAGAGAGAGTGTAGGAATCTGGCTTAAGATTCCACTCTTGTAAACAGAGGATAACACCAATAGCATCGTCGTATCTCTTTGACTTGCAAAAAAAGTCAACCAAGACGTTGCAAAGAACCAAATCCGGCTGATACCCATTAGACAGCATGAGATCCAACAGATGGAAGGCTTCATCTGACAATTGGCATTCTAAAAGTCCTTTGATTACCGTAGTATAGGTGATGACAGTAGGAGAACAGCCAGAATCGGCCATCTTCCCCAGCAACTCGCTGGCATACTCAGCTCTACCGAGCTGGCAGAATGTGCCAATCAAAATCGTCCAAATGGGAACCGACAGTTGTTTGCCAGAGACCACCATGAAGCCCACCAGTTGCAGCACCTCCATCAACCTCGTTGACTTTTCTAAACAAATCAAGACTCTTGAGAGTGTTCCAACGTCAGGGTCAAACCTCTGTTTGACCATGAGTCTCAAAACAGCTCGAGCTCCCAACCAGTCGTCAAGCTCGCAGAGATTGCCTATTGCTATACTGAAAGTCAGAAAGTTGGGAAACGGAGTGTCTGCGAAAAAATCGAATGCCCTCCTGACGCTACCGAGCTTGAACAAAGTATCCAGGGCGATGTTCCTGGCAAACACGTTTGGGACATAATTATGGGCGCTCATCTCGTCAAATGTCTCCAGAACCAGCCCGTGCATGCCCCCGCGCCAGTATATCCTCATCAACATCAGAAAGATCTGTGGCTTTCTCGGGCACCCAACACTGTCCAGCTCCTTCAAGATCCCTGAGACGGAACCGAATCTATTCGTCAGCCGATCCAACACCCCAACCATGAGGTCGAAGGACCCGGGACCATGGGAGTACTGCGGCTGGCGGGCGCACCACAGGAACAAACTCAGCGCTACGATGTCCGAGGGGCAGTTCGACAGACTCGTCTCGACGACCTGAGTGGTCGGGACGAAGAAAGAAGGCCTTTCCTGGGTTTCGATCCAGCCGCTGCCGAGCCTTTCCCCGACTCGGTACGATGCCGCATGCAGCAGTCTCCTCCATCTCACTAGCATCTATCGTCCCAAGCAAAACTAGATCGATTGGGTTCCTACAGAGCCGGGAACGATGGCGGATGGGGGTGGGGAAAACATCTACTATAGGTTAACAGACACACGCGCGTCGGCGAGAGAGATAGAGAGAGAAAGAGGGAGAGGGTACGCACCAAACTTCGAAGTCGAACGAGGGGGAGGGAGACGAAGACCAGGCCAGCTGTTCAAGTGGAGTATTTGAGAGAGGGAGCGGGTACGCTAAAACACTGCTGTGCCCGCCGGCCGGCGAGTAGAGGTCATTCCATCGGGCTCGGGCCGCCTCTGCATCCGCAGCAATTCCATGCCATGGCCCGAAAACAGTCACTAAGAACCGTCACGAAGAATCGCCCCACTGGAGTTAGAGAGAATCATGAACCGTAGCTTGTCGCCCTGTTGGGTTACTAGAGAGAGAATTCCAGTCCCCTCTTCCATCGCCGCCGCCTCCCGTGGAGCCCAGAAGAGAAACGGAGCTGCTGCTCCCTCTGTCGACAGCCCGGAAGAGGCAGTCTGGTCGGCATCAAGGACGGTTCTTGGAAGACTAGCCCCACGTCATAATTCACAATTAATATATAAATTTCATACATTTAAAACCAATTACTTTATAAATTATATTTATGAACGTCTTACAGATTTCGTTGACCATAAAACATCCCCTTTTTATCGATGGGTTCATTAACTTGAAAGATTCGTGGAAGGGGTTTATTGATAAATGACATATATCGGACGAATGAGAACAAAAAGCTTGTAAAGTATTCATACATTTAAGCCCATATCCTTTATAAAATTATATTTTTGACCGTTTTATAAATTTCATCGAGTGTAAAAACACCCTTTTAATACATGGGTCTATTAATTTGATGGATTTGTGGACATAATCGAAAAATGGAAGGGGTTATTGATAAATAACCTATCTAGGATGAAAGAGAGCAAAATAATTTTATAATAATTATATTTTTTGTAGACTAGAGGGAGAATATTCCCATTAAATATATATATATTTAATTATTTTAAACTCATTTTACTTTATCAAATCATATTTATGAACGTTTTATACATTTAAAGCACCCTTTTTATTCATGGGTATCTAAACATGGGTTATTTGATAGATAACCTATTTTTGGAGGAATGGGAACAAAAACTTATACAACTTTTTTACTATTTCTAGATCTAGCTAGAGAGAGAGAGAGAGAGCGAGAGGGAACATTTCATGGGCCGTAACATGATGACAACATTATTGGGTGATTTTCTTTCGAGGCCCAGGCCCATAAAAGTGTCCAGAATGGGCCGGGCTTTGGGCTCGAACGAACTTTTTACAGGGAAACTCCAGGTTCGGGACGGATCGGACTAGTCGGAATCGAGAACGCAAGGAATCGGTTGGATGGATCGGCCAAAACTCGGACGGTCCAAGTCAGACCGGATCGTAACGGCATATTTCACAGATATCGGAAAGTGTTTCGTAATTTTTACATTCTTGAGAGTTAATTTGTATTTTCATTATATGTATGGACTTTAGTACAAATGTCCTTCACTCTGTACAAGGTCTCGTTTTTTCTGCCGTTCTTCCCCCCTCGTCGTCTCCATCTCGGTTCCTCCCATTAACGGTTTCCTTGCTCTCTCGCCTCTGAAGCCTTGCGCAAGGCGGGTTCCTTAACCAGCCATCGAAGGTGTGCGCCTTTGGATGCCCGGTTCTGTCGACGAGTGGCTACCCTGCCGTCCGCATCTGCATCAACTATCGTCCGGCCATCGCCAATCATCCCAATATCCTTAGCGCACCTCTCTTATTCGTATTTCGTGGACAACAGGGTATGCACATTCATGGTCCGTTTATCTCTTGTGTATATTTTTTTTTATGGATTTGATCGAGTTGATTCAACTAATGAGTGATGACAGATCGTATGTTTTCTATCATAAAATTGGATACACTGTCATTCATTTTTTTCGTTCTTCTTTCATGTGCTTATTTTTCACTTCCGCTATGGCAGGGGCTAATTTTACGATACAGATAGTCAAATTTTGAAGACTCATGGCTGTGTGAGTTTTTCCTTTCTCTTATTCCTACATATTTAATACTTCGTATGTTCCAAGAGAGTTTAGCTGGTTCTTTCAACATTTTTGTTTTTTTTCCCTGAGTCCAACTTTCGATTGCTGTTTTCTCCCCGATGAATAATTTTCCCTTCAAATGGCAATTCATCGTACAGGGTTGCCTCAGCTCCTGGGAAGGTACTGATAACTGGAGGATACCTCATTTTGGAGAAACCTAATGCTGGAATTGTTCTCAGTACAAATGCTCGCTTCTATGCCATTGTTAGGCCACTATGTGAGGAGATTAAGCCTGAGAGCTGGGCATGGGTACGTGCACTATCATTTCGGTTCATTATTCTTCCCCTTTTCTGTCTCGCTTACCTTTAGTCAGTTTATTCTGTTTTACACAATGCATTCTCCAAGAATTATCATATCACTGAGTACTCCTGGTTGACGTAATCTTTATGTCGCCATTAAAGTAGCAAATAGGTTGATATTTCCTATTTGGTACTCAGTTACTGGATTATTCCAAGTTATAATTATAGAGAAAGGGAGAAGTTTTGCCATCTATAATGCATGCTGTGTAGAATAGATTTCCTGCAATCCATTACGATTATGGTTGAAATCACCAGTTAACTCAGTTGAAGTCATCTACAACATTAACATATTATGGGACTATGATCTTTAACTTCAAATAACTTTTTGTGCTCCTTGTGTGACTGTTCAAAAGTCTAATTACGTTAGAATGGAAAACCAAGCCCCATTTCATGGAGATTACTTCGGCAGTGACGTCAATTCATGAACATTTTGTCAGTACTATATTTTTTTACAGCGTGATGAATGTTATGTTTTTAAATGATGTAGAGGTATGTTTACGTTGTTTATAATGGCGAGTGGCCCTATTTTTTCTCAAGTTTCGAAAACTTATAAATGAGAAAAGATTTGATACGGCTTTATGGTTCTGTAGATTTATTTTTTTAATCCTATTCTCGATCTTGGCTCTACTTCCAAACGCCATCAATGAGTAAATTGGAACAGGAAAAGTATCTACTGGAGTGATGATCGTGGTAGAAAATTATCTATTTCAAGGTATCTGTATAAAACATGAGAGATATCTGAGAAAATCTGCATATAACATCCATCAAGCGACCTAATATATAGCTACAAATAAAATTCTGCTTGTAACTAAGTTTTAGTTATCCTGAATGCAAACAATGACAATAAATAGGAAGGCTCCGGAAATGGGGTGTGAGATCAATGGGCCGAATTGACCAGGCGCGAAAGAAACTGTTGGGTCGATTGACGGCCAATGAGGGGACAGAATAAATACGATTTCCATACCGCAATTTTCTGCAGTAAGGACCATATTCATTACATTCTATCTGTTTGTGTTGTCTCAGAGCAGGCCTGGACAGACGTGAAACTGACATCTCCACAGCTCTCTAGGGAGGCCACGTATAAGTTGTCCCTTAAGCATGCAACACTTCAGTGTACTTCTTCAAGGCAAGTCTTTGTTTGAGTATGATGATGTGCAATCGACCTTTATTGCTTTTCCTGTCTAGTTTGTTTATGTACTAGCATATAACTTTTATACATGAGAAAATGCTGTATTTATGATATTGTCTTCTGGTCATTTTTTCCCGATTTCTACCTTATTCGAATATAGAACTTGTGTACACCAGTGACAGCGTCATCTCTGTTTACCGCATAATGAAATTGGTGCTATTACCCACTTTTTCTTTAAAAGAGAAGAGCTTCTTTTCTTTTCATCAAAGTGTTTTCCAATGTCGTGATAAACTGCAAAATTGAAGATTCCAAGGATTGCTTTCTGATTTCTGGATAACAAACTGCACAATCATGACCTGATCTCCCTGACAATCAACTTGACTTGCAAGATTTTTGTAGGCCACCTTTCTGACCAAAGTTTCGTTGACCAGAAAGCTGTCATTTGACTTTACTTTTGGATCAGTAAGAAAAGAAAGCTAACATAAGTCTTATCGAATCCTTCAATTATTTTTTGACTTGGCCAACGGTTGACTGATGCAATGATTTTTTACTGTAAGGATGTTGTTTTTGCTGTAATTGTCTTGATGTCTTCGTAGCACCAAAGATTAGCATTGGTGATGATCTCATTCAAAATTTGTCATCCATTGTGCTACAACAAGTAGACACTTGAACTTTGTGTATTATTGTCTTTTATGTACGCATTTAGCTCAGTCAACTTGGATACATCTCATATAATCAGCTAATGCTGTCAGTAGTTGTAAATTTTAGTTATTTATTTCCTACTTCAGGGATTCTGTCAATCCTTTTGTGGAGCAAGCGGTTCAATATTCTGTGGCAGCCGCACAGGCTATACATACCGACGAAGATAAGAAGAATACACTAAACAATCTACTTCTTCAAGGTGATTCTTGAGGAAATTTATGGTACCCTTTAAAGTCATCTGCCTTTGCATGTTTAGTTCTTACCCATCCTCTAGTTTGAGAATGTTAGCTAGCTCCATTGATCGAAATTGCATTGATCAGGTATTGACATTAAAATATTGGGTTGCAATGACTTTTATTCATATCGGGATCAGGTATGTAGTTCTTATTTCTGTTGCCTATTTTCATTTGTTTACTCACTTGATTGTCTTTTACTTTGGGTGCTCATGCCTGAAATATCAGTTATCATGGGAAGGTGGTGATCTGTCCAAAGGGAAATGTTGTTAATCATAAAGCGTCAAACATTATGGATTACGGTGTCTCATATTTCTGGGTTGAAAATTGGTGCTCTTAGTTAAAGATTCTGTCAGATCCTCTAAACCATCTCTCTTATTTTTATCGTCTCCTTCATTAGACGTGACAGGTGTTGTTTTTGATCCAGTTGGTGTTATTTTTGCCCGGCTTCACTTTTTTTATTCTATATATCCAGTTATGACCCTCGAACAACTTTCAGGAAGAGAATAAATGGTGCAAATATGACCGTCATTAAAGGTTTTTTCATGCAAATGTTCTTATCTGACAACTATTTTTCCTTGGGAAGAGCTCTTATACAGTAGAAAAATGTTGTGACGATAGTTCTGACATAATCAGATAGTATAGTGTCTCATCAATGAGTTTTCAAGTGGCTTACGTTCTTGATTTAATTGTAGGATCTATGGGGCTTTTACAGATGTCTCTATCAAGAGGAATAGATAGAAATCAATTTACTTCTTTACATGTTTTAAAACAATTAACTGAACTTAGATGTTTGATGCGTTATTATATGACAATTTAATTTGCAGATTGAAGCCCATGGTTTACCTTTGATCCCAGAGACCCTGTCCAAGCTTCCTCCCTTTTCGTCTATTACCTTTAATGCGACAGGTTCGAATGGAGCAATTTCTGGGGAGACTTGTAAGCCAGAGGTTGCAAAAACAGGTCTAGGTTCATCTGCTGCAATGACCACTTCAGTAGTTGCAGCTTTACTGCAATACCTCAGAGTTGTTGATCTCCAGTTATCATCCAAAAGAACAGTTGTGGGTAATGTGGCTTATTCAGATCTTGATCTGGTGCATCTTATTGCTCAATGTGCACATTGCATTGCTCAAGGGAAAGTTGGTAGTGGTTTTGATGTCAGCTCTGCTGTCTACGGCAGTCAACGTTATGTTCGATTTTCTCCCTCAGTTCTATCTCCTGCTCAGGTTTTTTTCTCCTTTCTTTTGTCATCTACTTATGATCTTCTATGCACTTGTTCACCTCAGGATATATTGCTTGGGTATCTTTATTTGTAGCTTTTATAAATGATCTCGTTTAATTTGGTTGAGACTTACTCATGATTCTTCTTATCGTACTAGATATCTCGGTTGATGAATATGCTTCTAGTTTTTGTGTTATACTCTTCATGATAGTTGGACGAATTTCCGTCAGATTTTTTTTAAAGTTAATATAACTTTTTTCTGAGTGGATTATCTTCACCTACCCATTATGTTTTCCGAAGATCGGTTATGGGCACTGGCTCAATGATGGAAATGATGACGAACCTATCATATGAGGACTTAAATTGCCATTAACTGTGTGGGTTTTCGTCATCTATATGGAACCTGCGACATTCATGTTATGTAAAACTCAAGGAATGTGTACCACTATAACCTTGGTCGTTTCTAAAGCCAAAAATATTACAAATGTTCAAAATCATGTGACACATTGTCTTAGTTGAGTGACATTATGGGCCATGTTAGTCTTGTTGGAACATTTTATTTATTTTTTAATATGGTTTATAGAATCACTCTGTGGAACTCAAAACATGAAATTTAACCCAATCATATACTGACATTTGTACTAAAAAAAATTAAAGATTAGTATAGCCGCACTCATGGCCGTTCTGACCTGGGAGCCCTGGCAGAAAAATCAACTGGAAGATTGTCAGTGAGCCACGGACATTTATGGATAATTGAAATATGGTACTGTTGAAACTTTTAAGAAAAGGTGCGAAAACACAGGAAAATTGGATTGCCAGATAATCGTTTTTTGTTTGCTTTTCTGATGAAGGTTTGGGATGGTATGATTCTCGATGTCCTTGACACTGAAGCTGTTAGTTTTGTTTAAATCAATGGCGTTATGTCTGGGAATTGGTCTTCTCTGTGCAAATATGTTTTTGTCTCCTTAATTCTACTCTCGAGGCATACAAATATTGAAGATATCTAACGACATTCTTTTCATACAAATGCAGATTTTTGGGGGTAATCAGTTGCATAGTGCTGTTATTGATGTAATGAAAGAGAAGTGGGATCATGAGAGGACTCCATTTTCATTGCCACCATTAATGGAACTTGTGAGTGTCTAATAGCTTGGCTATTGATGTTCAATTTTATCTGTGCCAGACTGGTGACGATCCTGAAGGTTGTCAATAATGGATGTTTTACTGTATACCTAGATCAGTTTAGGAGGATAACAAATTTTGGTGCTCGATAGTATGACCTAGTAGAAGGTTTTTGAACTGATATTTGCTTAATCTTTTGGGAATATCATCTTGTTTTGTAGATTTCTTCTAGGAACTTTACACTTATTATTGCTTTTAATGAGGTTCTTAATGAATTGGAAATCTATCAATGGCAGCTACTAGGAGAGCCGGGCACTGGAGGGTCATCTACTCCATCCATGGTGGGTGCTGTTAAGCAGTGGCAAAAGGTTGATCCTGAGAAATCCGTGGAAACATGGAAACGTCTGAAGGAAGCAAATTCAATTGTTGAGGAGCAATTCAAAGCCTTAAGCCTACTGGCAGAGTCACAATGGGAGGTCTACAGAGACATTATCGTCAGATGTAGTGGCCTTACCCATAACCAGGTAATCTTGCCTCGTTCGTTTTGAAAATTTTGTAACACATGAAAAAGAAAATAAATTCTGATTATGAGTTCATAAGTGTCACTAATTACAAACCCATACACGCGTTTTCATTATTTACCAGGTGCAGTTTGAAAAGGTATGTTGGGAGATTTGAAATCCGCCTTGTAGCCTGTCATATTTTTGTTGCTTAGTTTCAGTTTTCAAGCAAAGCATTTGGTATTTGTGATGCCGGTGGCAGTAGAAGTAGGTGTGATTAATCTGAATGAAACGGTGTTATGGTGATTCTGAAGGGGTGGTACTTGTGGTTACATCAAATGTGCGGGTGCTTATTGTTGTGGTGTCATTGATCTTCGTCGGTAGACTGTAGTAGATATCAATTGTCCACCGTGGGTGTTGCCTGTCTTAGCACTAATTTAATGGCAACGATGGTGGATAAGGGTGCTCAGTGTAGAACGCAAAGAATTCTCATGCACTCAGATGACCGAACTGACTTCAAAATGTTATTCAAATTTTAGCTGTGAGGGTTTTTACTCTCAGACGAGAGCAAATTTGGTAAATTCAGCCAACTTAACGTGCACTGAGACGACAAAGTAAATGTTCTTTTCCAAGGTACCCTTGTGGGCAAATTTTCTTGTCAAATCACAGACGATTCAAGCTTTTTCCCTTACATTAATTAGTACTTATGTATATTATCTTCCGTCTCTTTGCAGTATGGAACACTATTTTTTGTGAACAAAATTGGAAACATGAGCACTATTTCAGACAAGTTTCTGTTAATAATGATGATGCCAATTTGGACTGTTCGGAAAGTCTGTAGAAGCTATAAATGCAGTTTCATTTAATCCATTGATTTGATTCCCTATTTCTTATCTTTATACCACATTAAGGGTTAAACACCTTAATATAAATAAATTGTTTTTGATATTTACAGTGGGCGGAACAAATAACAGATGAGCATCAGAAAGCTGTAGTTAAGTCATTGCTGGGAGCAAAAGATGCTTTTCTGCAGATTCGATCATTTATGCGACAGATGGGGGAGGCCGCCAGCGTTCCAGTAAGGTTTTCATCCTTATTGCAGTAAATGTCTCGTTGCTCTGTTGGTTCTCATCAGGTTTTCTCATCTTTCTGATTTCCTTGTGGTCTCTTACATGTGAATTTCAGGTCCTTGGTTGGGTGAATTAGTGTTTTTCCTTCTAACTATTCCACATCATATATATTTCCTTCTTTCCCCGAAGGTTTTAGGACAATTTCCTTTTTATTCGAACGCAGATAGAGCCAGAATCACAGACACACCTTCTGGATACTACAATGAAGATCAAAGGCGTCCTGCTAGCTGGAGTGCCAGGCGCGGGTGGATTTGATGCAGTGTTTGCAATTACATTGGGGGATACCAACAGCAGAGTAATCCAGACCTGGACTTCACTTGGTGTCTTACCCCTTTTGGTGAAAGAAGACCCTAGGGGGGTTTCTCTTGAGAGTGGTGATCCACGAACTCTGGATATGCCATCGGCAATTTCGTCCGTCCACATTGAATAATCTCAGGTTTGTTCTCATACTTCGCTTTACTATTGCACTCTTTGCTAACTTTGGGTATGATAGTTTTTTCAAGATGATGCTGGTGATCATGGTAAGCCTGGAATGACTGTTTCTGAAAAAAGACATGCTCAACCCAATATTTCACATAATCGGATATTTGAATGCATGACTATTTGCTAGATCCGTTGACTGTGCCTTGATGCCAGTTGACAGCTGTTATTATTATGCAGAAACGATGCTTAAAATTAGAGGTCTTTAACTTAATAATGCCTCTGCTGTTCTTTTATTTAAAATATTATGATCTTAATAAAGATCGATTTGATGTGTTCAGGCCTATGAGTGAGTGTGATCTTGAGTGAATTCATATGAAATGAAAAGCTGTTATTATTGTGCGCCCTTTTATCAAATTCTTCATCTTCATTTTTTTTTCTTGGGAACCTGTGAGAGTGTTCTTCGTATAAACAATAGCCTTATTTTCTTAAATGAACTATACAGATTCTAATACAATTGTCTCATTGTTTGTGGTGTTCCTGTATTCTTGGTCTATCATAATTATGTCAATGAGCCCGCACAAGCTTCTTTCCCATCTTGGAGAGATCTTCATCTCATGCTTCTTTTTCTTAAATGATCTATCACGTTGTGCCAATATTGAATTTTCCTTTTATTCAAAGCTGTCATATTAATCCGGATTCGCGATCTCAGGATTTCGGATGCGATGATCAACAAGGTGCACTGACTCCTAGGCGGGAGCTCAAGACCTTTGGATATACGAGAAGGATCATTAATTTGTAATAAAGCCAAAATTATGCGATATGCGTTAGTTAATTAACCTCATGTTCTTTCTTAGGATATATTTCCTCTACCCAAGCTGAATAATGGAAGGCTAATACACTTATTTGTGCTATGAAATCACCGGATTTCCTGGGTGATGTGGCTCCTGCAATCTCTAGGTGTACTATTTTTTTTCTCTGTTAATGAACTAACTTTGCTGAGAGATAGGGAATGGGGAGATGGGTGTCCTATGATGCCTGGTATATTAAAAATAAAATAAAATCTACTTTGTGGATCTCATTCATTGACCAATGTTCTTTCATGTGACTAACAATGGTCTGGAATCAGAGGCCTCCTGATTGTGCAGACCTGGCGATGAATGGTTATGGCGGATGATTCCAGCTAGTGGGGTTCTGCTGTCCAGGGCGTCGTCTTCAACAACTCAGACTGTGAGATCTTCTTGCCCCCGCTTCTGTCTGGTTCCTCTCACTGATCATCTCCGAGCTTTCTGGGCATTTACCGAGGAAAAGCTTTAGTTGCAACAGCCGTGCGTAGAGCTGCGCCGTCTGGTTTTCACCATTCTACCAGTAGTCGCCGCAGGAGCAGGTTCCTTCCTTGAAGCGGTGGAACCTGCCGGGCTCCCTGACGACGAGCTCCCAGTCGAAGACCTTGGAGACGAGCTTGCTGTAAGTGTGGCAGTCGCCGCACATTCTCAGGTTCCTCACGATCCTGATGGGGGATCCATGGTGGGTGCTGATGAGGCCGAAGGCAATGGCGAGCTTCTGGCTGTGCCCGGCGAGGAGCCGCCGCTTCTCCTCCTCGTCGCCGTCGACGACGGCCGACTGCGACGTATCCGGCGAGTACCCCTCGAACCTCAGCTGCCACTCCACCTGCCGGAGCATCTCGTAGATCCGGCGGTTCTGCGGGTGCGACCGGTCCTGGGAGACGAAACTGTGTAGCGTCCCGGCGGCCTCCACAGCGCTGGTGCCGGCCGCCTGCGGCAGCCCCCCGTCCACCATCGCCGTCCGCACCGCCGCCGCCTCCTCCCACCTGCCGGCGCGCGCGTACATGTTCGAGAGGAGCAGGTAGTCTCCGGCATTGCCGGTGGCCATCTCCATCAGCTTCCTTGCGGCCAGCTCCCCGAGCCCTGCCTTCCCGTGCACTCTGCAGGCGCTGAGCAGACACCGCCAGACGACGTCGTGGGGCTCCTCCGGCATCTCCAGGACGAGCTCGTGCGCCTCCTCGACCTTCCCGGCGCGGGCCAGGAGGTCCACCATGCAGGCGTAGTGCTGCTTCGTCGCCGCCACGCCGTGCTCCCGCCTCATCATCTCGAAGCACCGGCGGCCCTCCGCCAGCATTCCCCGGCGGGCGCAAGCCGTCAGCACGCCGACGTAGACCGCGCCGTCCGGCCGGAGCCCCTCCGTCAGCATGCCGGCGAACACCCGCAATGCCCCCTCGCCGTCCCCGTGCAGCGCCAGCCCGGAGATCACCGCGCTGTAAGTCCACAGGTTCTTCTCCTCCATCGCTCCGAAGACCCGCATCCCTCTCTCCGAGTTCCCGCACTTCATGTACATATCTATAAGAGAAGTTTGCACGATGACGCTGCTCCACCCGGCGGCGCTCCTCAGCAGGCAGCCGTGCGCGCGCCGCCCGATCTCCAGCGCGCCGAGATGGGCCGCCGCCACTAGTACGCTGCCGAGGGCACTCTCCTCCGCCCGACAGCCCTCGGACTTCATCCGCCCGTACAGGGCAAGGCACTCCGCCCACCGGCCCGCGCGGGTGAGCGCCGCCATGAGGGCGCTCCAGGAGGCGGCGTTCCTCTGCGTGCCCATCCGTTCAAACACGGCGCCGGCGAGCGCCACCTCCCCGCAGCGTCCGTACAGGCTGATCAGGCTATTCTGAACGAACCCGTCGCCGTGGAAGCCCAGCTTGTGGGTCTGCCCGTGCAGCTGCTGCCCCTCACCAGCCGCCGCCAGCCGGCTGCACGCCTTGAGGAGGAAGGTGAAGGTGAAGTTATCCGCCTGGAAACCTCCCTCCTCCTCCATCTCCTTGTAGAGGAGCACCGCCGCCAAGGGGTCTCCTGCGAGAACGTGCCCTCTGACGAGCGTGTTCACGTCGTAGGTCGTCGGCGCGGCGGCGCGGCGGAAGATGGAGACGGCGTACTCCATGCTCCCCCACTCCGACAGCGCGCAGGACGTGATGAGGCTGCTGGCGCAGCGGGGGTCGCAGTCCTGCCCGAGCTTGATGAACTGGGCGTGCGCCTGCCGGAATTCCTCCAGGCTTCTCCATCGACTTTGCAGCAGCGGCGGCGGCGGCGGCAAGTGGCCTCCTTGCTGCCCGTGCTGCCTTTGCTCCGAGCCCTGGCCGTGGTTGTTCGGTGTGAGAAGACGAGTCGTCTGGGGAAGCACCGACCCTCCGACCATCATCTCAAGAGGCTCCCCAAGATCCCCAGTCACCCATCATCAGCGGCGCCGGCCTACTGGATCTACATTCAGAGGTCGACGACGGCAGAGCAAGGAGACCAGATGAAGTTGGAGAGGGCCGTCCTTCTCGTTCCTCCTGGAGCTCGAATTACCCCCATTCTCGTGGCCGGTAATTCCTCGGAAGGAGGAGGAGGGGGCCTCTGTTGCAGGCCGTACGTCCGTCCATGAGGTGTATGAGGAAATGCCGGCCAGAAGGATGAAGAAGGTCTACCTCGGCGTGATACGGATAAGATGATGAGAGGGAGAAACGAGATCCGTCCTCCCATAGGAAGCACATGGCGCTCCCTCCTGGGCCCCACCGAAGCCCCCCTTCCATCTTCCTCCCAGCAATCTGTGGCCACAAGTACTCTCTGCCTCCGTGGCGTTTGCAACAGTTCCATCGTAAACTATATAATTGTGCATTCACCCTTGTTCGATGGCCACCAGTCGCTGGTCGCAGCTGGAGGCGTGGGGCAGGTACGCAAATTAATTTATTAATTTGGATAATATTCCAAAAAACCTGATCACTGTTAGAGGTATCCAAGGATACACGGTAGCGCAAGTTGGCACGTGCCGCGCTGGCTCGTCGGAAGCGCACGTGACGCGAAGAAAGCTGGTAAAAACTGCCGGGGATGGGCCGACACTATTTTACTTTACGGGCCTAATTTTTAGGCCCAGATATATAAAACCGGGCCGACCGGGCCGACCGGGCCGACCGGGCCGCAGAGGTCTGTGGATTTTATGTGTATTATTTTATTGGCTATGACCTATTAAAACATTATTTTTTAAAAATGTCATCTTCAGACGTGGCCTGGGGCGGTCGGACACGTAAGCGTTTGAGAACCGTGAGAGAGAAAGAGTTTTCCTTTGCCCACTGTCACATGTTGCACGCTCAAGGCGCATCCACGCGTCCCCTTATGAGAGGTCAGATGAACTGAGGCGATCTGACGTGGCGTGGAGCCTCCCGGTATTTACTGGTGAGAGAGGGGTAGATGAGTCCAAACGTCATATGTGGGCAGCAGTGAACGTCGCTCGAAGCTCTCCTCCTCTTCAATTATTTGGGATCTCCGATCTCCAGATCTCTCGCTCTCCATCACTTCTCCTTCCTACCTCGTCCATCCCGACTGTCCTCGAAGCCCTAAAGGAAGGGGAGGAGCCCGCCCTCATCCTCTGGCCTGCTCCATCGTCCTCTAGGACATCCATCGGAGGTTCTGGTGATCTGATCGGTGGACCATTTCGGCAGCTCCTCTCGCTGTTCACTCCCATTCGCAGCCATGCCGGCGGTGCACGGAGATCGTCTGACGACCTTCGAGGACTCGGAGAAGGAGAGCGAATTCGGATATGTCCGGAAGGTGTATATCTGTGCCTTTTACTTGCTTATCTTTTGTTGATTCAAGCAATCAGTTGGAAGTCGCATTTCTTGTTTTCTTCTCGTGTAAGACGAGGTTGGGGAGTGGATTCATTAGTTTTTTTATGTTATTGAGGATGATAAGGTTTGTTGGAGTACAATTAGGTTATAGGAGGTGATTGGCCGATATATCAATCTGACTGCGGAGTTGGGTGATTAATGTACGGATACAAGTAAAGCAGTCTAGCTGACAAATATTTGGGTCCTTTCGGAGGAGATATGATCCCATCCACCCATTTCTTGTTGTTTGCTGGAGTTGTGCTGTCTATCTTGTGGGTGCATAAGGAAGCTCTAAAGGTTTGGCGCTCATAGTGGATACGAATGACTGAAACTAGAGTCGCTAAATAAACATATCCCTCTAAATCAATCATTTTTAGTGATCTTTAGCTTGTAGGGCCTGGGATATTTGCAGCAGTCTAAAACGGTGCTGATTTGGCTGTGTTTGATGATGCCGACAAACTTTTATAAGCTCGAACGCTGAGAGTTTCCTCTTCCACTTTCCTCTCCATATGGATCGCAAAACTTTTGGAACTGAGACCATCCACTCCTATTAAAATTAATTAGTTTCTAATTTAATTTGAATGCAAAAGACATAATTTAGAAACCAGCCCAGAGGATTCCTTGTAACGCAAGCTTCTACATTTTTTCCTTTCCATTCTTTCTTCCTCCTCTCAGACTTGCTCCACAGAGCGTGTAAAACTTGCAATGAATGACCCCCGATTGGGAACCATTTAGCAGTGAATCTGGATACATTACAACACAATATAGCAACACGTTGGCACATATATTTAAGTGGATATTTAATGCAAAAATATAAGGTTAAAAGCTGTTGATTTATGATCTTGAAACATTGGGGTTGAGTTTTTGTTGAAATATCTATGTTAGCTTTTTGTCCCTTGGACAAGATTCAGTTCAAGTTTGTTCTCGTCTCATGCATCAACCTTTTGAAAGTGGTGAAACACATCTGAATGGAATGCTAGGATCAAAGATTTATTTCTTCTGTAACTTATTTACTTATAATTAAGACAACATAAATGAACTCAGCGAACATTCATGTAAGCAAATCTCACTGAAATAGTCACATAGGACATAAGCGAGTTGTACATGCTAGCTTAAGTGACTTCCTAAATGGGAGGTATTTTACCAAGTGCTTAGAGGTGCTATCGCTTGCAGGTGCACTACTTGCTCTATCAATTTCAATTAGTGCTATATTTTTACAGGTATCAGGTCCAGTTGTTGTGGCAGATGGAATGGGAGGTGCTGCTATGTATGAACTTGTGCGTGTTGGGCATGATAATCTTATTGGAGAGATTATTCGATTGGAGGGAGATTCTGCTACCATCCAAGGTTTTTCGCTCCTCTCAATGGCCTCTAACGATCCCTCTTGTATTTTTTTTCTGCCTATCTTGGGGCATAATTTAAGTGATGCTTTCTTTTATGCAATTTCTGTTATGTATTGTTGATGTGGGATGTGAGTCTAAACATATTGTCTCGTCATCCATTTTTAGTTTATGAAGAGACAGCTGGACTAATGGTGAATGACCCTGTTCTCAGAACACGGAAGGTAAGTTCTAGGGATGTTTTTCTATTCAAGCATAGTAGATGGCATAATGGCTTTCCAATTTTGACATGCATTACATTTTCTGCAGCCACTTTCTGTGGAGCTAGGCCCTGGAATCTTGGGCAACATTTTTGATGGAATTCAGGTTTTTCTTCTTTCCATGGATTATGTTTTCTAATACATTCTTTGAAACAGTTATGCTGAGCTGAATTTTGTTTCGTTTCGCATTTCCCGCTGTAATATACAAGATTTGATTTTCTCAACACCTGTTCGCAATTTTTTCTTTGACTCAGAGGCCACTAAAGACAATTGCTATAAGATCTGGTGATGTCTACATCCCTCGTGGTGTCTCTGTCCCAGCGCTAGACAAAGATATACTTTGGGATTTTGAGCCTAAAAAAATAGGTAAGTGGATGTGATAAATTGGAATGTCAATTGATCGCACATCCTTCCTGAACACTGTGCATGGTGCGTTTTGCTTGTTGAATGAGTTGTTGCTGATCATAAGTTTGGTTTTCCCCTTGTTTCAGCTGTAGGAGATATTCTGACGGGTGGAGATTTGTATGCTGTATGTTTTATATCATTAAACTACTCTGATCCCTTGTCCATAAAATTGAATTAATTGTTCTCAAATTGTCGGCTTTTATTTATCATCAAGAAACCTATTAATCATAATTTTGGTTTGTACCATGCAGACTGTATATGAGAATACTTTAATGGAACACTATGTAGCGCTTCCTCCTGGTTCGATGGGAAAAATCACTTACGTTGCTCCAGCTGGTCACTACAGCCTTAAGGTCATTCTTGTGACTTCTCTCCGAAATTTCACGTTATTCATCTGTATCTTTGTGATGACAGGAAGTTTTCAATAATTATTTGCTTTTGTGCTTTGATTACAATTGTATACTTAGAGAAGACTCTGCCTTCATTACTACAGGATACTGTGCTTGAGCTGGAGTTTCAAGGCGTCAAAAAGCAATTTAGTATGCTTCAGGTTAGTACATCAAACTTATTGTTAATATTTGTCTTTCAACATATGATGCCTGGCATTCAACACGTGACTGTTTGATACAATATTTTATAGACTTGGCCTGTGCGTACCCCTAGACCAGTTGCTACAAAGCTTGCCGCAGATACACCTCTCTTGACAGGGCAGGTAAATGCCAAGTATAATCAATGTTGGTTTTGCTAGAAAAGTTTCAGGTCGCTTGATTTTTCTTTTACCATTCATTTTTATCATCATGCCTGATTTTTACGATGAAGTTAATCATCATCTGCAGCGTGTCCTTGATGCACTCTTCCCGTCAGTGCTTGGGGGTACTTGTGCTATACCTGGGGCTTTTGGCTGTGGGAAAACTGTTATCAGTCAAGCACTTTCAAAGGTGGCTTCATCATCATGGATTTTTTTTTTCTTGCGCAAAATACTTTTCCATTTTGAGTGTCATAAAAAAACATAAAATTTCGCTAACTCTCTTGTTTATTGGATTATAACTCTTATTTGTTTCCTCTTGTGTTCAGTACTCAAATTCAGATACTGTGGTTTATGTCGGCTGTGGAGAAAGAGGAAATGAAATGGCTGAGGTATGACGCTACATTATTCTATTTATTTACAGCTATCTCTGTCATTCTTATCTAATCATCATTCTATAATGTAGGTGCTTATGGATTTTCCACAATTGACAATGACATTGCCTGATGGTCGTGAAGAGTCTGTCATGAAGAGGACCACACTGGTTGCGAACACTTCCAACATGCCTGTGGCTGCTCGTGAGGCTTCCATTTATACAGGTGTGGAGTTGTGATCATCATAAATTGACTAGGAGAGCTTGAACAACTTGAAACATACAATTGCAATCAGTGTTAGATCTCCATGTCAGCAACTAATGAACTGTTATGCTAACCACTTCAGATAAAAATAGTTATGTTCAAAATTGGAAGCATTTTTCTTGTTGCCGGAGATTCCATTTATGTCTCTGTTCCCCATGATTGATAGCTGCTAATTTGTTGAATAGCTTGACTTTTATAACATTTATGGTTGGCTATTATTTGCGTATCCTGAAGCAGCTATGGTTTAGAAGGTGTTGATCTGTTTCTTTGGCTAAGTACTTTTTCGCTATCTGTATAATTTTAACTATCGGATATTCTATTACCAGGTCTTTAGAAAATGGCGGCTTCTTTTAAGTTCTCTCCTTTAAAATGTCGTAAGACTACCTTTTGCTCCATTTGGGAAGTATAATCTAATGATTCTGGAAATTTTCAGGAATCACGATTGCTGAATATTTCCGAGACATGGGGTACAATGTTAGTATGATGGCTGATTCAACATCACGTTGGGCAGAAGCTTTGCGTGAAATATCTGGTCGACTGGTAATTATATTTTTCAATGGATTTCAGTTGCATATTTTTATTTGGTTTTCCTCTTTTGGATCCTTGACTTCTTTAAGCTTGATTTTTATGCAACTATGGTACGGTTTCTTATGGCCATGATCATTTTTTTCACCATGGGTCCTCTTTTAGAAAATAAAAAAGAGACCCAAAAATAAAGGAACACATATATTCCATGTATAAACATTGCCTCCCGGAAAGTTAATAAATTGGTCACATTTTCGTTACTGTCATTTCATGAACCAAATGTAAATTGATTGGGAATGATACAGATAACCTGGCCTGGCTGTTTGTGAGGTTTGTAATGTAGATATTGTGGTTAACTTGACAACGTGAGGTGAATTAAGGAATATCTAATTACACCACAACAACAGAATCTTAGCTTGGTATTTCTTGTTCAGAAAAATCTTAGTTTTCTTTTAATTTTTGATTTTGTTGCTTCCTATCCAATTAGGGATTAGGGGTAGCTGACTCTCTGATTTCCTAGATTTTGTGACATGCATCGATTTTGTGCTTTTGTTTATGTGAACATATCATTTCAGGCAGAAATGCCGGCGGACAGTGGCTATCCAGCTTATCTAGCGGCACGTTTAGCCTCCTTTTACGAACGTGCTGGGAAAGTGAAATGTCTTGGTGGCCCCGATCGCACTGGTAGTGTAACGATTGTTGGTGCTGTTTCTCCTCCTGGAGGTGATTTCTCCGATCCTGTGACGTCAGCAACTCTCAGTATTGTCCAGGTACCTTCTATCCCTCCTGGCAAAAGAAAACGGACAAAATACAAAAACCACATATCATTTGCCCCAAATTGAGATGCCATTATAATTGGGTCATGCACTAGCAATCTTTTGCCCGGCCTCTGATCATTTGTTTTTGTTTACACAGGTCTTTTGGGGGCTGGACAAGAAGCTTGCCCAGAGGAAGCATTTTCCATCTGTGAATTGGCTTATATCATATTCAAAATACTCCAAGGTGCACAAGATTTTTATGTACATAGTATCTTCAAAAGAGTTTTTATTTTTTTATTTTTTTATAGGCTTTTCTTTCATGTTTATTGTCCTTTCGGCTAAGGAATTGATATGCTCATGTCTTTTGTCATAAAATTTCGCTGTTGCGTTCTTTTAAGGCTCTTTGATGATCTAAGGATGTTTCCTTCTGTTCTTTTGTTGGTTTCCAATGTGCTGGAGAAAGTGGTCCTAGAGAATGTAGCCGTTGTTTACATTTATTTTACCCAAGTTGCTCAGCCAACTGCTAGAACTAATCCCCACTTAAACAACAAACGAAGAGAAGCCTTGTCCAAAACTCTTGCATTTCTAGCATCAATAGGAGCTACCATTTATCATTCATTTAGGGGAAAAAAAAAAGCTAGCTTTTTACATTTTATAGCATTCTCTCTGGCTAGCATTGTTTGAGGTACAAAAACTCAGCTTTTCAGATTCATCAGCTTTGTTTGCATCGAGAAAACAATTGTTTTTATGGGGTTTTGTGTACACCAGACGATATTGGATTTTCTGCGGGACCCTTAAAGATGGTAAACTTGCAATCTGTTTATCCTGATTCTTGCCAGAGTGACATCATGATACTGATTCGGTTTCCAGCTATAGCTGTCTTTCATATTCTTCTATTTCTAGTTTGAATTGAAAGCATCAGCTGTTACATGTATCTAGAAAGGCTATTTGAAGATTATTTATTAATGCGGTATTAAATACTGTTTTTGGGCATAACAGGCTTTGGAGTCGTTCTACGAGAAGTTTGACCCTGACTTCATCGATATCAGAACCAAAGCACGTGAGGTGCTGCAGAGGGAGGACGACTTAAACGAGATTGTCCAGGTAATGCGATGATTCATGTGCCTCGGTTTAATAATGTAGACTTGGTCCCAGTAATAATAATTGCACTTGAAAAATTTATATTTCAGCTTCTTTTTCTTAGGATGTAGTTGCATCTGGCATTGCCCGTCTTGGAAAGTTCAGTTCTTCCCAGTCAATTTTTAATGTTATCTTCCCGAATCCCACACCCTTAAAAGAAGGATAAATAAATAAATAGGTAGATAATTAGATAGATAAATAAATAAATAAATACATAAATAAATAAACAGATAGATAGCTAGATCAATAAATAAATAAATAATATTCTTATTATTTGGACGGTTTTCTGAATGTAGATATGGAAATAATCTGTACAATTCTAGTGATGGCCTTTTAAGGAAATTTTATTGGCTTCTCATTTTATACCCCCACAGCTCGTTGGGAAAGATGCTCTGGCAGAATCGGACAAGATCACCCTTGAGACTGCCAAGCTTCTACGTGAAGATTATCTTGCTCAGAATGCTTTCACTCCGTAAGTGTCCGTAGCATCAGTCTTCCTCTCTTTCGCTGCCTTTCTCTTGATGCCCGAAGCTCATGCGATCTTTGTTTACAATGACAGGTACGATAAGTTTTGCCCATTCTATAAGTCCGTTTGGATGATGCGGAACATCATCTACTTCAATACTTTGGCAAATCAGGTAATTCTCTCCTTCTGGAATCCCTTCTTTTTTGTTGGGTGACATCCGGCTCAGAAGAATCTATGCTCCCATCTACTCATGGGATTAATTTTTTTTTTTTTAAAGGATTTTTTTAATCAACCATTGTCGTAAAATAAAAGCCCTCTTTTATATATTTTTTAATAAATATTCATCCGTGAACTGCCAAAAACCTCAGAATTCCTGTCTATATCTTTAATTATATATTGTTCTTGTAGACTGACCTACTCACCTGGACCCCAGCTATCTGGGATCTGATCCAAATGCCACCCACTCGCTACGAGTGAAGGATGGCACTGAACCCAAACTATCTTCTGATTCGTAGGAGCAGCAGCAGACAGATCTTTCTTTCTCATTTCATGGATTTCGGGTCATACTCAAAAGTTTTATATTCCCGTGGAAGGTTCTCGTGGATTGCAATGCGTGCGATTGCTGCCCGTTTTCTTTCTCCGCATGAGGAATGCATCTTTTAAGAAAATAAAGTCTGGGTGCTGAGAGGGTTGAACAGGAGTCACCAGTCCTCTCTCTCTCTCTCTCTCTCTCTCTCTCTATCTATCTCTATCTCTCGCTCCTCTATGAGGCAGCCTGTGTGTATGATGGGATCAAATGGATCACTGGAGTTGATCTTGCTTTATTCCTTTGCTGACGGCGGCCTTCTTGCAGGCGGTGGAACGAGGGGCTGGTCCGGACGGCCAGAAGCTGACTTACAGCGTCATAAAGCACCGGCTGGGAGATCTCTTCTACCGCCTAGTGTAAGTCAACTTACTCGCTGGACCGTCTTCTTCATCGCTGAGTGGGTGGTGGAGAAGGGGGTGCCGATGGGGCTTGGTAGTTTCTCTGGAGTGCCTGGCCTGCCCCGGTTCTTTCTGAGCCTGAGCCTCTCTGGATTCAGCCCAGGAAGAAAAATTACCCTGCCTTCTCCCCCCTCTCTCTCTCTCTCTCTCTCTCTGAATTTAGCCCAGGAAGAAAAATAGACCTGCCTTCTCTCTCTCTCTGAATTCATCCGTGGAAGAAAAATATCCCTGCCTTCTCCCTCACTGCATCCCGCTACCTCTGTCTCTGTCTGTCTGTTTGTTTGTCTGCCTGTCTGCCTGTCTTTCTGTCTCTCTCTCAGAGAATCACGATTCCAGAAACATCACTCATTTCTCCCCTCCCCTGGGTGGTTGCAGGTCCCAGAAGTTCGAGGACCCTGCGGAGGGCGAGGACGTGCTGGTGGGGAAGTTCAAGCAGCTCTACGACGACCTGACCAGCGGCTTCCGCAACCTCGAGGACGAGCTCCGGTGATCGCCTCCGTCCGTCCGTCCGTCCGTTCTTCCCCTCTTCCTTCCCCGCCCACACACACTCGACTATCGCTCGCTCGCTCGCGCCATCTCGTCCTCGGCGGGTCTCTCGTCTCCCCTTGAGAGGCTCTGTTCCTCGCGCCGTCTCTCTCGGTATGACCTTACATTTTTATATGCCGCTTTCCTTCCAATAAGTAAGATGATCATGTTTGCCAGCAAAGAAAAGAAAAGAAAAGAAAAGAAAAGAAAAGAAAAGAAAAGGTAGGGGGGAATCTGCGAATAATATCTCTCAGATTTCATGTTTACGACATCCCATCTCTACTTCTTTCGTGCATTTTGCCCAGTCTGTTTGGGTACGACCAATTAAATTCCTCCTATTTTTACCCAAATTTACTGCGCTCTGCAAATCAGGAGGAAATGAAGACCAAAAGTCAGCCTTTTATTTTATTTTCCTTGATGAAGTCGCTGCCTCTGTAAGTTCTCTCGTGCTTTTTGCTCACGTAATTTTGTTTTGGTCCGACCCAATGCGATTCCTTCTCTTCTCTTACCCACGTTTTTACTGCGCTCTGCACCCTGAAAACGAGTATCCTACGGATCAGGAGGAAATGGAGCCCAAAAATCAGCTTTTTGTTTGGGTACGACCAAGTAAATTCCTTCTATTTTTAGCCCACTTACCGCCGTCAAAACGCGGCCGATTCCCGGTCCGGGGTGCCAGAGTGGCCCGGAAATCAGGGGGAAATGGAGACCAATAAACCCATCCGACACGTGCAGTCCGCTGTTAGTGAGTAGTAGATGCCACCGACAAATGGTGACGGTGCAGGCGTGCTCTCTCGCCTGTCGCTCTATCCACCAGCTGCCACCGGCCCCTCTCTCTCTCTCTCTCTCTTTCTCCTTGCTAAGAGCATCACAGTGCACGTGGGAGACACAATATGGGTGAATCATGTGGTGGTTCTGCGGAAAGAAGAAAAAAGAGATGGCCCTCCTGCAACGGGGCGGTTGAGAGAAAAGGGGTTGAAAAATAGGGAGGAGGAATAAAAATGAAAAGAGGTTGGGGGAGGGGGGGGGGGGACCAGGAGTGCCCACGTGACTAGAAGCAGGAGATCGAATGGCTTGAGATGCTCCCACGTGGGGGCGGGGGTGGGGAGCAGAGGATAGGACAAGCAGAGAAAGTCAGACGTTGGTGTAGCTGGAGAAGACGCGCATCAGGTTGTCCAGGGCCTCCGGGTAGAACTTCCTCGCGAACAGGTAGCACGGCTTCTTCATCCCGTTCCACATGCAGGGAGACTCCCGCACTATCCTCTGCACCAAAAACATATACAAATTGAGACCAGACTCGAGACCTTTAAAGAGAGACACACACAAACACAGACAGACAAAGTTGAGGGCTTTTGAGAGAGACAGAGTTGAGATCTTTAGAGAGAGAGACAGACAGACAAAGTTGAGAGCTTTTGAGAGAGAGAGAGAGCTGATCACCTTGTCTCCCTCTCTCTCTCTCTCTCTGAATTCAGCCCAGGAAGAAAAATAGACTGAATGAGGAACTGGTCTATATGAGTAAGACTTTTACTGATAACAAGCAATATTCCAGGAATATATATATATACAAGGTAAGAAGAATGAGTGGAATAAAGTGAATATAAACAAGGTAAGAAGAATGAGAGAAGATCGTTGATCCAAAGACTCACCTTGTCATCACTTGTGACGTGAATGTTCTCTTCAATGGACTGCAAAATTGTGCAAGCGTTAGAAAAGTTGCCATCTCTAGCTGCATAGTTTTCACAAGGACCAGCACAAAAGGTAACTACGTACGGTTATATTCTTAAAGAGGTCATAAGTAGCATCCTGGTCCCTGTATGCTTTCGGATGCCACTTTCCTTCAGACCAATCAACATGGGTCACCGACCAGTTTGCAATCCCATGAGGATCGACCATCTGAAACATTCGCACCGGTCGATCAGATTACAAAGACATATATATATATATACAAGGAAAATTGCCAAAACGAGAATTGATCACGTTGAATAGGGTGGGCAAATAATGTTCATCAGCGTAGCAATTGCGGCCATCTGCACCTGGCTGCACAAAAAGAAATAAAAAATAATAAAAATAAAAAATGAGAACTTTGCATCATCGATTATTCCATGAACAGAACAAAAAGGTATATCCTGAAAGACCATGTACTAAAGTTTCTTCAAGATTCAATTGAAAATGTCAGACATTTGATGAATGAGAATAGCAAGCTATGACGTTTCCCGGAAATAGAAAAAAATAAATGTGAAGATCATTTCTCGTTTTAATATATAGCACTACAACATGCTTGTCCGGACACATAATTCCAAATTCATAGGTAACCATGCATATTTCGGGGATAACTGAAATTTAGTAGCCTGTGAGTTCCCACTTAAACATAGGAAAAAATAAATAAAAATCTCCTAAATTAATATTATAATCAGCTGTGACATCCATGAAGTGAAGAAGAATATTAAATAACATGAAATCACATCACCTGGCAGTGCAGCTTAAATTTTGCATAGTAAAGATTATCCGCCAAAACGATCAAGGCATGCTGGCGCTTCATTGTGAACCACTGCAGAATGGAGATGACCTTATAAGCAGTCCAAAAGGAGAGTATAGAAGAGTCTATTAACATAATTGCATCTCAACTCCGTTATCATCTTTCTATATGCTTAGAACATCAAGAAATAACACACGCAGCATGAAGAAAGCTCCGAGCATGAACAATCCCAGGACTGATGTAATACAATGTGAATGGGGATGCTGTTACAAAGGAAAATGATCTCTAAGATTCACGTGTGATTTCAATAAATAAATCAATCATAAGCTTTTCTCGATCATATGCCCCCAAAGTTCCGAGAAAAATAAAATAAAATGGCTTGCTAGTATGATAAGCCTGAAATCAAGCCAGTTCTTGTCGTGGAGGAATACTAGCTGGCAGTTTAGAGATGGAATCAGTGTTTTTTCTACCAGTACCACATATGACGCGCGAAATAAAAAAGTATATAAAGTTTGTGCTCCGTAAGTGTGCAAAGTCCAAAAAGTCTGATATAACCGTCGATTAGTCTACCCAAAATAATAACTATAGCTACTTCATCATAAAAAGAGGTCTCGGGCCAGTCTTTGATCTCACCATAAACCTAATAAATATTTCTAATCGCTAAAATGCTCTCTCATAAAAATATATATTTTTTTCTATCACAATCGCCTAGAGATTTCCAATAAGGTAATTCATATTACTCTGCCCCAATCCCACTTTCCATGACCGGAAACAGCTTCATCTTAACGATAGGGCTTCTAACTCGGGTGTTGCAATCATATTTCTGGTACATGGTATGCCATCCGACGAATCGCCATATCCATATCAGATGCCAAAGAACTGTCGTCAACAACTCTCAATCTCAGCTCAGTGAATAGCCTTTTCCAAAATTCCAATGCAATAGTCTTTTCCAATATTATCCCTGATAGCGTGGAAGAAAGAAACTAGTACACAAGGCTCTAAAGTAACCTTGAGAATACTTGCATAAAAATCCCCAATATTAGTAACTATGAAGAAAGTAACCACTCAACCGTCTAAATTATTCAACCTTGAGAAAATTGACACAGGCCTTCCCTGCATTACAATGATATATTTCTTACCAGTGCCGTTTTCAAAACAACAAAGCCAAATTCTACCAGTTTACTCACTAAGATAGCGATAAGAAAAGAATTAAGCAGGCCATGGAAGATATGAAGTATTCATTCGAACTGACAGTTTATGACATTTTGCAAGTCATACCAAATATCTTATCTTATGAACCATGTAAATCTTTGGTAATAGTCACAAGAATCTGGAGACGTCATTTGTCTCCAGGTTAACGAATAAAATAAGAGCAGCACAAAAAATGAAGTGATACAACAGAACAAATATGTAATGTAAAATGTAACATGACGAAAAGAAAAGGGCTGGTCTCATAACAACCATGTATGACGTTATGAAATGCAATGGAAATTACAATAAAAAATTTAGTTTCATGGAACAACACATTAAGGAACATGGAGATAAATCGTCAGATGCCTCGATATATTCAGTGACAAGCAAACTTCCTGCCAGAAAAATTGTAACAGAGGGGCTTTTCTTTGTTATCTTCGGCAATATTTGAATCTAAAAGATATCACGGTAACATATTCCTTGTCACTTTTTCTTGCATATTCTTCCATAGATTTGCAGAGTTGCCCTACCCGACGTGAGAAGAAAAGACGTTGGAAACTGTATCCAGTTTTGATTGGCCACACTCATGGAATTTTTTTATGCGAGGAACAGCCTTCTGTTTCAGACACCTATTAGGACCGAAACGGTTACTTATCCCCGGAGAGGGAAGGTAAAGTCATAGGTGAGCCCAGGGGACCAGTAAGGAGTATGGTACAAGGCCCCTCAGTGGCCTTCACCGTGGGCACTTTTGGAGGTGGTATTGGGAGAGCTGGGGGCGCTCTCGAATTGCCCCCCGAACTGGTTCTAGGGTTCATTCAGAACCCTACCCTACTTATTTTCCCCTTTTCTATTTCAGTCTTTTCTTCCTTCGATTCTTGTGTGTTCTCTCTCTATTCTCCTCAATCTCGAGCCAATAACCTTGGGGTCCTATCAATACCATATTGAAATCTACGCAATGTAGTACAGCAGCACAAATCAATTAAAAAAAATCCCAATAAACCTCAACCGCTTTCCGCATCTGAAGAATGAATTGAGTAGATCAATAAAACAACAAAAACAATGTGTTTACAAGACATCCTTGATTGTGTACAGACGTAACATGTGTATGCATGTGTAAAATTTTCTAACACAAGCACAAAGCACTGAAGACGATACTAGGTAAGATAATTAAGTGGCTAAACAGATGGAGTTGGCTGGTGCCATCCACTTCCAAAAAATGCACAGTTAGTGTGTTTTTCACCATCAGTATACCTCCATATGCGCATGAGTGGCAAGTCAGGAATGATGTTCAAGTGTCTCAGCTACTTTTAGACATACGTATGAATTATGCGTGACATAGAAACCAATATACCTGTGAACCCTTTCTCCAATCCTTCTTCTCAATCTCAGGTAGCATATTCTCAGAATACCTTCCCGTTCCATGAGGACCAGGGTCATCAAAACTGGAAAAAAAGTGGCACCAATGGAAGAAAAAAGGAACACAAATTATATGCCCAAAGGAGTTTATCCACGGACTTATCTACAGACTAATTAAATTTGAATAGCTAAAACATCTGCTAGAAACTAGAAGATTGTAGAGAGAATGATTATTCTAAAAAATATCCAAAAAAACAAGCAAGCTTAATGAAAAATGCAATTGGCTCACCAGTCAATAAAGCTAATGTTCGTTTCCATCAGATATCTATACACAAAATCAAAATTCTGCAGTGGGACACAGCTGTAAACAGAGAAAAAATTGAAAAATATTAATCAAAATATATGTGCACATGTACCCAACTACGTGAACTTGATCGTGCCATTTAGAGGACCTGTCAGAAAGCAAGACAAAGTGCTGGTTATCAGCATCTTGGATTGCATTCGCCAGAAGTCTTTTCTCCGCATCAACCATTGAGATTTGTCCCCAGCCTACCTGCATTTCAGCTCTATGTTAATCTATCATGACAGAAGATTGCCAATCTGTGCAGAGCACAAGAAAAAGTTAATTTGCAGAAACATAATATGCATAAAGTAACTCATTTAACAGGGGGCGCATCTCGTGCCTGTTCAGACTTCAGAAGTAACTCTTTGATGAACTCCCTTGCCCACCACCAAAGTTATACCAAAAGAGGATGTATTGAAAGCGATATTCAAACACTTTTCGTCATTTTATATCTTGAGAGTATTCCTTTACGTTCGTAAAATGAAGTAATGTCAAATATCATATTGGGATTTTTTTGGATAGTAGACAAAGATCATATTGGTACTGATCTCCATGTCAACATCAAATATCAAATGGCCACCTTTTTCTGGTCAATAAAAGACAAATTTGCAAAAGGAAGTTCACATCGCCAAAATATTTGACAAGTAAAGAAGAATTACATGAGAAACATTCAGGTTACCTTATCACTGCGAATGTCCCTATTCATGAACAAAGGACTGACATGCACCGGCTTTTCCCTTGATGCATGCACATAGATGGAGAATCTCCCTTCGTGACCCTGTTTAAGTAACATAAACGTTGCTATCAACAGATTACTTTTATGATATAGATAAAATACTGACACAGAGTCCCATCAAAGTTCATTTTTCACTTTTCCACACACCAATGAAGGGCTACCTTTAAGACAGTAAATTAATTGATAGATTGAGCTTGCCAACTGAGTAAAATCCTCAAATACTAACATAAAATCATATAGTATGGTAACGGCCGTTGATGGATTTTGATCAAAACAGGTATTTGCCAATCTAGATGTAGGAGAAACCCAAAATAAAAAGTTGAGAAGAAAAACAGCGAGAGGAGGATAAAGCAGCCGAAAAAAGGATGACAACAAGAAGAAGATGAAGATCAAGATGATAATAACAACAATGTTTTACCTTAAAAGAAATTTTCATCCTCCATATTTTACTTTTCCTAATTTATCTGGATTTCATAAATTTAAATAAGTTTAAAATTTCATATTTGTGTATACCATGATACGACAAATCCCACCCATGACTCAGTATATCCACCATGAACGTTTTGACAATCAACTCGGTAATCCAACCAATAATACGAAAAAATCCTCGAAATAAAATTTACTCAGGAATACCTCTAACTGAAAACTGGCATATAGTAAAAACCAACTGCACTATGTAAATAAATCAATGCCAATGGGAGAAGGTACATGTTCTTACCTGGAAAAACTTCTCCCATAGTCTCTCAAAAGGCAATGTACCCGGGGTTAAAAAAAGAAAAGCAATTTTGGGACTGGTCACTTGAATGGGAGGGAGCAAAAGAAGGTTCGCAAAGACAGCAGTAGCAGCAATCTCTTCATCTGTGAACTCTCTGACCGGAGCAGGAGGAAGCCAATCCATAAAGGGATTGCATACGCTTGATGCAAAAAAGTAGCAGGCAGGATAGTTCTCAGGGGGGAAAATGTAGGCGCCAATCAATGATAGACACACCAAAGAAACCAATATAATAATCCATGATGGCCTTCTTGAAGGGGACCGCTGGCGTGGTGCAGACATGATCTGTGTATCCAATATACGAATCTGCCACGCAGGTGGCGCCTTCATCTGGAGAATACCATGTAAAGTGGTACCAACTAAATCAACAGTTCTTTTTTTCTACATTGAACCATTAGAATATTACGTTGGACGCCCAGACAATGTCCTCAATGGAGATCATTAACGTGAAGCACAACGCAACTGAAAGAAAAATCCAGGAAAGCACAACATCAAACATTCGTCCAAATGACCATTTAAAATGGTAATTCATGTTTGAATAAGAAAAAAAGGAATACAGTGAAGTAAAACAGCGGACCTTGGTCATTGCATACAACAGATTGAGGGGAGGGGGGGGTGCATATTTCCACTTCTTCATAACAAGATAAGACATTTTGACAATATCATGCCACAACTTCACCTTTTCCTCCTTCAAAGCGTCAGCACCTAATCACGTGGGCATCCAAGTTCTTCGACTTCCAGTGTATACAGTTTTGGCAATCTTTATCACTGACCATGATATTCCTATGAGTCCTACGTTACCTATTTTCTCAAAAGATTACAGAAACATCCAACAACCAGAAAATGCTTACTTGTCACTATAACTTTCCTATGCTTCGTAAATATATTTTTAAGAAAAAACCATAAGACTAGAACATGAAAGAACTGCAATGTCCATTTCTTCCTGTCCTCCACGCACTCAACTCGATACTCTGTCTTACCATCACATAGATTATCCACGAACTAATTAAAAAACATGTACCTGGCATGTTTTGTCCTGATGGTAGGCTTTAGCAACCTCTGAACGGTCTCATATCCCCAAACCTCCCCTTATTCTCCTCCCTGAATAGATCTTACTAGCATTCCTATGTCTTAACTTGGCACTGATATAATTGGTGCTATTAGAAAGTCATTTTTCCTTACATCTACAATAGACACTCTACAATAGCATCTCCATGCCACCCCAAGAAAACTGCTTCTAATTCTCCTCGCCCATACATGTTTTACTATAATATTTTTGTTCTCACAATAGGCTATGTGAAAAGCCATCGCCAGCCAATGAACATCTTTAACAATATGGACAATCAAGCAATTAAATTTGAGCGAATGGAAATTGCTATGTCACGTCCACATATGACCAAAGATTAAAGTTGGAAATTTCCAACGAATTTAAGCAGACAGACGTCATAAAAAATTTAAATAAAATAATGATTAAGCAAAGTCGATCAATAAAAATATTTACAGAAATATAGATACCCATGTTAAATTATCGGTCATCCAATCGTACTTCTACTATAATATGACATCGTTGATTTAATCAATTGACGATTATGAGTATGTTTGTCCGCCCATGTTTGCGCCAGTCGTATCCATCAATTAGATCCTTTCTCCAAAGAATAGAACCAACCTCTCGATAAAGAAAAGAGTAGACTCGAGTCAGCGTAGCTACAGTAGCCTGCCCCCTTCTCCGGTTGCCGTTCTAACAAAAATCCATAGAGTTCCCAAAATAACCTGAACAGCGGCAGCCGAATCAAATGTCAGGAAAAACACATGGGGAGACGCTAAATAATCACACCGGCACGCAAATAGACACCTGGATCGACGGTGGGACGCCGTCACATCATAACGGGCACCCGTTCAAAGAAGCCGCGAGATCCTTTCATCTTAGGAGAGAGAGCGAGACAGAGACACAGAGACAAAGAGAAGAAGAAGAGAGTTACGGAACGCACCGGGTAGACCGGAGCGGGGCAGATCTCCGCCCCGCGGAGACCAGGCCTACGAGCCGGAGGGGCGAGTGCGTCGGACTGCTGCCGCCGCTTTGGCTTCTGGACTACGACCGAAATCAACCTCTCCCGCTGCTCGTGGGCATCTCTTCTCCCCCACCATAAAAGCCGTCGCCACCACTGCCTCCTCCCCCACAGGTCCCAAGGGAAGCTTCTTCTCTCCCGATCGGCGACTGATTACTAGCTCTCTTAAATTGCCCTTCCACCCCGGCAGCGCTTGCCCCTTACCTCTCTGAGAATTTACTATCATACCCCTCATCAGAGCTCTTGTCGCATGTTGCAGGAATCCTCCCGCTCCACCGCGGGCCCACCACGGTGAGTGGGCCATCACAACCACTTGAAAAATCTTTTTTCTGGGCCCACATCATTAGCACGCCCACATTGGACGCCACGTAGCCACGGAACCTTTCGGACTAGCCTAGTCAGTGAATCGGGACATTTTTGCGGGACCCACTCACTATTCACCACACGCCGTTCTTCGACGCCACGTATCGTTGTGGGTCTCTGGTCACCGTACGGTCGAACTACCGTCACCGTTAGTTTCCCATACGCGCCTGACCACCTGGTCCCCGGGCCCACCGAGCTGCCGGGTCAGCTGGGTCCAGCTTCTCCATTCCCGACAACGAACGAACCGGCGTATTATTCAGAGCATTCATTAGAGACATGACGACACGCAGTAAGACCTAGAGAGAAAAAGTTAGAGAGAGAGAGAGTGAAAGAGAAAGATAAATAGAGTTCAACCCTAGGGCAGAGAGAGGAAGAAGAAGGGGGGTTTATATCAGAGGAGATCGGCGACGTTGGAGGGGAGCTCTTCGATGGTGACGTTGTAGAAGCGCTGGATGTCGAAGAGCATGCGCTCGTCTTCGCGGGTGACGAAGTTGATGGCGACGCCCTTGCGGCCGAAGCGGCCGCTGCGGCCGATCCGGTGGAGATAGTTCTCCGGCTGCGTGGGGAGATCGTAGTTGATGACCAGGGAGACCTGCTGGACGTCGATGCCGCGGGCGAGGAGATCGGTGGTGATGAGCACGCGGGAGGAACCCGATCGGAACTCGCGCATGATGATGTCGCGCGTGTTCTGGTCCATGTCGCCGTGCGTGGCGGAGACGGTGTGGTCGCGGCTGCGCATGTTGTCGGTAAGCCAGTCGACCTTCCGGCGGGTGTTGACGAAGATGACGCTCTGCGTGATGGCGAGCGTCTCGTAGAGATCGCACAGCGTCTCCAGCTTCCAGTCCTCCTTCTCCACGTTCACGTAGAACTGCTTGATGCCCTCCAGCGTGAGCTCGTCGCGCTTCACCAGGATCCGCACCGGCTTGTTCATGAACTTGCGCGTGATCTCCAGCGCCTCCGGCGGCATCGTCGCCGAGAACACCCCCACCTGGATCTTCGGCGGCAGCAGCTGGAATATGTCGTAGATCTGATCGAGGAAGAAGACCCACCCACCCAACCCACTCAACTCAGTCAGTCAGTCAACGGTCCTTCACCAGAGATTGCAAGAAGAAAGAGGGAGCCGACCGACCTGATCTTTGAAACCACGGGAGAGCATCTCGTCGGCCTCATCCAGCACGAAGATTCTGATGTAGTCCGGCCGCAAAGACTGCCTTCGCAGCATGTCAAACACCCGACCGGGGGTGCCGACAACGACATGAACCCCGCTGGAGAGGATGCGCTGGTCTTCGCGCACGCTCGTTCCGCCAACGCAGGCGTGGACTTTCACGCCGAGAAAGTCCCCGAGAGCCCGCATCACCTTCTCAATCTGCTGGGCGAGCTCGCGGGTCGGGGCGAGAACCAGCGCCTGGCAGTTGACCAGGCCGTAGTCGAGCTGCTGCAGGATCCCAGAACAGAAAGTGGCGGTCTTGCCGGTCCCCGACTGGGCCTGCTGGATGACATCGAGCCCTTTACAGAAGGGGACGATCCCCCTCTGCTGGATCGCCGAGGGCTTCTCAAAACCTAATGGGTTCGCATTTAAATGGAATGTAGGGGACTCTGACTCAAAATTCTTACGATAAATTCATCAGCTGGGACCCCAAATCGGAAGAAATAGGATGTTACCGTATGCGTAAATTCCTCGAAGAAGGTTCTCCTGCAGGCCCATGGCGTCGAAGCTTTCGTGCACTTCATCATATGAGGTGAAGAACTCCTTTCCCTCTTCCACAAGTCTGATGCATGAAAAGCCAAATATGGTTACAGAGAGAAGATTAGAACTGCCCGCCATACTATTATTATCTAGCTGTCGATTCAAATCAAGAGAGTAGAGACTGACTCGCTCATCTTGGCATCATATTGACGCTCATCAAACTGGGAACCTTCTGGTACCATTCCTGCCATTCCTGCCATGACTGCAAGACGAAAGAACAAAGTTCCCAATCTTTGACAGAATTCGGGCCAGAAACCGAGAATTCAGTTGCAGAATTGTATCTGCATCAAGGAATTCGACAAGATCAGCTGACATGATCTTCGTCGGTTCAAGTAAATAGGCACTAACTCGCCACTCACACCATCCACGCTAAAAATGAGGATCAATTCTATATATATGTTGAAAAAGAGAAAGAGACAGCAGAGAAACACGATGATTTTAATAAAAAATTCAAGAGCAGAATGCAGAGAGCATGCTCTATACGGACTTTGATGTCAAAAAATATAGAAAAAGATACCCTCTACATGATATTTTTCAGTCAATACTGAGGCAGAGTAGACCAGAATCAATTACTTCCTCGTATGGAGAACTTTAAGCCAGCTCCTTCACTCTACGGCATATATATATATAAGGGAGTACCCAAAGTACAGAGCAGCTCCGACGATCAAATATACGTTTTTTTCTTTTAGTCTCTATCAATTTTTTTTACTAACCGAATGGAACAGATGACTGGTCAACGCATCGTCAAGTAACATCCAGAAGGAAGAAGAAAATAAGAACTGATCTCGGAGACCATACGCTATGGCAAGATGAATATGATGCCTCATAAGGTACGAAAGGGCAATGAATGCGGGGGGCGATCTCATGGTTTCAGAAACAGAGAGAGAGAAAAGAATCAAAAGGTAAACCATTAACGACTCCAAGAGAAGAGGTGGTGCCTGAAAAAGGAAACCATCCTCAGAGTATAAATGGAAGAACACCAGAGCATGCACGATAATCGATATTCATAGCCAAACAATGTACGCAGTCAGTGTGTACGTTCCAAGAGAATATCCCACCAAACAGAGGAAAGGAAGCTCCGAGTGTATCAACCGAAAAAACCTAAGAACCTGTATGAAACATGGGATTGTAGCACCTGATTAGTCGTTACACCAAATCCGCAAGTAGAATGGAAATTTCCAAAAACGAGTACGAAGGAGACGAAGAACCGGAGCCCGACCCTAGAGCGGGGACGTCAAGCATCGGTCTGTGATAGCGATGGTGACGCGTGAGGAATAAAACGCAAACTTCACATGCGAACAGACTGATCATAGACAGGAACTCATAGATAGGAACTCATCGAACAGAGCAAACGCGCCACCGTAGGATCCCGCATGGCGACCACCGAAACTCCCGTAGAAGAGGAAACAAGAGAACAACGAGAGAGTCTGAACACGAGATAGAGAGGATGTAATACCTTCACGTGCGAGCGGAAATCCGTGGAGCCTGGCGAAGATGGTGACGATCACAGCTCCGCTGCGTGGGAGGGCAGAGAGAGAGAGAGAGAGAGAGAGGGACGACGGGGATGAAGCTAGAGGGAGGGATGATGATGAATCGACGAGCGAGTGGTCAAGATGAAGGCGACGCCACCATTATATTCGCTCCTCAAAAACCCTAGCGGTTTCTGTCTGCAGCAGCCACGCGATAGGCGCGACTCGGTGACGCCTCGTGCAGACTCGGGCCCAGGAGCGGGACGACTCATAAATCTTCCGAGTTGACTCGGCAGATGCCGTATAACCGTATTTTTTTAACCTCTACCTGGCTCTCACGCCAAGAGAAACTTTTAATTTACGCATCGAAACCTTGGTTGTCGCATAATTTGCTACATATCCCGTATAAATGTGCTACATATTCCTCGCGCTTTGTTCATGCGATTTTCATACGGATTTTAATATAGATATATATTCATTTTTTTTACTTACTTATATTTTATAATTAAGTTGCAAGGTGAAAAGATAATAAATCTCGATTTAAATATTTAAAAAAACTCCGCGATCAAGCAAAAGAACCGACATGTCATTTATGATATGAAAATATTATTTTTTTATCAAACTTACAAACAGTCTCGATAGAAAAGCATTTAATAAAAAATAATAATAAATTCCATGATGAGCAAATGAGAGATACCGAAGTTTTAATAGAAGAGAAAAAATAGTCTTAAAAAAATGCGATAAGTAATGAAAATAAGTTATTAGGACAAAAAAATAAAATATTTTCTGCATAACATGAAAAATATTTTCCCGATCATTAAAAGCTTAAATTTTCCAAATCATCGTTCCAGCCATGTGAACTCTCTCTCTCTCTATCTATCTATCTATCTATCTATCTATCTGTAGGACAACCGGACCCTTTTGGGATTCTGTCATAAAAGCCCGTTTTCAAGACCTCTCTCTAGAAGAAAAAAAAAAAAAAAAAAAAGACAATCCAAGCTATAGATCAATTGGCAACCCTAATTAGGTCTTTAGAGAGAACCTGGAAGAACTAAGTATAGCACCAGCACAGTAAAAAAAACCAAGGCAGGAGAGTCAACCAGACAGTGGATAAGTTGGTGAGGATTAGACAAGAGAGCAGCTCCCAAATTAAGTATAGGTAAAAGAGTCGTAACCGTTGACTTTTTGCACCATTTTTGGTATACATCAAACCAGGTAGATGACATGTTAACTGGGTCGTTCTTCCAAAACAAGGATCGATTATCACAGGCAAACGCTTAATTACGGAGAAGGGGAGTACCTCAGATCAACAAAAAAGCCTAGCCAGGTAACTAATCCTCAGCTGACGTGGCGGTGTGAGCTGGATACTTCCACATGACGTCGGCCCAGGTGGTCAGCCCATCGGTCAGATCCTTCACCAATGATGACACCTCATCGAGGTTGACCCGGATCTGCTGCCTGCTGTCCCTCTCCCTGACGGTCACAGACGTGGTGGAGTCCACAGTGACAGCAAACGGGACCCCAATTTCATCAGTTCTCGCATAACGTTTCCCAATCGAGGTACCTGCAGCAGAAAAACTCTCAGCCGTTCCTCAGCCTTCCTTGACGTAAATCATTGTCAAAAGAGGGAAATTATATATGAGCTTGATTCCATGAAGAAAAGAAAAAAAATGCGGTCATCCATCCATATATCATCAAGAAAAGATTATTGATGTATGTTAAATTATCATTGCCGAATGGAGTAAACCCATCCAGAGAAGATCATTGATGATTTAAAGATTCATGCATATTAAATCACGGTTTATGTGCTTCGAAACTGTGATATTATTCTAACAAGAACAATAATCTGAATTCGATCCGAAAAGAAAAAAAAAAAGTTTGTGGGTAAACCTGTAATGTCTATGATGTTTGAGATTCCAGCTCTGGTTAGGGATCTTGATATGGTCTTGGCCACTCCATCGAATGCATCGTTCTTGACGAGGGGGAGGACGGTGCACTTCTTGGGTGCCACAAGAGGAGAGAAGCTGAACACGTTCAGCTGCTCGTTTTCAGTCTTGCTCGACCGTGTGTAGAAGGAATGCTCGTACAGACAATAGATTATTCTTCCGATGCCAAAGGACGGTTCAATCACTGAAGGCGTGAACTCTCTCTGGTGTTCCTTCTTCTTCTCAATATTAACCGAGACCATGTTCTTATTGATGGTGACGGCTTTCCCCAGAGTGCAGACCTGGAATTCCACCTCTCCCTTGGATTCTAAGGCAGCTTTCATCTCCAGCGCCTCAGCTTCTTTCATGGCCTGTTCATGGTACAGAAGGAAGTAGACTATGGATCATCATCTTTATCTCTCTCACGGCTTCAACCACAGCATGGTTTGGAAGTGCAAGAGGAGATCTCATCCAATTTTTTTCTTAACTTTCGTTTAGGTCTCTTCTTTTTTCAGATCAAATGAATGTGGCGCTATGACCCTCTAGAGTTCATAAAGTTGTGAACTGACCTCCAGTGCTTGAACTACCATCTTCTGGTTGGCCTTGAATGCAAGGCCCAACTCCTTCTTTGACGGGGTGATAACCAGCTTCTGAAGATTAGCAAGAGCCATCAGTTGACAATTTCGATTATATACCAGTTAACAGAACATAAATGAAAGATGTGAACCAGAGGCATCTGTTGTCACTAAGTACTGAATGTGATGGCAACATGAGATAATTGAATGACTATTAATCCATCAAAGTTGCAGTGTATCAAAGAATTTATTTGAGAAAAAAATAGAAAAGGGCATCACTAAAAAGAAAAAAATTAGCCTACCTCCACCTCCCTAGGCTCCGAAAATTTTTCATGTGCAACCAGATTGATACCGCTTTTCTCCTGTAGGCAAAAGTAATCGTAAATACTTATCCATCGAAAGCACGATATCCATCAAGGGAACGAGAAATACAGCCTCATTGACAAAATGTAAAGCTTAAACTATAAAAAAAACACTTTTATATCATTTATTTTAATCTTCTACAAGTAGGACGATGAGTATACCAACATCATTCAACAACCCAGTCATACGGCCTCCATTATTCAATTAATGTTTGGAGGATAAAGCAAGAACCCAATCCAGAAAACACAATTTCACAATGCAAATGTCTGCTTACTGTGTGAGCACGTAGATCATAAGCAGATCGATCGGCAATTCCCACACACTCAATCCAGCCAAAGGAACATTCTATCTCGGCATCCCAACAATCTGCAGCATAGTGAGCCATCTCATTGGGCAGATGCTGCCGGAACCGTAACCTATCCTTGTGGATTCCAAGCTGTGTCAGGAATAGAAACACCCTCCCAATAAAGTATCCAAGTGTCTCATTGTTCACAGTCCCCTGAAACAAAATATGATGATGAAAAAGCAGAAAAAAAAATATTAAGAAGAAGCTTACATACCTATATATACGCATTATTAGGCATAAAAGATAAAGGGAACTCTAGATGAGCCTACCTGAGAAACTGCTTTACCGAGGGCCATTATCTTGGCTGACTGTCCTGTCAGTTGATCCTCCTTCGGAAACATAAGAAACTCCAATTGTGCCACCTCTGAAAATTTTGGATGTGACTTGTCTTGAGGATCAACAAAATGCTCGACCTCAGCAAGAGTGAACTCACGGACTCTAAGAAGCCCTTGTCGAGGAGATATCTGTTCCCAATTCAAACAAAATAGAAAGTGAGCTACAGACAGAACCTTCACAGTTAATTTGATAATCGAGTACAGGATGCACACGAGTTCTGAAGCATACTAAAATATCATGTGTCTAATGGGAATACAACATGGAACGAGAAGTGAAAGAATTGAGCAAGTCCGATTACAGCAAGAGAAACATCTGACTGTAGCCTTCTTTATAAAAAAAAGAAAAACTCATGCTGATTCATGGTTGTTATCCCCATTCTATCATAAGCAAGTGAAATATCTCTTACTGCAGGCCACCCTTCTGAGAAAATTGATGATGACTTGAAGAATTTCTGAGAAAATTGAAAGCAAGAATGAATTCGTACAAAAAACGTGTAATCAAAACTTATGACTGATTGCTTAACGGGCAATTCGATAAAGGTTAACGGGTGAATCTGTCATATAACATGTAATCAGAACTTATGACTGATTACTCAACCCGTTATTACCTTCATAATTTGGAAGCAATATATTAACTAATATTCCTAATATTTTGAAAACTATAAAATAATACAGCATTGTACTGCTAAAACACAGACGACACAGAAAAGACGAAGATGCAAATTCATTCTTTAATCCACTACAAATAATAGTTTCGAATTTTTTAAAAAAGTATTATGATCAGAAGATATTTTTATCCACAATCGCATGAATCAGAAAAAAAGTGGCAAAGACTAATGTGTAAAAATAGAAAAGATCGGCTTGTACGAGTGTCACGTCAATAAGTGAGCTGCAGTTATCACATTCTACTGGGTATCTTTCTTCTCAACCATGCTAAAAAACTTTATCAGCATCCACATACTTTTTGCAGGAAATACGTTGTTCAAACCTCATTTCTGAAAGCTTGTCCGATCTGAGCGGCTGCAAATGGAAGTTTGTTTCCATTGTAATAATAGAGGTCTCTAAAGTTCACAAAAATCCCTTGAGCGGTCTCTGGTCTCATGTACCTGTCGCACGCACAGTTGTGTTCGTTTAGTAACAAAACTTAAGCTAATGCCACAATGACAAGAGTCGTACTCAAAATGAGCTTTCTCACCCATGGAGCAACCCTGTCGGACCAATCGAAGTCTCAAACATGAGGTTGAACGGATATGGATCTGAGAGGGAGTTCTTTGTATCCGGTGCGGTAATCCCGTACTCCTTGATTTTAGCACCGAGTTCCTCAGAAGAAAGGTCATCCAAGACAGCGATTACATGCTTGAGCTCAGCCACTTTCTCCGGCGGCAAGGTCAAATCCTTCTCGAGCTTCTCCTTGCAGAAATCCTTGAGCAAGTGATCCGCACGGTGGCAAGTTCCCGTCTTCTCATCCTTCACCATCAGGTCAGTGAACTTGTCCACGTGACCGGACGCCTGCAGCACGACCTCCGGCGTGACGCAGGGGCAATCCACCTCCAGCATGTTCTCCTCCAGCACAAAATGCTAAAGAAGAAAAGAAAACAGACCAATGACGAAGCCGATCAACAGGAATTCAGAAATCTGGACCAGCAAATTAACTCGAGTGGAATCACCAGGAAACTCTCGTAATTCGGTAGGCAACGGCGCTCACCTGGCGCCAGAAGGACAGGACGTTGGTCTTGATGGCGCAGCCGTTGGGGCCATAGTCGTAGAGCCCAGCAACACCCCCGTAGATCTTGAATGAAGGCGTGTAAAACAACCTCCTCTCCAGCGTGTTGACGACCGCCTGACGGAACTCCTCCTTGCTCACCCCACCATCGGCGCTGCTGCCGACGGCGGCCTGCAGCTGCTTAATCAAGCCCCCGTGCTCCACCTTGAGAGCCTTCAGCGCTTCAACGGCGGCGTCGACCTCCGCTGGAGAGACACCGGAGCGGGACTTGAGCTCCCTGACGGCATCGGCCTGCTGGTCCACGGCGGCCTGTTTGGCAGCCAGTTCCTGCCTCAGCGCTTCCTCCACGCCGTTGACACCCGCCATGATCACAACACAGGGTCCCCCCTCCTCCCCCACCGAATTGCAAGGCGAAACTTGACCCCTCGGCGGCGGACGGCGGCGGAGACTGAGGTCGGGGAAACCGTATCTAAGTGGGGAAGAGAGAGAGAGATAGGAAACAGATATAGGCGTTTCCTCTGTAGAACCCCGACGCATTACAACCGTTGGATCTCATCTCGATTGGACGAGAGAGTACATAGATGCGGTCAATTCATGATCTGACGGTGGATGATAGCTCTCGTAGATAGGGCTAGGATTTAACAAAAAAAAGGTCATCCACCTATCAAATATCTTCGTTCTGTGTGTGGGCACAGAGGGTGGTGGGGCCCACAGTCGAAACGTTTTAAAAAACCATCATCAAGATAATATTGTCAGAAATACACACTTTAGTAATTAAATAAGATATAAATCCCTAAAACGTTCTGGGCTCCATTCGTATTGAGCAAAAAAGGTCATCCTCCAATTAAATATCTTCGTTCTGCGTGTGGTTCCCAGAGTCAGTGGATGGGGCCCACAGTCAAAAACTTTTTAAAAACCTATCATAAAAATAAGAATGATAGAAAAGGACACTATACTAATTAAATACAATCTAAACCCTAAAAGATTATCTGCTCTAGGGTTTCTGACTTGGCTAAAAAAGGTCATAACCTCCAGTCAACCATCTATATTCCTCTTGTGGGCCCAAGGTCACGGATGAGGTCCACAGCCGAAGGCCATAAAAAAAAAAACAAGCCATCGAAATAATATTGACAGAAAAACACGCTTCATTAATTAAATATGATATTACTCACACAAATGTTATCGATTCTAGGGCTCTCCGGGCGCTGCTGCCGCCACCGCATCCCGGCATCATGACGACGCCCTGGAGGAGCTGACGCCTTTAACTGCGGCAGGCGTGATGTGAAGGAGAAGCAGAGCAGGAGGAGGAAGAGGAGGAGCTCTCCTGCTTGCTCCCCTGCGTGGGCGCATTCATTCATCTCAGAGAAATCAGCTCAACCCCCAAAAACCAAAAGAAAAAAGAGAAAAGATGACGAGAAAACAGAACGGCGCTTCCAAGAGATGCATCTGTCAGGCAGAGAAAGAGCTAGGTGTTCTTAGCCGTGCGCTACCTGAAGAATTAACAAATATATAGGCTTCAGCCAGCATCATGCTGCTGCTGCTGCTGCTCGCACAAAATTATAAGCGGAAATCATGAGAAAAAAAGACTAACATAGCCCGAATTCCTTCCATCTGTGATTGACTGATTGCTTGCAGGCGATGATGCGTGTATGCCGGCTATGACTCTGCAAGATCGGGCGTCTCGGCTTCAACCGACAGCAGAGCCGTGTGGACCTTGTTCAGCCAGTCGTCGAGCCGATCGCGCAGGGCCTTGATCTGTGGAATGCCCAGTATCCTCGGCTGCACCCACGAAACATGGACTGTTCCCTCTACTTGGTTGATTATGCCCTCGATCAGATGAACCTGCGCGGGATTGATTTTCTAGTCATGAAGAAAGCAATATAGGATTGCTACAACTGGTTTCACCAATCAGAGACAGCCATAATCACCCCACCTTTTAATCTAAATATTTCAGGAGATTTTGGATGTGAATTGAAAACTTATTGCATAAATGTGTAGAGTAGTCGATCAAATGAATATTTATTGCATAAACTTACGGAAAGGCTTTTCATAAGAAGGTATTCCACGTCTTCAATTGAAAGCCCGGTACGTTCAGCAATGGTGCTGAGTGGTATGGTTCGGTCTTCAGATGGCCGGCTGCAATCGGAAGATAATAATAAATGACACCAAAAAAAATAATTAAAAAAAAACAGAAATATACGGAAAAAATATGCACCGTCGGATTCCTCCCCACATGAAATTCTACCTGAAGATGATTTCCATCAAGCAAAGAATATTAATCTTCTCCAGTAGCTTCTTCTCGTTTTGCACCAATGCAGGTTGGGCGCTCAGAGCAGCGTTGTGGACACGGCAGAGTTCTTGATAGCGCACTAAGTTACCGGTGTTAAAAGCCTGAAGTATATGGTAGAGCCACTCGACGTTTGTACCAAGGAGACTGTTTATCTGCAAAATATCGAGCCAGAACAATCACCAACTCAAATAAATGATTCAGTTCCCTGATTCAAATGGAAATTTAATTTAACGTAAAATAAAAATCAAAGACCCATTTTTTAAAATATCTAATTTTATTTTTTTTGGAAAAAAAGACGGTTTAACTAGAAAATAGGGATTAAAGTAAAAAAAAATCCTTCTTTTTCTTTGTGATTTGAATTCCCCCCAGAAATCCAAACACCAGTGTATTTGATTTTCTTGAAAAATCAAAATCTCAGTAATTAGACCCCGACAAAAAAGAAACCATTCCAGAACATGTTTTAGGGGTCATATCCGCAACTTATTGAACTCATTAAACAAACTTGAGTGAAACAGGAACAAATGAGATCAGAAAAGCTCCGCGATAGATTCACGTTTTCATCTACTGTGCAACTTTTGTAGTTATCTATACGCAGAAGTCAGGAGCAACGGAAAACTCCGTTCTTTATTCGATATATTAATCAAAACTTCTTCAACAATGAGCAACACAGAAGAGGAACAAATTTGGGCAACGAAAGTTGGCATCATGTCTACCATTGGGTAACACTATTCAACTGGAAGTAAATTGTTTCATCCTCTGTTATTAATGTCAGACGACGTTCAAACAGGGAAACCCTTGGAGGAAGTCAAATCAAATATCAACATCGGCAGATTAGCCTCTGGTTTGATTGAAACAAGCTGTAAAACATATCTCTCCATTGTGCAACATCAAACAATAGATTGTATAATAATAATAATTATCCGAGAGAAGCTAGAACACATCACAAAACCTATTCCACGTAATTTCATAGATGAAATGATGCAACCGTTAAAGGCCAAGCTAGTAGAAATACAATAAAAAAGAAAAAAATGGTACCATTATCCAACTCTATGTTATACATCACACCAATTGCTAAAAGTAAATAAGAACACACAAAAATACCCATCGACTTACAATTGGATGCGCTAAAAGTTCACCAAAGTTATATATGTTATCACCTAAGAGAGCTGACAGAGAGAGGTCAAATGCCAAATCCTGGAACAAAACAATGAGAAGATCAAATTAGCACAACATAACATGTGGGCTGTTCCTTTCAATGAAAAGGAACAGTACAATCGTAGCTCATCTAAAAGTTCCAACAACATCACAATGTCCGTCGTGAGAAAATAATTATACATTTTAATAGATGAAAGCAAACGGCAAATCTGACTCTGAACGATATTTACATTTAAACAAACTTCATCAGGTGCAACTGTCTCAGCATGATTCAAGAAGCAGCTTTGATTAAAATTCCCCGATTCTATCCGAAAAAAAAATTATGATACAAAATCAATATAGCTCAAATAAATAATAGCAGAAGCCACATTGACCTCTTGATCATTAGATGGAATCAGTTGCCTCCAAGATATAATTATGAATATCAATTGATGGTTCAGTCGATAAAACATTAGAACTGTTGTCAGGAAATAATGCCACTTTTTTCTCATATAAATGAGACGAATAAAGTTAATAAAAATCAGATTATATATGATCTTATCTTTGCAACAAGTCTACATAAATACTTGAATCCTAGAATTATACAGAATTGGTCACTACTGAAACACAGAGAACATCCCAGGACCATAAGCCCACTTGTACACATGAGAACCAAATAAATGCAAAAGACGGTTTATTCTGCAAGTGCATAAAACACCAGTAAATGAGATGCCGGTCACACAGAGAAGAAAATAGACAACATTTAGGAAAAATCATTGAGTCGCAGACATCGTCTGTTTTAAAAAAGTGACAAACATTTTCTCTGAACAGTCCATGCATCTATAAATAGTGCTGGGGTATCACTTTCAGGAAAAATAGTGGCGACATAATTTACAGATAATCATAAATTTTGAAACCAAACTATAAATAAACCGTTAATATTGACCATAGAGATTTAACTCTATTGATCCAAACTTAACCAAAGAAAAGAAAGTAATTTATATGCGTAGAGTAGTAAATAGCCTAGGTACCCAACGACTCCTAGTCACATCATTGTTTTTTTCCAAAACAATATTGTTTATTACGTCATATCAAGGAACTAACATCACAACCTCATACATTTAGCCATAAACCACTGAGTAGGTTCCATTCAAGAGTAACTACTCCTAAGTTGACACGTAATACTCTACGCTAAATTTTCATGGTTTGAAACGTCACAAGATTACAAAGGTAATGATAATAAAGATGGCGGACAAAGGGAAAGAATAGCAGAAACTGAGGACGCTCGCAAACAGAACGACGACAATGTGTGATCAAAAGACATTACAAATTGCAGTCTAGAATAAACCTTCAAATCATTTGATGAAAATTAATAATGCTGGTTTTCATTACGATGTGTGATAAAATTGTATACCAGCTTAAACGTCTCCGAAAGAGATTCCACGGTTGTGTATGCCAAGTAGAGAAGAGCATTTTTGTAGAACTCTCCAAACTCTTGTCGGGCTTTGTGATATTGAGAAGATACCCAATAATAACTGGCGTGAACAGAAGGATCAATATCAGTCATGCTATCCAACGTAGACTTCCCATCATCTAGGAGCTTTTTACACTCTTTTTGGTCCCCCTTCTCAAGATTGAATGCAGCTATTTGCATCTTCACATAAAGAATTGGTTCATTTATCCGTGACTCCTTAGTGGCATGAAGTTTCTCTATCACTCCTTCAAGATAGCTGATTGCGGCCTCTTTCTCTGAATATTGGCGAGAAACGATCACAGCAAAGTGGGCAAGCTTAAGAAGATTTATCTTTGTCTCGAAGTCAGTGATGAAGTTATGATATAGCTGTATCAGTGCATCACCAGCCTGGAAAACGTTAAGAAAAGACATACGAAGTTCAATAACTGGATAAACGATCAGAATTTTATGAATTCCAAGCTAAGATTATTTCATAACAATAAGACAGACAAAGCATGCCGACAGAATTACCTAAATTAACGTATGATGCAAGAAGACATGCATCAACAAACAGTAAAATATAAGGGGCTTTTCTCATGGATCTAGGATTTCCTTAGTATGAACAAAAAAAAGGATGGAAATTTATCTTCTGGATGTTAAACATGGAACCTTTTCTGGATGTTAAACATGATGGATGGAACCTTTTCTGGAATACTCACATTTGGATGTCTTTCTTGCAAATGTATCAATAGTGTATTCAAAGTTTCAGACCAAAGAAAGTTTAGACAACATTTTCATACCCAAGATTTGTGGAGCAGAATGATAGTGCGCAGCTTAACATAAATCGTGGACAAGGAGATTTGAAAGTTTTTTGGCATATAACTCAGCTTCAATATCCTGATTATAACATTATTTTCTTGACATTGGAGAGTTATACATATTTAGGTTGATGAGTGACATTCTTTGAAGAATTAAATGAACAAGATGTTAGTTACGAGAAGCATAGTCTATGGGCATGAACATATAGATGGGAAGCATTGGAGCGTACCAGTGACCCTAGAATGTACTGCAAGATGTTTTCCGGCATCTTTCTTGGGGATGACACTACATTTGGTGCCATACTTTCCACAGGTTTAGAGAAGCTTGTGCACGAAGTTGAAAGCATAACAACATGATTGACAGAAAATATTCTCTCCTATGGGAAGAACTTTTTGTACGAAGCTGTACTACTAGCCTGTCCATCAACAATCTGTATTTGATCAGGAGCAGGTAAGAGGCAGGAAAAGATAAGCCCCAGATTATTTTTTGAATGATAGTGGAGATAGATAAATAGAACAGTGTGGCGGGGATTGGGGTCGAAAAATGGGCATTGCACCATTAAGATACCAAGGACTTCACTCTAGACTTATTTAGTTATTAGGCATGGACGTCCAGTACTGATGATAGTGGTCATTGGTTGGGAGCAACGAGATCAAACTACCACAGGAGAATGAGAGATCGACACATCCAAATGCGCACACTAGTATAGTCTGAAGATAGTGAGGCAAGACATTCATCCAGAAAGAGATGAGGCAAATAGGATAATTGATTCTACCGATTGCCCAATACTTAGTAAGAATTTTCGAGAAGAGAGAACGCGTATCTCGGCACTCTATTTGGCCTACTCAGAAAGATAATCGTAAAAAAGACATAGTTGCACGGAAATTGAAATGAGGTGGTAGAGAAAACTCCCCTACCACGACGAATAAAATGGAGACAGAAGACACCATTTGGGTTTTCACGAATGGCGCTTGACCGCTCCTGGGTATGTGAATGTTTTTGATGTGGAGGATTTCACATATGAAGAAATGGCTGACCCACTCTGCTTTCACCTCCACCTGATGCGGAGGAAATATTTGATCACCTGTTTCTAGGATTACCTTGAAGATTTGATATGTAGTTCTTCATAACCTAGAAAGTCAATTGATCTTAAGGATAACCTAACCGTGGAGCGGATGGAATTCCAATTGGATACTTAAGCAATATCAAAAACGTTTAGTGGTTCCTCATGCATGCTAATATTTGGTTATATTCGGAATGAAAGAAAATGTCTGATTTCTAGGTGTCAATGTCACCCGATGAAGGGAATATACCTTTAAGTGAGAGAGCAGATTTCGAATGATCATTATGAGGATGGATTTTACCCCTCAAATTTGAGTGTATTTGGGTCTAAGTATAGTTACAGCATGATGTGATACGGAAAAGATGTCGGGTTTTCTTACATCTTGTCAGTGATACTTGTATAATCTCCTTACACTTTAACATCTAATGTGGATCAGGCACTATTCACTTTAATTCCCAGAGTTTCTGCACAGCATTAATGAAATGAATGTCCATTTGAAATTCCTAGTAAAGACACCCAACAACTTTTGCCCCAGATGGAAAGTAATTAACTATAACGAAAATAAAACTAGAAATTTTAACTAATTTTTATAAATAAATCACTTTGTTTACATTCAGTTTGTCGTTGTTTCCCAAAAAATATCTACTATTGAAAATCGTGTGAACTCTACGTATCTAGCAAAGTCAATATCTGTCAGCAAAAACCAACACAATAACCCCTACAGAAAAGAACACGTATTTTTCCAGACGATGTGTAATTTTCACCAACTGGCAGAGATTTAGCTACATATCCCTCTTCTTATTTAAAACTCTCACCTAAATCCTATCAATTGGCATATATCCAACTCCAATCAACTGAAAACTTTGTCCCGACGTGTTACCTACGACTATATCCAACGGCCACCTCCATAATCATCGCCCACCCTCCTGAATTTGACGAAAAACAAAAAAAGGAACCCAAAACTTCGCACAAACGACTATTCCATCACTCAGTTCCATAACATTTCTTTTTCACCGATAAAAGAATGCCGGCATGATTAAATTTGGGGAAAAATTATAAAAGATCACACAAAGAATCAGTCAATAAGTTCCTGGTCGTTCCAATGCACGCAGGAGCTTGTAAAAATCCTAGAGTTATTATTAAGTGGCGTGTCAACCTGGTGCCTCTCTTCCCCACATTCGGGCATCCAGCCTTGATGCTCAGATTAGGGCCACCAACATCTATGGAAGTCCAGATAGATTGAAACCCAGAAACCAATATTGATGGAGACCAAACGAAAGGAACATTTAGGAATAAAAATAGAAATTGCTAATGACAATTGACTTGCCTAAATATCAGCCAGCCTAGATCTAGGATAGTGACAGGTAACACCGAAACCCTAGAAGCCGAACAAAAAGCGTAGACGGAAGGGGCGATAGGTTTTACCTGGACAACCGCGAGAGCAACGAACTGATCCAGTTTCAAGGTGAGCTGGTGCCATAGCTTCTTCTGATATAGCTCTTCGAGCGTGTTGTACCAATCAGCCAGCTCTGGCTGGGCGTTCCTCTGCGATTCCAGATACTGTAGCGCCCCCGCCATGGACGCCAAGCCGATTGTTGGCTTCGCTCTGGGGGGGACGAGATAGAGAAACGACTTCGCCCTAGGGCGCCGGAGAGTTGCCGGCGGACGAAGCCCTGCGGTCGGCGGAGAGAGAGGGAAAAGAAAGAGAACATAGGAGAGATCAACGAGGCCTATAAAAACTCGAACCAAAGGCCCACGAGAGAGAGAGAGGGAGAGAGAGTCCGAACCCAATACTTGGAATATCGGGCTCTTCCTTTTCGGCCAAATTTTCCCCATTTATTCGGTAATTAAAGATATAAATATAAGGTTATTCCTTTTGACCGGTCAACATTGGACTACGTGGTGCCTCACGTACGGTAAACCTTTTTTCTAATTTCTCAAAAACCCCTTATTTTTTACCTCTGAAATTTAATTTTTTAGGTTAAATATATATATTGCGCTGAATTTTTTAACCAAAATATTTAAATCTTTAGGTTCGATCACACATCTATAACACCTATATAAGGAAATTATCTAAATTTGTGAAAAATAATGCCCACGAGAAGATATGCGATGTGAGCATAATAATATTAATTATCCTTCGTAATATTTCGTTAACTTTAATTATTTTCCGATTATCATTATGCAAGAAAAATATTGTAATAAAAATGTTAGAATTTGTATCTCTCGTCAAGCGATTATCTAAATTTTAGAGAATTTTGCGTTTCAAGTTCACATAAAACCGTTGAATTATTAATAAACCCTTATTTTTGTGATTTTTGCATACGAGGCCTCAAAAAGGTATTTTATCCTGATATTTAGTATTTTTAATACATTTAACCTCTATTTTCATGGAGAGAGAGAGAGAAAAAAAAACCTCTGTTGACTGTCCTTTCTTTGTCGGCAAGTAGAAGACGGTAGAACGATATCACTATTGGATCGAATAGTGAGGAAGAGAGAGAGAGAGAGAGAGAGAGAGAGAGAGAGAGAAGAAGTTTGGGGGGAGGGGGGGTGGTTTAGAACCTCATGCGACGACAAAAAATTCCTGTCTGGCTCCCTCCACGTCCCCCATACCCTCCTGTCAACGGCCGAAGAATCCAGAAACTATCGTCGGTGAGAGAGAGCTATGACTGATCGGACCAACGGCTTGGCCGTCTTGGAAGTCTGCTACGATATCGAACGCCAACGCCGTCGTCGCCATCTGCTAGCTCTCTTCTTAGCAGAGGAGGCCGAGATCATAAGAGGCGCTGAGAGGTGTCTGCAGGAGGAGATTCGCCGCTCACCTGGTTCGAAAGGTGAGTTTCTAATCTCCTGCACATTTTGATGGCCTTCCGGCTAGTGTGCGATTTAGTCTGGGGTTTCCCCAAACCATAACCCTAATCAGGCTTCACAAATATTCCACATCTTTAGTAGGTCGACAGATTTTGATGCAGGTCGACACCAACAACACTGCATTGTCATCTGTACATCCATTTACCAGGGGAAGACAGGTCGGAAGAAGGAGAGTCATTCACGATCAGTTTGAACTGACATGGAAGCGTGTCCCCGTGCCGCATTACAGTCCTCCAGAAGGCCTGCGATATTCTGCTCTGGAGCACTGAGGGATGGCAAGATGACTCGTCCGGAGGAGCCAGAGTAGGAACTGGAAGCCAAGTCCTTAGATTCATGGCGGGGGATCTTCCTCGCCACTGGTAAGTCGCTCCTCGCTCTTGCATTTGCAGACCTCCGTTCTTTCCATATCCTTCCATCCTGAGACAACAGAAATCCAAACCGAATTTTTATGCGGGATTCCCGCGCTCTCCGCGAGTTCTTCACGCATGAAATGTGGCCAGATCAAATTCAGGCATATATGTGGTAGGCTTCGCACATGGAACCGACATTCCGCTAAGCACAGCTCAAACCATAATGTTTCACAACGCATCATACGCGCAAATTCGGGTGATAACCGGAGACATAAAAGGCGTGAAGATTTGATACCTTGTATCTGACTTTGCGGAATTGATCGTATTTTATGAATGCCACATTCATTGCTCATGAGATTTACACTCATAATTCGGTGACTAACCCACTCTACCTGCTGATCTGAATCATGCTGTCCTTTTCGGAAAATAAGATAATCGCGATAAATGTCATCTTCTTGGCCTTCGTTACCGCAACCAGAGCAATCTCGCGCTCTCTCTCTCTCTCTCTCTCTCGTTAAGGGTCGATCTAAAATCATGGATGCTCCCTGACAGTGGGCGAAAAACGTCGGAGTCTCCTCCGCGTTGCATACATGGTGCTGGGAATATCTCGTGAAGAGGGCATTTTATCGGACTGTAATGACAGTGGTCGTACTTACATTGAGAATGGAGGGCTCCGGCAAGGGGCACTTGATCGGCTGATCATGACCGACCGGCTCACTCGGGTGCTCCACCGGCTTGAACTCCTCTACCCCGCGGGGATTTCCCGACGCGGAAGCGACTCCCCCGGCGTTTGGCGACGATCCTCGAGCACTTATCCCCTGCTACAGGCCAGCCATCGATCCATCGGTCGAATCAGAAATTGCGAAAGCAGATGGCAGAAGGGAGAATTTATGGCAGAGACGTAGATCTCCTCTGGACGCCGCGGGTGGCGGCGGTGGAGGAGAGGCTTACGGTGGCGCTCTGGTTCCGCCGGTGGCCGCTACTGCGGCCGGAGAACCGCGCGAAGAGCCCCGCCATCCGCCCCCCCCTGCTTCCTCCTCCCTCTCTGTTCTCTCCGCAAGCAGGAGCCTCGACTGAGGACCAGCGGGGGGGCACTTTTAACTGGGCTCGACGTTGCTTGGCCCGATGGGTCGTCCAGTGATTCCCCCACCACCGCCCAGTGCTTCGACGATTTCCGCCGCCGTGCACCTGAATTTAAAGGACCACGGTCGGAATCGAATCCTCTCTCTCTATCTATCTCTCTGTCTTCCTTCAGGGTGAAAGCTAAAGCAGACGTCCGACAAAGATGATAAGATATGGACGGGTGATGATCTTAATGAAACACCCACCGCGATCATTCGGCCGTCGAATGGTCCGATAGGTGGACCCAAGCACCGTCTCACCATGTTCCTAGACTTCTCTTCACGACACGTGGTGCCCATATACGTACACGTGCAGCCTACTATTTGGTCTTCATTTGGTCAAACCTTTTATCGTACTTGGTTTTACATACGGGCCATTGTTGACCTGACATTATACCTTATTTTTTAAATAACGTAAATAAATCAAATAAAAAGCGTTTTATTTTATTTATGATCATTCCACGTGTCATTGTTACTATTTATTATTGCACTGCGAGGTCGACAATTGTGATTTTGCGACACGTGTCAGTTTGCTGTAATTTTCTTCCTACTTGTCCCAAAATTATAAAATAATAAATACCACTAAATGGGCGAAATAAGTTTTACCATAAGTAATGTATTTTCCCAAATATATATTATTACAACATAATAACATTAAAAATGTTTATTATAATTATTTTTTATCTAATTGTGTTTTATTATATCCTAAAAAGACACAGTTAAAGGTTCACGACGAGCTATTTGTACTCATCATCGTTTTTTACATATTTATTTATTTATTAACTTTACGATATATTCCACACGAAAAAAGAATAATATGTTGTTAAATATTTTAATATATTCTTATTACGGATTGCTACCATTTGATCTCATGGAACGGAGAAAGCTTGCAAATAAGTATAATAACTTGCGAGTGCTGGAGTTCCTTCCAGTGGCTCAGGAGATTTTTTTTTTTGGGTAATTTTTAAACTGAAATAAAAAAAACCGATTTTTACACTCTCCAGAAAAGGCTGCACCTCAATAAATTACGTGGAATAAAAGGTCAGAAAATATTTTCATAGAAATGAAGACGGCATCTTCCACTGCACGGCCAAATATCTGGGCCACCCTTGCCAACGGTTATATCTCCTCCCTTCGCCACCCTCTCTCTCTCTCTCTCTCTCTCTCCTGTTCTCAAGAGCAGAGGAATGGAACCCCTCAGAAGCCCATTTTTTTCACCTCTTCCACATCCAAAGCAGAGCTCCTCGCTCCCTCATCTGAGGAAAGTCCATGGCAGACCCGCCCCGCGGAACCCCTCCTCTGTACGTCTTATCCGGGCGCATGAATTCGCCGACCCTTGGAGCCTCTCCGACGGCAATAGCAGCAGGAGGTTCAGACCCGAGCCCTACAGGAAGAAGCCACTCTCCGATGACAACGCGAGGCGGATCATCAAAGCCAAGGCGCGTTACCTCAGTGAACTGCGGCGGAACCAGGGTAGTCAGGCGCAGACGCCGCGCTGGATTCGAAGGACCCCTGAGCAGATGGTGAGGTACATAGAGGATGACCGAGATGGGCACTTGTACGGGAAGCACGTGGTGGCGGCTATTCAGAAGGTCCGGGCCCTGGCGGGGCTGCCTGAGGGATCATATGACATGAGGGAGGTGATGGGTTCGTTCGTCACCCAGCTGAATTTCCGGGAGATGTGCGTAGTGCTTAAGGAGCAGCGTGGGTGGCGCCAGGCCAGGGACTTCTTCGCCTGGATGAAGCTGCAGGTCGGTGGGTCCTTCGTCCTCCACATCTCTTTCGTTCATCTGTCACCAGGGTTTCAACGATGTGAACTTTTTTTGAAAGATTTTCATCCTTCCTGTTCTACTAATTATCCTCAAATACACGGTTCCTCCTGCTATTTCCTCATCTTTATGTTCGGACCTGTTAATTTGGGAACATGTTCTGCACTTTCCATTCCACTGGCGTTGACCTCCTTGAAGCGATGGTCAAGCATCCTCAAGGTCAAACGGAAAACTGTATGGTGCGCTATTTAATAATTTGATGGTGTCTGTGGCATGCGGTGGCTTTTTGGTGCCCCCCACACATGGCCAAGAGAGTACGACGAGCCATTTTGGACTATTTGATGAACATAAATGCCCAAGGGTTATGCATTTCGAGCAAGACATCTATGGTGCATCTGCAGTGATGAACTGATTGATCTTGCTTTCATATTTTATGTATCTGTCTCATCACCAATATGTCATCAGGCTTTAGAAGAACCAAAGAGGCCTTTAATACATACCTCACGAAGTAGAATGATATGCTCTGGTAAATATTCTTTCTTGTTCTCTTAACAAGGTAAGGTATCTAGCCTTGTCGTGGGCTTTGTAGCTTTGTAGGTCGACTCTCTGAGGTGATTTTTTTGGAATTAGCATGGTAGGATTGAAGGAGTATTTTTTTGTATAAATATTATTATTAATTCGGTTGATTATATATATGGTTATTTTTCGGTGGGAGGATGATAATAGACTGGATCTTCCGCGCAGACCTTCACTTGAATAGCCTCCACTATTTCCAAGTGCGTTCATGATAGTTTTTTTGTCAGAGAAAAGGTATTTTGTGCATGCCATTGTGTCAGAGAAAACCTTGAGGATAAGCTCGGGGCCTGGTTCAGTCAGCTGGATCCGTAACAAAGGCTTGATACCGTAAGAAGGAAAAGAAAAGGGACTGAAATTATTAGCTCCTAATTGAAGCTGATGTGGTTAGAACTGAATTTGTCTGATTACCAATTTTTCGCCGTATGAAGAAATATAAACAGAGTATCCTGGGCTGTGCTAAAATTGGTGAACTACCTGCTGAGGAATGCTAATTATTATGATTTTAGGACTTATGGTTGTATGATGAAGTATTTTGCCGAAAAACTTTAAAAGCTCTATCAATTGTAGTGATAAGAATCAGAACACTCCGAGCCTGAAGCTTCATTGATTAGTGGTCATTTCGCTGGGTAAATCAATATTTTATGTTTTTCTGACAGCCAATTTGGGAAGATGGATGTGAAGGATAGAAGCATTACGAAATTCTCTGTTAATTTGTGTATAAACTAAAACCTGGCATTACAGTTTAGATGGGCTTACACTCATACTTCATCTCTGTTACAGCCCTGATTGTTGGAATACTGTTTTTCTGTCTTCGGTTTTCCATAGATTATTTCGTCTGAAAATGTGCCATGGCTTGTGAAATTCATAGTTTTTTTTGGCGTTTATCTATCCATTTTATGTGCAGAAAATAAATTATGTATCTGTTGTAAAGTGGAAAGAATGAACTTCACGTTTCTGATCGCATCCTTTGATGCAGCTGTGCTACAGACCCACTGTGATCGTCTACACAATCCTTCTTAGGATGTATGGCCAAGTAGGGAAGGTCAGACTCGCGGAACAGACATTTCTGGAGATGCTTGAAGCAGGTTGTGAGCCAGACGAGGTGGCTTGTGGTACTATGCTTTGTGCCTATGCTAGATGGGGGCGACATAAAGATATGTTGATATTTTATAACGCTGTGAAGAGGAGGAAGGTGCTACCTTCCATTTCGGTGTTTAATTTCATGATTTCCTCATTGCAAAAGAAGAAGCAACATGAGAAAGTTATACAATTATGGGAACATATGATGGATGCTGGCGTCATTCCTAATAGTTTTACTTTCACAGTTATTATCACCTCTTATGTGAAACAGAATCTTTTGCATGAGGCTTTGGAAACACTTGAAAAAATGAGGAAATCTCGATTCATCCCCGAGGAGGCAACATACAGCCTTTTGATTAACTTGACTGTCAAGCATGGTAACCGGGATGAGGCATTGAGACTATACGAAGACATGAAAGCTTGGGGCATTGTCCCCAGTAATTATACCTATGCATCGCTTCTGACATTGCACTACAAGAATGGTGATTATTCTAAGGCTCTCTCGCTCTTTGCGGAGATGGAGAGAAGTAAAATCGTGATAGATGAAGTAATTTATGGAATGCTTATTAGGATATATGGTAAACTGGGTTTGTACGAAGATGCAGAGCAAGCTTTCCAAGAAGTTGAAGAATTAGGTCTCCTTACGGATGAGAAAACATATGCAGCTCTTGCTCAAGTTTATTTAACTTCTGGGAACCATCAGAAAGCTTTAAGTGTCTTTGAATTAATGGGCTCCAGGAATGTGCAATTATCTGCATTTACATACAGTTCTTTGCTTCGATGTTTCATTGCAAAGGAGGATGTTGAATCTGCAGAGGCTACCTTTCACACTTTAACCAAGTTTGGTGCGCCTGATGCAGTCTCTTGTAATGAGCTACTCATTTTATATGTTAGGCTGAATCTTTTGGAGAAAGCGAGAACATTAATTGTTCATATTAGAAAGGTCAAAGTGCGGTTTGATGAGGACCTTTATAGGACAGTTTTGCAGGTATACTGCAAAGAGAAAAATTTAAAAGATGCTGAACAAGTCATCGAAGAGATGGAGAGAAATGGCTACAGCCTGGATAAATACACTAAGACATCTCTGATGGCCATGTACGGGGAATGTGGTGCACTTAAGAGAGCAGAACACTTCTTCAAGTCTTTGGAGCAACCTGATGTTGTTGCACATGGCGTAATGCTTTGTTTGTATTTAGAAAATACTGATATGAGGAGTTCTAAAGAAATTCTTGAATCTCTTGTGGGAACAAGTGAAGGGTTATCGTTGGCTAGTCAACTCATCAGCAAATTTGCACGGGAAGGTTATGTAGCTTCAGATTTCCGTGGCCTGTTTAATTACATTTTTTAAGTATAGATGACTTTGTAAGTTACTAAGTAATTGGTCGAAGATTGCCGATGGGCTCATTAATCATCAATTTGTTGCAGGAAACATAGAGAAGGCCGATACCTTGTATGGTCAATTGATTGAGCTAGGTTCCAGACCCACAGATATTGCAATATCTTCTTTGATAGATCTTTATGGAAGACGACAGCAACCAAGACAATTAGAAGATCTACTCGCATCACTATCAGACTCACCGAACAAAGGGAAACTTGTATATTGCTCTATGGTTGATGCATTTGTCAATTGTGGAAAGCTCGATGAGGCAAATACTATTTGCAAGGAAATGCTCAAACAAGGCCGCTCTGTGGACGCAGTTACTCTGAGTGTCCTCGTAAATGCCTTATCAAAGAATGGTACGTATAGGCTGGCCGAGTAAAAACCCTCTGTCAGAGAGAAAAAAAAACTTCACTAAATGCGGAATATAAAGGGTAACTCCTTCTTTTTAATGGCATCAAATTTCCACGTTTAAAATGCTGTTTGAGATCATGGTTCCCATATTGGCAGAATGATTCTATTGACATGAATATAATAATTCAGCATAATTATAAGACACGATTCATTTGACCATGAAAACAACTCTTTAGCTTGGATTTTATATTATTTTTCGGGTAGTGTATCAGACTCTGAAATTTGCGACAGTGGAGTTCAGGCGGTTTACTTTTTGTGTCTGGAATATAGGTAAGTATCACGATGCGGAGAACATAATCAACGACACTTTTCAGTGTGGTCTGACTCTTGACACCGTTGCTTATAATACATACATCAATTCGATGCTGGAATCAGGTGAAGCAGCAAAAACGGTAGTGATTTACCTTTCGTAAAAAATGGTTCCAGGCATCAGTTGTGTGATTACTGCTGACATATCGTGCAGGTAAATTGCATTTGGCCTCTGACATCTTTGGTCGCATGATCTCTGAAGGTGTTCCTCCAACCATTCAAACCTATAACACCATGATTAGGTAGTAATCTGGATTAGCTCTTATGGGTATTATGTCGTTTCTCTTCTACTTAAAATTGTTCATAGTTAGTTTCTTTCTTGAATGCAGTGTGTATGGTCGCAGAGGAAATCTGGAGAAGGCTATTGAGATGTTCAACACAGCAAAGAGCATCGGATTATCAATAGATGAGAAGACATATACCAACATGATCAGTTATTATGGAAAATCTGGTAGAATATCCCCCTTCTACCATCGTACATGGACTTCAAAAGCTTTCTGTGTCCTAGTTGAAGCACCACATGTGTTAGGAATATAGGGAAATAGGGAGAAGTGGAGGGCTCAGCTCTCTGGTAATATTGCAGTGCTTATAGACGAGTACAAAAAATAAAACACCGCAATATACAGAAAAAAAGACAGACGGCAGATGGACTGTAATATCATCTATTAACACTCCTCACTCTCATGGGGATCATGAACTGAGGTTTTACCAATGAACTCTCAAGTGTGGAATAATTTGAGATTTGGTGAATAAGTCAGCAATCTATTCAACCAAAGAAATATGAGGAAGTGACAAAGTGCCGTGGAGTTATTGTTGACAGGCAAAAAGATAATCAATATCTATATGTTTGATTCACTCATAGAGACATGAGTTTTTGAGATTTGAAGGGAGCTGCAGTTGTAACTATAGAGTAGAGTAGGAGCTGAAGATATTATGCTGTGAGTTAGAAGTAAGTGACAAAGTCAGGCTACCAGAACATGGTATCTGGCTTCAATGCTGATTGAAACACAGAGAGGGAAGGGAATACGAAGAAATGGGGGGAAGTGGAGGGTTTGCATCTCCAGTAGCATGGGAATATACACTTCTTGCTCGGAGTGAAGATGAACTCTCAACTTTTCGAAGAAATCCCACCCCAGCGGTAACAACAGAGAGGGAACACAATGCTTTAATACCAGATTGAAAATATAGAGGAATAGGGCCTGGCTCTTGTTAAGTATTGAAATCGATATGTATGTACATATACATATATTTCACACATATAAAAGGGCCCAAAGAAGGGAAAAAGAAGGAAAGAAAGAAAGGGAAAGTTTGTGCATAAAACATAGTATTCTCTCTTAACATATGGAATAAAAGCTCTGATACTAAATTGGATTTCATGCATATATCAGGTCTCAGACCTTTCCGTTCCATTTTTGTATTAATGCAGATCTATATGTTTCCTGTGTATCATTTTGGGCATCCGTGAGACACTGTTTTCTCTCATATTGGTTGAAGAATGTTCTGGCGAGGAAAATTCTCCTAGCTTCCTTCAGCTTTTTTTTTTTGGTTAACTTTGTAAAAAGTATTCCTTTATCTTATATCAAGGCCTTGTGATCAGTTCTCCATTTACGTGTGTTGTCTCGAATTTAGTCCTGCGCTCCTCATATGCTTTTGGATATCACAGGTGAAAGTCAAGAAGCTTCTCGTCTATTTGGTGAAATGCAGAAAGAAGGCATTAGACCGGGAAAGGTTCGTAAACTTAAAGAGAGATTTCAAAAGTACATTATTTCATACTTACAGCCAAATTCACTGTTCCATGCTTGCCTTGTGTGATTACTTATTTGGAAGTCCTTAGCATTATATGAACTTTGTATCCATGCCTATGATGATCATATGGATCGAACTGGATCCAAAAATTGAATTCTAGAAAAATTTCCTGTTACATATTAGTTTGACTCTTGTCGAAAGAATTTCATGATTTACAACATTTTAAGTGAGAATGAATGTGAAGAAGGCTCAAGTCACCATCTCTGAAGAAGGCTCGAGATTAATAACTCTTAGTAATTGGCATTTTCTATATACTTACTACCTTTTTTAAAATGCCTAGATAAGTCTTCCTGTGGTGGTTTTAAGTTTATTTTCTTTCCCACTTTAAGTTTGGATCATTGAGACAAATAGTTTCTCATCTAGAAATTCTCCTTGACACCTAAAAATGCCAATTAACTCTTAGTAATTGGCATTTTCTATATACTTACTACATTTTAAAAAAATGCCTAGATAAGTGTTTCTATGGCGGTTTTAAGTTTATTTTCTTTCCCACTTCAGGTTTGGAGCATAGAGAAAAATAGTTTCTGCATCTAGAAATTCTACTTGGCACCTACAATCTAGGCTAGGCTTCCATTTTGAGATTAAATTTCTCATGGTTCTTGATACATTTACATCTCGTGGATGCAGATCAGCTACAACATCATGATCAACGCTTATGCCACCAGTGGTCTATATCATGAAACGAAGAGTCTCTTCCAGTCTATGCAGAAGGATGGGCACATTCCTGATTCTTTATCCTATCTTGCACTTGTGCAAGCTTATGTCAAGGGTCATCAATACACAGAAGCAGAAGATGCTATTGATACGATGCAAAGGACAGGGATCACTCCCTCTTGTTCTCATTTCAACTTCCTCATCTCTGCTTTCACCAGAAATGGACGTGTAAGGGATGCAGAAAGAGTTTTCTTGAACATAAAGAAGGCTGGGCTGGATCCGGATCTGGCATGCTGCAGGTCGATGCTGAGGGCTTATATGGACTGTGGGCTCATAGATGAAGCCATTTCTTTCTTTGAACAGATAAGTGAATCTGTGAAACCTGATGCATTTATTTTGAGCGCGGCAGCCCATCTTTATGGGAGCATGGGACAGGATTCCAAGGCAGAAGAACTTCTGTACTTGATGAACGAAGAGGGGGTACCATTTCTCAGTCATCTGAAAATTGGATCAAGAGCGAAGGAAACATGAGCAGACAAAAGCTTGACTTTTTATTCACTGGGTTGGAGGATACTGATTCAGCAATGGCCTGTTTTCTGTTTTGATGAACAGTGAACAAAAAGTCAAAAAGCCTACTTTTTTAGTGTATGGATGAGGAGATAATGCCAAGTTTACACCATCCTGGTATTCATCTCATTACACCGAGTCTAGCTATCCTTATCGTATGAAGAAAATCTGACTAAATCTCATAATGGGGTACCATTTCTCGGTCATCTGAAAACTGGATCAAGAGCGAAGGAAACGTGAGCAGACAAAAGCTTGCCTTTTTATTCACTGGGGTGGAGGATACTGATGAACAGTGACAAAAAACCTGCTTTTTTACTGTATGGACGAGGAGATAATGCCAAGATTCATCTCATTACACCGAGCCTAGCATTATGGGGACAATTATGCACCGATGACGTGGTTAAATGAATTTTATGGTCACTCCTTAGAATGAGTTGAATTTATTGGCAGCGCTGGGCCCATATATTTGAGCCACAGCTGTCGTCTCATGTTCAATGTGGGATTATTCTTGCTAGAACGTGCGGTGATCTTGTGAAAATATATGGCATCCAGATTATCACATTCATGAACCAAGGAATGCCTTTTGATGGGTTCGATGAGGCCAATTACTTCTGCAGAGGAGACAATGGGCTGATCGATCCTATACGGACAGATAATTTCGGTCAGACTTACAGTGCTGCTTTTTTGGTGGCGAAGGTCAAAGAACTGTAATACCCAAAAATAGCAGTCTCCGTGGTGCTAGATTCTGAGTGAGCTCTCCTGATCATTATACCTTGAGATGGGGAGAAGCAGCTCCTCCATGACATCCGATGAAAACCTCAAGCAGGAGTCCCCCCCCAGCGCTACTATTTCTGGAAACATTACTCTGCAATGTGGGTTACGCCGTGTGATGCAGGAACCCAGTTTTGCTTCCAGTTCCTTCTATCAGGGCCTGACTAATTGTCAATTATCCTGTAATTTCCCATGGATTAACGAGCTTGCTCATGAACTTTCCAGGGAATCTGTCTGTATGAATGTTTATGGCTGTTTAGCAGCTTCAAACTCTCCCTAAATGGCTGATTTTCTTGGGTCATTTTTATCTGCAGAGAGATGATATAAATAGAAAAAAAAAAGGTGTGATTTTGATTCTGGATGGTTTGACTGGGAAAAAAAGAGTATGATTTTACATGGAATGATGGACAGGCGTGCTTTTTATTTGGGTCATACGGCCCAATTTTCAAAATTATGGGGGGTTCTGTATATTCCATTCTTTTTAAGGAGTTTATGAAAAAAATCGCGCTCGTACAAATCTTCAGAAATGATTCCGTCTCTCTATTTTTACAACGTTGACGGCATAGAAATTTCAGAACTTTTCTAGATAATAGTATATTTTTATGTTTTCTCGAGGGCTTTAGTTAATTTGTGCAATGGTGGCCCCCACCACCAATGGGTTTTTGAACCAAGAAATAGGCGCTCGACGGGGGGCGGAAACGGAGACCCAGGGAAGAAGTAGTCTGCTTCCCCTCGTCGGGGCCATGGCCTCCGAGGCGGCGGAGGACGTGTGGGGGGACGAGGACTTCCTTAACGCCCTGATACTGGCCACGGAGAACGCCACCGCTGCTGCGGCTTCTTCGTCCGGCGGGTGCGTCGGCGGCGCGTCCCTCCCCCCTCCTGGAGACCTCGCTCGTCGTGCTCCGGGGGATGGGGTCCCCGCGTCCTCCAGAAGTCACGCCATTTCCTCCACCTCTTCTTGGTATTCTCCATCCGAGCGGCAATTGTCCACTTCTCTTCTTCCTCCTCCTCCTCGTCCTGTCCGTGTCGCTTCGAGAGGGCCGCCTCCAGTCTCTCTGGGCTTCAACGGTACCCAGGCCCTCTGGCAGGAGTGGGATCACCCTTTCGCCGCTGGAAACGTGGCATTGTTCGATGACGGCGTCGATACCCGTGGTTATGACTTCTCTCCGCCCCGGGAACTCTCCCAAAGGGAGAAGAGGACCGAGTCCGATTGTGTAGCCGAGGATTGGAAAGGGATTAAGTCTGGTAGTCCGAAGAATGCCGGACGTGACCGCAATAGCGCCAGGAGAGTTAGAGTGGAGAAGGAGAAAGATAAAGAGATAGAGCGGCTGAAGGTGGTTTTTTCTCTGTTTTTTTGATTGTTAAAACTCTAGGAAATGCAAATACTCGATCCAATATTTAGTTTTTATGTCGTGTTCTCCTTGATTTAGTGTAATGAGTGTGATCAATCATTTTTTCAGCCACCGGGCCGGGTTTTCATTTCTCTGTGCTTGCATTTTACAGTAGTTATCATCTTTTAGGTAGGGCCAGGTCCCTTGGGAATATATGCTACCTGATAATACATGCATAAGCTGCATGTCAAATGGCCTTCTGCATTTTCTAACTTCTCTTCTTATCGCAGAGAGAGATGGATCAAGTCTTGAAGAAACTTGATTGCATGGTACGTCCCTTATGATTTGATCCACCAGTGTTATGATGCTATTGAACAGTCCATTATGATTTCCATTTTTTTTAACAAGTCTATCTTTGCATGTACCTGTGGAGCATGATTAATGATTACCTGATTTGAAGTAACTATCATGCCTCAGATGATATTGACTTTAGCTTAATCATTATGGTCATGGAGTTCAATTCATGTCTTTAGGCTGATAACTTATGCGGCTCTCCTTCAATTGTTCGACAAGATATCAAGCGACATTTTGCAACTGAATTGCGTCTTTTCTTTTTAATTTCTTTTAACTTTCTCAGTTGATATATCTGAACTTCTGTTTGATTGTTTTTCTTCTTCAGGAACGTGAATGCCATAGGCTTCAGGAGGATAGAGCAAAGAAAGACAATGAACTTGAATGTGCTTTCTCAGAGATTCTAGTGAAAAATGTTGAGATTGAAAATCTGAAGAAAGAAACATTGTGGGTAGAAATATCTTCCTCATGCTGTTTCAAAGGATATAACATCATTGAAATTAATGTTTCTTAGAGACGGAAACATATAGAAGTCCGAAAATGATAATAAGATTCTAATGAAATTCTTTGTTTGCCAGTCTCTCTTTTCGTAATCCAACTTTCACATTCTCCCCCTTTCGTTTAATATATACTTAATACCTTGTGTGAACTTCCTCCTTGTTCGATTCATTACAAGATTCTTTTCTTCTCAAACGGAATTGAAGCACGATTACTTTCATTTAAATTGTTTGGTTTTCAATGGGATTTAAGGTTTTTACAATCTTTTCTTTCATATTTCTTAACTAGTTCCTTCAGATCTTTATGTCTTCCTCAGATCAGGTGTTCCCTACCCCGAATGCTCACAAGTATCTGGTCTTGTTTCTCATAAATGACATGTGGCTTTGCTACCTTGAAGAAAAACATTCATTGGGTAGAAATGAATCTTAGATACTAATTGCTAGATTCTAATGTGGTAGAAATAAAACCTCCTGCTAAATAATGAGTTCACAATATGAACCCATATTTTATGATGAGTTCAGAATGCAAACCCATATTTTCACCAATGATTCAGGAACGATAAAACTGTGGCTTATTGAATACGCATATATAGCAGTCTTCATAATGTGAGCACAGGACATCCTTTTTGTACTTCTGATTCCCGCATTTTCCATCTGTTTGTATCCCTTGTTTCATTTATCCTTTCACCATAGCTGCTGCCTAACAATAATTGGTGGTAACAGTAGCAGCTGACGTTTTAGCCATACAAGAACCAGTAGTTCCTTGGTGAAATTGCTGAACCCTCGGAATAGATTCTGATATCAGAATCTGCAACCAATAACCTCCGAAAAACTCTGATAAACTGATGTCAGTACTTTTAAAAGTTTGACTGTTGGAATTTTCGGAAATCAAGGCAGAACTTTTTGAAATTATCTTTTCTCACTTTTTTTAAAGTGTATGTTGCCATTGACGATGGGATCGTGCAAAATTTTCAATGGCAGGTTACCTTCAAAACAAAACCATCCAGAGGTTCCTGTTGCAGAAAAGAAATTATCTGACGTATCTGATGAACCAGTTGCACCCTTAAGTGAGCCTTCTGAGGAGTTATGTTTCTCAGCAAGTTATGTTAAGAAAAGGAAAAGCATTCAGTCTGACAAACCTTCTGCGGTTTCTGAACTGAAAGGCTGCATCGTGAATCATGGTAATGATTTGATTATTTTTACTTTTTCATTAATGATCTCTGTCATTCCATCTTCCTTCTCTTGATGTCGATTTCCATGTGTAGGTATATTGACTTCAAATGGATGTTTTATTCAGGTAAATTATTCTTTAAATGTGTCACATGTTCTCCTCTGACTTTTCTCAGTTTCACTTTACAACCCAGAGGTTCCTGTCACCTGTTCTCCTCAAATAACTGTCTGTATAATAGCGATCGTATGATGATATCTTGCCTCTTTTCTGTAATGTGGATGACATAAAATGGTATCACTTGTCATCGCTAGTATGCATTTTGCTATTGGAACACCTTTCAGTTATGTTTGTCTTTGTTTGATGCAAATTAATTGATGCCTTTCTGTGCACAGGGTGGATGCCATCCTAAAGAAAGTACTCAACTTCATCATACCAAAGCCATTGGAGTCCAAACAGACGCTTCTAATCCTGCAGTAGGTGAATGGTCACCCATTCATAATATTTCAAGCAAATTGGTGTCAATTTGGGGTCCTACAACTGAGGGAAAATTAGGACGACATTTTATCTCCAGATTACTTGAGTGTTGCTCGGCAGATCTCTGCACTCTCTTCAGGTTCACAGGTGTACCATCCAATTTAAAAATGGACTTTATGACTAATGAAAAGTTCACGGATGTTGGCTTGGATGATCTCAAACACTCTATTCAATCAGCTGAGGCTCACAAAGTATCTCATTTGTACTCTATAATGATGAAGGTACTGACATATGGAATTATATGTAGTTGGGACTGTTTCTTGTACATTATCTTTATAACTTTATAAGTAATCTGTATGTGAAAATTTAATGTTTGTCGATTCTTGCCTTGATAGTTAAGAACAAGCTTTATCAGTTTGATAATGAAGTCTGACAGTTGCTTCACATGTTGGTTGGGACATGCACTGACTTACTGAGACCTACTTACGTCTGAGGCGTGACTAAAATTTTCCATGTTGGTTACTGAATTCTTGGAATATCTCCAGTACCTTTGAAACCGTTCTGGTTGGATCTATGAGAATCTTCCACACCATTTGTGGAACTTTGTCTAACAGCATGAGCTAAAGAGAGCACATACGGTTCATATGGTCTTCTTCGTTTGACAACTAAATTTATTTTTCTAAATCAATCACAAATTCTAGTTTTGTTCCTCCTTTGGGGGGGAATAGTTGACAACTTGTGGCTGCCGAATGAGGGGAATCTTTCTCTGCTGTCCTCTTCAAACAGAAGATTTAGTTCGGAAGTTACTGGAAAATTTGGGATTTCTTCTTTGCCATATAAACATTAAGTGAAAAGAAAAAATTACAATGTTATTTCACAATGTGGGTGACGTTAGTGGAACATTTATTGTAATGCTGAATTACTGGTTTACTAGCTTCCTTCAATCCACTTGATAGCAGTCATTTTCTTCATGGGGATGAAACATGTTGGTGGATCAGGCAATGGGTTGGGAACATCGGACATGAGACAGTTATTCATCTGGATCGTTTTGGTATTAAAGATGGTCAAGCAACCGGGGAAAGGGTACCCTGTACTGCCTCTGTGGGCAACACGAGAGATTGTATGGCAAAGATTGTGAATCACGAGAGATTGTGAATTGAAATGGTTATGATGGTCGTTGGTAGAAAATTACCTTTGTCTTGTAAAGAGGTTGCTGAATTTTTACTATGTTTTGTACTCGAAACCTCTGTACATTCATGACTGTCGTGGGTTAAACTTACCTCTGACATTGCGAACATTAGGTTGCCACCGTCATGCTTGGTACATATACAATTTGGTGGGAGTATCATTGGATCTATTTTTCCTTCCAAGAAACCAGCATAGAGATAATTTCTGACGTACATCTAAGCAATCTTCAGTGTTGCCTCTTTTATATGAACAGGGTCATAGAAATTAAGAGTGATTTCATGGTTCTTGTGAAAGATGTTAAAGAAATATCCATCCATCAGGCAGTATGATTTTTCATTTGAAGAAAGGAACCACTGGAGATGCCCAATATTTCCTACTTATGTGGAGATTCAGGTGAAAAAGAGGCTCCTGTTGTTTCCGTTGATGCTTCCTTAGAGGCCATCAACCACACCTTCTCTTGTATGGAATTGCTTAGATGTAGTGTTGCAGACATTTATCTTCAATCCGTGGGACCCTCTGAGGCGGGAATTTCATTAAAAATCTGGTAATTTACTGCAACAAGGTCATTTTACAAGCTGTGCTATCCGGAGTTTTAGGAACATGAGGAGATTATAGAGAATTTCCAGGCATATTCCTTGCCAATTTTCATAGATACCGAGATCTATTGCTTGGAGTGTTGCAGAAAATCTACGTGGTTACAAATATCTCCTCTGATTTAGGATTTCAACAAGGCGACGTTTTTTTTATCTACTTTAAACCTCTGTAGCAGATTGTTAAGTTCTGACTTAGGCTGTTTTCTTATTCCTCGAGTTTGTGTCTTATTTTTCAACATATGAGAACCTCTTTCTATTCAATACAGCAAGGAATTATCTGGATCGAGTGGTTTATATCACCTTAAAAAAATCTTGATTGAGTCATAATTTTCCTTATCAGCTGAAATTTAAAATAAATAAATAATTGTTGATTAACCTGCGATAATCTGAAATTATTGAATTGATACATGGGTTTACTTATTTTGTTTCCCCTCTTAGTTGCTCTATATGATTATTATTTTTTGTACTATTTTGTTGCTAGTATTGACATGGTGTGACATTTCTTTTCTTTGAATTAGATGAGGAATGAGATGGCCCAACTAGATGATCTGCTTGAGGTACTGACTGAGCTCTGTGTCCTTGGAAATGTAAGTAACCGCTGTTGAATTGATTCTACTTTAAACTATTAAATTTGTGTAGGATCATTAGCTAAGGTGGCTAGGAAGCCTAGTGTATCCTGTAGTGAACTTGAATGTTATCATGATTTGACTCATCTAGTCTATTCCATATGATCTCAAGAGTCTTGACTGATTGGCATATCAGTTCTTTTGCAGATTTTTCTTTATGAAGCTAGTTGGCGGTTCACAAGTAATTTTATGTTTCTACCATCGATTATAGGACGAGATTACCATTCTTACAGACGGAGTTATTACTTGCATATTATTATACACGTGAAATCACTTGAATGTACATACTTCAACATACATCTGTGGTGCACATGTAACATGTCTCTTAGCATGCAGAGCAGGCAATGTTGTTCTCCATTAAACTTTGGTACCGGACTGCTTAGTACGAGTTGCACGGGGATTATTCATTTAATCTAGTCAATGGGTTAACACTTGAAGAGTTGCTATCATATGAGTTCCATTGTCTAAATGCATTGTTCGTTCATGTCCCCTAGATTATTTAATCTTATGTCCCCTAGAAAATATCACTTTTGATTGTGGGCACCGTTCAATACCCTGGGCTTTTCACATAAAAGTAAACTTAAGAGGTCATTGTTGAATCTCTATTTAGCTTTATGAAGTTTGGTAGTAGTTTCCTTGGTTTTTGGTTGAATATGGATCCAACAATATTCTGACTCTTTGTAATGCCTCTGTTTTTTTTTCAGGTTATAATTGTGTATAGATCTTTGCGCATACTTCATGCAGTTTTACGGATCATTTGTTTCAAGCAATTCTGCCAAAGGTTTTTAAATTTTCTACAAGTATTGAAATAAATGTCTTTATTTCTAATCCAATTCAATCCAATATTTGTGTATCATGGTACGTTTAAGTCGTTTATCATTTCTCATATATAAATGCATCTGTGGGGGTTTTCTCTTATCATAAATTCTATGTAGAATATCCCCCACCCCTCCACATACACTTTTAAGATCTGTAATGTCGGATTATTTAAAATTTAAAATTTCATTGAAATCTCGATTGATTTCTTTTGCTAAGATGATGGTTGTGGCATCCTTTTGAAGTCTAGTCATGACTATTTACTAAAACTCTACAGAAGTAATCATCTCAGTACCGATGCAGAATCCAACTCCAATATACTCATTCGGTACAATGTGTTTACAATTAATTACAGCATGTTGGCAAAAACCCATGGTGCCTGGATCTTCTCTTGAGAAATAGAGTGAAAGAACTGTTTGTATCATCCAAGCTTTCTTATGAAAGTGCATGGAAAAGAAAGTTTATTTCAGTCTTTTACATCAATAAGGGTAAACAAATTCCCTTTTAAACTGCTTCAAAAATTGTGGAAAAATCACACCTTAAAAGTACTTTCGGATCTTAAGTAAGTGCGGGATATATTTGTGTACCTGATCTGTGTCTGTGTTTCTTTTCTTTCCTCCTTTTTCTGTCAGGGGAGGGGGGGTTACTATGTACTCTATCTTTTTATGTTTGTGCTTATGTACTTCAATTGATTTTCCAGTGTACTCTGCTCAGGGATAATATTATGATCACTCCATCGTCTGAGGACAGTTTGCTAGAAGCAGAGGGAGAAGCTGGTGTGGTTGGAAGTGGATGTGATACAGGCCAAACTTCAGTTTCGTTGCCATCAAGATCATTTAGTCTGCAAAATCCTTGGAACTATAGACACGGGATTTCTAGGAGTTCATCTCTTTCTTTGAATCGTCAGATTTCACTTTACAAGAGCATGCATGAAATTATTGTGAGCAATACAAAAACCAATGTACTGGTTGAAGCAATTTCTATTATGAACTTAATTCTGCAGAGAAGCCACCCCATTTTGGAGAGAGAAAAGTATGATATCTTCGTCTCTTCTTCCATGCCTTTTTTCTATTTTATCCTTATCTTTAAATTTTTTGGGTATATTCTTTGATACAGGTTGGGGTTGATACCATCATTTGCAAGCGTCTCGCATCTGTTATGCAGGGAAGTTGACCTATGTGCAAAAAGGCAAGCTGTAAAGCTTCTATTCCTGCTCTTAAATTGTAGGTCCCTATCTTACATTACTGTATGATTCCTTGATCCTTGTAGATATGGAATGTAGTTATGCTCATTGTGTATCTTTGGATTGCCGAAAGGAAGTTGATTGTCAGAAAGACTGTTTGATCTTTGCGTAACTAGTCCAACACTGGCCATTATGTTCTTGCGTAACTAGTTCAAAACTGTCTCTTGAAACATAAATTTTGGCTTAATAAATAAAGGACTAGTATCGACATGCCGTATCTAGGACTTATTCTGTCTATTTAAACTCTTAGTAATTACATTCACGAGATGATGCTGGTTATTTCTTACATGAAGAGTACTTTTTGCAAGAGAAATCTCAAATCTCCGCTCATAGTCTTATTTAATGATTTGTAGGCCCAAAGCACTTGAAGGTATTCTGCAATGGTGGCAATGAGCTCAACGAATCGGCCGATGGAGATGATGAAGCTTCAAGATTACATCAATCAATGAGCAGTGCCCTTAGGGGCTTGGCAGACTGTATAGATCACAGAGGGAATAGTCCTCAGGTATGGAAGAATTGGTAGATCTGGCTGCCAGTGATCTCGACTTCATAGTTTGCAATCTTACCTCAATTTCAGAATTCGTTGCTCAAATTATTTTCCCTTTTGAATACTTCTAGCTATGACGATATCAGTCTTTCCAGAACAAGCAGATGACTTTCATCATTTGCTTAATATTTTTTAATTCATGATTTCCCTTTCTTTTAGGATCTGATTCTCTGCCGAGAGGTGGTTATCTTGTTGGCATTTCTCGCATCCTCTGGAAAATCTGGGTTTGACATACTTTTGAATCCAATTACGAAAAGGGGGAACTTTCTTAGATTGATAATTGAGGTTTTGGCATCTCAGATGGAAATAGCTGGTTGTTGTGAATCACAAGATCTCCACAAGGAAAGGTAAGCTAAACTGATTTCTGATTTTTCTTCTCAAGGTTTCGCTTCTTGACCTTCATCTAGGCGGTCTTGATTCTGCTATCAATATCGGTGTCATGTTTCCCTTGTGTTCGCGCAATTAAACCTGAATCTTATTCTCTACCTCTACCTTTTCTATCCATTCATCTTTGTCTATATTATGCGCGGTGCAAATTTTCGACTGTGGAGTTTGATAAGAACAAGGGGTTGTTGGAACAACCCTGTTGAAATAAATTAGTTCCCTGCTTGAATATCTGAAATATAATGTTGAAAAAATAGATGGCAGCATAGGCATAAGTGTGGGATCGTTAGATAGTATGGGATCTAGTATTATGAAATTGAAGTTTCTGTAAAGGAGAATCAGGATCTTACACACTGGGTAGGATCTACTTGTAGGATTCCCCCCCTTCCCCCTCTCTCTCTCTCTCTCTCTCTCTCTCCATCACTTAAAAGGAAAGGAAAATTACTATTGATTTGATTTATTTTTTCTTAAAATCCTGTATGGACGAGAATCATGCAACACCAATATTCATGTATGGTAGAACTTGGATCTAATCCCCTCTTTTCCTCTCCTGTATGTACCTCGATATCATCAATGCAAAATCTTTTCCATTGACCTGCTGATGAATGTCAGGGAAGCTCTAAAAATTTCTGCAGAATCATGCCATTGTTTCCATTTGATTACATGGCTCTCGGAAATTAGAACGATGATATGAACTATATATATATATATATATATTTATTATTATTATTATCTTCCCCTTGATAGATGGTGGCCTATTATGTTTCTTGGAAATCTAAACGAATAATCACGTCCTAATCTCTTACCTCTCAGCAGAGCTGCATTGATCAGGGAGGCACTTATTCTTTTGAACCGGTTGTCATCAAATAACGCGTATTCAAAACCCACGCTGGGTGTGCTAACACAGAGTACCGCCATGGCAACCATGACCATGGACGTTGTGACCAGAATGTGCCATGAGATGAACGGCTGCCCTGCACACGACAGCACAAAGAAGCCACCGATGGAGGCAGAGATTGCCGATCTCGCTCGGTTGTTCAGGACCAGAGTGTTATCATTCCTGGGTGAAGAAGACTCCTCTTAACCGTATATCTACATCGAGTTCAGTTCAGTCCAGTTCTTTTTGGCTGATCCACGAAGAGGGTGAAGAGATTTTGCAAGCCTGTAAATAGCCAGCCCTCAACGAAGCCCGATGCTCGTGGGTCACCTGTAAATATCGCACTGAACTGCAATGAACTCACGAGTTTTCTTTGGTGTCTCTTCTTCGCCGAGGATGTGAAATCACTCACAAGCTCTTTGCACGACGAATGCATCTGCAGCTGCTGATCTATGCCCAATCGCCAGCCTCGTTGAATCCTGAGTGGTGGGCTTGAGACTTGACTCATGGTTTTGTTCTACAGAAGAAGCGGGCAGTCTTTTTGTTCTAGAGCCTCCACTGTAACATGATGCTGGTGGATAACAAGTCAACTGGGATTTCTCACTCTACTTTTTTACATTGTACATGGGAAAAACATGTTCATCTGAGAGAAAATGCAACGAACGGTGGAGAAGAAAGGAGGAAGTAGACTCGGGAGGTGTTGACCACCCGGGAGGATGACTCTCTCTCTCTCTCTGGCAATGCTACACGATATCATCCAATACAAAAAGACACATTTATCTATAAACTGACAGAATTGAAGAATTACAATCCGATGGATCTCAGGTGGAGGCTCCATCCATCTCGCGGGCTCTGACAAAATCCTAGGTGACTGACTGACTCGCATTATTACATACAGAGACCCACCCTCAGTACATAAAACTGGACCATGGAGATGGGGTACCGGAGGAATATAAGATCCGTCCACCCGCCGCAGAACGATAATGATGAGCAAAATTGATCTGATGCAAGCTACAACTAAACAAGAGATCAATTATGGTACAAGCCCCTAGCGCCCAGTGGGGGCAAAAGTCAAAGTTTCATTCACCTGGTAGTGTCATCGCCGGTCAAATCCGGGAGGGCGTTGGTGCCTCCGTTCGTCGCCCCCTCTCTTCAAGGAGGAGAACCTGTTAGATCCATGCGTTGGCTTATCATATGCACTCCTGCTGGCCGGGGCTTGGCCTCTCGGCATCCCCTGCCAATTATCATGCTGCTGCTGCTGCTGCTGAGGGTGCTGGGATACATAAGCCTGGTAGCCGGCGTAGGGGCTGTAAGCGCCGGGAGGGGCGACGTACGGCTCACCGGCGGCTACCGGCGGCGGTTGAGATAGAATAGGCCTAGATGAAGAGGGCTGGGGGTACCCGCCGTGCTGGCCATACCCCTGAACACCACTTCCCCTTCCGACCGCCTGCCACTGGTAGCTCCCCCTTCCATACTGACCGCCACCGCTATGATGTGGGGGCATGTTATGATGATGACGAGTGTTGGTCGACCTCTCGTACTGGTAATGGTTGGATGAGTCCATCGGCTGCCACTGTCCGCCACCGCCGTAGCCGCCCGGCCTTGGCGGTCCTCTGTGGTGGTGCGTCCCATTAGGGTACATGGCGGTGGCCATGTTGACTCCATACGATGACGCGGAGTTGATCAAACCAGGGCGGTTCCAGTCGGGGTTGACCTGTAGACTGTTCACGACCAGCCGGTGGGCTGCATCTCCGAGCTGCCTGCCGGATATGGTCCCGGGGGGGTTTTGCCTGAAGATGGGATGGGGTGTGTGGGTTCTTTTAGGGTTTTTGGTCTCTGGAATGAGTGTGATGGATGAAGGAAGAGTGGGTGTATGCATACCTTCCGTTCTCGAATGGCCTCCTCCCGTTGTCCTCGTGCCACAGAACTGGTGCGGGCTTCAGGTTTCCGATCGTAACAATCTGCATGAATATTTGTCAACTGGGTAATAAAAACCTTCAACATAGCATAATAATTTCCAAATCACATTGTAATATGGAAGTCTGGGCTGTTCATAGCGAAATAAACAAATCAATAAATATATAAAATCTTTGAGTCATAAATCATATGAAGGACATATACGAGCCATATATATTCGGCGATGAGAAGACATCTGAAAAGCTGCCCTTTTAAAGGATTCATAAAGATTTCATGCATCCAAGTTTGATCGAAGATGACTTGAAGAGAAGTTGACTATATTCGGAAGCAATCCAACGATTGAGATCCCGCCGGCATGAATAGCTTTCCATTTTTGAATGACGTATCTCGAGTGAACCAAGGACACAAGAGCACATCAAATGAAGAATAAGGAATAAACAGGATCTAGTTAGGCTAATTGTCGTCCATGGGAGGGAAAAGCTCTGAGATTTTGACCGAGCGCCTGTCTACCCTAGCAAGGTGCATTTGTGTTTCCAGGATCCGTCTACAGCCCAAGTAGCATATTTCTGGCTCACAAATGCGTTGTAAATCAAAGTCAGCTCTACCTGTTAAAATGTTTTCGAACAGAAGAAATCAAAGATTCTACCAACAATCCCACACCCCACTCTTCAATCCCACAGCCATATTTCATCAGGAGTAAAAAGACCCCTCATGAATGCCCAAGTGAACGTTTATGATCAACCGACGGACTCTTCAGAAATTTGTGACGTTTATAAAACGACCCCTTATGATCTTTGTAGAATCATCAAACCAAGGCATCTAGAAATTTCTCACGGTAAACTAATAAAGATACGATTACAAGTTTTACCTTTCCGGGCAGTGTGACGCCTGCTGGTGGCCTAGGAATGTGTTTGTGAGGATCCGGAAGCTTGTAGACAGAACATCTGGAGATGGGATCAGAAATTTATGTGACAACCGGATTCCCTGAAGAAAGGAAATGATAAGCAAATAGACTGCTGTAACAGCTTACATCACATGGTTATTCATTATATCTTCCATTCCTTGAATAGGAGACCTGAAGACGGGGGGGCATGGATCTCCGCTACAGAGGCATAAATATCCATTCATGCCACCGCTGCATATCATAGCCAAGAGTTCGAATTAGAGAAGGAGAAGAGTTACATCACTTATCAAAGGAAATAAAAAATACGACATCATTTCAGAACACGAGTTGATACACAACCAAAACGAATCCATCTCCCTACATTAGTAGGGATCTCTTATCTATTTAGCATCTTGAGTCGAGATGCTCAGTTAGGAATCATTCATCTGTTTTAAAATTGACCACCTTTAGTCGAATGTAAAGACCAGAGCTCTTTCAACTAGAACAGCCATCAAGAAATCTCATCGATCCAACTTGGAGATGAGACAAAGGAAAATCAGTTCTAGATAACACGATAAAATAACGTCAATTAATAACCTACATTTGTCTAAGTGAGTGCATATATTTAAAACGAGACAGTCAACAACTACCTGGCTATCGGATCAATCTTTTCTTTTACATTAGCCTGTTCTTCAAGTGATAACTGTCGGCAACGATCATGGAGAGAGAATATAAAGGGACAAAGAGGATGGGACAAATTAATGAAAAGCATGTCAAACATAACACTGTTTCTCCGTGCTTCTTCCTCCTACATAAAAATAAACAAACCGATCAGTTGGCCAAAAAGAGGTCTGTGATGGCATAAAACAACCATTTGCATTGGTAGCTAAAGGAACATACCGTCAAAGTATGCTCTACTTTTTTGATCTCAGAAAGCAAGCGAGTCTCATCAATAAATGGGAGTTTTGCAATACCCTAAGTGGGTGAGAAACAAAAAGAATTAGCATTTAAAAGAATATGGGCCCATGCGTAAAATTTTAACAATCGAAAGCTGAACAATCCAACCTGCCATGCAAATCTTTTTCCGTTCATGTCCACTTCAAAATCTGACATCAGAACAAGAAGACCATCAAGAGATTTGTACAAAGTGTATGGATAGGGGAATGTCATTGTCTGAAATACAAAAGATACCAGTAGGATAGAAATCACTGATGGGTGAATTTGGATCCGTCATCAGCTGCCTGTATTTAACAGGAAGTGCATGTGCGCTGCAAAGATATGGTCCCTCTTAGTCACAATAAAAGTAAAAGAGAAAAGCTTGAGCGTCCCTAGTGAAAGACAAACAAACCTTGCAGCAGGGAAAACACCCATCAGCTGAGTGAATGGTTGAAAAGGAGTGCCGAGCTCAAACTTCACATTCAACTTGTTCAGATTCTTGATATCAGATGCAAAAGGGGCGTAGTGATAGGGATAGAACCTAAACGAAAGTAAACAAAAAGAAGATAGAGTCCTATTAAGTTCATGCATGTCAAACAATCCTAGAGCTATAGAACGTTTAATGATTATTTGCCAAATTAATCAAACTATACACAAAATAAGCCTCATTTCAGACATTAAGGTAGCCGGATAAATAAATGGGCCGAGAGAAAAACACATGGAAGGATGCTAAACAGTACACAAAGTTGATTCATTTGGTTAAAAGTGGAACAGGCATATTTAGCATTGAACAAGGGCCATCAACCACAAAAATGTAGCACTTGGCACATAAACAATTTTTTTACGCTTTGAGGTCTCTCAAAGATGTCCATTTATATGGACGGGTACAACCGAGGATGACAAGGCATACGTAAAGAGCCCCAAGTCAAGAAATATTCAAGAACTGTTCAAGTGGGTGGGTCCACATATATATATATATATATATATCGCAATAAACAGTCTCAAAGTCGTCAACTTTAAAGTTAACAGTCGGCACTTACAAGCATGCTTACTTAAAAATTCATGATACCCTCTTTTCGGATGACCAGTATCTTCCTCTTATGTTCCTTTTATAAGATTGAGTGAAAACTTTCAAAAAGTTTCTCACCAAAATATTCATCCCAAGGGATCCAAAAGTTATATGGAACCCAGCAATTCACAAGAAAACGAGCAGAAGAACTCAAACTTTGAAAGCAAGCTGCATAGCAGCCTGCATGACATGAATCTTTCACCATGCCAGTCTAAAACTCTGAGAAGTCTCCTTGACTCCCATTTGACATTGAACAACACAGTGATGCTAATGATTACACAAAAAACGTTCTTTCGAAGCCCTAACAACGAAAAATAGGGTAATTTCAATCATCACCAGGGTGATCTTTAAACCACGACAAAATTATGGCAAAATCATAAGATTGATTTATTGCTAGTTGGCCAAAATTTATATCGCTAGAATCAAAGATTGACTATCATTGTTAACTGAGAATATTACATTCTTAAATAATTATGATTATGGACAATAACTACGAAGAAAATTTACGTTTATATGATTACCATTTTTCTCTTAATTTACGTTTCTAAAATCCAAATTTAAAATTTCATTTTCAATGGGTCCTCAAGATTGTTGAAGAACGTATATGTTAAAACATAAAGAAAACAACCCAAGTAAGAGAGCTGAACGCTTCCATGAAAGTAAAATTACAAATCACCCTATATCTACTTCAAAAATCGAAGCCAACAACATTGATATGATCCATAAAATTTTAGTGCCCGGCAAACAACATTGGTGTACAGCAGCGGCCAACCTCAAGTATTCGGCTGACAAGTGATCTAGTTGAAAGCAAGAGACATTAAGCAACAAATCATACATAAGAAAGGACAAGCAACGAACAACATTTTGTTTAATCCATATAGATTAATAAAACCTATTTCCAATCAAATACAGCATTCAGTTTTGAAACAAGCAAAAAGTTATTTGTTGATACATGATGCCCCTGATAAGATTTAAAAAACAGTTCAAAAATGACTGACCACTGCCACGAACAAACTCCTTCGTAGTAGTAATGCATTACCCAGCACAAGCCTTCTGTGTACTTCATGACCTGATTACACAGAACAAATCGCTTAGCAACTACAGGAAGTAGCCAAACGAAAAATTCTTCAAGAAAAAAAAAACTATGGGGACGATAGAAGTCAAACAATCTGCGATCCCAAAAAAAAGACGAACTAGAAAAGGTGGTGCTAGTGCACGGGCACTAAAAAAATTGTTTATCTGTATGAAGTAATTACAAAAGAGGTTCACAATCATAAATTAAGAATTTACGATTACATAAGAGCTAAGAGAGGTATCAAAGAAAACATCATCAACAAAAAACCTGGTAGCTGGTACTAACATGTATCCAGTAAGTACATGCAGATTATCTGATTTTACATATCAGGGATTTTACCTATAGGTAGTCATTTGTTGGGATTGTAAGACTCCAGAATCTCTTCAAAAGAGAACTGTTGCAATGTACTTGGGTTTAACATTATATATTGATCAGGTTCCCAATTGATTCACGCCATTCAGACTCATGGAGGAAAAAATTATCTTTTCTGCATCTTAAAACAGTCTAATTCTCTTTTGTCCACAATACCATGATGATGCTTGCGGCTACGGAAGAGTGTTCTCCGGGATAGCAGTGGATAGAACTGTTCCAAAATATCTCTTAATATAGCAAACCTCCCCAGACCCCTAAAATCAAACTAATGTTCGACAGTTTAAAAAAAAAAAAGGAATTTTGAATCCAAGAGAGTTGACAAGAAAATTTGTCCACTTTATCTGTTTGCACTTATTGTTATTTCACCATAATTCACCACGAGAAATAAATGAAAATTCCACGTTATTTTTTCAGTCATAACAAAAGCTTTTATTTTCGTGACAGCATTGACCCAAGGAAAATTGCAGAAATCCATAGTTTTAAAAATAATAAGTTAACTTACGACATCCTCCTTGATCAACTCAATTTCATCAGGTGTTTTCGCGGAAAACTTATCCTCGTAGTATCTTTCTTTCCACCCAGGCTCTCCGAGTTTAACCTAAAGACAAAAAAAGTCATGTAAAATCAAAACTTTGGGCACAGGTGACCTTGTCCGTAGGTAGCACAGTAGTGTAAAAAATCTAGACCAGTGATATAGATTTGTGCTGCAATATTTGCATACCTTGTCTTCCTCTGGATTATCGGAATTAAGAAGATCTGACTTCTCCCGGATTAAATTCTTGACCCTTAATTTCAGTTCTTCTTTATTTTCATACACCTATAATAGAATTATTAAACTGTCAAAAGACACGAAGATTACAAATGACACCAACCATAAGAGAGAAGAATTAGAATGCGTATTTTGATTGGACTGAATAATACAATATAATCAAACAAAGAAAATGCTCTATATTTGTAATATGATTTCACAAGTCTATATTACATAGCACTAAATAAAATGAGAGTCCTCTGTCATATGAAAAACATACATCTAATTCAAGACTGTTCTCAGCTTCTATGAGAGCAGCACCAATAGTTGTTCCTTGTGATGAGATGCGAGCAACTTTCTTGGATCGAATGTCAAGATCTGACATCGCTGTAGTAGCTTGTCCAACCTGATTCTCTTTTTTAAAAGACAATGAGCTCTCTGACTTTAAAGAAGACCCTAACTGCTGATATGGTGAAGGGGCGGGGGCAGAAGCAAGACGGGAACCCCCAAAACGAGAAACAGGAACCAATAAGTCAGGTCTGACTAGTGGATCTATATCATCTCCTCGTCTTGCTTGCGCCTTTGTCCTCTTGATTCTTTCAGCTTGGCGCTGGTTCACCCAAAAAAAAGAAGAAAAAAGACAACAAATTAGGAGGTAAACATGAACACCTACAGAACCTGATGATATTATTTTGAAGGAAAATATAGTGGACACGAATGCATTTTCCCTTGAGAAACAGAATGATAGAAAATGAAAAGAATGTTACAGAATTTATAGCAGAAATAATTGCCTCCTCTTTCCCACTGTTAACAGAACAGAACCTAGAAGCTATTCATCATTTACACACACAAGACAAACGGGAAGGAATCATCTTTTCCGCTGAAGAATCCATAAAGAATCATGAAAACCAAGGCCATACTTATCCTTAAGATTTTAAAATCATGGTAACCAAAGACCAAAACACACACGGACACATGAGGCTCAATAATGTGCGATCGTTGTCGTACCAACCAATTAAGATCCTAGCGCTAGATTAGATAGATTAGAAGTCATAATTCCAAGGTGACCAAAAAATTGTCTGCTACATCATTCGCTTGATGACTAGGTGAGAAATTTAAGCAACGACTAATTTCAAGTAAGCTAATAGGCCTCACAAGAATGGGCAAACGGACAGCCATGTGTTCAGCTTAATGTGTAACACAAACGCCCATTCTTATTCGGCTAAATATGCCACATGAATAGGATCATCCTCGGATGTTCGAATACAAAAAACCCTCGCAAAAAATCATAACCAGAGGTTTGAAATGATTACAAAATGTACACAAGCTTCCTAATAACAATTCATAGCCTTCCATTATCTCGTACACTCAATTAGTCAATGTTTTTTATATAAAGTATATGTAACAATTTATGAAAATAAACTTTACACAATGTCCTCCAGTGCTTTGGACTATTGGTCATTAGATGTCAAAACAATTGGAAAAGATAATGCCTCGACTGCTTCAGAAATTATAAGTGGGAAGAAAAAAAAACCATCACTTGATAAAGATATTCGAAATTGACGAAGTAATTCTTGGAAGATGGAAATTATCCATGCTGAATTATCAAATAACAGACTTGGAAACAAGGCCAACCTGATGTAAGCGAGATCTTTTTTGGAAGATTCTATCCTCATAGGATCCTACAGCCTGTATAAAATGCTCAACTCTTTCCAAATTTGGCTGTTGAGGAAACAAAAAAATAGTGGCAAAATCAAATATCATGGAGGAACAAAGAAAAATCTCTTGAAGAGAAAACCAAATGGAACACCTATCAAAGTTAATCACAAATATTTGGAACCTTGCTCGAGTCTGTCAAATAACCACCCATTGCCTTGAACTCCTTTTTGTACACGGCCATAAGCAAGTTTATTGCACCCTATGAGCAAAAAAGTTTCAGATGTTACAACATAAAAAAATACTACACCATACTTCTTGTACACTTGGAAGCTGGCACATCAAAATGCACAATTGTAAGATGAAAAAACGTGAAGAATCATTAAACGAGTAATGTGGAGTTATTTAGTTAGATAGCACGAGCCAAGGTTATTAGCCAAAACTAACAAGTCATGGATCCATCAACAGTTAAGGAGAGGAAAATGTAAATAAAAAAAAAACAAGTAGAAACAAACCTCACGTATTTCAAGTGTAGGCATGTGTGGAAGAAAATCATTGCCAACAAAGAAGCATATGAAAATGAAATCATCCACAATGCGCTCCAGGTCAATCTCAAAAGGAGGATTAGGGATTCGAAATTCATAATCCAGGTATTCCCGAAGGGTCCAGATATTAAGAAACTGCAACAAATTGTAAAGACACGACAGATGAGTGAAGAAGTAACAAGTTAATTGCCAGAAATAGAGGCATCTGTAGATGCTGTGTGACTAATATGAAACCTAAAAGCCGACCTGGTAGGGTTTCTTCACAACAGAAGCTTCATCACCCTTTTCATCAAATTCCCCAGATCTTCTTTTTGCTTTTCCTTGACAATCTGCTGCCAAATGACCCATTTGACCACATAAAAAGCACTTATCTTGTTGGCCAGGTGTGAACACGATCTGAAAGAGTCAATCCAGAAAATCAGGAATGATTGCATTTTTCAGTTCATTTCCATAGAAAACAGAATCTGGGATACCTATCCTCCATATTATGTTACATGTACTATAATCCAAGGAAGAAACTTTTCATGTTCAAATGTCAATTTCCCTAGACATAATTAATTGACTAAAAAATGATAGTAAACACTGACCTCTCTTAAGATTGAAAAATGCACTTCGTGCGTGGCCAAGGCTAACATGATCAAATCTGCATCCTACATAGATGCACAAAAGCTAGTAACTACGATCGAATATACAAGTTTGAGAAAATGCATTTTGTGCACCCAAAGCTGGCATGATTAGAACTTCACTATGCACAAGTCGGTATCAAGATAACTAAAATTCAGTACAAGCCACAAGAACATATTTTGGATTACATTCTCGAAACATAGACCAACAAAAATGTGCAACTTTTGGGCATCCAAACCAATAAAAAATCACCATATACCTATCCCAAAACAAAACACCCATCATAACTAAAATTCATTATCGTACATCTTCGTGATAGAATAATTATGGAATTAGTACAAGAGGGGATGACTATGCTTGGTTCACATAAGGATACATCATTTGGGATACCAGGCTACTAGCACAAGACGACCAACTATTTGAACACTTCCCATCAAGGAGCTTACAAGTCAATAGTACATCAGCTTTATCACATAAAATTGAGAAATAAATGCTTAATGACTTCGTAAATAGATGTGCAGGGAAAGACTTTATATTAAGCAGAAGATGCAAGAATGGGACTAGGAGGTATTTAATAGCAGCAAGATACGAATCAAACAACTAAGCAAGTAAAACTCGTTCAAACCATTCTGAGAGTAAACAGAAAGCAAAGAGGCAAACCGCATTTGGGATCTAGGCTCGTTCACAACCCAAGATATGGATAAGGAAAGTGAAAAAGTTGCATGTAAATCACATGAGCGGCTTGATGAAACCCTAAATTTTTTAGACTTTCCGTTGTCAAAGTAAGGTTGAGTAAACGAGGCGAAAGATAGTTTGCTTGCATGGGCAAAGATGCAGTTTTCCACCAGCAACAGAGCAGGAGAAAAGCAATGAAAGAACTGGGTCAGTGAGTCCATCGATTGACTACAGCAGCAACTAATAACTTAAGGCGTTGACGGACAACAGACACAATAAAACAGCGGAATATCATGCACAACCTGTATTGAAAGAGTTCACCCAGAGACTGAGGGAATAAGTAGGAGAAAGCAAGATCACCACAAAGACATATGCTACCATGCTGATTTTTATAAGGCATATGCTACCATGCTAGATAGATTAGGCATATGCTAGATGGATTACATATATGCTACCACAAAGACATGTTACCACAAAGATCACCCATAGACATGTATTATAAGGCATATGGCTGTACATAGATTAGGAAATAGGGCACAGGTTCGCCACAAAAACATGCAAGACACTGGAGGAAACCGTAAGGGAATAAGTGTCAAACTGAAATTCTTGTCTAAACCTCCTATGCTACCATGCTAGATAGAGAAAGCAAACTTACTATACATAAGAGAGGGACAACTATACTAGGTCAATACAAGAGAGGCCATTAGAGCCTACAACGCCCATTAACACAACTAAATATGCTGACAGTATAAACAAAAAAATTGGTTAATAGAAAATTTCAGAAAAAGGACAACGTCATATTAACATGTCTCTCCCTATGATGCTTGAGTTTTTTTTTGTAAAAAGTCAACTCCGAATTCTTCAGAAGATAGACAGCTGAGAAACACAAGAGTCCGGAAGGCCTTTTCAATCCTAAACAAGGTAGCATGTAGTTTATAGTAAAATCACAATGACATATGCTGCCCCAACGTGGAAATAAATTCATGGTTGAAATTATGTAACTTAGATCTCCTTTCTTCAGAAGGTACTTGGGCAAGAATGAAGAAAATAACATACCAGACCATATAAGCAGTGGCGAGTGTTTGGGTCATAGCCTGGTAGGTTTCTTTGGAGGCGAATGTAGGACATAACCTTGTGCTCCCCTTCACCAGGAACATTTGCATCAGAAAGGATAACCTTCAAGAAATTACACAATAAGCAAAGACCAGGTTTTGTTACTATTACTAATAAGCAGCTCTCTGAAGCAATTGCATCAATATAAACGAATATTAAAACAAAGGTAACTTGTGTTACCAACATATGAGCATGTGCAGATGCAAAATTCATACCTTGATATTTTTCCATCCTTCTTCATGATTCAGCCTCAAATGAATATAGTACTGAAGCGCAACCGATAGGACAGCCATGAACTCAGTCCCAGGAGTGATAACATTAGAATCAAAAACTTGAGATTCCTGTTTGGGAGGAAGTTTTCTTCCCTCGCTCTCAAACTCTTGACGTAATCTCTCCTCTTCTGCTGCCTGAAGAAAACGAAGTGCATAGTTAAATCGTATCACTTGTATTTAGTGTTAAATCTTTGTCACGGAGCAAGAGAGAGTAGAGTAAGACGTTATGAAAAATAGGAGCCCACCACTTCTGCTGCATCCTTAGCCGCTCTGAAACGCCTAGACCGTTGCTGGTTCATTTTCGCCCTAGGTGCGACACCATCTACAGAGAAAATTCAACACATACATCACTACAACCCAGCAAAAAACATGTTAAACTAGAACACCAAAAAAATGTAAAACTTAGCTAATTCATTCAGATGTGGGGCTGAATCTATGTGCAGATGTATCCAAATCTACTTATGAAAATATCAATCACATGCTTGGGATCCCGATTGAAGCTACTGAATATGATCATACGTTCCATGAGTACAGAGCTAAGGATAAACTACAGCTACCATTTGTACCATTCTTGTCAACTGACTGACAATACACCGGTTCAGGATAACAGTAACTTGCACTCACCAATAGCCATGTAAAGAAGCTTTCTAGGCCGAACCATCACGAATAATCTGTCAATGTAGTCGAACATGCACTGGAAGACTTCAGCAAACGTTGTTGGCGCAGGCTTTAGAAGCATCCAAAACAAAGTCAGCAAACACTTAAATTCTTGGATCAACACTCGGCATAAAAAAAATGCAAAGATTCACATAGTACCAAACAGCTGAACATTTTCGCAAAATATTTTCTCAATGAATTATTCTGCATAGCTGAGGCCCATCAATTCATACACTCTGAGCAAACTGGAACAAAAACTCAGAAAAATTTCCACGCGTTTACAAGGGATCCCCACTTAATCATACTCTTGGCATATTGACCCCAGAATATGTTCCTATAACCGCCAGAACTTCCATCGAAGACATTTTTTCCCTCTTCTTACATTTAATTTTTGATGCCGCACACGTCAGTGAAATGTATAAGGATATACCAAATTCCTAAAACAATTTTTCACAGTGCTGCCAGAGAAGAAGAAAATGGTTTCGAAAAGAAAACAAAGAAGCCCATGAATGCTTCCGCGCTTACCCTGTCCTCGGGGTGAAAGCAGGGGTGGATGATGCCATTCATGTCGAGGTAGAGGTTGTCAAACTCGATGCCATTGGGGTTAGGCTTGGACGTGTCGACGGGAATCGAGACACCCTCCACCACTACAGGCTCCTCCTCCACCACGTCCACCACCACCATCGGGTACTTCTCCGCCAGCCATCGGTAGAACGCAGGTACTCCCATCACCCCCCGGCTTCCTTTCTTCTCGCAACACCAACTCAGATACAAATGGAAACGAGACTGCGGTGGAGCGAGCCAGCGAGGGGGAGGGAGAGAGAGAGAGAGAGAGAGAGAGAAGAGATCTAAGCAAACTACGAAGCAGACCAGCGCAAGAACAAACCCTAACTGGGCCCGAGTCGAACCGATCCAAGTGCCGGCACCCTGTCTCCGTTTATATACGTTAGCCATAAAGATATTGCGAGATTTTTTTCCCTATGTGGGCCCCACTCTGGCCAGCTCACTTCCGCGCTGATCATACGGATCAACCAGCTCATACAACCAACGGCAAGGATTATCTGGACCCTGTGCGAATATTCCCGAACGCTCTCCAGGTTACTACCGTGGGCCCGCGACTTCCACTTTTCCCGATTTGGGCCTCACAGCACCCAATAATGAAATTAGGTCCGACCTGGCCCAGCCCAAAAAACAGCGCATGTAAGAGGCCTATTTAGACACAATTACAAAAACCCCTTAGATAATCATGCACTTGCGTGGGGATAACAACTTCTCATTGGGCTTGTATTTTTTCTTCTTCTTGGTGATGTAGTGCGTAGAATGGGCGGCCACTCTCGGGCGGCGCCGCCTCCTCCATGGCCACGGCAACTCGTCCTCCGCGATGGACCTCCCAGCGCAGATTCCTCGAGCAGACGCTGGCAGACCTCCACAAGTGCTACGACCCACGGCTCGTAAGGCAGGCCCATGCCCAGGTCTTCAAGCTCGACCTGCACCGCGACCTCTTCGTCGCGCCAAAGCTAGTAGCCGCCTACTCGCTGTGCCGCCGCATGGCGGCCGCCGTCGCGGCGTTCGACCTCGTCGGGCAACCCAACGCTCATCTCTATAACACACTCATCAGGGCCCACGCGGACAACTCCCAGCCCCTGCAAGCCTTCGCCGCTTTCTTCGCCATGCAGCGCGCCGGCGTACTATCCGACAACTTCACGTACCCTTGTCTCCTGAGGGCCTACACCGCCGCCGGCGAGGCGGCGGTCTCGCAGGTGGAGATGATCCACGCCCACATCGTGAAGATGGGCTTCATGGGGGATATCTTCGTGCCCAACTCGCTCCTCGATTCGTACTCCAGGTGCCGCGCGGGGGCCGGCGACTCCTCCGCAAGGAAGCTGTTCGACGAAATGCCGCACCGGGACGTCGTCTCCTGGAACACCATGATAGCTGGCTTGGTGAGGTCCGGTGAAGTTGGCGCTGCCCGCAGGCTGTTCGATAGAATGACTGTGAGAGACACAGTGTCCTGGAACGCCATCTTGGCCGGGTACGCCCGCGCCGGGGAGGCGGAGGAGGCTTTCGAGCTTTTCAAGAGAATGCCGGAGAGGAACGTCGTCTCTTGGTCGACGGTGATCTCCGGGTACTGCAAGAAGGGTGACATGGAGATGGCCAGGTTACTGTTCGACAAAATGCCGGCCAGGAACCTGGTCTCATGGACCATAATCATATCCGCGTACGCCGAAAGAGGCTGCACGCGTGAGGCGACCGCGCTATTCCGGCAGATGGAGGAAGCCGGGATGAAGGCCGACGGCGCCGCCGTCGTGAGCATCCTCTCCGCCTGCGCCGAATCCGGGCTACTCGGACTGGGGGAGAAGGTGCAGGCGCATATAACCAGGACCAAGGCGAGGCGCACCACCAAGGTCTGCAATGCGCTGCTCGACATGTACGCCAAGTGCGGGGACCTGCGCAGGGCGTGGGGCGTCTTCCAGGCCACACCGGAGAGGGACCGGGTTTCGTGGAACTCCATGGTGCAGGGGCTCGCCACGCACGGGCGCGGCGAGGAAGCCCTCGCGCTCTTCTCGCGGATGGAGGAAGAAGACGGGATTGTCCCCGACGGGGTGACCTTCCTCGGCGTGCTCTGCGCCTGCACGCATGCCGGGCGCGTCGAGGAGGGCCGCCGGTTCTTCTCCGCCATGGATAGGGACTACAGCGTGACGCCGCAGATCGAGCATTACGGCTGCATGGTTGATCTCCTCGGCAGGAGCGGGCTGCTGGAAGAGGCGTTCCGATTCGTTAAGGGGATGCCGATCGAGCCCAACGCCGTCGTCTGGGGGACCCTCCTCAGCGCATGCAGGACGCACGGCGACGTAGGCCTCGCCGAGCAAGTGGCCGGGGAGCTGGCGAGGCTCCGGCCCGCGGACGCCGGGAACTTGGCCGCCATGTCCAGCATCTACGCCGCCGCCGGTCGATGGGACTTCATGGCGGCGGTGAGGACCCAGATGAGGGCCGTCGGCGCGCAGAAGCTGACCGGGTCCAGCTCCATCGAGGTGGACGACGTCGTCCATGACTTCACCGCCGGCGACAGCTCGCACCCGGAGTCGGAGGGGATCATGAAGATGCTCGCTGGGCTGGGGAGCCACCTCAGACTCCTGGGCTACGATCCTCAAGGAGATGCAGATTCTCGAGGCACCGATCATTCAGCTCCCCCCAGGATCTTGGGATTTAACAGCGAGCAAAAACAATGATAATCAGACGGAATACAGATCCGAAAAGGGGATAATAGACTGCTAATTTCACATGAAAGATAGATTCCTACGAATGATTGGAGTCGCTGATCGACAACTCCATGAAAGTCAAACGTATGACACAATAAATCGTGTGGCAACCAATTAAGAAAGTTTTAATACTATATTTCTCCCTCTATACAGACAGGAATGTAGGGTATACAGCAAGCTGAATCGCAAGATACATAGCTCCATGGAATTTGAGAGCGCCAGACCAGCTTCGGCACACAGATTTATAGGAATGGCTTCATTTGCTTACGAAAGGAAGAACGCTGACTGAGCAGAAATGAAGTAATTACACTACAAGGCAATGAAAGTGAAACCCAATACCTCATCCCGAACCTTCATTCTCTCTTTATGTTGCGCCTCTGATCGCCAGGAATCCAAGAGGACCAGAACAGGGGAAGAAGACAGCAGGTGGCCTCCACGACAATGGCCTTGGGCAACCCTGAGAAATCCCCTGCCGCCACACCGCAGACCCCTGCAAGAGTCACGCCCAGGCAGCCGCTGATGATGCCCGCCAGGGCTGTTGCAGACATGAGGAAGGCCATGACGGAGCCTTCGCACCCGGGAGGGCACAGCTTGGCCACCATGATACTGAAAGGCAGAACCTTAAACTGACAGAGAGCTTCCTGCAAGCCGGAGAAGAACACCACATATACACCATCTGGCAGCCCCATTCCTCTATAAAACCCCTTCACAAACAGGACATCGGACAGCATGAGGAGGGTAATTGTAATTTGCAGCACTGATAGCAGCTTCCTCGTGGGCACCTGTTTAAGCCACTTGTTGTAGACCATAGACAAGGCCAGCAGGGCCACATGACTAAATACCTTGGTGAGGCCAAGGATAGAGGGGCTGAGCCCCAGCTGCTGAGTGTGGTAATAGAACAGGGTACCCATCAAGATCGGCACGAGAGCATACGAGGATGCAAACCAGCTGATGGAATGGAGAATCTCCGGATTACTGAGCACCACCAACAGCTCCTCGGCCCGGCCGCCAATGGTCGGGGGTTTTGATGAGGGGGCCTTTCTCCTCTTCTTCTGCAGGTTGAGGGAGCTCTCGGGAATGTTGATGATTGCAGAGAACTGAACTGCGACGATGACCCCAAAGATGAAGAACATGACCCGAGGAGAGAGCTGGTCTACAGCTATGCCACCAAGAAGGTTACCCAGGGCCCCTGCCGATGAGCTGAGCATCCACACAAAGGACTGCATGCCTGTCTCAGCAACAATGGCATCGTTGGCAACCTCAGCAATGGAGGCACCGAGGTTGCTAATGAAGAGAAAGAAAGTCAAGATGGGGATGGAGATGAACGAGCCCGGCAACATAGCAATGGTAAACCAGGACAGAGCTTGCAGTAATGCTGCATCAAAAATCAGAAATTCTGTTAGTGGATGCTATTGGAGGAGAGTAATCTCCATAATCCATATGTGAGGAGACTTTTTATGTCTGATTTTAGTTTCCTTCTATGAAATTATCATTTTTTGCTTCACAGATCGTACAGATCGAAAAAAAATTCATCAGAGTTTCTTCATCGACCCCACATGATACGACTTTAAACCTGAATTAAATTCCAAATCTTATAATTTACGTTCCATGGCAAATAGCAGGCCCTGGATCTATATGACTAAAGATACCGTCTCCAAGAATGTTGAGCACCAGACAGGAGTGGAGTTCCATCTGTTGGGACCTCCCTGGGCTCCATGTCTCTCCGTAGTTCTAGGATGAAGCTGAAACCGAAGCCAGTGTTGAAAGGAGGAGGAGATGAAGGAAGATGAGAGAAATAAGGGGCGAGACTAAAAAGAAAAGGCATGACGGTGAAGGGTGGGAAGAAGGAGAGGGCGGAGGGTAAGCAGAAGTCGTTAGAGTGGAGGAGGAAGAGGATACAGAGGAGGAGAAACAGAAGGATTGAGCAAAGGAAACATCTGAATCACCCCAATCTCGGTCTCTCTGAGGCGTCTCCTCTTTGGGACTCTGATTCGTGAGATTGTAATCGTCCGGCATAACGGTTCAATAAATATAGAGCCAAATTAGCGAATCAAATTATCCCGCAGAAGGGTATAAAATAAGTGAGGAGTGATAAAAACCACAGTCGAACTTTCACGTTAATCGATACAAGCGATACCTAGAAAAAGGACGAAAATAGGAAGGTTCGATCCGCAAAAATAGGAATCTAGCCACAGGTAGGGGTTCCTGTTCATCTGTGTGAATAGAACCTTGGGCGAACGCACGCAATTCAGAAAAAATGCATACTCAGCGTTGGATCATGATGCGGTTAAACGGGCAAAAAAGCCAAGTTCTTCGTGTGTGCGTGTCTATGCGAGGGGGAGAAAGTACCTCCGATGGCTATGTAGGGGAGCCGGTGCTGGCCGCAGAGGTTGACATTGTCGGAGAGGAAACCGTAGAGGGCTTTCGCGATCATCGGAACGTTGGCCGAGCTATGAATCATCTGCAGTGTGGAGGGCGCCACCTTCAACTCATCCTTGAGGTAGAAATTTACCCCCGCCCATGGGAAGCATCGGAAGCTCTGTACCCAGAATCCCAGCCCCAGGACTTTCCGCCTCACCTCCCCCGCCGCCAGCTCCAGGATCCTACGCCTAACCTCCCCCCCTGCCACCTGCGACGACGAGTAGGTTACAATGTCTTCCCTATCTCCTATCCTGCGCGGAGGGCGCATTGCACTGCCACCGACAGTCGTGCCGCCGCTGTCCTCCCCGTCTTCTCTCAAGCCCGGGGGAAGGATCTCGATCGATCCCTGTCGCTTGATTCAACGAAAGCCCTCCCCCGGCATCTTCTTTCGCATCTTATGGAGCCCAGCCGCCCGGAAGGTGTGAAACTTTCCGCGAACGGAAAATAGTAAAAAAATGAATAATAAAGGAAAAAACGTTAAGAAATTAAATGAATAATAAAAACGTCAATTTAAAGTTAGGCCTGGTACAAGAGGTCGAGTAGGTGGTGGGGCTGTAGACAGGAGACGTGAGCCAGAGGTGTGACGCTAGACGCAAGGATCTACACTATGATCGGGCCTACCCTTGGAGAAAAAGTCAAAATTGGATCCAATGGGTCATCAAAAATGGGTTTGACCATTTAACACAGCTTAGCAAAAGTCAAATGAGCCTCCAGAGGCAACGTCGGGTTTGACTAGTAAAAATTGACATGTCGCTAGTAGTGAGTAATGACCTTGACTTGTTCTGGATGGGTTCAAGATGAGAGGGACCAAGTGCTTTTGTGACCCCTCCAGACTACGAACTATGAGAATGATGTGCATAGTAGTGGTAGAGTTCATGACAAAGGACCTCATAAAGTTTGATTAGTTGTGTAAATTCGTGTGTTGCATGAAGTGGGTATTGGCGTTGACTTGTTGTTGTTTGATTCAAGATGAGAGTAATCAAGTGCTTTTGTGACCCCCACTAACTTAAGAAATATGAGAGGGGTGTGCACAATAGTGGTATAGAGGGGCATGAAATGGTGATGGGGATAGTAAAACCCATAACTTATAAAGTTTGACTATTTGTATAAATTAATGTGTCACATAAATTAAGTATTAACCTTCACTTGTTGTAGTTGGATTCAAGATGGGAGCGACCAAATGCTTTGTGACCCCTCTAGCTTAAGAAATATGAGAGAGGTGTTCATAGTAGTCGTACGGTGAGGTATGCAATGGTGATGTGTACAATAGAGCTCATGACAAATGACCTTAGAATTATAACAGTTTGTAAGCCCCATGCATGGCCCAACTCAGTTGGCATGGAAACCTAGATGCAGATGTGTACAAGACAAGGCAAATTGAATAGACAACACAAGGGGTGCATGGCACAAAGAGTATGATAATAGGTTGGGACATAATTATCCAGTGACATGATAATCTCATAAGTAAATTGCCAAAGAGGTAGAGGTAGGGCAGCACCTTGAAGAATAAGAACCTTATTATAGAGTGTGGATGTTGTAGGAATAAAATAGGAAAAAACTCTCCCTTTTTATGGGGGTTGAGGGGTAGGGCTCTCCCATATAAATAGTAGATGGATTTGGACTCTCAAAAGCAAATCACCTTCCATGATGTCTTATATTCTCACTTGAAAAGTGGAATAACTCCTTTGAGTGAGTGAGAATCTCTACATCTTAAAAAGATGTTACTTGGAGGTTGGTAAAGGCATCTAAGGCTGACATGTGGCATTAGAAGTCAAGTAAGCTCTCTAGATCCGTTGTAGCTTTAATTGAAAAAGTCATCTCTAAATGTGTTTCTATCAAGAAAAAACGTACTAAGTTTATACTTAAAATAGTGAAATTGATCACTTTCCACATGTAATTAAAGAACAATGATTTATAGAAAATATACTGGACATTGGTACCAAAACTTTTAAAAGTTCTACCCTTAAGAAAAAAAAGGTTAATTTCTCTTCTTAAATCAATTATTACCAGTGATCTAAGAACAAGATTGTGTTTGCAAGATAATATATATAAATATTTTAGTAGCTAATGAGAAGAATATTAGAGAAGAGAAGGTTATGCACCAAGAGCTATTAGAGAATGGTCTGAATATTGGAGAAGAGAAGGTTGCACACTTGGAGCTAATAGAGAATGAGCATTATATTAGAAAAGAGAAGATCCCACACTTGGAACCAGTAGAGTATAGGAAGCCACACATGCCTTAATGGGTGTGGGCTTTGCTTATGACTATAAGATTAATTGAAAGCAAAGTTACAATAATTGGGGGCTCATGATGTGCTGCTGACCAAAACTATGACAAAGTCATTGATAGACTATTGAAATACCAATGGCAAGGAATTTGATGTATGCCCCAGACTTAGGTACAATCATTGATAGAATTGTCCATTCAAGAATGATTGTAAGGCAGGTCATGGTGTAAGCTTTTAGAGCGACTATGAGTGAGAGTGAAACAAGGGCTTGGAAGAGTGGGATAAAGTCTCTAGAAAGGTTCTCCTGCTCATATAAGTAAAAAAAGTATTAAATGCCTTGATGACTCAATGAGCATCAACATGAGCCAACTCTAAGTTGAATCATATTCAACTGTTGGGGGCCTTACCATATCAACTAGAGTGTATCAAGGCAAATGACATTGACTCATTTACGTTAAGACACACATCAATAGTCTTCTAATAAAGGTGATGATCAATAGTGAAATGACTCACAACTTTCTCTATAAGAAAGAAGTAGCCTAATTGGGTTTGACACTGTACAAATATACACTCAAATTAAAATTTTCAAATCAATGATACATTTCCTAACCAATATTATGCATGAAGTCTCACAAGTAATTGTAAAATAAAAGATAATTTAAACTTTAAATTGATCTCAATGGAAAACTTTTTAGTCATACTAAGTATAGATCTCAAGGATTCAATTAAGAATATTTTCTCAATTGTAAATTATTTTCATTGTAAGAGGGCCAAAACTCTACTTTTCCGCAGAAGCATCAACTATTTGCCCAAGGACTATACATGCAGTATCATTGAGCCCAAAGATGGACCCAAGGTGAAGAGACCTTCTTCATGACCTTACATAAGTAAGAATAAGGACAATCATCATGAACATGTATAAATACCAAGGGTGAAGTTAACTATCATCATAGACATCATACAAGTGATATGGATTCAATCCATAATAGAAACATCCACATCATACATGTGTGAAGTATGGGTGCCAATGATTGGTGAGCACTCAACAACAATGTATTTAGTGGGCATGCATGTGACCTTCATTGGTCTTTTACTAGTGGTGCTTGTAGACTCATCACAATATTAAGAGGGATATACCTACTTTTGCATGACTCTCTATTAGATGATTGTCACCCTACAGAGAGGTCTACCACAAGATCAAGTTATTGTCAAGTCTGTAACCTATTGCTTGCATGCATTATAAGATGAGCTTGACATATCTTAAGGAGATTACATGTCAATTGAAGAACTGATTGAAGGAAGTGCATATTTGTCTATTTGAGACATCATACAATGTGACCATCCTCTTCTAGAAAAAGAAAGATGGCTCCTTCCAATTATGTATCAATTAGTTATTCCCAACATGGAGGAACTCTCTAATTGATTAGGTAGTGTGAATTATTTTTAATTGGTAAACATATAGAATGGATACCAAAGTCAAGAGCAAAGAGATGACCCAAAGGTTGCATACATGAAGATAAATAATTTGAACAAGTTCATGATGACGTTGTTAAATTGTGAATTAACTCAATAATTGATTTGTGACAAAACTTAGGCAATTTAATCTCACTTAAAAATAATGAAATTGATGTGATTGAACGTAAAACTATGAATGATTTAATTTCTGATATTGGTTGTTAGGTATTAAAGAGTTCTTAATTAAATTCTCATTAGGGGTAAGAAAGTTAAATTGTCTATGCACAAGTAAACTTATCAATATCCAAGTAGAAGTCCTACTGTTTATAATTTTTTATACCAACTATTCACTTACATAGCCATGTGAATAAATTGAGAAGGTTTTTATATGAGGAGTAGAATGCAAGAAAATTATATAAAACTATTCATATGTTGCATTATGAATTTAAAAAATTACTAAAGTAATATTTCCACAGTGCAAAAAATATTTATAAGTTTGACCTATACGACTAATGATTTTTATTTGAGAGAATATGTCACAAATATAGGTGGACAGTAGTCAATACAAATCTTGCCCAAAAAATAATACAACATAAAAAGGCACTCATCAAAATTCACAATATTTAAAAATTTATGATTTTTGTAAGTTTTATTCATCTTTTTCTATGACTAGTAACTATGTGCAATAATGGCCCAACCCCATGTCTTACTATAAAAAAGAGAAATATCATCTAAAATTAAGACATGAGAAATCAAACAAATTTTTACACAATTGCAGCTGCTTCAAGGGGCTTTCTTTTTTTTGTGATATTTTTTCAGGACTTAAAACTCTATGAACATTCAAGAGAGTTTTGTACATAAAAAAAATTCAAACACTTCTTCCATCAGTCTATTCTTCTCAACTATTTCAACAACTTATGACACATCAAATAAAAGTTGAAGATGTTGATAACTTTGTTCCATATTGATTACCTATTTTTATTGTGGTTTATGATGTGGACTAGTTGAGAGATTTATATTGTATTAATAATATAATTATATGGGGTTTTGATGCACATATGGTATGCTTGTGATGAGGACATCTAAGATTTTTAGTTCTTAGGGTTCTAGATGGAGTGATTAGAGGCTCATGGAACTTGGTAATGTAAAGGGTTCCTAATCTTAAGAAAATTATATATATTCTAACTCACTAATATATTGGTGGCCTTTTTCATATTGGTTAATGCCATTCTTCATAAATAAATTGATCACTTTGTTGTTATGCACTCAAATGACATTTAAAGAAGTACTTAGAAGAGCATAAGAAACATCCTTGGGAAGTGTTCAACAAGTTATGGGCATATCAACTATTTCCCAACCCCACAAAGTGATACTCTATGTTAGAATAAGTAGCTTTTTTTGACCACATTATAAGGGGAGATTTTGTGTCGATCAACCCATCAAAGGTTTGTGCCAACAACAAATAGCCATCATCGAGCAATGTCTAAGAGTTTCAATCCTTGATCTAGTCAACTACAATCACAAATTTGTCCAATGATATTCATAACTAGTAATACCCTTAGATGATCTATTTAAGAAAGAAGTAAAATGTATTAAATAAGATGTAATAAGTCTTCATTATTATGAGTTAATAATTTATTAATAATATATTTTAAGTCTTAACTTATGATACATAGACTTATATTTGTGTTAAATTGAGAAAAATAGTTTTTAGTTAATTAATATGATTTTTTTAATTATGTAAATTTATATGATTTTAATAATAATATTTTTGAGAATAAAATAAAATAAATATAAAAAATAGAAAAAGAGAGAACTCATCAACCAAATGGGTCAAAAGCATAGCCAAGTGGAGCTATGAATAAAGGGCTCAAGTGGCTAAGGAATGGTCAACATGGCATGTGTGCATCAGTCCACTTCCACATCACTGGTCGTTAATTGGGTGTCAAGCAAGGAATGATTGTACACATATAGGAAGATAATATTAATGAAAGAAATAAATATTATTATATATCGATCTAAAAACTTAATAATAAATAGATATGGGACTAAACCTACACTAATGTTTGTAAGTAAGTTTTATATATATTTTATACTTATAATGTCCTTGATCTATGAGAAGTAAGTGCCCCCATGATGTCACTTTATAAGGATATGAATATAATTGATTACCTCTCTCTCATGCAGGCAAATGACATGGGAGGGTTCGAATCTTACTAGAGTCAAAACTTTATATTTGTATCTAATTAAATAATGATTTTTCTACCTAGTGTTGGTCAATAATTAAGCCATCATAATTGCTCAATCATTAGTGAAAGTATTGTCAATGTGATTTGTAAAGCATCGTTCTTAGTTGAGAAATAATTTTATTTAAAAAGATTATGAATTCATTGAATAAAGAGCCTCTTTTTGCTTATTGAACTTAGATAAAGTCTCATAAGCTATGCCCCCACCTCTATCTAACTTATCTCTGTTTGAAGATAGTAGTCAAAGATTTTAAAGATATTATTTTTCTGCTTCCTTAGGTGACAATCACTAGAGATAATTTGTCAATCTATCTCATTAATTTATAAACTTCTCATAAAGATTTAGAGATTACTCATGTCGTGTAAGTTCAAGAAGAGTCTTTTAAGGTCATAGACATCATACAATAATCCTCTTGAATGTATAAAATTTCAACAGTCATCATCGCAAAGTTGAAACTCTACCTTTCTTACTTTTAACTTAAATTTTACTTAAATTAGTGATATTTTATGTTATTTCAAATTTCAAAACTATTCTTCATTAAATTACAATTCTTCTAACTTTGATAGAATTTCATTTGATTAATTAAATCATCTATAATCACTTATATAAGAATTATTAAGTAGAACTTTATTTTTGCTTGAAATATATTCGTCAAAATACTAAATTATTATTATTATTTTTGAATTTTTAAATATATATAATATAATATATATTTTATATAATTAAGATTTTTTTAAAAAATATTACAAACTATTATCTCATATTACATGATTGACTTAGAAATTTTTTACTATTTTTAATTTTTTAATCAAATTAAAATAAATTTATTTATTTTGAAATATTTCTAAAAATTTTAAAAAATGATATTTTCTAATTTTATAAATTTAAATTTGTGTGATTTATTATACAACAATTAGGCTAGATGTGACCAATTGTAAATGGTAGACAAACATATAGATTAGAACACCAAATTTATAGTTGAAGGGCCTTTCTTATGGTCAATAAATTTAGTTTTTTAATTTGAAAACTTTGACATCAAGACAAGTGATTTATTAAAGTAAAAGACAATCTTAAAGAGAGTCTATTTAACCTTAGTTTATAGACTTTGACATTTAGTCTAAATTCCCTTTAAGGCTAGGGTGCCAAAACTAGATGATTCACCCACTAAAAAAACAATACTATGCTACTTTTGTGAAGGGAATTATAATGAATGACTATGAGATTTTGACAAACTCAAAGACAAAATCATTTATGAACTGATTCTATGGTTGTCATTCTTTAAATGACTTTTTAAAGTACAAATTAATGCATCATATTTAATGATTGATGGAGCTAATGTATGAAGAAAAACCAATGTGGCTTGCAAGAGTCATTAACTCAATGACATGAAATGATGGTGCTTTGTGCACAAGAAGTTGATGACAATGGTTGTCCACTATTTGAAGGCATGGTAATATGAAGTTGGCACTTAAGTAGACAAGCTAAGGTGAGTTGATGTGGTGGCCAATGATTTCAACCTTAAGGAGTTTGAGACAAACTTTGCAACACTCATGATAGAAAATAAAATGCCTTAGATGAGATTCACATGACTATGACTATGACTATGACTATTGACCTAGAGGTGATCCACCTATTGTAGTAGGTTGCAAAAGAGACTGCGCAACTACTTGTGATAATACTCAGTATGAAAGGTGAATTCTTTGTACATAAGACATCTTAGACATGAATGAATCTTATACTATTAAGTTGTCCAATAACTCTTATTGAACAAATATATATAAACAAAAAGATATGAATGTTTGATTACTTTTTGTGTTAACAGATAAGATGAAATGTGCCAAGATATCAAAGACATGAGTCATTGCTTATTATGAATCAACTATATGAGTCTATCTGATGGATTCCATCAACAAACTTCCCTAAATCTGACATATTTGTGCCGATAAAAATAGATAATTATGTTTAAAAAGTGGCTCATCTCTTCATGACAAATATGATGAAGCTATGGGGCTTGCCATAGGATATCGTGAACAACTGCGATATATGATTTATTGGCCTATTTTGGATGGGCTCTTCAAGTAGAGGAACACCCAACTAAGTTATCTATTATCTTCAACCCACAAACCAATAGACACATTCTCTGGTCTTTTATACTTTGATGTTCAAGATGTATCATGGCTAATAACACATTCTCTTCAATGGGCTTCACTAATAATGTGAACCCATAGTGACTAAGGCAGGGCGATTAATAAGTACAAGGAAATCAATGAGGGAGGGCGATTGCGCACAAATCATCGCATGTACTTCATGGTCATGTGCAAGCAAAGTCCGAGAAAAAATGTGACATAATAGCATGATGTCAACATATGGTAGTTTGAGACCTAAGTACCCATAGAAAAATCCCTCAGCAAAGACATTGAATTTATAACATGGGAGAGGATGTGACACCCCTAATATTAGTAGATCGTAGATCTGGAAATGGATTTAGATTGTTGTATGAGGCTATGCGAAAATCTATGTGGAGCACACGACAGCGATGTGACATGGCACATAGAGAAGCCCAGAGGTCCCTACAGTGGCTCGGGGGAATTGGAGACAGTGGCATGGCTAGCACGGTGATAGGCCTGCAAAGGTGCGCAGGACAAGGCAATGATACGTGTATGTGGTTTTCTTGCGTGGAGTGATAATTCCGGCCAAAATCCTATCTGACAAAGAGGCAGAGCACTCCTCCCCCAAATAAGGAGAACCTTCTTTTGGAGGGTGTATGAATCAAGCCTCGAAGGCTCTCCCTTGTAAATAGTGAACGGATTAGACCTTTGTTTGGGAGCAAGTCATTACATGGTCATGTATTCTCACAAAGAGAGGTTGCTTAGGCATTGGTGAAGATATCCAAGGCCGACATGTGGCCTTAGAAGTGATGTGAGCTATCTAAACCCATGACAGCTTTAGCTAGGAGGATTATCTCTCAAGAAAAAATATCTTAAATTTCTACTTTAATTGCAGAAATCGATCATCATCCACATGTAACTAAAGAACAATGACTATAAGGAACTGGTGGTATGTTGTTAAATCGAAATAAGGAATGTCAATCTTTGAAAATTTTGTTATCATCCAACTATTCTAGAATTGGTCCATTCAATGGTTGGAAATATAACACTGTCACCAAACAATACACAGAGAGAGTACAACTCACCCTGGAGCTCAACACCTCTGAACGTTCCGTCCTTAAGAAAAAGGGTGCTGATTTTTCTTTTCATATCAGCAATTACCTGCAATCCCAGAGCACAGACTGCGTTTGCATGATAATAGAGACAATATCACTCGTAGCTAATGGGCAGAAGATTGGGGAAGAAAGGATCATGCACCTAGAGATAGTAGAAAATGGAATGCCACGCCTGCCTCAGTGGGTGCTCTTCAAGACGGCCTTCAACGTCTCCAGGCTCATATCTTTTCCCGCATTAGAAGGAGAAAATTTAGGGAGCATCTTGATGTACTGTTGGCCATGCTCGTCTTCACGCAGGGAATTAACCAGGACAGAGAGAGTGGACTGAAGCATTAAGAACCCCTTCGCTTCCATTCGGCGGATGTACTCCAGTGCCCTAATAATCTCCTTGTTCCTGAGAAAACCTTGGATGATGGCGTTGTAAGTAAATGCATCTGGGCTACAACCACTCTCTTCCATCCGTGAGAAAAACTCATCAGCGCCATCCTCCAGACCCTTCCCCATCAGCCCTTTAATAACTGTCGTGTAGCAGGCTGCATCGGGCGTCATGCCTTTGGCAGCCATTAAATGAAAGAGTTTCATGGCGCCATTGGAATCCCCAGTAGTGAACATGCCCTTCAGCAATACATTCACAATGGTAACCCCCTGTCTGAATCTGCCGACATCCACGGTTTCATACAACTTCATGGCGTCGGCAAGGCGATGGTTTGTGCAGAGCCCGTCCAACATAACAACATAAGTGCAGAAATTTGGGGCCAGACCATGAGCCTGCATCTCATCATACATTTCCTTGGCGGCAGCAACTCTTCCAACCCTGAATAGCCCCTTTATCAAGGAATTGTATGCGGCGCAGTTGGGCTGTAAGCCTTTGCTCCTCATTTCCTTCAGAAGAACCATCGCCTTGTTGATCTGTCCATTTCTACAGTACCCATTGATCAGTATGGAATAGACGACGACATTAGGCTCGGGGCCGTTGCGAATCATGCAATCAAGGAGCCTGCAAGCGTCCTCCATCTGACCCAGTAAACAGTACCCGTTGATTAGTGAGCCATATGACACGGTATCAGGCTTCTCTCCTCTTTCGATAATCAGGTCAAAGAGCTCATGGGCTCTCCTGACATCCCCTTCCTTGCAGAGGGCATCGATCAGTATGTTCCATAGGAGAACATTGGGGGAGATCCCCTTGGCAACCATTTCATTCAAAACCTGGATAGCTCTTTCCCATTTTCCCGAAGAGCAGAAGCCGTTGATCAAACAATTATAACTGGTGATATTATGGGGTACACCGACCTTGTCCATCTCTTCTAAGAGAGCCTCGACGTCCCTGAATCTGCCACCCTTGCAGAGCCCATCCAGCATGCAGCTGTAGTTGAATATATCAGGCTTCAATCCTTCACGCTTCATCTCCCTGAATATCTCTGTAGCCTCATCAAGTCTCCCATTCTTGCAGTACCCATCGACTAGTATAGAAAAACTGTGAGTGGTCGGTTGGACGCCAGCGCTCCTCATGGCCTCGAGGATTTTCCCCGCGACCTCGACGAGTCCCATCAGACAGTAGCCACTCATCAGTATGTTGTAGGAAAAGGCGTCGGGCCGTTCCCCTCTCATACCCATTAGATCGAACAGCTTCTGGGCTTCTCGGACTCTGCCGTGTTTGCACAGAGAATTCAGCAGTGTGTTGAATGTCACAATGTTCGGGGAAATCCCCCGGCCAACCATCCCCGTGAAGATCTTCATGGCGTCTTCCCAACGGTTGGAAATGGAGAATGAATGGATGATGAAGTTGTATGTGATCAAACTAGGGGAGGCCCCCCTCGCAGCCATCTCCTCGAGTAGCTCCACAGCCTTGTCAACATCTCCCTCTCTGCACAAGTAGTTGATGACCGTGCTGTAGGCGACGATATCAGGTTTTGAAAAACTATCCTCCGCCCTCATGGACTTGAGGAGCTCGAGAGCCATGCCGCCGTTCCCTGTTGTGCAGAGCCCCTTGATCAGTATACAATAGGTTATGACGTCCGCAGTGCAGCCCATCTCAGCCATCCTCTCTGAGAGCATTGTCGCCTCCGCCAGCCTACCCTCTGCGCACAGGCCATGGGTGAGACAGTTCAATGTCCGCGTACTTGGTTGGAGACCAAGCTTAAGCATGGCACCGAAGACCCCAAAGCCGGCGCCCACGGAGCCGGACTGTGTGCAGCAGTTGACGATGAGGCTGAGCGTTCTCGCATCAGCGGAGACGCCCACGCGGCCAACCTGGAGGAATCTCCTGTACAGAGAGAGCGCACTGGCGTACTGTTTCCTCCTCGCCAGAGCAGAGAAGACGGTGTTGATCGCGGAGATAGGCGGTGGCAGCAGCCGCCGCGGGTCAAGCAATTTATCGAACAGCTTGCATGCATCTTCGGGACTAAACTTATCGTCCCTACACAGCTCCCGGACGTGATCACCATGACGACGACGATGAAGAAGAGGAAGGCTAGCAGGGGCAGACGGCGGCCGTCCAGAGGGATTGATGGTGGAACCCGTCGCCGTCGGCGGCCTCCGAATCGCAGGAACCATGGCCGTCCTCGACCGGCGCACCCACGGAATTCAAAGCTTCCGCATGGAAAACCTAATCAGCTCGAGATGAAACAATGGCAGAGACCACGATCCGCCATGGAGGAGAGCTTGGAGGAGGATTGACTGCCTATAGACTGCGAGATCGACGAGACAAAGATATTCCCCAGTCCTTTCCATCTCCTTCGTCGTCCGTCTCCTTTTTTCACCGGCAGCAGCTCCCCCGTCGCCTCTTTCCGCCGCCTCCATCACGTCGGCCTCCATCTACATTCCACTCGAGAGCATCCTCTGAGCTACCAGAGCCTCCATGCGGTAGAGGACCAAGCTGGAAGGCTAGCGCGGGGGTATCTGTCTGGAGAAGTATCCACGTAGGATAGTTGACGCAGAGGTTTGAGGGCTAGGAGAAGTCAACGGCTTGTCGGCAGCGCATGATGTCTGTTTGTCTATGGCGAAAGTGAAGCTGATGCCAGCAAGAGAGGAGGCTAACCGTACAAACGGAAGGATAGAGGAAATGGACAGAAATAGCGATGTACGGGGAGATCCGGCAGCTGTCCTCGTCGGCGCGACGGCCGTGGCAACAGAATCTTGTCAACTGACGCGGCCAAAAGCTCGCTATAAAATGTGGCGGCTCGCCGGAGCGGCGGATCAAATTCTCCGCCGTCGTCGGAGAAGATGGCATCTCCTCAGCCGGCGGCCGTGCTCCTCGTCTTCTTCTTCTGCTCTACGCTGGCCCCCTTCATCGTCCTCCCCTGCGCCGCCGACAGGGCTCACAGCATAGGCGCCGAGCTCCTCCGCGGTGACTCACTCGATGACTCCATGACGACGTCGGAGAAGGTGAGATCCGCCGTGCGCCGCTCCGGCGAGCGCGTAAGGTACTGGGCCTCACTCGCGAAGGGGTACGACCCCTCGCGTGAGTCGACGGTCTCCCTGACGGCGAAGCTCGCCCCCGCCACCTTCGAGTACCTCATGGAGATCTCACTGGGAACTCCGCCGGCGACCGTCCTCGTCGTCCCCGACACCGGCAGCGATCTCATCTGGACGAAATGCGCCTCCTGCCGCAATTGCACCGGCGAGGGCTTCAACCCTCGGAAATCCTCCTCCTACAAGCACCTCCGGTGCGACTCTCGGCCCTGCACGGTACTGGAGACCATGGCCCGCTGCGGGCTCCGCCACAACTGCGACTACGCGCTTTCCTACGGCGATGGGTCCTCCTCCGCCGGCGTCCTCTCCCGCGAGACGTTTATCTTCAACTCCACCGGCGGCCGCAATGTCTCCTTCCCGAAGGTGGTCTTCGGGTGCAGCCACAGGGTGGGGGGAGCCTTCAATGCCGGCATCCTCGGTCTCGGGAGGGGCCCGCTGTCCCTCATCTCTCAACTGGGCGGCGCTGCTGGCGGGAAGTTCTCCTACTGCTTGGCACCCATCACGGACAGCCGCGCCGCCAGCTACTTCAACCTCGGGCCGGCGGCGGCAGTGGACGGCGCCAATGTAGTCACCACCCCCATCGTCTCCCCAAAGGGGTTTTCATCCTCCTTTTACTACCTATCCCTGCATGAGGTCACTGTCGAGGCGGTCAGAATTCCGGCGGAGGTAGATATCATCATCGACTCCGGCACCGCCGTCACGTTTCTGCCCGACGGCGTGGTGAACGCCTTGGTGGCGGCGCTATCGACGAAGATCCCGGCCCCACGGGTCCACGACCCGGAGGGACAGTTCGAGCTCTGCTATCGGGTTGGGTCAACGTCGGCGGCGACGGCGGCGTTTCCGGAAGTCGTCTTCGGGTTCGGCGGCGGGAAGGTGGCGCTGAAGCCGGCGAACATCTTCGTGACGTCGGAGGACGGCGTGGTGTGCCTCTCCGTCCTGCCGTCACCCAGCCCGGCCTTCGCCATCTTCGGGTTCCTCGCCCAGCAGAATTTCCATGTAGGATATGATCTAGTGAAGAACACAGTCTCTCTCGCGCCGGCGGACTGCGCCCACCTCCGACTGAGGAAGGCGTCCAGGGGTAAACATTGATTCTCACACGTTGGCTTCGGGCAATTACCACTAATGCTGCGCCATGCTCGATATTACTTGGCTCGATATTCTTGAGAATGTTCGGGAAAGTGCTAGGAATTAATTGCATCATCATCTCCGAACTATAATCAAAAGGTGACTCTCCAAAGTTGCCATCTTTCCGAAAAAGAAATTTAAATAATATCTTGGCCTCCAAAAGCAGGTTTTATTATTGCAATCTAATGCTAATCTAGATTTTTTTTATTTGGGTCTCCAAATATGTCATCAAAGGCTATTTATTAACGATAAAATTAATCTTTTATAAATGTGAAGCTGTGGAATTTATACAATGAAAATCGTTGTATTCATTATGATTTTTCATCCCCACTAAAATATTTTGAAGTAATATCTTGTTTTTCTGTTTGAAGTAAATAGCCTTCAAAAGTCAACAGTTTGGTTGATATATTTCCATGTCCAAATAGTCATCAAATTACTACAACGCTTTAAATATATATGATGTGGGCTCTATTAAACATACAAGTAAGTGAATATTCTAGATCATTATTTAATTATAAAGGCAATTATTTTTTAATAATTTTTTTTTGATGAAGATGCCTTCTTTGAGGACTCCATGTTGCACAGCCAGCAGTAAGTTTATCAACCACAGAAAAACCTATTAAAACATTATTAAAATATATTGCATCTTATGGGTCAAACACGAAGCACCATGCAAAGTGTACACAAAATTATCAAACATGTGAGTCAATAACATAAATTCGTCAATGTATTGTTTTTTGACTCTTTTAAAAGTCATATCCAATAATATATTTTTATAGAATTTAGAAAAGTCAAACTGGAAAAAATGAAAAATCTTCTGGTCTCATTTATGGCTTTATAAGAAAAATTCGTCCATCTAGAGCCTAGGGTGAGACCCATCCTCTATAACGCACGTTCCATTATCTTCTCTCTCTCTCTCTGATCTGCTTTAAGAACTCGCACGTGAGTACGTTCGGGGGCGGTGGCGGAGGCGGGCGTGGACGCAGCGAAGGCCGGTCCCACCCGTTGACACCCTTCAAGCCAACAACCTTCTTACCATTCATCATATAATAAGCAAGCAAGTTCACACCCGACAACTTTAAAAAGTCAACGTTACAGTACTATAACGTGCATGCGCGCGCCCTCTATGGGGCGTCGCCTTATTTAAGGGGAAGAGGGGCCCTGCGCCGCCGTCGAGCGCGGAGGCGCCGCCCTGGTCCTCCGGCAGGCCCAGCTGTCGCAGACCGAAGGCCGTCTTCTCAGTCGTCCTTCCCCGTGGTAGCCTCGTACTGCTCCTTGCGGCAGCATCGACAGTAGTAGCGGTACCTATAGCCGTACCTATAGTAGTAGCGGTACCTATAGCAGCAGCGGTAGCGGCACCCTGGTCGGTTCGGGTAGAAGCCGCTTTGGTCGACGGAGGTCTCTGCATGGGAATGAAAAAGTCTCTGCGTTAGCGTGAGAAACTCTGGGAGCTCCTCAAACTTGGAGTCTCAGCAGCATGGGGACAACAGCGATGCTGGGGGGGAGGGGGGGAGAACGAACCTGTTTCCGTGTCCAAGGTTTCCGTGGCGTCGACGACGGCGGAGACTAGGAGCATGGCGATCAGGAGGAAGGCCATCAGGGGCAAAGCCTTGGAAGCCATCCCGACGGAGAAGAAGAGGGAGAGGAGGATGAGGTGCCGAGAAGACGCTGATGCGCTGCCCTGTTTATAGTGAACCGGGCACTGTGGAGGGCAAGCTCCGAACTCTCTTAGAGTCGGGCAAAGTGGTTGGGAAGTGCCCTTCTCATTAACGCAGAGAGCGAGAGGGAGAGAGAGAGGGGTAGACAGGGTAGAGCAGAAGAGCAATAGCCTTATCTTCTCTGAGAAGACGTGCACAGACTGATTGACGGTGGCCTCCGCGCGGAGCTCCGCCGTTGGCGCGATATGATCTTCAGCAGAGCAGTTCCTCATTCTGTGATGAATCGGACAGTCAATGAATTCCCTGCGTGATCCAACGACCATTCTAAGAGATACCACGAATGCCACCCGCAGTGAATCGGCGCACAAGGCAGCCTATTATCAATCACCCTCCCAAATTTCCATCTCTCTTACTCTCTCTCGCTCTCTCTCTGTGAGGGTGGTGGGGACATATGCTGACGGCGGGGGATATCAGATCCGGACTTTGAAGAGGTCTTTGAGGGTACAGTAGGCCAATGCTGTGACTCGCCTGCTGTTGCTAAGGAACCTTCTGACGTGATCTCATTTGGACCCCTGGGCCTATACGTATGGAGCAGGCATTCACGTCCATCCTCCTCAGACGAAGCCTCCGCCTACCATTAGATGATCATCGGGACCTCCCTCTTCTGGCCGTTCCATTAGTTTTTGGTCTACGCCGGGGGGGAAGGGAGACAAGGAGATGGTTTCTCAACCCAGCCACGTTTGTCAACGGGATTAATGCAGGATGCCGTGTAGCGGTTTCCCACTTCAACGTTGGCGAGCCCTCAAAAATGGGGCATTCGAGTACACGTGAAGGTCGATGGTGCACTTGGGCAGCCACTAGAGGAGGGTGAGCACAGAAGACTGGTGCACACAGTGTGAAACTAAGACTCGTGGGGTGCCACGTGGGGATAAGATACAACTAAGACTCGGTTCGGACAGGGAGCAGGAAGCGCCGGGCTTAGTCAATTCTTGAACCAAGCACGGGAAACAGGACCAATCAGGGATTCTCTGCACATATAAACTAAGACTCGGTCTGAACTTGTCAATTCTTGGACTCAGTTTTTGAATCCCAAGCCGGGGAAAAAGGGACCAACCAAGGCTTCTGTGCACACTTGTTCTCTACCATCTTGATGCTTCATAGACATTCGGTTTGCTCACCTAGAATCAATCTGCTTTTCATAGCACCTCAATGGCTTTGTGTGCGTTTACTGACCAGTACACTAGGCACCTTGGTATCCTCATCGTGTGTTGGTTAGGAATTCCTGAAATAAATCTTCAAACTCAAAGAGATGCCAGTTCCATGTAACATTGTGTCTTGTTGAACCCAATAAGTCATCTTAAATGTCTTACTGATCTCAAGTCCCCTAAAACTCTTGGGTATACTTGCAGAGGATAACGTATTTTGACGTATGGGTTAAAAGTTTTGTTGATCTTTAGACAAAGTTCAGGTTCTCGAGGCATAAGTGTTGACCTTTGAGAGTAGAAGCTAAGAAACACAGGCTGATCCCTAGATCTGTCTCTTAGGCATGGAGAATGATCTTGTCTAGTAGGTGCATGAGTGTATCTCTGCCATTATACCCTAACCTCATGGTATTAGACGGGGGAAAGTTGCGTCCTCAGGGTAATGTTGGTCTGCGAACGAGGGCATAATCTCTTTTGATTTCTCATTGTTTAGAACGAGAGAGGTTTTGAAAGAAAGAGTGGGAAGTTGGCAATGCACGGTGCATAATGGTTTATGCGTTTTGATGACGACCACAACACACGAAGAATAATTTATACATTTCCATTAGTATAAAAATGCATAAATATGATTCTATGTATTTCTAAGATAATCTAGTTAGATGTGAAAATTTCGGTGTTTTATTTAATTATTACTTGCCCAATAACAGTGTGAAATACCTTTCATTTTATATTGATTTAATTGAGGTTAAATGAGAAATATATTCTTTATTGGACCTGAGGTTAAAGAGCACTAGATCAGTCTAATGTATGTGGTTAGTGGGCCTCTAATTTAAGGCGAATTGGATCCAGGATAAAAGGATTGTTTACCGTTAACTAAACGTTGACTGTTGCCCTTGACCCTCAAGCTGTTGACTGTTCACCCGCTGGTTGGCTCGGTTAGGCGGACCTGACTGTTTCAGAGCTGACGGATTGTGATCAGTTTGGGCCTGGCTGATCCCGGCCTGTTGGTACCTGGCGGATCTGGACCGACTTACTGAACAAGGCCGGTTTGGGCCGGTTTGGGCCGTTTTAGGTATAGCGGTTCGATGGTCACGAACCGGCGGGACGAGGACGGGACATCGTCCAGAACGGGCGGAGCGGGCGGCGGCGAAGGAGCGGAATTGCAAGGCGGACGGGCGGTGGAACACCAGCGAGGACGCGGCGGCGGAGGATGGCGATTGGAGGCAACGGGAAGGTGACACGACGGCAGGAAAAAGCTGATAGATGGCAGGCGGCGGCGGAAGAAGGCGGGTGTGGACGGTGGCGATGGTAGATGACGGACGCGGTGTTGTTGGATAACCGACCTTCACCTTCTCTCTGTTCTCTTCTTAGGGATACAGGAGGTTATTTATAGCCTCTCCGAAGATTAAAAACAGAAAAAAATGCTTAAAGATGGAAAGTATGCCTTAATGGACTTTTGCCGATCTGCAGTTGATATAGAGGTTGACCCAGTTCTTCCTCCTCCTACAAGCACCGCCGCTGCAACTCTCGGCCATGCACGACGCTGAAGATGATGAAACGCTGCGGGCTCTGCCACCGCTGCGACTAAACACTCTCCTACGGAGACGGGTCCTCTCTCTCTCATCTCCCAATTGGCGTTCTTGAGTCATCATGGAATCAGGTTTTATTTATTTTCATCATTCACTTTATTATTCACATTCTTCATAACTCAACACTAGATCCTTTAGTCCATCAGTCACCACCTCTCTCGTCTCCTCAAACGGGTTTTCATCCTCCTACTACCTCTCCCTCTATGACATCCCTATCAGGGCAGTGAGATTTCCAGTGGATGTAGGTATCATTATCGACTCTGGCATCTCCATCACATTTCTGCTCGACGTTGTGGTCAATGCCTTGGTGGCACATTGCCAACGCAGATCAAGGCCCCACGAGTCAACAACCAACGGGACCAGTAAAAGGTAAGCTATCAGGTGGGGCAAACGTCAGCGGCTATGTCAGCGTTTCTGGAAGTCGTCTTCGGGTTCAGCAGCGGGAAGGTGGTGCTGAAGCCGGCGAACATCTTTCTGCTGTCGGAGGACGACGTGGTGTGCCTCTCCATCCTGCCATCGCCCAGCCCTAACTTCGCCATCTTTGGGCTCTCCACCCAGCAGAATTTCCATGTAGGATATGACCTCGTGAAGAAAACCTTCTCTCTTGCACTGGCAAACTGTGCCCGTCCCAGACAGAGTTACGCATTGACTTTGGGTAATTACCATTATTTCTGTGCAGTGCTAGATTCAATTTTAAGAATGTTCGGGAAAAGGTTCATAGTATCACTTGATTATGTATTAATTATATCCTCAAAATCATCTCCAAAAATATAGGCAAAATGCGACTCTCGAAATTTGACATATTTTTTAGCTAAAAATTTATAAAAAAATATTTTTTATCTAGGCCTAAAAGAATTGGTTTTATTATTTCAATCTAATGATGATTTATGTTTATTTGTATTCGTCTCTAAATATGTCATAAAAGGCTAATGATTATAAATTTCATCTTTTCTAAATGTGAAGATGTTGAATTTCTAAAATGAAAATCATTGTTTTATTCATATTTTTTTGTCTCCACTAAAATATTTTCAACTTTTCTTCCTCTAAAATTTTCTCTCATGTTTTGTTTTTTCTATTTGAAGTAATTATCCTTCAAAATCAATCATATGGCTAATATATTTCAATATTTCTAAATAAGACATATTTAATCATAAAATTGGAACGTGTTTTTGTTATGCTATAAAGCCAATTTATTGTCACATCATCATAAAATTATTAGATCTTTTGTGATAAATTGTGTGGGTTCTATTAAACATACAAGTGAATACTTTAGATCAATATTTAAGTATAAAAACAATTGTTATTTTTTAAAATACCAATGGAGATACCATCTTATAGGGATAGTCCACGTTGCATGGTCAGCAATAAGTCTAAGAAGCACAAAAAACCCAGTAAAATAAAGTTATAATATATTATGTTTTATGAATGGAACACGAAGCACCATGCAAAACGCCCTCATGTTAATTAGTCAAAGATATGCATCAATAATGATTATTCGTCAAATAGAACATTATTTTTGGACATTTTTTTAAAATAATATCGAGTAAGATATATTTATAGAATTTAAAAAACGTCGATCTAGAATACACATGAAAAATTTTCTCGTATCATTTATGATTTTACAAGGAAAATTTGTTGATCTAGAGCCACGGGTGAGACGTCATCCTCTATCACACGTGCCAATCTCTCTCTCTCTCTCCCTCCCTCCGCCCCTCTCCTCTCTTGATGTCCATGCCATAGATCAAGTAGATCTATAAAGCCCACATCAGCCAGAGAGCAATATCATGGAACCAATGTGCTTCTCTCTCTCTCTCACACACACACACAGTAGATAGCAATCTCTTTGACTCGGCGGAAGGCCGGCCCCACCCATTGACACCCTTTCAAGGCGACAACCTTATAGCTCTTCATTATATTAGAAGACAGCGAATCCACACCTGAAAATATTAAAAAACCAACATTTACAGTACAAGCACGTGCGCCCTATACGAGGCGTCTTATTTAATGGGAAGAGGGGCCCTGCGCCGCCGTCGAGCGCGAAGGCCTCCGACCAGCTCTGGCGGTCCTCTGGCAGGCCCCGCGGCCGCAAGCCGAGGCCATCTTCTCAGTTGTGCTTCTCCGCGGTAGCCACGAACTCCCTCCGGCTGCAGCACCAACAGTTGTGGCCGTACCTACCGCAGCAATGGTAACGGCACCGCCGCCAGGGCGGGTAGCCTCCGCCCGGGTAAGGGTAGCCGCCGCCGCCGCCGCCTCCGCCCGGGTAAGGGTAGCCACCGCCGCCGCCGCCGGGGTACGGGTAGCCGCCCCGGCCACCGCCGCCGGGGTATGGGTAGCCGCCGCGGCCGCCACCACGGTACGGGTAGCCGCCCCCGCGCTGGTCGATGGAGATCTCTGCATGGGGATGAAAAAGCTTCTGCATTAGCCTGAGAAACTCTGGGAGCTCCTGAAACGTGGAGTCTCAGTAGCATGGCAATGAAAAAGCTTCTGCGTTAGCCTGAGAAACTCTGGGAGCTCCTTAAACGTGGAGTCTCAGTAGCATGGCAATGAAAAAGCTTCTGCGTTAGCCTGAGAAACTCTGGGAGCTCCTGAAACGTGGAGTCTCAGCAGAATGGGAGCAACAGCGAGGTCGATATGTGAGGGAGGGGGAGAGGTGGGGATAAGAACAAACTTGTTTCTTTCTCCTTGGTGTCCGTGGCGTCGACGGCGGCGGAGACGAGGAGCATGGCGATGAGGAGGAAGCCCAGCAGGGGCAAAGCCTTGGAAGCCATACCGGTGGAGAAGAAGAGGGGGACGAGGATGAGGTACCGAGAAGACGCTAGTGTGCTGCTCTATTTATACTGAACCAGGCACTGTGGAGGGCAAGCTCCGAACTCTGGGTCAGGCAAAGTGGTTGGGAAGGGCCCTTCTCATTAACGCAGAGAGAGAGAGAGAGTAGAGAAGGCACAGAAAGTAGAGAGAGACTGGGAGAGAGAGGAGGGAGAGAGGAGAGATAGAGAGAGAGAGAGAGAGAGAGAGAGAGTGTAGAGAAGGCACAGAAAGTAGAGAGAGAGGAGAGAGAGAGTAGAGAAGGCACAGAAAGTAGAGAAAGAGGAGAGAGAGAGTAGAGAAGGCACAGAAAATAGAGAGAGAGAGAGAAGAGAGAGCCTTATCTTCTCTGAGAAGACGTGCACAGACTGATTGATGATGCCCTCGCGTGGAGCTCCACCGGTGGCGCCATGTGATCGTCCGCAGAGGAGGCCCCATTCTCTGATGAATCTGACTGGCAATGAATTCCCCGCGTGATCCAACGCGCATTCTAAGGGGTACTACAAACGCCACCCGCAGTCAGTCGGTGCAAATGTCTGCCGATTATCAATCATCCAACCTTGTTTTCATCTCTCTCTCTCTCTCTCTCTCTCTATGGGGGATGCTCCCATATGGCGGCGGAGGGATGTCAGATCCGGGGCAGCCAATCGGCGCCCATAACAAGTGAGCCACTATCGAGACTCGCTTCGTGTTTCGACGGAACCTTCTAGAGTAATCTCATTTGAACCCGTGGGCCAATACGTACGAAGCTGCCATTCACGTCCATCGCCCTCACACGGAACCTCCGATTATCCTTAAATGAACATCGGCCCCTCCGTCGTCTGGTCGCCCAATTAGGTTTTGGTCTTCGGTGGCGGGGGGAGACAAGGACATGGTTGGGTAGTCAACCCAACCCGACCCATCCAGATCGAGAGAGAGAGAAGGGGGGACAGGGAGATGGTTGGGGAGGTGGATTGGCTTGTCAACGCAACTAATGTAGAGTGGCGTGAAGCGTTTTCCTACCCCGACGCCGACGAGTTCTCAAGAGGGGGGCCACTCGGGTGTACATATGTAGGTCAACGGTGTACCACAAGACTGGTCTACACAGTGTGAAACGTTGACGGTCTGCGTGGGTGCCACGTGGGCACACAGAAACTAAGACTCGGTCCAGATAGGGACCAAGACCGGCCGGGCTTAGTCAATTATTGGGCTTAGTTTCTGAGGCTCAGGCATGGGAAAACTGAATCGGTCTGGGCTTGTATGCACACTTTTTGCCTACCATCTTGATGCTCCATAGACTGTTGGTTTGCCCAACTAGTCTTTGCTTTGCATGGCACCTCAATGGCTTTGTGTGTGTTTACTGACCGCTACATTCGGCACCCATCTCAACCTACTCCATAACCCTTGCATTTATATGTAATCTACCAATCTCGGGGCCATGGATCCATCCTAGTTTTCAAAGGCGGTCTGCCCATTGACTATTACTCCTCCACCGAAATGATGAACCAAATTAGATTGATCCTTGCACAAAGGGCCATTCATTTGAAGTACTCTATATCCTCATCGTATGTTGGTCAGGAATTCCCCAAAGAAATCTTCAAAGTCAAAGAGATGCCTGCCTATAGCATGGTCTCTTGTTAAACTCAATCAATTGACTTCAATGTCTTGTCGATCTTTAGTCCCCCTAAAGCTCTGGAATACACATGAAAAGAATAATGTATTTTGTTTAGAAAATCTGACATATTGATATGAGCTAAAAGTGTTGATCTTTACACAAACTGTCGGCTCTTGAGGCATAAGTGTTGACATTTGAGAGTAGAGGTCAAGAAGCACAGGTTGATCCCCAGAGCTGTCGGTTAGGAATGGAGAATGATCTTCCCGATTAGGGGCATGAGTGTCTTTGGTCTCTTGTCCATACCCTAACCGTATGATATAACAAAGGGGGGGAAGTTGTCTCCTCAAGGTAACGTTGGCGTGTGATGAGGGCCAAGTCTCCTTCAATTTCTTGTTGTATGAAATGAGCGACGTTTGAGAGAAAGAGCAGGAGCTAATGATTTATGTGTTTTGATGACAACAACAACATATGAAGAAAATTTAAACATTTCCATTAGTATAAAAAATGCATAAATGTGATTCTAAGTATTTCTAAGAAGATGACAAAAATTGGGTGTTCAGATTTAATTAGTATTTACCAATAATTGTGTGAAATACCTTTGCATTTATCTTGATTTAATTTTGATTAAATGAGAAATAGATTTATAATGGGGCCTGAAATTGAAGATTACTAGGTCAGCTAATGAGCTCGAATTTAAAGTTATTGGACCTCAAATTTAAGGCGTATCGGATCCATGATAAAAGGATTTGTTTAAAACCAGACCCGGATAAAAACAAAACGGATCTCTTTAACACCAGACCTGGGCCAAAACGAAACGGTTCTATTTGAAACCAGACCCGAAAACTAAACGGAACGATCCCTTTAAAGCTGATCTGGAACCTAAATGAAATGGACCAGTCTGTTTGTTTTATTTTTCAACTAATTCTCTGCCCAATAACCAGAGATAATCTGTATAAATCAACATCACGCCTTAAACCACCCCAATTCTGATCACTCGTTTATCTCTTTGACGGCCGAGCGTGAGGAGAGAGAAAACGAGTGTGAAAGGAGAGTAAGAAAGAGAAAAAGGAGAGAAAGAAGAAGAAACATAAGAAAAATAAGAGAAGAAGGTTAGCAGTGAAGACTGGTCTGCGTGATGTGCCACGTGGGGGGCACAGAGAAACTGAGACTCGGCCCAGACAGGGCCGAGATGGGCCGGGCTTGGTTAATTATTGGGCTTAGTTTCTTCACTGGAAACTTGAACCAGCCTGGGTTTCTGTGGCCCATTCCTCCCTAGAGACGAGGGGAGAGAGAGAGAGAGAGATCCACGAAAAAGGACCACAGAGGAACCCACAGTCTGTCTAAAGATCAATCAACCGTCACCATGCCTGTAGACCATCTCCACGTCAAAAGGAGACCGTTACTGGCATCCAGCCGGAGAGCAGTTTAGCTCCTACCTCTTTAGTTGCTCTTGGATTCGGTCTCTGATAGGGATTTCCTGTCACATAAAGAAAGATCTCTGTTTGGGTCAAACGAGAGAGAGAGAGTCAATCGATTTAACATAATGTTGCAGGATTCCTCAAACTTCTCGAGGAAGCCGGTGACCCAATAGTCGGCGTCATCCACCAACTCATAGTGGTGCCTCTGATGGAATATTTCCATCCCTCTCTCATCTACATCAGAAAAGACTTGACCAAAACATGGAAGAACCAGATGTTGGATGATGGAAGAGGTCATCCAACAGAAGATAATTGTGGACACACAAGGATCTATAAGTACATGACATGTAGGAGGAAGGGGATAATCAATTGTCTATGTGGGAATAGTGGAGATTAGCCATCTCAAATTGACTAGTCTAGAAATGGGTGTTCCCTCTCCATTAACCTTCTCTCTCTCTCACCCTCATGTGCTCTCTTTTGTCATGTTGCCTCTAGTAGGAGTTTTAACTTATTGTCTCTCACTAGGTAAAAGTCATTCCAACAAAGGTAATATGGGATCCTGTCATCTGGTATCAGAGCCATGCCTCCCAAGATGAGTGATTCAAAAATAGAATTCATCAAGATAGATATGAAAGAAGTTTGTCATACTGATTTCCTAAATCATGGTTTGAGACTAGACACATTCTAGACTAGGTCAAAGTTTGAGCTTTGGGTGCAGCAGGCTGAGGCACCATCTGTTACCCTTAAAGATTTGAACTATGATGATTTGGCCAGTATTTCCCACAATGTTCCCCACACAGCCAAACAGTTTGTAGTCATCCTCAACAACTTACCATCTTGGGTAGTGGAAAGGAAACTAGAAATGTATATTTTTAATGGCCTCGACCCATTAGGGTGAATCTTTTGCACCACTTATTCTTCTAGATGTACAAGCTCAAAGTGGCAAATAAATTAACCATTGCTCGACAACCTAGAAGGCAAAGCTTTGATCTAATTCCAATGGATGGATGCATGAGAGCCCTTTTGAGATTGAGAGAATTTATGTTGGTAGATGTTCAAATGACTTAGCCCCAACCATTTGGGCTTATTACATCAGAAATTTCTAGAGATACTTAAGAAATAATGGCAGAATATTGTAACAAATTTGAACTCATGGCAGCCGTCATAAAGCACCTATCAAAACCTATCCTTGAAACAACCTTCGTCAAGGGCTTATCAAAAGGATATTCATGCTAAGGTTCTTTTTCTTGAATCTATTTGACTAAAATCTATTTAGTATCAAGAGGAAGTATCATTATCTATTTATTTAGAAATTCATATTTTCACTTACTAGAGGTGCCTTAAATTAATTCTTGAATAATGTCAAGTTTTATAGAATTATTATAAAAGACTATTGAAGATTATACGCTTCAAAGTATAAATCAAATATAAGGCATGTTTTAACAATAAGGCAATGAATATATTTGTTAGAATAGCTCTGGGCCCACCAAGCCCATTTTTGACTTATTCTCTCCACATCCCAATTCTTCATCTATGATCTCCACTTCTTTCTTTCTCTCTCTCTCTCTCTCTCTCTCTCTCTCTCTCTCTCTCTCTCTCTCTCTCTCTCTCTCTTTCTTCTTATTTTCTATATAACCTCATGTACTCTTTTTCTTCAATACATGTATTCTTGGTTCCGCCCTTATCCGCACTTGTCAACTTGGTATCAGAACCCTAGGTTCTCACTAGCCATTGCCTTTTTCTCTAGTGCACCATCCTCCTTCGGTAGTGCCCTCGTCCTTGTTGGCCACTGGACTTCATGGCAGCCCTTCTCTGCCACTACCCCTCACCGACGTCACCTCTACTTCCACCGTTGGCCACTCCTCCAAGCCGCTATGCTGGGTGTGCCTTAGGCGACTTCTACATCCCATTGGACATGCCCTAGTCGCCACCCACTCCCCTTGATCGTCAT